GAGGTCGATCGGTGTAGAGAAAGGATGGACACGACTAGTGCAAGTTCAAATCGCTGTACGTGAGTCCGAGGTGACTCGGGCGTTCGACTCGCAGGCTTGAGGAACGCGCTCTGCCGCTTCAGCGTCTTCACCTGGTCCCACCTTGCGGGGACGTCGTCGAATCAGAAAGATGCCGCCTCATGCGCTCTATGTCTTAAGAATTGCTCTGCCTTCGGCTTCAATCTGCAGAATTGGTTTAAGAACTTGGTTCACGGCTTCAGCGGCTTTACTTGGATCTCCGCGCCCTGCTGGTAAGCATGACGAGGTTCCTTCTGCGTGGATGTATGTCTGTTGTTTCTTTCCAATCTTTGAAATTAAGATTCTGCTTTTCGGAGAGAATTTTTCAGCGTCTTCTCGTGCTCTGCTCCTTCCAAGCAGCGAGCCACATTTAAGATGGTCCATCCTATCACCGGGGCTCGTGATGACGTCGACTTACGTTCTCACTGTCTTCGCCAGCTCAAGTATTTTGGCTGACAACCCGAAGCCTCCTAAGCAGATGCAGCAATTCTGGCCAGATTCCAACAAACAGGGCGACCACTTAGCGGAGCTGCCCACCTGGACCATCGCCCTGAGATGCTTCACCATGGCCGTGCTCTCATAGTGGGCGTCCCGCGCGCGAGCGAGAAGGGCCCCCATGCCCCGCATGCGCTCGGTGGCCAGCCGGTGGAGGTCCGCGTCGACTGCAATCATTTAGCAGTTTCTTTCGTCAGAAGGCTTGTGAAGTTGGCAAACCAAAAGGCTGAGATTTCTTCATTGGCCGCATTTAGATGTTCAGTTGTGTGCCTTCTGTGACCGTGGATGTGGAAGCAATCGTACGCCTAAGTTCTCAAGGGACCTCCATCAAATGTGGAGGAATGAGAGGGAAAGAAGGCACGAAAGGATGATCCTGAGCGCTTTTACCACAATGAGGCATGACGAGAGTGCAGGAAAGCCGTCTGTAAAGCCGATTCAACACCAGAATCCAGATTTCCGTACCTACGAGCTGCGCTCCATGTTGGTTCAAGAGTCCGCTTCATCTTCGAGCCCACAGTAACTTCCGCTGAGCTTAACCTTCCAGACGTTTGAAGTCTCTCGTCCACTCAACCTCCCAAAGAAAACACTCTTTCCGAGCTTTTTTTTCTTTCTTTTTTCCAATGTGGCCGTTGCAAGCGCGCTTCATTTTGATTGAGCAGTGCGGAACAATCCACTCGAAACATCGGACGAGGCGGACAGAGTCGAAGTGTGCAGTTGTACATTCTGGCGGATGCCGCCCGCTTGACAGCCTACGCACACTTTGACTTCTCAAACGACGTGCTCCTTCCAGTCCCAGCTGCTGCGAAAAACCCACCTGTCGCTTCCGCCAGCATCCGCTGCAGCTCTTTCCGTTTCGCCCGCAATTGACGTGCCAGCTGCTGATCCCCTCCCTGTTGAGCCAGCAACGTATACGCCCGCGCCATGATCACTTGCTCTTTCATCAAGTTGATCAAGCGGTCCGATCCCTCCCCGCCCCCCTCCTGCCACGTGGCAAGCTGGTCCGACACGGCGTCCGAAGCCGGGTCGTCGTCCGGGGAGCCGTCCGACACGAGCTGCTGCAGCCGCTTGCTCTGGGAGTGGCGCACGCCCTGAGACAGGATTAAATGTTTGCTGTCAGGACGTACCTGTGCCTGACCAAGTCTTAACCCCTTCCTCGCGCAGGTGTCGTCAAAGGGGTCGTGCTAAGCTACCGCAACCTCGTCGCAATACGTCGTCCTAAACTGAGCAGTACAAGAGGATTGTGGCCAACCGGTCGAGCCTCCCATTGGACGTTCATGCGCGGACGGTCAAGACAGCCTTCGTTCAAATCGTCCATTTAAGCTGCTGCTGCCCTTGGACGCGACTCTTAGGAAGACAAATGAGGGATTGACAATCTATGGATGTGGGGCACCCAAAGGTTTCTCTAGCAAGGTGATTGAAGCTGATCACGGGCTGTACTTTTATGCTGAAGGCTTGGATTTGACTGTCGACGATGCAGTCTGCTTGCTCTGGCAGAAACGCACCCCCTCAGTGAGAATTTTGTTCGAGGAATGTGGACTGCCACATCTCCGCGAATTGACGCACGTGTGTACAGAAGTAAGCTTTGAAGAGTCGTTTCCAGGCTGGCTTTGAAAACGTTGCAATCCGGAAAGCAAGCTTACCGGAAATGAAAAGACACCCGTTGGGTGGCCGACCGGATAGCAGACAGATGCGCTTCAGCAGATTGGTCGTTAACGTCTAATATACAAAGGTTTAGTAAGCCTCTGATATCAAAGGTTTGCTTACAGTTGCAGTTCGCCAGCTTCCGGAATCTGGACAAGATAATCGTTCGTTTCCGAAGTTGCATTTGCAACTGACGCTACTGGCAAGAGCCGACCCTTCTTCCAAGCAACGTAAACGGAAAACGAATGAAGGTAAATGCATGTTTTCACACTTCAATCGACCCACTATCTTCCATCATTCTCAAAACCTAGCAAATGCAAACGAGAAACTCCTTTAAAGCACCTAGTCGGAAGAAACCAGAATCAGGAACGGCTGCGTCCCTGGAAAACTCGGCTTCGCATTTCCCACCTCGTTTCCGCCCTGCCCCCCCTCCAACTCTTCCAGTCCCCGGCCGCTTTTCCCGGACCCCCGACCTCCTCCCTTCAGCCCGCTTTCGAGGCCGTCAGAGGTGGCCGGGTCGTGTCCCCAGGCGCCGCCGTCGCCGGGCAAGTGCGAGTCCCCACTCGCAATCCCAGTGACGTCACCCACGCCCTCTCCCAACAATTGAACCTCCGTGTTTTCTGCATTTGCAGCGAGTGCCTCAGAAGTAAGTGCGGAGAACTTTGAGATTGCGAGACTGGCCAGGTCGTGAGAGAAGGCATGTATGTGCCAGGGCATGTCAAAGCATCGTTCTAGACCTTGAGCGTAACTCTGGAGACGATGTAGCTGCATGACGAACCTCAGCCTCCAAAAAGTGAGTCATTAAGTGCAAAAAACGGGTAATAGAACAACGAAGAAACGAGATCGCTTCAAAAACGATATGCAGAACGCTTCAGACAAGAATCTAGCAGGGCAATGCAGAACCTCACCGTTTCCATCGTCCGTGACTCCCTCTCCCTGTTCCCACGGCTCCGCAACCCTCACTTCCTGCACGTGGCGATTCTCTATACATTATGGACAAAGAGACATGCATAGTTGGGTCTGCGTTTGGGCATGCAGGGACTAGCCAGGTCTTGCAAGCGTGAAGTCAGAAAAGGCATCCAATTGTCGGGGAGGAAGTCGAGACCGACTCAGCAATTGAAAATTGCTGGAATAAGAAGGATACTACCATTACTTGAGAAGCAATAAGAGCCCCAAGGCGTTGCTTCTCCTGACAAGCAACGCAGGGCTCTTGTTGCTTCAAGAAATAGTAGTATCCAGGATAGCAGGGACGGAAGGAGACAAGCTGGACGTACCAAATCGACGTGTGTGCACGCAACCACCTCTGCCTTCCGTCCTTCGAAGGACACTGTTAATGTAGGAAAAGGACCGACGCCTGTGTCAGGTTGTGGAAGTGGATACTTACCCTTTGCCGTTTCCTGCTCGCCTTTCTCGCTTTCTTCTCAACCTGCACAAACTTGCACGATCAATTACGTTCTGTGGCAAGTGCTGCAAACAAGCGTTTTCCTGATTAACGGTTGATGCAAGAGCATGGCACGGAGGTTTCCAAAGTGCACAATTAAGTATGTACACTCAGCTCAAAAAGATTATATTGTGGGCCGCTGGGACAGGAGAAGAGGTGGAGCGATAAGGTCCACCTTTTTTGAGAGCCTAGGCAGTGGGTTTCCACGTTACAAAAGAGAAGCCTAGTTGAGGATGCCTGGGATGGTACAGCCAAGCGAGGGGATCCCCCCTATTCCATCTTGCGCTTTCCCAGGAATCTTTCTCCCCGCAGAAACCGTTCTCATGGAGCTCGACAGGATGATCGCTCCTGATTATTCTCCACGACGGAGAAAGCAGGGACCATGAAGCAGACTAGGATCTACAGGCCTCAATCGGTGCAGCTGCAATACTTGTTCAGGGGCCCTCCGAAACAAGTTTTGGTTTCGACTTCTTTCTGTTCTTTCCGGCTTGATAGGCAGACAGTAAACAACGCTCACCTCCCTCTTATATAATGTGGTCAGCTCTTGGGGGGAGCTCGTTTGTTCTATCCGCCCGCCCATAATCTGACCACCAGAAAAGAAGCGCAAGGGTCTGAGACATGGCCCTCTAGGAGAGTCAGCGGAGCTTTGAAGCAACAGACTGATGGTGTGATTGATCTAGCCAAAGCTTTGCATGCTTCAACCACACTTGTCCAAGGGCCGCTATATCGTTTTATGATGAGGCCCACAGTGATTGCAAAAATTGAGGACATTACACGATTAAACTAGTCAGCTTTTCTCTGCACACACTGTCTTTTTCCAGGTTGGAGTAGCTCGTTGTTGAATTACTGAACATTGATAGATCTGTAAGTCTTCTGTGGGCCCGAAGCGCACATAACAACAGTAAGGCTGAGTCTCTCACCTGTGCGCCTGACACGCCAACACCAAACTGGGGCCCTATAGATAAGAAAGGCACCTTTAAGCTGCTTTCGTTCCACTCAGATAGAGTGCACCCCAAAGCAATAGGGCTTTACCAAAGATGCTTGAGCTGCAAAATGATGCCCAGCTGAATAGCCTCTAGACTCTAATTGTGCATTCTGAAAGTATTTCTGCAAGGTTGATGCATGTCGACATAGATGTTGAAACCCTTTGGTGCTGGCGGCAAGGGTTCCGGATGAGTGATCGCCACAGATGTTTTCGATGACCGTTCTGGTGATGTGTACTCATTATATTGTTGCTTGTGTCAAGCTTGCCCCGGCTGCTTGGAGGGAGATTGGGAGCTGGAAAGTGGTGCTGACTAACCTGAGCAGCTTGCCCCACCAGCTTTGCGGCTTGATCATTCCAAAACAGCTGGCTCATTAAGCTGACACACACCTGATCGCAGAGCCCTGAACATGTCACAATATTGTGGCAGCTTGCCTTTAAAAAATGTCCCCTGATCATCTTGCAATCCTGAAAACTCGCTAGAAAGGACCTCAGTTGCTGTACTTACCTGCTAATCCGTTCACATGAGGATTGATGCTCAGAGTCGAGCGGTGCGCAACATAGGCCAGCGGGGTCAGCAGACAGAAGGCGATGACAAAGACAATGAAGAGCCATTGCGCAGGCTGCTGGTTCCGATGGGAGCTGCTGTATGACTTCCGCATCTTTGCTCTGGCTTCCTGCTAGTGCTGCCAGTGGTGCATCATGAAGGACGCCGTGAGACGGAGCGGATTACAAAACCCTGATGAAAGCCCGACCAATGCACCTGAGCGAATGGCCGCAAAAGGAACGTCAAACACACAGCTGCTGTATTGCTGCCTGTAATGGTCACGGCCTTTGATGCAAGTTGAAGAGAGAAGGCACCTTCTGTCTTAATTGTCTCTGTGCTTCGGGCAACCTGCTGCAGACCATCACGCCACCATCAATGCATCATTGACGTCGCCCCAGCGAGCCTGGCAACTGCAATTCGACAACTGCAGCCGGCCCTGGCTTTGGCCTGAGCTCAGCAGAAATTTGACTAAGATTACGCCTGGTCATTTAAGTGCAAGATCGGACGGCTTATGTAGCTTACTTTGTCCCAGAGCTGCCCAGAGCCCTTGATGTTTCAGAATCTAGATTCTGAATCTTCCGCACAGGGGAGCTTTTATTGGCCAGCAAGGAAAGCTGCCACCTGGCTCCATCTGACTCCATGTTATGCCAGCATGGGATCTCCTTGCGCAAGCAAAGTTTAGCTCAGTTTAGCTTTGCACCGTGGAACTTGAAGAGAAGCATGCTGTACAATCCGGAAAAAAGTTCACCAAAGAGCTTCTGCAATACCTAGCTTGACAATTCCAAGGTCAATCCGTTGTTCTAATCGGATTTGGGCGGTACCCGAGTTCTGCTCAGGATTTCAGATAAAGTTCCTTCTGCTAGTATTAGAGCTCCTTCCCGCTATCTTCATCCGGCGCCATGGCTCTTTCTAGAACAGTTGATGGAAGAAAAGATGGTGCGGAGCATTTCGTGACATCTGTCTTTGGCTCTCGCTATGTCCGCAACAACCTGCCCAGGTGAGTGATAACTTGATGTTGCATGCTATCATTGTTGATGCATGAGCTTATCAACAGGCTCAGAATTGATGGCAGGGTGGGACTAACGTTGATGGAGCAATGAGTGCAGCTTGTTGCAGCATACCTGATGCTTCATTTGGTGGTCCAATCAAAAGGGTTTCTAAACTCTGGCGGCCACTTTAAGGGTTGAAAGTGACACTGAAAGCTGCATTGACAAGTGTGGGATCTGGAGAGCAATTGTCAGGGCTTTCACCCTGAATTGCCTAAGACATTGCTCTATTCTCATGATTGTATCAGTCCTGCATCAAGTTTGTTTACTTGACGTCTAATCGGAATCAATGCTGCAGGTACCGGATGCCTGAGGACGAGATGCCAAAGGATGCTGCATATCAGATCATCCATGATGAGCTCCTGTTAGATGGGAACCCCCGCTTGAACCTCGCCAGCTTTGTGACCACTTGGATGGAGGTGCGCTCCAAATCCCTACAAGGCTGCTTGAAGGACTTTTCGACCACTAGTGCATGCAGAATATCTTCTGTAATGCTCAGATGGACTCTCGAAAGAGTGTGCAATTATCACTTACACTGCTCTCTTGCTGCAGCCTGAGTGCGACAAGCTGATCATGGAGAGCCTTAACAAGAACTACATGTGAGCCGCAAGCTTGAGAAAGGGAGAGCCTGGAAACTGGATCAGAAAGCTCCACAGATCTGTTTCGAGCCCTCAGTATCATGTTACACGGAAATTGAGGAATTGCACCCGCATCTTGCTGTCCTTATTTGTCCAAAACAACATTCTGCTTTTTGTAGCTTCTGTGCTGGGTGCAGCTCACTTATAAGCCAGCGATTTTAGAACCCGCAGTGGTACACTGGAAAGGCCCTCTGTCACATCACCTACAATGCCATGTAGGGGCATTACAATGGTTAGGCTCGCGTCATTATTTATTCTGTGCTCAAATCCGCCGTCCTTTGTGTTCCTGTCAGTGACATGGACGAGTACCCCATCACAACGGAACTTCAGGTAAGCTCCCCGCTTGCTTTTCCTCAGGTTCCCAGTATCTGAATTGCTTAAAGTCAATAGTTGGGGAAATTAGCAGAGTGACCTTTTTCTATTCAACTGCACCTGCGCCTGCACTCAAGTGTCGGCCTGAACTCGTCAAGACAATTCCAGATGTGTCCTGATCAGCATTGCAAAGATATTGGAACTGATATTGGATCTGAATGACGAATTGTCAAATGGCACTAATGCATCACAAATCCCAACATTTTGCTCGCAACTTGTCATTTCTGGCAGGATCGTTGTGTCAACATGATTGCACGGCTGTTCCATGCTCCCATTGGAGAGAACGAAACTGCGGTAGGCGCAGGCTGTGTTGGCAGCTCAGAGGCCATCATGTTGGCTGGTGAGCCCTTCGCTTGTCTCAGCAGATGCACTGGGAGTAACCACATTGACTCGCTGAATCGACGAATTGGCATTCAAGGCCACCTAGACCCCCTAGTAGGGACCGGCAGAGATAAGATTCATATGCCTTGCTTCCTACTTAATGCGTGAATTGATGAATCGAATTGGATTGGATTGAAAACAAGCTTCCAAATGCATAGCTCGGTCACAGAAACCAAATAGAAACATTCGCAATGCAAAGTCCATTTTGATTTTGACAGAAATGCTTCTGAAGCTGCTCACTTTTCAAGGTAGCTCTGGTCCAAGGAACATGTCAAATCGTGGGAAGTGCTCAGTAAGATGGACCAATCAGGGTGAGATCATAAGGGTTTTAATCGTCGCAGCGTCCTGAAAATCGGTTTTTGAGCCACTCCCCCTTGCTGGCAGGCCTGGCTTTCAAGCGGAAATGGCAGCACAAGAGGAAGGCCGAAGGCAAGCCGTACGATAAGCCCAACATGGTGACAGGGGCCAACGTACAGGTGCGCATGTTAGAGGAGGTTTCCGGGACCTCGGTTTTGGTACTGTAGCGCACTTTCTGACTTGAACAAGATTGATGAACTGAACCGCAGTGTTCTACCCGTTTGCATCTGAAAGCGTTGCTGATGCAAAAACGGAATTATGCAAGATGCTGGATACCACTTGCTGGGAAGTTCGAACAGTTTATGCTATTTCTGCTGGAACGCATCAGATTTGCACCTTTTCAGGCTTGATACTTATGGACCAAGTCCCGCTTTAATAGTCACTGCGCATTTTTGCCTTCTTGACCCTGCACAGAGTCTATGCAAACCAGTGTAGGTTGTACTTCTTTTCTTGTGTCTTCTTGAATGTACCTTGTGTCTGACTTGCTGTGTCCCACTGTTTCGCAGGTGTGCTGGGAAAAGGTGAGCCTGCGGCCTGCAGCCAATCTCATATTTTTGAGCTCCAGCACCTGACATTAGTGAGACGTTTTGGGGGGGCTTGTTGTGTCCACCTCTTGCTGACACACTCTGATAACAGCCGTGTTCTGGTTGGTGTACCCCTTTTCAATGCAAATACCCGTGCCGTTTCGTTTACATCCATTCCAAGCGTCATTGATGATTGTTCTTAGGATTGCTTGGCACTGAGCCGCCTCCCTACTTTGGAAAAAGTGCACCCCCGAAACCGAAGAAGACGAGTCGAAATCCCTTCGTCTTCCGCTGTCAACAAACGCATAGTATTTGATCACATCTAGATGCAGACTCCGGCGACCAATTGTTTGGGAAGATTTATTACGAATAACAGTCTGAAGTGTTTCTATCGCACTTGAGTCTGAGATGCACTTGTAAGTTGTGTGGACTCAGTACACGGTTCGAATATCTTACTAAAGATGCTACGATTGAGAGACTCGAGAAAGGACATCTAGGATATTGTTGTCTCTGCTTCCGACGAGCAAGATCTGGTTTGAGTTCTGGCACCTTTCTGCATGCTGGTATCAAGCCGAAGTGACGCGGTTTTAAGCTACAGGCAGCCCAGTGATTCTTTCTCCCGAAGCTCAAATTCCTTACAAAATCGACCCTTACTCATCCGCATCCTGTCTCATGTAGTCGTGTAGCGCAGTTTCGCAGATTAGAGGCGCAGACTTGAAAGCAGTGCAATCTTTAGAACTGATCTTTGGTGGTTCTTTATTCTATGTTCGCAAGAGACTCAATTCCTCAAACACTCAATGGTATCTTGACGTAAAACCTTCCCAATAAGTTTGCGCGCTGGATTGAGCCTGGTTTTATGGGGTGCTGCTGGACACGACCTGTGAGAAGAGACGTTTCAGTCACAAGGTCACCGATCAGCGATGTTATCGAAGCGATCTTTCGTGGAGCCTGCTTGCTACTTCGAGGTGGAGCTCCGCAGCGTAAAGTTGCGCGACGTTAAGTTGCGCAGCGCAAAGCTGCGCAGGATTCGGCAACTTCCTTGACTGATTGTCTCCATTGCCGTATGCCAAGAACACCTCACGTAGGGTTTGCAAGACAATTGGCTGAAAATGCTTCGAAACATCTCTTGTGCAGTTTGCGCGCTACTTCGAGGTGGAGCTGCGCGACGTGAAGCTGCGCAAGGACAAGTACGTGCTGGACGTGAAAGAGGCGGTCGACATGGTGGACGAGAACACCATCTGCGTGTGCGCGATCCTGGGGAGCACCTACAACGGCGAGTTCGAGGACGTCAAGCTGCTCAACGACCTGCTTGAGGAGAAGAACGCGAAGACGGGGTGAGGCTGCGGTCGCAGTTTCTTCTAGATCAATTATGCTGTCTGAGGTCATCATGACGGCCCTTAACCGAATACCTGAAAGAGGAAATACAAAAAAACGGCGTGAGGCGGCAGCTTTGGAAATCTGGTGTAGCGGTAACTTGTACGACTGTTTCCATGTAATTCCGTCGGCCCTTACTGTTCAGGCCACTGGAAAGCTGCTGAACGAGCTGCTTCAGGAAGGCTTCGTGGGAGTTAAGTGGCGGATCGCAAACTGCTATGTTAGAATAGTATCTAGTTCCCACTATGTAACGACCAGGGACCAAATGTTGAGCTCCTAATGGCCCGGCTCGAGATGAGAACGAGGCTCGAGATGGAAACTTGTTCTTGTGGGCTTCGTGATCAGTCTCGCTTGCGATTTCCGATTTGTTACGAAGCCCTCCGATTGCCAGTACCGCAAGCGGTCTCTGTGATGCGGCAAACTTCAGCAGCAACTTCTTAATCTCACGTCCTTTCTTATCAAACCTGCATGAATTGCTGTTTGCGCTTGTCATCATGCGATAAGACCAGCCGGCCCGAAGCTGTGCTGGCCTTGGCCCAGCCTTGCGCGCCATCTTCCGGTTGCGCCTGCGCTACACTGTAGCATGCGCAACCCGGAAACCTTCCAGCCTCAAACAAGCTTCTGTCCTGCACGTTGGCACAAGCATTCTGCAGGAGCATACCACAGATTCCGAGTTGCCTCGATTGTCGAAACCAGAGAGGCACCAACCGGATGAGACCACAAGACCTGAGGCCGACAAATCGCAAACCTCTAAAACCCCTGGAACGCACTGCGTCAGGTGGGCCACGCCGATCCACGTGGATGCTGCCAGCGGCGGCTTCGTGGCGCCCTTCCTGTACCCGGACCTGGTGTGGGACTTCCGCCTGCCGTGGGTCAAGTCCATCAACGTCAGCGGCCACAAGTACGGCCTTGTCTACGCGGGAGTCGGGTGAGCAACCTGGCCGCCAGGCCTTTCATTCTTTTGCCACAGCGTAAGGAGACAGCTGATTGGAGCTGCATAGATACAAATTGAAGTTCCCACACATCCTCGCATAGTTGAAACACTGGTTGAGGCAAGGCGGATTAGTTGCAATTAGTTTGCTGGGGTTGGCGCTTAACATCTATTTCAATTTAGGGAGCACTGCTCGCTTACCGTCTCAGCCCTTTCCTCCTAGTATTCTAGGCAACCGTTTAGGCAACCGTGGGTTGAATCTTGGCCTCGTCTTCTTTGTTTTTGGACCCTGAAGACTCGGAACCATGAATATCAGTGGTCCACTTGGCAATGACATTCTACAGTGTGGCAACGACATTCTACAGTTTGAGGCTGTTCCAAACTGGGTTTGTTTAACCAGATTTGACGCCCCCTCCTTCCATGCGCAGGTGGGTGGTGTGGCGCAGACATGAAGAACTCCCCGAAGACCTTGTGTTCCACGTCAACTACCTAGGTGGGTCTCGGCATTGCAGATTTTGCAGTTATGTAGCTTCGAAACATGGGATTGCAGGATGTTGCGGAAGTATCGCTCCGCCTTTGTGCGACGATGTTTGCAGTCAGAAGTGACAGCGAGCGCCTCATCGAAGTGGAACCCCACTTAAAAGGCAGATTCGAACAGAGCTGCCAGAAGCGTGAGGAAGAGCGCGATTGATGTTTGACAAATCGATGTTTGAGTGATGCCTCTGCAAATCCCTAGAAATATGTTGGGAGTACACTCCTGGGCCACTTCGATGCCACTTTAACGGACGCATCGAGCTCCCCAGGTGGTCGATAGGAGTGCATGACCACTTCCCGTTTCGTCAGGCCTGGTTTCTTGCCTGGCTTCTTTCCCTCTTGGAGCCCTCTAAACCTCTTGTAGTCGCCATTGCGCTGATTTGCTTTGGTGCGGTGCAGGCGCGGACCAGCCAACTTTTACCCTCAACTTCTCCAAAGGTAAGCCGTAAAGTGGACTTGAGCGGCAAAAGCAGGTTCTAGTGTTTGATCGAACCGGGTAGCCCGCCGAAAGCTCTAGTTTGGGACTCTTTCTGTGCAGAAAGTCCTGGTCGGGCGCTAAAGTTGGCATAGTTCTCGACCCGCTTGGGTCGTGATCCGTATCCCGATTTTATTCGCGTCACATTACGGAGTCTCAAGTTGGTTTGCTGATCCAGCGATTTCAGGGGCTTCTTCTCAAGGCAACTTCGGAAGGCGACAAAGTTCTCTATTGACCTGCTAATGGTTCACGTGCCACTCAGGACCGTTCGGAGCAAACGCCGCCTAAAAACAGGCTACTTTAACTGGTTGCCCTGGTCTGACGCTCGTTCTGCTGCACGCAGGCGCCAGCCAGCTCATCGCCCAGTACTACCAGTTCATAAGGCTCGGCTTCTCGGTGAGCTCACCGCCATTGCTGGGGCGTACTCATACCGGAGTTTCATGAAACATGAAGATTTCCGTTCGGGACACGAAGCTCACGCGACTGTGCTTGCTCGCATGTGTTCCGCATCAAAACTCGTAAAGATGTTTCAGCTTGCATTTCCCCGTGTCAGCGGCTCGACCATACTGCCCCTGCGCTTGACCAGTTGCCAATCATCCTGCCGTAATATGCGCCACGTTCTGCCGATTGCTCGTCTGTATCTGCATGGTGTGTTTTCCTCTTGAATTTCCCGAAACGCAGCATTTATTTCGCGACCAAACGCAGCTCGTTTCTTACGTAGGGCTACATGTGCATCTTGGAGAGCTGCTAAGCTCTTACAATTTCCCTTTTCCATCACACAAGTTTGCGAAAAACAGATAAGGACTTGGCGCAAATTTTCTTGAACGCAGGGCTACAAGTGCATCATGGAGAGCTGCCAGGCGCAGGCCAAGCACCTGAAGGACTGCATCGAGGGCATGGGTGACTTCGAGATTCTCTCCAAGGACATCGGCGTACCACTCGTTGCATTCTCGCTTAAGGACCGCTCCGGCTTTGACGAGTATGACATCGCCGACTCGCTGCGCACATACGGCTGGATCGTGCCTGCGTATACCATGGCACCTGATGCACAGGTACGTTTGCTATTGTGGTTTAAGATGGCAAACAACTTAGCAATCTGAAAGTATTAGAAAGCTGAAACCGCTTGTGCGCGGGGGAGGTGTTCGCTGCTACGCTTGGTTGCGTATATAATCCTCACGCTTCCGCTTTAAGAGCCTAGACAAAGTTCGTGACGATGCCAATCTCGCAAAGACTTGAAGCCAAAATCGCTGGTCCGCACAGAAGGTGTCGCGGCTGCGCGTGGTGATGCGCGAAATTCCGCACTTCTGCACAAACAAACAAGCTAAGATTGCGAAGAAGCCACGCTTCAGAAGCTAATCGGAATGGCCCGCGGAGGTGTAAGGAAGCAAGTAATGTAAGCAAGCTAAACCGTGTACAATCAAGAAGTTTATGTGCGTGCAGGAGGTGTCGCTGCGCATGGTTTTGCACGAAATCTCACGGTTTGGCACTTGTACTCGAGCTCAGATTGCGGAGAATGCTTGTGCGCACAGGAGGTGTTGCTGCTGCATGTGGTGATGCTCGAGGACTCCGACAACTTCGTTTCACGGTGGCAAACCGCGGACAACGACAAACTGCTATAAGGCTGTGAAAGGAGAAGGTCATTTCGATTTTGAAGCTTCAAACGCTTTGTGCACGCAGGAGGTGTCGCTGCTGCGCGTGGTGGTGCGCGAGGACTTCGGCATGTCGCTCGCGGACCGGCTCGGCGACCATTTGAAGTAACGAAAATTTTGAACTTTAAAGCACAAAAGGCTTGTGTTTGCAGGAGGTGTCGCTGCTGCGCGTGGTAGTGCGCGAGGACTTGGGCATGTCGCTCGCGGACCGGCTCGGCAACCATTTCAAGTAACAAATTTTTAGAACTTTAAAGCACAAAAAACTTGTTTTTGCAGGAGGTGTCGCTGCTGCGCGTGGTCGTTCGCGAGGACTTCGGCATGTCGCTCGCGGACCGGCTCGGCGACCACTGCAAGTTACCTAAGGCTGTAGATGGGCTGAAACTTTCGAGATTCAAACCATAAAGCGCTTGCGTTTGCAGGAGGTGTCGCTGCTGCGCGTTGTGGTGCGCGAGGACTTCGGCATGTCGCTCGCGGACCGGCTGGTGAACGACATCCGCGCGGTGGTGGAGAAGCTGAAGAAGCGGCCGACCAAGCTGGTCAACGAGGTCGCGGACGCAATCATGAAGTCCGCGGCGCACGGCAAGCACCACAAGAAGCGCAAGGTGGACGACACGCTCGCGGACCTGATTGGCAGCAAGCCCCTCCATGAGGTACGGTTTAGTGTTTTACTTTCTTTCAGGCTTTTAGGGTTTCAGATTGCTAGGGTTTAGAGAGAAGACGGGTTAGATGGACGACACGCTCGCCCGACATAATTGGCAAGAAGCCCCTCCATGAGGTAGGGCTTCAAGGCGACAGCATTGGTTCCTCTTGGCAACCGAGTGGGGAGATTGGTGATCTTTGGGTTCCTTGGAAATCTCGGGGAGAAGCGGAGCTTCTGTTCTGTGGCGCGTTTCAGAGACCGTGACTGTGGCAAGCTCGTCCTACGAAGTGGGCCGATCAGGGTTGGATTTCGAGGTGCGACGGAGTGGGGTCCTGTTCGAGGGAAAGGAAGACGTATCACATTTTAAGGAAATATGCTGACAGCAAATCTCGCCTTGAGGTGAGCGCTCAGGGTCTGAGAGCTTTTGGGCTCGTGTGGTTCTACTATTTTAGAGTTCAGATTTGAGACTTTTAGAGTGAAACGATACAGCGCAAGGTGGACGACAACCCCGCGACCTCGTCGGCAGTAAGTGCCTCCACGCCGGTCAAAGCTTTGGGGTTCGTCTGTTGGTAATATGATGAAGAGTATACGAGAGGTGATTGTCACAGAGAGAGTGTTTGGATTGTCTTTTGCGTGGACATGTTTTCGGGGTGCATGAAGCACGTGGCTGGGCACACGCTCAGCGGAGATCCTCGAAACTCGTTTGGATTCCGGGCTCGTAAGGAGCCTGCTAGGAGCCGTTTGCCCGGCCCGTGGTCGAAGAATTCTAGCTCCAAGATCATACAATTTTTGAGAGTCTCGTTCGTTGAGCTTTGGAGCAGCTCATTGCCAGAGCACGACGCTTCTTTGAGGAGCAGCAACGAGAGCGTACGAGTCAGATGCCACTGTGTCACTACCAAGGGCAGTCTCTGGAAGGAAGGCGCATGGTTCTTGTAGAGTTGAATGTTTCTCTCTCAACGGAAGGCAAATCAGCTGAACGGGGATCATTTACGAAGTGCTTGACAGTTGCAGGTAGTCAAACACGCTTCCGTGTTCGACGAGGAGTTGAACAAGAAGCGAGCGTTCCGGTACCACAAGAAGAACGCTGTGGCGAAGACGAACGGAGTGTGCTAAGCAAGTTGTCAGCCGATGATTGGGCATTGTGGATCCGTCACTTCCCTGGTGACGGGCCACCTTCCTAGTAAGCGACGTACGGACAGGCAAATACGTTGCTGGTATGCTGCGATGCGTCACAGCACAGAGTTTTGCCATGGATTGAATGTAGAAGCGAAGCGGTCAAGCTTGTTGAAAGAGGTCTGTATCATATGATTCTTGGGAGTGACTGGGACCGTCACTGGAGCATCCATAGCTGAACCGTAGGTCTGGGGAAACATTGACCTTGAGTAAACTACTAGATATTCTGTTGTCATGTTGAACATGCAATGGCGGAATACTGCTGAATTTTTAAGCACGGGTTTTTTTTCAATGAATGACCAATTACCTTGTGGTGTTGTTATTTGCGTGCACGCCTGTGCATGCACAATATGACCTTATATGATGTCTCAAAATGACCACTTACCTTGTGGTGTTGTTATTTGCGTGCCCACGTGTGCATGCACAATATGACCTTATATGATGTCTCAATATGTAAGAAACAATTGATGAAAACCTGGATGAGCATGTGATCATGCGCACATATGTGTCAAGCATGCTATCCGCATGCAAATGTTCTGTCGGATCGTTTATATTCATAAATTACTTCGACATTCAGCCTCTATTAGTCGGACCATCAAACGAACGATGCCCGCGCGGCATAATTGCGGCGAATCAGCTAGAACGAACTGCATTCGATCGGGTTTGAGCATGAGATCGATAGTAAGATTCAACTGCATTCAGAATCAAAACATGACAATGATGTATCAAGTTACATACACACAGTCCGACATGTGGCAGAGTGGTCGAGGATTGACCCAAGATGAGCGAATGTACATGTGGCTCGCTAGCAGTACAGCTCAAGCAACGACTTCTGATCTGAGTGGAGGTCCATCATGATCAGGTCTTGCCGGACATGAGACGACATGGTCGGTCAAGAATTGGATAGATGGAAGATGAAAGCGCATCGAATCTTGATCCTTCAGGTTGTACACAAAGAGTCCGTTATTCTTGACCCAGGTTGGTTTGCCTTTAGAAGCGACTTGAAGTGTGAGGTTCGCGATGCCTCCGCAGAACTGGATGCAAGAGGGGACCTCGACTTGCCAAAGCCCCAGGCTGCTTGCAAGGAACGCCCTTGAAAACGTACGACCTATGTATTCACCGTCCGTACTTCTGGAACTCCCATTCGCTGTTGTCTGCAAGTATACAACAACAGCAATCCATGTAAGATTGCGAAACTTGCAAGAAGGTGACGAGTTGGCAAGAGCATGGGAGACGAATCTGGCTGAGCATGTCAAGAAAGACTGGCCTTGGAAAAGAGGGAGTTTTTGCAGAAATAAACCTCTCAAGTCAACTCAAGTAACCAAAATTGACAACGGAGAAACATAGACTTTCTTGCAGGAAAAAACCTTTAAAATTGACTCAAGTAACCACAAGCGATAATGGAGGCACTCCAGGACAAGCTTGGGTTTAACTGTTGAACAGAGTGCCAAGCTTCCTCGTTGAAAAAAAGGCCCTAAACTGCTGAAAACCTCAAGGAGCACTCTCAGTATGCACCTATTACAGTTGCACACTTTTCTGACGCGACAGCAACAGTTGCGCTTTGAAGACGTTGCAGCCTGGCTGCTTCAAAGGACAAAACAAAGATCCGCCAGAACGGCGTCAATCAGCATGGGTTGGCGATGTACAAGATAAAGATGAGACTACGGTGCAAAGCAAAAGCATTACTCACCGAGGGGGCAGACTTGCCGCGTCTTCAACCAACGACTGATGCAGTGGAAGTGGAAGGCATGGTTGCAGACTCCTGTACAAAACGGTTCTTGTCAGTCACGAAGTACCTGTTTCAGTAATACTTTTTCGCATAAGGGGACGTGCCAGGCCCAAGCAGATACTGCACTTCATCTTGCAGCGGTTCGGGGACAAGCGTGACCCCTGAACCTTTCAGTCTTGGAAACTTCCAGGGATGGACTCAGCTGCTTTGACAGGCAGTCCACCACTATCCCTGATGTCAGAATCAGTTCCACTGAAACGGACTGTACCCTTTGATTGGGACAGACACACCCTGTACCCGTAAACTATGACCTGCAGGTAGCAGTCCAGACTAAGCACGCAAACAAGCCAATCCAACAAATCCAAACAGATGCTTCTGCAGTCTCGAACACCTACCCCACGCGACTGTGCATTCTTCGCTTGTTGCGCTCGCCTGATTTGCCTGGCACTCGATGCCTGCAAGCAACAAACAGACTGATCAAATCTGGGAGTAAACGGAACCCTCTCGAGACACACTATATATCTAGCTGTTGGAGTTTGTCTGCTGTCTGACACTTCTTCCACAAGGAAACTGGCATTCGGAACGTCGACACCTGACCTAGGTCACAGAGGCTTCAAACACGTGAACAAATGACGATTTGTTCTCAGTCTCAAAAAGCAAACCTGAACCCTTCATATGTTTCCGGAGACCAAAAGATACATGGACACACCATGGCTCCTTGGACAGCGATACTTGAATGAGCCTTAAGATAAGCAAGTTCTGCTTGACCACCCAGCAAGGGCTACAGGGGCCCCTGCTGAGGGCATCCACACAGACTCACATAGATCCATGATGTGGTTTCGGCAGATGGCACAGTTGTCAACCACAATGTCTGCAGATATCAAGCAGGGAACACGTGTCAGCATCAACATCCTTTGGGCATGCCCTTCAGTGGGAAAAGAAACACAAGACCAGGGAGACTGCTGAAAATAGTGGAAACAACAACTCTCAAATTAAGTCATTGCAGCTGGCCAGCTTGGAAACGTACGTGTTGACATTCAACAATTGTATGAAGGTTTGCCAGAAGAGACTCTGATGAATTCTGAACCAGGAGGCAGCTTGAGCCAGCAATTTACTGACGGTGCGCTTTGAAACAAGGTGTAAAAAAGTCCATCAATGCTAGTACATCATAGAATCCAGCTGACAGGAATGACAAGAACTGCTTTCATCGTTGAAGATGCAATTAGATCTCGTCTTCCCAGAATGATTCCCAATTGCTGAACAGTTTTTTTGTGAACAACCCCTACTTGTTGGGAAAAAACTGAATGAAAGAGCGGTTCAATATAAAATTGTTGAAAGTAGGACGAAACTTGAAGAATGTTCCATCGTGCTTCTGTGAACTAGAGGCGACCCTGGCATGCGACATTTTCTGCGTTCAATCATTGCAGGCTCAGTGGAACGGCATAGCAAACACCTACCCCACGCCCAAAGAGCGACAGCGTTCCACTTTTTGATCTCAAACCGCTTCCCCTTTTTTGCAACAGAACCGCTCGCTTCCCCCGAAGGTCCTGCCTCCGACGGCGCAACTTCCATGTCTGTCATGCTTCCCCTAAAAACTTGCTTACAGTTGTGTTGCAGACCTTCAAGAGAAGCTCTTCCGCTCCGGCTTTCTTTTGGCAGGAAAATAGGTAGGCTGCACCTGTCTCCTAGGTAGCAACACTGAGGCGATGAAAGGACAATTGAGGCAGCAAAGGAGCGCTTTAGAGACCAACGGCAGCTATCTTTGTTCCTTCTTTGTTCCCACTAGCAGCTAGCTGACGCTGTGCTCTCCGGCAAGTTTAACTTCAATCGCTCAGTGTGCCTCGATCGAGGAAGTGGTCAGAACATTCTATCACTAGTTTCTAGCCTACCCGTCAAAGGTTTTCACTGGTTCAAAGTGTATCACAATTGAACCATTGTCATATGGGTCCTGAGCCTTTATTCGCACCTAGTTTCGCTGAACCTTCTGCAGACAGCATTCTGTCTAGAGCCTAGAAGAATTCACGCTTCGAGAGCACGAGAAATTAAACTGGTGAGAATCCATTCGTCACTACTAGGTATCCTACAAAGCTTGGCGCTGTTGCTTTCTTGTTCTTTGAACGAGATGAAGATGAAAGATAAGAGCCCCAGGCTATCCAACTGCAATGAGACAAGCTGCTGCTGTGAGACTGTCGAGCGAGTTGATTGTAGAGCAAAGACTGGGGCGTGGTACAACCAACACCTGAACGTCCAATATAGCTCGCATTGACTTTTTCTGGAGTGTGAAACAGGAGAAACTGAGCAGGTGACCGTTAAGAAGGTAGCGCTGACCGCCAATTCTGGGTGCGCTGAGAATACTTTGTCAAAAAGAACCTCAACTCCAAGGATGAGAAAAAGGGAGCGGGAAAACCCGTGCTTTGTGTGCGGTCACTACCACAAGTATGATGAGGGTGAGCCGTGCGGAATCTGCGGCCACCGAGCGGTGGACCCCTCAGAAAGAGGCGAACGGCAGAGCGCTTTCTCAGCAGAGATCCTGCCATCGTTTCTGTACCTAGGCAGTTATGACAACGCCTCCCGAGCAGAGATTCTCAAGGCTCAGGGGATCAGTCACATACTCAATGTGAGTGACACTGCATTTTTTATTCTCAGGCACCGCGTCAATTTCACATACGTTGTCTCAAATTTGTTACACTCTGTGAGCAAGTGCAACTGTCCACGATTTCTACGTTCGTAAGTGCTTCTGTTCTGTGCCTGAACTTTGTCGAACTTGAAACAAAGTTCGCGAGCCCGAAACAAAATATCAAGGCAGCAAGACTGGAAGCATGTGCAAACACCCGGCAGGATTGAGTGGAGTTCATTAAGATTGTCGTCTGCCTGTTTGCGCAGTCCAATAAAATCAGTTGAATGTCAGGCGGTTATCTTGTGAGACTGAGGCAGCTGCCAACATATCAATGTGCGCAGAAACGCAGTGATAGGCGGCGCATGCCGAGCCACTGCTCGGTTCTCATGAACTACAAATCTCTGTGCTTTTGGCGAACTTGTTATTAGGATTGTTATAAGGGTTTTCAATCCATCGATGCCTCTTTGTGGGGGCGTTGGGCTACATGTCTTTATCCACAGCAGAGCGAGTAAGTTACCAAGAACATGAAGAAAGCGCTTCTCGATTGTTAGTCAGAAGTTTGAGTTCGTGATACGTTATGGCAAGCTGCTCAGGTGTGGTGATGGAACAAAGTACCGGACAAATTGGCACTCCTGAGCAAATTTACGTATCACCAAGTCCTTGTGCTTCCACTGAATCTCTATTGAGATCTTTCCAATGTTCTATTCTCCGGCCCGTCCGTAGGAATCGTCAGCACTGCCAAGCCTGTACAATCCATCCCTCGTCCCCACATTCTTCCAACCGCTCGTCCGTTCTCTTCTTCGCAGACAGTAGCCGCTTGCCAAAACTTGTACAAAAACTCGTTCACATATCACACGTTGAAAGAGGGCGACGCGCTCGACTTTGACGAGTGCTTCGAATTCATTGGTGAGCGCTTCCTGATCAACCGCATCAAGAAGTCTACCACCTTGTCTGATAGTTTCTGGTGCGTGAAGCAACTTCCGACGTTGAGCACTTTCGTTTTCTTTCTGCTTGGATCTAATACTGCTGCACTCTGGCACACTTCGGCAGTATACTATGGAAGACTTGCCTTCTTAGTGGAACATTAGAAAGCCGTGTATCTCTGTGAGAAGCTGAAACGCCTTAACCTATGATTCCCGAACTCGTTGAGAGCGGGCTTGCCAAATGCTAATTTGGAAAAGGCTGAGTATTCTCTGTCCTTGCAGAATCGGCTAGGCGAGAAGAAAAGAAGATTCTAGTTCACTGCATGTCTGGGGCAAACCGGTAAGTCGTCACGTCATTGTCGCTCCCTTTGTCAAGTACGCAGAAGACTTCTTTGCCAGATTCCAGTACCTTACGATGTGTTTAGCAAACCCTTGCCACCAACCGTCTTAAGAATCAAGCGGAACGCGGAAGTTTTTTCAAGGCTCTCTTCCGTTCTTTGTAGCTTTTCCTCACCCGACTGTGAAAGTCTCCCGTTGATTGGACTTCTCCGCCTTCGGGACAACGTTGGCGAAACAAGGATTGAAGCTTTGCTGACCGTTCTGAGCCCATAACGGCCCAAAGTCGGGGCTGGAGACCTGCCTCCCGACTTGACCGCCCCGTGTTTTCTACACAAGTGTTACGCCTGATCTGCATGAAGGATAGATTTTCTTGGATAAAAAGAGGAGTCCGGATGAAGACAGAAGGCGGCGTTTCTCGTTTGCTCCGAATGTGTATTGAGGGGTCCTGCAGAGGTGGGGCTGCGCCTCCGGGAGAGAAATACGAAGGCCGAGAGCACAAACTCTGCGAGGCTGACCAGAACTGAGCCAGAACAGTCGTCACAGCTTGCCCAGAACAAAAGCTTTTGTTGCCATAATGGAGTTGCAAAGCGTCCAAATTAAATTGATTGGATTCGTTTGTGCAGGTCACCCTCTTTGGTCATTGCGTACCTGATGCGGCACAAAGGCTGGCGATTGCCCGAGAGTTATCAATGGGTGAAGGACCGGAAACCGGGCGTCAATATCTCCCCAGGTATGCTCCCTCCCCGGGCTGCTTGTCCCTAAAGTAGCCGCGTCGTTTATGTTGCTATTGCATGGTAAAGCGAGGCGTCGGTCGCTTTCACGATATCAATTCTCCAGTTTGGGACAGCCAGTTGAGCGTTGACACAATTGTTGCTCCGGTCTCTTGTGACAATCACAGCGGCTGCTGTGAGAGGCGCAACCAAACCTTGAGCTGCAAGGGACATACAAGATGAAGCGCCGCGTTCGTGTTCGTTCGGATGCTTATCACATTTTCTTCGTCATCAAGCTCTTTGGTGGAAAGATTCGTAATCCAAGGCGTCCGATTGTTGATTGTCGCAGTGGAACGGGTTCACTATGGCAGAGGGGTTCCTCGTCCGTTCCTTTTCTATGTGGTCAAGTCTCGCATCACTACTATCCTTACAAGACTTGTTATTGTGCCTCAGCATCCTCTTTAGCGAGCTGCAGGGCAACGTACCTCGTTGGCCGGGGAGTCTTGACTGGTTGATACCCGTCAGATCGGAGCTTTAAACGTCGTTGAATTGACAAATAATTTCTTGAGCGACCTTTTTTTGGACCTCCAGCTCAGGCCACAAAGTCGAAGTTCGCTTCGTCGTTTCGCAAAGGTTCTGCGGTTGAGCATGCACGTTCTTCGACTTGAAGGAGTCGCGGGGGGCCAGAACAGAGCTGCGGCATTAGAGACACATTTGTGTAGAGCCGTGCGGGCGACTCTCTCATCTCCGATGCTGTCCGTGCAACGGTAGCGGGCCAGCTCCGAGAGATTCCAGGTCGAAGTCACCGATTCTGAGGCCGTTCGTGGACCAATCATCCTATTCGAGACATTTTGTCTATTGCAGCTATGGCGGGCCAGCTTCAGAATTACGAAGTCAAAGTCCATGGTCCCGTCCAAACCCCCCTCCTCAGCAGTCCGACGGGTGGCGTCTCCTTCGGCTTCGGCTTTCCGTCGTTCTCCCCCCCGCAAGCGCCAGCCACGCTCAGTTTTTCCACCTCGCCCGCGCAACAAGGATCCCCATTGTCGTTCGGTGTCCCGGCCGGGGGCCCATTTGTGTTTGGTGCAGGGCAGCAGAGTTCCCCAGGTGCAGATAGGATGGACAGCTCGTAGTATATTAGAAGACTGACTAAACGAGGGGACGTGAAGTGCTCTGCGTACTATCAAGCTAGAACTAGCCATTGTTTCCTTCCCTAAAGGAAACCCCGCCGTTGATAAGACGTGTGCTCATCATATTCGAGGATCAATCTCTCGCAAAGGCTTATGCTCATGCGTCTAGAGGTGCAACAATCCATTGCCGTTATAGCGGGCAACATGCCACATGGATCATATATGTCAATAATTCAATGTACAAGGATGTCTTTTGAATTAGAAGGTCCCACGAAGTCATATGCAACTTTCATACAAGCTCCCGTACTAACTTGTACTGCTTTAGAAACCGCTGTAGACGGCGGGCTTAGACGTACCTGACCTGGTTGTCGCATCCTGTTCCTGGTACTATATCATGACCAACCGCGCTAACTCACGTAACATGCTTCTCAATGGTGATGGCTTCAATATTTTGCAATTATTCGGCATGAGATGTCTGCAAGCCGTTCTGCACTCCGATCCTCATGCGAGTCAGCTGTCGTTCTGTTGTGAGTCGCATATATTCATCGGGTTGGACTGCTTGATGTGTAAAAGGGGGCCGGGGCATGGTAAGTTTAGACGTAGATTGAGCCAGGAAAAGTGCCAGGCAATCAAGGACAAAGTTGATGGCCTGGCCCTCGTGCAACCGCTAGTTTTGTCTACCTCCCGACTCCGGAGAAACGTTCCGATGCAATCCAGAAACGGAAGCCTGGTGGTCACAATATGTATCATGGCCCTGAGCACCGCTATCTGCCGCCGTTCCTATCCGATTCCTGGTCCAGGCCGGCAACAACAACAACAATAACAACAACATATGCATCTTGAATATGTAAAAAGCACTGCGCTGGCCAAGCCAACTCAAAGTCGGGCAGTGAGACAGTGAGCTTGCCACAGCACCTCAATTGTCAACGACACGACCGGAACTTGAGTGTGTGAGTGGCCGTGAAGAGATTTCCACCGCCTGCGAAAGCAGACAAAGCCAATGGCCTCGCACCTAACGTGCTATGCACTGCTCGTGCAGCTCTATGATGGATAGCCCTAGAGGCTGGCGTGACTCCGCTGCAAGCCTGAAGGCCGCTCGACTCTCGAGATATTCTAAGGTATACCGTAGTACGTACGTAGTGTCGTTGACTCGTTGCAGTTGACTGTTGACTTTTCCGGCGAGATAGTGCCCGCGCCAAAGTGCGCCAAACTAGCTCGCCGGAAAAACCCTATCTAGACAAGGCTGTAAGTACGTACCCGTTCAAACTTCAAACCGTACGGCTTGTACATCACCTACAGGTACGGTACCTAATCATTTCTCTCGGCACCACTGTGCCCCCGATTGACAGGTCCGGCGACAACTTAGATTGTGTATGCAGTAGTATGTCGCTCGTTCCCGGGAAGTCCATTCAACGGCCTCGCATGATTGCCTGCACCGGTACGTACCTAGATTCAGTTGAATGCAAATGCCATGTCACACTGACACACTGACACACTGACACACCGACACTCTGAGGTACGGTACGCAAGATGCTGCCGGCCGTTACAGATGGTAGCAAATGTACGCCCGAACTCATGTCTCCAACCGGGGCCGATGCCCAGGGCGGTAATGCGCCGAACTAGGTACCTAGCGAGGTACTTTAAATTGAGGCGCCGGGCACGCGGCCTTGCTGCGGCCGGGCTTTTCCGATCTTAGCTCGAACGCAACTCTGCGATAGCTTATGCACTAAGCCGTGACTGTAAGTTAGGTAAGTAGGTACTACTGTAGGTACGTACCTGGTACCGTAATCCGTGAGTCTCAGGACAAGCTCAGGTTGACTGTTGAGGCTGTGACTCGTGTGACGGTAGGTCTAAGGTACCTACTGTTTGTGTACACTTTCAATCCCCTACAGACTAAGCTCTACCTATAGGTCTACACTGAACAGTACTCGATGCAGTTGGTAGGTAGGTACCTAGGTATCGAATGGGCCAGTCTGCTAGTGTTGAGAGATACCTGTTGCTTGTTGTCAATGTGTACCTGCATCCGAGTCCTTCCTAAAAACTTTGAAGGATGCAGAAGCTTTCCTCGAGTTTCGTTTGAGCCTGTGCCAGCTCATATTCATGCTTCAACTGATCCTAGTCCTTTACTACCTATTTGGTCCCTGTCGCGTCAAACTACTTGCCACTGTACCAAAACGCCCGCTGAGGAGGTCGATCGCGTCAGCATCTTCCAATGGCGACTTGTCGGATCCCTGCACTTCTTACATTGCTGACTGTGGCCGCCCTCAGCCTGTCTAAGGCTGCAGGTAAGCGACACAATGATTGCTACCAGGCTGAGGAGCTGCAATGCAAGGAGAAGGACACAAATCATCATGACAGAACTATGAAATTACGAGTATTTTGATGCAGCTCTGAGAATAGGAGTGTTGCGGCCCAGAGATGGGGCTGACCTTTTTGCTTCATATCTTGACATGGCTCTATCTCTCTTCAATGGCGCTCCCTGCCATGTTGCCGACTCATTTGCATTCCAAGACAATATTAGAGTAGTTGACGGCTGGCTAGACTCCAGTCATTTTAGATTTTCGGAGTACCATTGATTGCAATTATATTGATACAAGCTTGTGTTGAAAATCAGATATAGATTAGTGTATTAACCTGGCCACTTGCTTTTCCAATCATATGAACTTGGTAGGAACACATTGTTTCATGACTGCTCCTTATTCATACCTCCATTGAGCTGCTTTATTGGACCAAGCGCCCCAAAGCACCCCCGCCAACAATGTCCAGACTTCAGGTTCGAGATTGACGTGTTCTTGAGACAATTCTATTAGATCATTTGTGATCATTGTCAATCATTGAACATGTGATCTTCCTCACACCTCCAACCATCAATGAAGCTTGGCGCCTGGCTGTCTAGCGAGGCTCCATATATTGTACTCAGCGTCTGATCCCATGCCCTCAACTCTACTATCACCTTTTACCAGACCTCTGCAGTCTTTGTAGCTCAACTTAGCCAAAACCTATAAAGTAAAGACTTGAGAGATCCTGTAATTCCATCCAATAATGATGTGTTAAGGACTATTTCAACATATTATCACATCATAGAATCTCTTTTATCTTTGACATACTTCTTGTTTGCCTATTCAATCAGGCCAGAGTTGCCCCTCTGCGACTCCCAACACCTGCTTCAATGCCCCGGGTACTGCCTCCATTTGCTGCCCTGGGAGCTGCGGTGCCAGCACGGGCCCCAATGGAATGACCGCCACATGTGCGGGTGCTGCGGTGGGAATAGCCTCACAATCCAGAGCTTCAATGCACATTCCAAGTACTTACATTGGACCAGGCTGCTTGTGAACCTCTCGGCGTTGGTAGAGCCTTGCCAGCTTTTCCACACCAGCTGATTGTAGGGCAGTCAAGTAGATACTAACAGTTCTTTCTTGAAGCTGCTAGTCAGGGCTACACCATCATGATTTTAGAGTTGATCAACATCGTGCGAGCTCTCCCAATTCAAAATTGCACCCCTGAAATAGTGGAAGCTTGAAATGAATCGATTCCTTATTTGACAATTCTGTCTTCAGCTGCAATAAAGCTGCGCTGACCTGACGTTGCCTCTACCTATTGGTACAGACGCCTACCTTATCCAACCGTGCTATTTTCAACTTTACGGAAGCTAACACTAATTGCGAAGGCCAAGCAGCCGCCCCAGGGCAGGGCAACACCTTTGGTGACTGGTGTACTTACATGTAAGCCAGCATGCTTTGAGTCTGCTTCTTTGCATTCTTCGAGGGAAAAGGGGTTGCTTTGCTGTATTTAATGGATTCTTACTCAAAGCTAGCAAGTCTCCATTGTGGTGATCTAGCCAGGCCTTTTGAGTCAGCGGAGACGCGATTGTTTGGTAATGCTGTTCTTTCGAATGTATGGTATTCTGATGACAAACCTAATGCTACTAAACCATAATCTGAGATCGACATTGCGATCATTGATACCAGAAACGATGGTACCATAGGTCAGAGGTCCAAACTGGGTTGATCACGTGGTTCAGACAGCCAGGAATACAACATGAATTGATGGTGACAGTTCCCAATCCTTCAAATAAGCTCAAAAACTTCTGCTTGTGTTCAGCTGGTGCTGATACAGGAAGTCCATGCAAGCTATTTCCTGGTGTGTAATGCACTTGGGTCTCATCAATGGTGAAAGACCCCTTACCCGCTCTTTGACCGAGGAGACGGCAATATCTCCCTGCAGTGCCCCCCTGGTGGATGAGAGCAACAACGTGATCGGGAATACCACTTACTTGATCAGCAACTACCGCACATCGACACCCTCGGGCAACTATTATGAGCTCAACATTGAGACCTTCTTCTTTGGCCCCGACGACTCTGGCAAGACGGACAGCATCAGCATTTATGGAGTCCTGCTAGCTGAGGTGAGGGTTCCTCCTTCGACTCCACAGGGAGCTTCGTGATTTTTGAACCCTTTCTCAACCTTGTGCCTCTGCACATGACAAGGAAGGCCAATGGCCAGAATATGGCGGCCTTCCCTTTTCCTTTGTATTCTCTGTTTTCTTAATTGTCTTTTCGTCTTTTGAGGAGGACACTTTGGCCGTACTTGATCACGAAGAGCATGACGCACTGGATTTGTTTGCAACCTCCTAATAATATTTGCCGTAGGTTTACAGCCCACACTACTCGGCTCGCTTTTACAACATCTTGTGAGTATTTCGGCTGCTGCACCGGCTTTGAGACCTGGGATTGGATTTAGACTCTCCATGATTCCCAAGAGGAACATCGAAGTTGCACAACTCAAAAATCCTTGTTTTGCTTGATCTTAAGCATTTCAAGCTAGCTTCGAGATTGTTGATCAAACCGGGGACGGAAGCACGCAAACGCCGACGGCTCTACTCCTGTACTCTTGTACGTACTTACCGTAACCTACATTTCAGACGCAACTGCCGGCACAGTTCCATCAAGGAACCCGGCTCATTCAGAACGGTCTTCACACGTTCCAAAATCGAGTCAACTTCTGAAAACAGGTCCCAGAGTCCCAAAGGCTTTCAATTTCTTTTGAAAATAGTAGGACTTCTGCACTCTTGAATTCCCTTCCCTACCTGAGACCAGCTCCAGACTGGAAGCTTCTGGAAGTTTCACATTACTTCGCGTATTGATTCCTAGTGTACACCCGTTTCGCAGGAAACAGAGCTGATCGTTCTCGGAGGCACAGGGAAGTACCGTGGAGCCAAGGGATACGTGCTGACCCGGCCGGCTGAGTGTAACGACGCGGGAGATGTTTGCTATTTTCCCAAGGACTTTTTCTTGGTCTAACTAGAATCTCGTTTGTGGACAACTACTGTAGGCACTTTTTGTGTTGGCTGCAGGGTCAAAGAAAATGAGCTGAGACTCTACTTGGAGTTGATGTAACGTACAGGTACGAGTTCTGCGGCTAGTTAATTTCCGACATCTGAGGATGAGGAGCTTACTGGTTCTTTGCCCCGATCCTAGATTGACATGTAAGTTAGCTCTAAGAGGGTAATGGGCTGAATTTCTGAACCATGACTAACCAGGTACGAATTGAGGTCATCTTATCGCGCCGCTTGTGCGCTGATGACGTTCGTCTCAATCAAACCGATTCCCTCTGAAGTTTCGCCACCACATAGATTCGGATACGCCGAGTCGAGAAAGGCATGCTTTCAGGTACTCCTGCCACTTGAATCCGGGACAACGCGTGCAGTAGGGCTTATGATTGCGAGACACTAGTATCTCCGTCCGTGAAATCATCTACGTTAGCGATCACGAAGCCGGCCTGAGTCAGGGCATGTGAGCTGCATAAGCTGAGCAATCACTGAGCTTGGTGGGCCAACTGCGCCGACATGGGGCAACTTATATGAGCAGTGCCTGCACATCATGCATCCCCGGCGCGGCCCATGTTCGATCCACTTTCACGAAACCCGCCTGCCAGGCTGGGTTGCCTCTCCAGCACTTCTTGCTCATGAGCGCTGCCTGACTGGATGCTGTACATCATGCCAAAGCCACTTCACATGAATACATTTGGTTTCCTGATTGCCACTTCAATCACATTCATTCAGTGAGGGCATGGGCGCTTAAACTAACATCACCACGCGGAGTGCAACTCTTCGCGAGCGAAGGGAATTGCCGATCGACCAGATCCAGCTAGGAGGCTGACCGACTCTAGATTGATTGGTCGCTAGGTAGAACCGACTTCACCGTCTGCGTATGTCCCTTTAGGCGATTGGGGCCACGCGGAAACCGATCGCAAAACCCTGCAGATGCGCAGCTGCTGGTGGGCCCGGCCGGTCGGTTGGAAAACGGACACTTTCGGAACTTCCTGGCAAACACTATGTGAGTGGCGGGGCTCAAGGAATGCAAGGGGCAGATCGAGATACGACGGCGCATGAAAGCTTCGTCATCTCTCATCAATTCAATACCTGCCTGCGAAGCCCAAACAAGGGCCGTCTACTCCTCCAATCCTCTCGGAAACTGCTGTTCTATTTCTGCTCTCTCTCACTTCGAAGTTCTTTCGCTGATTATTAACAGTATTTGTCAAAAGACGCTCCTATTTCACAAAGCCACCATCAGCACGTATTACCGGCTCTTCCGCAGATTAGCACGTATCACTGGCCTATGCAGAACTTTCGCTCAGTAAACAAACGTTGTAGTTCTAAGGGACGTTTCGACCCTCGACTGGCCGCAGAACACAGCTCAGCAGCAATCGCGCACCGGTTGAACGCGCGCTCGACTTTGCGCCACCGTTCCCCGACGAAGCTACCGTCCTGCTCCTCTATCCAAGCCACGACCTTCCCGGGATCGTCGAGCAGCCCGTCCAGCGAAGCGTCCGCCTCTAGTTCTCGCTCCTGCCAGAGAACGATCCCGCTCGTCTCGTCCCACTCCGGCCACTTCTCCACTGCCGACCGCTCCCCTAGCCGCGCATACACCGCCGCGCGCAGCGGCCGCGTGATTCCGTGCAGGTTCCCCATCCGCTTATCGGAAGAGCTGCTCGTGCCGCGGCAGATCTCCCCTCCCCGTAGGCTCGGGTTCAGCTTGCACCCGCCGTCCCCGACGCTTTGCCCCGCCCACTTTGCCAGCGTAAAATCAATCTCCCGAGTATGTGCCCGGCTCGTACTACCGGGCGCCGCAAACGCAAGACGAAGCTTCCCGTGCACAATTCCCCAGTTGTTGCACACGCGGACTCGCGGTATGTACCGGAAGAAGTCGCTGTCCTTGCTCAGCACGCAGCTGCCGGGGGCCCCGGCCGCGGCGAGGGCCGCGATGACGTCATCTGCGTCAGCGTCGAGGGGCCGGATGACGCGGATGCCTGCGGTTTCGAGGACGTCCGAGAAGAAGCCGTCGATGCCGAGTACCATGTGCTTGTCTGCGCGGCGAGCCAGAAAGGGTTTTGATTGTATGAAGAAGAGGTTAGAAGCTTGTAGGGAGATGTGCGACATCATCCTTTTGATAGAACAATTCGAGGATTGATTTGCTTGTGCGTATGCAGACTTGTTGCAGATAGGACAGGTCGCTGAACGAAAGCTTTGATTAGCAGAACTAAGCTGTACGAAATTGCCCCGAAAGATCCGAGCAATCCAAGGAGAAAAGAACATCAAAGAGAAACGAGAAGCGATAAAACAACGCATGCTCTGCTTACCTTCTTGACGAATCTCCTTATTCCTGCGGAGCCGCCACTTGGCCTGCGCCTCGGCGGTCTTCGTCGCCGCATCGATGACGGCAACTAGAGCGAGGCCCGAGGCGCGTGCGGCTTTGGCGAACGACATCACGCGCTCTTCCATAGCCCCGAGTTCCCGCCAGGGGTCGCGCCGTGCAGAGAACAGGTTCCAGAACTTGTCCAGCCAGTTTAGAGCGTCCATCACGATCGTCGTCGGTTTGGAAGCGGGGTCCGGGGTCGAGCGATGATTGATGCTGTTTGGGGGAGCTTGCAATGGGATGCTTGCGGTCCCAACCTGCATGACGGGGTCATCAGGTTAACAGTTAATGATGTTTGGCGGTTCGGAGAACATATGAAAGCGTTTTGAGGGTGGAAGAAAAGTTGCCGTGAAGGAAGAGAGTTGGTTCGATTGAAAGCCTGGGTGCCGTCGAGAGCGAAGGTTACCGCAAATGGTGGGTGTGGGGGCAGACTTGCAGACTTGATTGCATGAGATGTGTATCGGGCCTCGGTTAAATACAACAACGGCGTTCTCCAAATGGAGGTCCACAGCTCAGCTCGGCCATTTTGAAGTCAGTTATTTCGTTTCAGTGGCAAGAAGAGAACCAGTTGCAATATGATGCTAATTGTCCCTTATGGACACGTGGTCTCCGCTCTTGACGTAGAATATGAAACTCGGTCAGACTGAAGATGCAAGCTATGATTAGAAGACAGTAGGAGCAGGATCTGCCTCTGTGTTTCCCAGCAAATCGTGGTCTGAAGGGACTCGTCAGTGGGCACACATCACTTCCGCCTGCAGTGACCAAGTTTGAAGTGATACCGGTCATTAGTAGAAGCTAAATGAACCGACCGATATGCCCACTGAGCGTACGAACCTGTGATGTGATTTTTAACCGCGAGGGCAATATCTGAAGCCCTTACAGACGAACTTGACAAGTATACGCAAGTGTAGATGGATGAAGACGTTTCTTTAAGGAGAGACTGTCGTTGTTTGATATTGTCTTGAGCTTTCAATGATTTTTTCCTGATTGTTTATCGCCCAGCTTACAAACCTCTTTGGGAGAGTCCTCCTTTTCTGAGACTCCTTTTGAGAGAAGGCAGCCAGCATGTGGCACTCTCCAGATTGGTCCGTTTTTCCCAGGGAATGGGTCGATTATGCCTGGGCCATCAGTCTGCAAACACCAGAAATATTCATGTAAGTCGATTGCGGATCTCAAACCTGGACTTTAAAGTACTCAAGCTCTTCAATATAGCATGTGTATGTCTGCAGTTCCAGGTGGTCAGCCAGGTCCTAGTTTACATCTCTCGCTTCTCAACAAGACCTTCTGTGCGTTAACTTCACACACGACCAGACGGACTTGAAACTAAGTTTGGCCTTCATCATGTTAGCTGCTCGTCAGTCGCTGTATTTCGAGCGAGCTCCTGTTGTAGAAGAACTGTTACATCCTGACGGAGAGCATCTTTGGCATGAGTAAAAGCACAGTGGGCATGTTCACAACAGATGAAAATGTGCAAGCAGTCAAATGACCAGAGCGTTGCACACTCCCATGCAGAGAGTGGCAATCATAGCCTAGCCCTTAAACCAGGGGCTTCTAATATAGGTAGGAATAGGCGCTTGCAAGTTCCACTTGTATTGAGTTGGTTTTGGATCTGCCAAAATGAGACGTGATGGCATTGACTGCCATTAAGACACACTCACATATACAGGAAGTAAGGCACACACACCTCTCTTTCCTTGCAATTGCTTCACCCACCTGCTCTTCATCGCTTGCTGTCACGCCTTCTTCAAGTCCCTTGCCCTTTGCTCCTGCTTCCATCCCCACATTGGCACCCAAATGTGCGGTACAGTCCACACCACCAATCGGTGCAGCATTCTTCTCCCGCACTGCTCTTGCTGCTGCTTTGGCGTGCTTCTTCCCCAGCTCATGCTGTGTCAGCATCTTCAGACTCGTGCATACGAGCTTGCAGAGGGTGCATTCCCATTGAGCCTCTATTGAGCTGCCGCTCGCGGCCATTCTCCAGTCTTTCTCTTACAGCATTTTGACGCAGGCTCCGTGACTATTCAATGGTGCCAACTTTCTGCTATTCAACCGCCTGCTGCAACGGGGCCGGCTGCGCTCATGAAGCAGGCTGCCCTTGCTATGGAGCGGGCAGCAAAAGTCGCGTGCCATTGAAGCGGTGAACTTGGGGAGGTTCAATCAATGGACCCCAAATGTCCGCTGATCCAGCTATAGAATGTGGTGGCGAGGGGAAAACAGAAGCGGGAGCTAGCAAGCTGGTGAAATCTCTGGCATGCAGAAAGAGCAAAACGCACACGTAGTACACTGACGGCGGATTTGCGAAATGCGGACGCTATGCGGACGATCCTGCAGAACTGTGTACACTGTTACTACACTGTCTACAGTAGGTATACCTAGAGCTCGAGTCCAAACAATGATGGAACTTGGACGTCCGCAAATTAGGGTTCGCACGCAAACCCTAATCCAGCTTCCCAGCCTTGTTGTTGTAAACGAAATTGCTTCAGATTGCAGCTCTAGGTCACCGTACTAGGTGCCTGCATCGTGCGAAACTTGTTTTCTTGACACAGCCATGTATTAAACGTGGCTTCAGAGAATGTTCATGCGGCCAATATCTCCATTCTCAGTGAGAGTCACAACTTATGTTTCAGCTGGACATGTAAGAGGAAGCAATCCAGACAAGAACTGTGCCATGAGAGCATCGAGGCGGCTTTTGCAGCTGCATCTTCAAGGTGTGAGAGAATATCTGCATGAGTCCAATCAGTTCTTTGGAAGTCTGTTGTGAGGTCAAGGGCATCAACTATCAAAATAGCATTGGGAGCAAGTGCAGCTAGCACAAGCTTCGTAGGCGCCAACTGATTGCGTGCCAGATCAGCGGACTCTGGCTGACCTGATATCTGCAAAATGGAGCCAGCACAAAGAGGAAAGAGCGGGTATCTGCAGATGCATGTGCAAAGCACTATGGCGAAGAAGGTGAGCTCGATGAGTTACTGTCAGCCAGGGCGTCAGCTCACAGAAATTGTCTTCTTGAGAGGAGGGACTAACTTTTAGCGATGGACGCAGATTGGAGCAATGAACTTGTACTTGTGCAAGAAGTGGTAAACTGACCCATAATCGTTTGGGCTTTTTCTTGTGGGTTTTTACAACGAAGTCTGACGTTGACCAACTTATATTACCTTCCGCTGGAATTCAAGAGAGCAAATCACCATGTGTGGTGGTGAAAACCCACATCATGACTGCAATTTCAAAATCACTCTTATCCACAAATATGAAGGCTCAGCCCCCTGGTACATTGAGGGCAGCTTTTGAATGACTGCAGTGCCACTTGATACAACAGCTTTGGAAAGGAACTATTTCCAGCACCATGGGTCAGCAGCACGTGAACACTAGATTAGCTGCTTCAGCACATGCAATTGTCACAGAGAGGGAGGCTGGGGCAGCTTACCAGAGTGTTGTTTTCTGATCCTCAGTTTTGTGACGTTAGCAGACATGCGACCTTGTCAAGAACTGGGAGAGTCCACTGGAACTTTTGGGAGGCACAGAAACTTTTTAGAATACAGAAGACAGGAGAGGCACTGTCAAACGGGACTGAGAAAGAGAAGTGCGTTCAGCGCCATCTTCCAAAGAGCCTGTAAATGATAGCTATGTCAACATGTGCGGGCTCCCATTATGCAGTCTGGGAAGCTGGGGCGAGGCTTACTTGAGACAGGCGGGCTGGGTGGCATGGAAGCGTACGTTGCGCACCTGGAGCGTCAACTTTCAAAGTCGGGGGCGGCAGTGGGGGGAGGCGGTGCGGACCGTTTAGGAGCCTTAGAGGCTGGTCGGAAGCAAATGGAGGAGAAGATGGCACAGTGCTTTGAGCAGCTGCAAGGGACACAAGTGAGTCGGGACCTTCTCGTTGAGGAACCTTTTAAGACAAGCGTATGTCTTCCTCGCTGCTTCAAGCTGTTGATGTCAGTGTTTTGCCGCCCAACATAGAAACAAACAGAAGCGACAACCTCAGAAACATTCACTCAAAACATCTTGAGACCAGGAAGGAGATTGCACTCGTGTTGCACTCATGTGATTTTTTTTGACACGGAATCCCTTAAGACGCGGAATCCTGTAAGGATGGTGCTTCTTGAACACATAACCGTCGGCCATATCCACTATGCACAAACGAGCTTTTGCTCCTATGATTTTCAAAGCCAATTGTTTTCATCGCAATAACGGTTCGATTATTTACTGCCTGTGCTTTGCACATACCTGGTCAAAGTTCATCAAGAGTCCAAACTAATCACCTAGCGAACAGATCTCCATTGAGTGACCAGTAGCTTGACGATCTGCACAGGATTCATTCTATGTACTAAGGCTCACGAAAACAATAAAAATCCTTTCCTTCAGGACTTCGGTGAGGAGTTGGCCAGAGACACCCATGCCCGCTTTGAGCACGCTCAGGGCCGCACACAGCGGTGTGAACGGGCCCTAAAGACGGTTTACCACGACATGCCTCGTTCCGACAAGCTCGAGGCGCTGGTTCGGGCGCTCGTAGAAAAGGAGAGCCGAGAAACGGACCGGCGGTTGGTGCAATTGGTCGACCTGAGATATAAACAGCTCGAGGAGATGTTTGAAAGGGGGGATGGGGGAAGTGGGGAGGTTGAACCGGAAAGAGAGGAGGGCAGTTCACAATTGAGGGGAACAGGACGTTTGAAGGGAAGTCCCAAAGGCGAAAAGGTGGGGGAAAGAGTCCGAAGAAGGAAACAAAGGGAAACCAGATCTGCGGGGGATGGCTCGAGGGCAGCGAACGGAGAGAGACGAGCGAATCGGAGAGCGGAATTGTTTCCGGGGACGACAAAACTGGCCCCAGAAGGACAACTTGAAGACGAGCTTGCAGATTTAGAAAGAAGAGATACGCAACATTATGTCGACTGCCAGAACGAACGGTGCGAACAGACTCACAGACGTGGAATGAACGAGTGTTGTTGTCAGCACGGCCGTCGGGAGGGAAACGGGGGGAGGGAACTAGGGGCGGCGGAGTTTGAGGAGCGCATCAGAGATGCGGTCGAGGCGGCGCTCGCTAGCAGGCTCGCCGCAAGCGATCACGCAGAAACGGCGGCACAAGAAGTAGAACCGGCTCGTGCCGCCAGCGAAGAGCCGACGGTCGGAGGAGCTGATTCTCAAGGACGGTATAGAAAAATGTCAGGAAAAGCGAACGTTGCAGGGGGAAAGAACGAGGGGGTGGTTGGGGATTGGGGCGCTGTCGATAGAGCGGAGGTTCACGGGGAAGGAACTGAAGGGGCGCGTTCTGATGAGCTGGAGGCGGCAGTCGCGACACACCGGAGGGAAAATGCGAATTTGCAAAGGTGAGAGGAGCGAGAGGTTCTTGTGCGAGAAAACGGACCAAAGTTCGGTCGCCCCTCGTTGAAGATCTTAGCGCAGAGTTTAGTGGCTGGCCATTGGATTAGTTACCTGATCTCGAGGCAGCTCTGCCAGATTCAGCGAACAAAGCGCCGACCATACGTTTCACTGTTGTGTCTTCACAGCTCCTTCGTAGGCGCCCCATGTGCGTTGTCGGAAAGAGGGCCCCGAGCGAGCACCCATTCTTTCTCATTTCTTGCAAGCAATCCTCCTGACACGGTACTTCGGTTACTTACAGACCACTATGCTGTCTTCAGCAAAAGCACGAAAGGAGATATACATTGGTTGAACCCTGAGTCCTTTCGAATTCCCGTACAATAGTTCTATTCGACGTCTGCCAGTAAAGTCGGCACTCTAATTGACCGGAGCGAATCTTCCCTGGTATACGTCGGCGGCACAATACCTTCCAGTCAGTCCCGTGATGACGAGTGCTTGTATCTATCTGGACCCCTCATATTCTGACGTCTTCGTCCGCTTAGACAGTATGTGAGCCACCTGCTGTCAAAGAATCCTGTTGATGTTTTCCCTACTTTCCCGTGTCGAGCCGGGACATTGTCGATCCAAATTGTGTCCACCTTTTGCCTGCTCCCTACTACAGTTTCCGGGTGTCGACAGCCGCACAAGCAGTCGAAACGGAGAGGCTTTCTCGAGAACTGTCCGAACAGGCAGCCTCGCTCGCAAAGCTATCCGGCGGAACCCAACGGCTGACATCGCTAGAGGCCGCTGTTGAGGGCGTCAACGGGAGCATCCAACGGCTCTCGTCGCTCGAGACCTTCGTGGAGAAGCTTGGCGGGAGCATCCAACGGCTGCCGTCGCGCGAAGATGCGATTGGACGGACGACGGCGCGGATCGAGCAGCTGGTGGCAGCGTGTGGGAAAGAGAGTGGAGCTCCGACAGCGAAGCAAGAGAAGGTACGCGGGCTGTTCTTGTCGCTTCCCGTGGTTTCTGGCTGACTTTGTGACATGATTCTGGTCTCAAATATCCCCCTTTTTTCCACGGCATTTCGCGTCTGATGGCGAGTGCGAGAAGACGACCGTGGTGCCGCCTCTCAGTGTTCGCAGCTATTCGAACTTATCGGTACAAGCCTCTCCGATTACGTTCGCCCAATTGAAGCATCTAGATGACCTGCTTCATGTGGCCGGAACCCACTTCCCACCAGAACGGTGTTAAAACGGACTTCCAAAAGACGAGGAAACAGCGCAGATTTATATGTGCAACATGCATACGCTGATAAGCGCTTCAACAGCCACGGTCTCCAAGGAAAAGTATCCGTCTACCGCCCGACTCAACCAAACGCCTGCCGCTACTACGCTAACACGCGAAGACGCCGTTTTGTGCCAGTGCGTCCCTTTTTCGTGCAAGCACATTTCGTGCAACCGCATTACCATGGTGTTACTCTCCGCCCAGTGTCGCCAGAATGCCTTCGCTCAGGACGCACAGCGGGAGTTGCTGAGTTTGTCCCCCTCTTCTCGGATTCCCCTCCTTTTTCTGCGTTTCTCCTTTCTCGTACTTGCTTTTGTTCATACATCTAGTGTCTGGCAATGATCCCGGAATAAAACTCATTGTTGTGACTTGCAGAATGCCGCCACTCTGCGCGAGCACGCCGGCGTTCTTGCCCAACTCCAGGCACGGGTCGATGACGTCAGCACCCTCGTCCTGAACGGGACACGTGGCGGGCATCCGGACGTCCGTCGCAGCGCGCCGCCGCCGTCCGGTCTTTTGGCTCGTCCGGAGGTTGACGAGAAGCACGCGGTTGAGAAGCGGGTGGTTGGAGGAGTAGGGGGACACATAAGCGCTGGTCAGAACAGGATTTACGACAATTTGGAAAGCTTGCAAAGGTCGAAAATCAACGGGAATTTGGGTAATGAGAGTCCGATGTTCCAAGGAGTAACGGCGAAAGAGGCGGAAGATGTGGCGGGTTTGGAAGGGTTCGGACAGCTGACTAGGCCGAGCTTAGGATCGGATTCGGAGGATCGGACACCTCTGGAAACTTCGAGTAGCCGAAGCCCTCGGTCTTCGCCCAGACTCCGGGCATCCACAACAGCTCACGTGCGTTTCGGAGATTCGTTCGAATCTTTCGAGAAGCCTTTGAACGCCAAAGCCGGTATGAGTGGACGTGTGAAGCAAAAGTCAGAAAGCCTTTCTGAGGACGAGTGTTTTGCGGGGTCCCTTTGGGCGGTGACGCAAGCAGACGCGCCTTCAGGGTCGCTGCGTCCGCCAGAGATCGGCTCGTCGAAGGGCGCCAGCCTTGCTTCCATAATGCACAGATTCGAGGCGGATAAGATGCTGCTGACGGAAGAACGGTTGCAAAGCGGCGCCGGAACGGGACACGTGGACGCGAACGGAGGCAATTGGGGGTTGGCGGGAAAGGATGAGGGGTCCGCTTACGCGCGAGCGCTCGCCAAAACGGAGGAACGGAAACGGAGACTGGATAAGGTGACGCGCTGATCCCCCCGGCAAATGCATGACGCGTTCATTTCCAACGTTGCGTGTTACTGGCCCTTTCACCTTGCTCGTATGGGTGAAAGGGCTTCCAACCAAGCTTCGACCAGGTATCGTTGATAAAATCTTTTCCGTGTGTGGTTTTCGCTGCGCAGTCGGGCTGTGGATTACTCGCAGGAAGGCCTGGCCGCAAGAATCCGCTCTGAGTAAACGTTTAAGGTTTGCTCCTTTCATCAAGTGTAGCAGCGGATCCAAAGACTCTTCTTTTGCTGCCGTATTTGGACACCTTTGGAAAAGAGCCGCCCACCTGTGTTCTTTGCAAGGTTTTGCGACGCTTGAACCGTTATTGCGCAATTGACCCTTTCTGACTTGAGCCTCTTCCTTGCGTATGCAGTTATACCGGAAACTGGCGAGTACTCCTGTACCCTGCTCGTAGAATTACAACGTACACGGGCTGATATATCACGAACTCTGGACGCGGAATCGGATCTGCGATTTGCAACTCGGTCCATCTCTATATTCTTGAAGTACTCTTTCCATCAGAATCTGACTAGCATTATGTACTTGTCTTCACAATTGGATTGTCGCCATGTATGCTCTACCGGTGACTTCGATTCTCGCAGAGTCCAGCAGCCGTAATAATCGGGGCGGCAGAAGTCACTCTCATTTCGATGCAAATCAAATGATATCGACATGCTGCTATGCTGAAATAAAAGCAGTCGTCAGACACGCATAAGGGGCAGGTGCCCCACCGAGACGCCATGCGGCCGGGGGAGAGATGAGACGAAGCGCTACTTTCAGTGTCCTATTAGTACGGATATATATTATAAAAAAGGATGTCTCGAATTGGTTTTTTATAAAGAAAGCAATCGCAGGCTAGAGCAATTCTAAAAGATGAGGCTTTCCATGCCGTGGCAATCCGACCTTTGCCTCGGGTCTCAATGATACCTGTGAGTTGTAGACACGCGCGACCCTGACTGGAGCTTCTCTTCGTAACTGTTCCACCAGAGAGTCGGTACCTGATTCTCATAAGCCATGGTGCTTCCAGAGCAATCTTGAGCGTCGATGCAAATCAACTTAGGATGCACGACCTTGCAAGTGCCCTGTCAGGTTCACGTCGATAAATCGACGAAGCAGATGAGAGTGTTACTGTCTCAATCATCTCTCTTGGTCTCTGGATTTTCAGGAGAATGAGGCTGACCCGAAGCAGGAAAAAGAGTCTGACACTCAAGCTCCAAAGATCCCGTTCCACGTGTATGCCAGGCGGGAGCTTGCTAAGTCCGCATGTGTTCGTCTTTGTAGAACCCGGAGCGCCTCAATGTCAATGACAATGGGCCTGCTGCAAGAACCTGCTCGAAGCATTGGATCACGGGCTGTTTCGACGTCTTTGATCTGGAAGAGGTTCTCCTTCGCAAACTTCTCAAGGTGTCTTTGATACTGTTCGAGCCCTTCGGCCTATTACCTGTCTGGTGGATGTTTGACTTGTCGTCGACTCCGCAGGACATTTTGGTGTAAGCAGCCCGACAAAAGGAGTTGAAAGTTTGATACAAGCAGGTTCCTGGGTCGCACCCAATGTCAAATGGAGAATGGTAACCAAAGCGGAAGAACCCTGTCGACTCGGTGCACTCGAGCGTGCATCAGACTTGGGACGAAGAGATGAAAATCGAGCGTTGCTTAGAGGGGTCCCTATTTCCTGGCGGCAATGCACGAGTCTGGGCTTCGCTAGCACGCAGAGAGCTGGAAGTAAGAGTGAAGCCGCGACTTGAACAACTTGTTGACTTTTGCTCGACTCGAAGTAGGGGCCAGCTTACTGCTGAGAAAATCCGGAAAACTCAAAATTGTGGGAGTACAGCAAAGGCAGTGCGGCGTGCCTCTATGCTGCATGGCTATTGGAGAGCGCCTTCCTTATGTTATTATGAGCATCAAAGTTGTCACCCTGGCAAAATGGCATCTGGCCGCCGCCCATCGCGGTTGTTCGACTCTGCATACTTACTGAATGTTGCATGAGCCTGCGGCCGTTACTGGTTTTGTGCTGTCGACGTTCTGAGCATTTTGATTGCACGGTCTGATTGCTGTATCGTTCAACAAAAAAATGCGTGCTAATTCCGTTGCGCTGCTGGAATTTACGTGGAACTAATATCTGCTTTCCGGTCGAGCGCAAGAGTTTAATATGAGCGTCTGGTTACGAGCTGTTTGCAGTCCCCTACGTGCTGAGGTCCAGGGAGCTTGTTCTCGGAACCTCCTATTTTGGATGAACTTACCTGCGCATTACAAGGCAAAAAAACTCACCCGCGAAAAGGTCAAAAACTGGGGGAAACCGGTCAGAACGCTTCCAAGCCATCAACCGCCGGCGGAATGAGCCGGCGGGACGTTCATCAGGCAGTGGCCTCTCCCGACTGGTCGGGGGAAGCCACGCAGGTATTCGCGCTCAGGCATGGAAGGCTTATCTCACCATCCCGGTTGAGGAGTTTGTCAGTGTTGGAGAACACAGACAGGGTGTACGAACTATAGAACAGATCCTGTTCAAGTACAGTCGTGCTAGTCAGGGAGGAATCCGGATTTATAAATGGTCTCGTAGCAATTTTGGCTCACTGTGGGCGGACGAATACCTGTAAGCCGTCGGATGAGTCGATCGACGGTGCTCCAGGCCGCCGGGGAAGTTGAAACACTGACCGTCACTTGCGCGGCCCCGACTGCGACTTACCGTATTGACAAACCGTCGTCCCGCCGCCGGAGTGGGCCGACGCCGGACTCAAGTTCGTCGTACCAGCGCGCAGCGCAGTCATGCATATAGGGGGTAGCGCAATTTACCTGTACGTACGGCATTACAGTACAGCAACATCCTTTCTCACGCTTCGGTGGTTCATCGCTCAAACGTTTTCATGTATGAATCCAGCAGCGCACCCGGGGTGCAATATAGCTAGTCACTCCATATATGCAGGCGGTTGCATGGCCGTACATAGAAAATTGCGCCGTACCAAAACTTGTTTACTAAGCTTGCTTGCACTAGCGAGTGGCATCAAATGTCTCTTATCGACACGTGCACAACGCATGCTGCACAACGTCACACATGCATACTAACAGCTGGCCTCCCAGCCATGCGGTAGGGTACTCAATAGTACCTGAATCCGGCCTTACATGCAAGAGAACGACACCCCTTGTGGAAATTCTCAGATAGATGTTTTGAGTCACTTGTGTCGGAAACCTGATGTTTACAGATCTTCATACTTGTATACGTGGCGTATGCACAAATGCCCTTAATTCACAATTGTGACGTGCCGAAACTTTTCCCATTGATTATAGAAGCATATGATCTGAGATTGCACAGGCTTCCGTTCCGTTTTGCGCGGAGATTATCATGGAAATATACCAATCTAGTTTCGATTTGCTGCTGCAGCAGCAAGCCTGCATGCATGCCAGATGCATACGACTACGCAAAGACGACGGCCTGAATCCCGCCGAATGCATGTGGCTGCACAGGCTTAATAAATGAAGCATGACTTGTTTCTTGGTTCCACATGCCGTCGTGAGGGACATTTACGGCTATAACACCGAAGCAGACGTGCTTGAGTCGTACATCAGAACTTTTCTTGAGCAGACCGGACTATACTCTACCGAAACCTAGTCACTATACCTGGATACGGACTCGAAAACTTCGCCGCTAAAATAATGGGGGCTTAAGCATAATACCTTCAGCCTGTTCTCAACGATACCTAGTCGAAACGAAGATATGCGATCAAACCTCATGCCGCAAACAATTGCTGATCGTAAAAGACGGGCTAGCAAGCTAACGAAGCAAAGGAGCCTAGTCGTCATTTCTGTCCTGCTATTACAGCCTTGCGATATAGCGCGAGGTACTCCTCTGAGGGCCCGTCCCAACCCCAGTCCATCCGCATCGCCTTCTGCACGAGCTTTTGCCAGAATTCGGGCTGCTCCCAGTAGTAGTCGAAGGCACGGTCCAACGCATAGTTGAGACCCTGTAGGAAACCACAATGTGCTCAAGCATACAATGCAGAGGCCGAGAAGGTTAATCAAGCAAGTCTGGAGCCGCGTTGCTGCAATTTGCGGTGCCTTTCTGAAAAGCACAAAAATATGCGTATCCTTACTGTGGCAGAAGAGAGAACCACCAACACGAGAATCATGTCTTTGAAAGGTAGTCGGGCAGGCCGCCAAACTTTGACACAACAGACCGACTCAATTGCACAAACCTTGCACGAGTGCTTTTTTCCGCACGTTGCAACACGGCGCCAGAAGGCGGCCCTTCTGGCTCAAAGCTTTGCGAAAAGAAGTTCCACTTAATATCTCGTCACATAAGCACGTGTCTTCTCGTTGAATCACTTTCCAAGTCAAGAGGACGTCTGCTTCCTCGCAGGAAGGTCCAATCGTCGGGTAAGACAGACGTAGACATGCCTCTGAAGTCAATTGGTCGAACCATTCCTTTTGGTTTCTAAAGAGCTGAGATATCGAGCGACAGAGGTTGGTACCACGTACCGCCTCATCGGTGGCGGTGAAGCAGAAGCCGTTCTTCTTGTGCTCCGCCACAGTCCCATCGTCGACGTCAAACACGCTGCTCACAAGAGAGGGGCGCGTAAGAACTCTGAAAGGTCTGCTTAGTCCATGTGAAAGGGCGTCAGTGCTCGGAAGAAGCTCGCTCAGAAAGTGTTCATAAGCAAAGACAGAGTCAGTGAGCTGATTCAGCCTGCTTCGCACAGATTACGGTGGCGACAGGGGCGGGCGAAAGATTGTGAACACGGGGGCGAGTGTCGATTGAGAGTCGTCCTCGGGAAATTTGTGACTTCTCGAGCACGGAGAAAAGGGATTACTTCGTAGATCCAGGGCTATGCAAGAGGCTCCACTTGGAACCGTCACGTTTCGTCTTGGATCCTGATGCGAGATGCCTTTCTGTCCTTGAGAGAGCTTTTGTTAAGGTTGGGAACGAAAGGGTCTGATGAGGTTTGGATGACTAAGCACTTGGTGCTTTGCTCCGCTCACCTGTCGTTCAGGCCGCCAGTTTTCCGGGCAATAGGGATGGCCCCGTACCGCATAGCAATGAGCTGCGTGAGAGAAGACACCGTGAGGTTTCCGGTACGGGAGAAGCGAAGGAACACGCATCATGCACGGACCATGTTCAGTAGAACAGCACAAACCTACTGGGCTTTCGTTGACAGGTTGTCAGAAACGGCTGCCGTTATACACCGGGGACGAGAAAAAGAGAGCTTCAGAAGTAGATTGAGAAAAGCAAATCCACTGTCAGATTCCAGACCCTTTACACGAGCCCGCATTTCACAAGCAGCGCCCATTTTGTCCGCACCAGCTTGCATCGTGGAAGACCAGAGAGCTCGGCTGCGGATAGAGTCCGAGCAGCTCAGCTGCAACAATCCTCTGAACCTAGTAAACTAACGCCAACCTTCCGTTGACACCACCCCGCAGCATGCATTCAAGGGCCATTCTGTGCTGCGCAAAGTTGTGTAAGAGCGCAGAACGCGGATGCATAAGGGTTCGGACGTAAGTTGCATCAGCGAACCCTTCGACAGACTCTCCTGCACGTACTAACAGGGCAGTCTGCGGGAACGTACCCGTGTTTAGCCTCAGGGTTCGATTAGAGATGGGTTTTGACCAAGGAGCTGATCAGCCGGATTTTTTGACACACGCTGCGGAATGTACGAAACAGGCCAGTCTGCACGGACTCAATTACAGAGCGCAGGGCTCGATTACAGACGGGTTTTACCCGAGGAGAGGAGCTGACGAGCCGACCTTTTGACAGACTTTGCTGAACAGCCAGACCGTGGGGACGTACCTGTGTTAAGCCGCAGGGCTCGAACATGGAGGGAATGACGAACATGTCGGAGGCGGAGTAGATCATGTGCGACAGCGCCTCGTCGTACTTGAGCACCAGCCGCACGTGCGGGCTGCGGTCGAAGTGCCGCGCGATACCCTCGAAGTCGCGCTGCGAAATTCGAGTTCCAAGGTTCGGGAGCAATTTGACCTCAGTTCTCTAAGGACAAGTGCTCGAAAGGTCCTGCTGGAAGGCACGATGCTTCAAACCTGTGCTGCCTGGGGCCGTAGACAAGCTTCCAACCTAGGTGAAGATCAGGGGTTGTTTTCGTCGGATCTGGGGGCAATTCCTAGAAAGCTCAAGATTCCGAGCAGCTGGGCTGCGTAGAGGATATCGGATTTTGTTTCTGATTTCTGGGCTTCAGTTTCCTTTCTAACCTTGCTTTGAAAGGATCTTAGAGTCACGTAAAGACGACTCTCCTATAGCATTCCTGAATTTTGAGTGGTGCAACGCTTTTCACCCGGAAGTGCAGGGGATCCAGGTATCAGAAGCGAGGTGCCCTAGTATCCATGAATGCGAGTTGCATAAGCCAACTGGGCAGCCGCAAAGACTCTTCTGCGCCGCCCAAGTGCGTCGACGAATATTTCTATTTCTCGGGACGACAAGCTCATGTACGTCCACAACACCAGAAGTACTGTCTTCCCGAACGTCGCTGGCACTGCTGACTTCCTAGGCGCATATTGTTTCCGGCACGGGGTTGTTACCGAAACAGACCGGTGGCCGGTTTCTAGGCGCCTCCGAAGTGCACTTGGGCACGGGGCTGGTCACCGGGCACGGTGTGCCTGCCGGCTCACCTGTATACTGGGCACGGGGCTGTTCCCCAGGAGGATGAACTGGCCGCCCATCTCGAGCGTTCGGTAGATGGCGTGCCGGATGAGGTGCACCCCTTTCTGGGGCACTAGCCGGGTCACGCAGCCAACCTGGGAACAATGAAGGAATTCCGTATGAAGCTAGTTGGTCTCAGGAGGTAGAAATGTCCCAGGGTTTTGCGGAGCTCAAAACGCCACAGGTTTCGGTTAAGTGGGTTCTAAGTCACAACCCCAACAGCGGGTTATGCCTTGCAGAGGATGAGTAAAAGGGAGGAAGAAGAAATGCAGGATCAACGGTTAGATTGCAACACCTTGGTTTCTAGGGATCTTGTGACGGCAGCAAATGAACCGGAGAACAACCAATGGACAGTGACGTCCATTGGTGCAAAGCTCTGGGAGATCATCAAGTAGACATTCTTCCCCCACAATCATGATCCAACATGCCTACCCCCCAGGCTTCATATTACGACGCACTTTTCATCCCAATCCGCCCAACGCTGGCCCCGTCTAAACCATTTTTAAACCTTGCGGGGCCCAACTACCCGGGGCCCCTAAAATCCATTCTCAACCCCGCTTCACCCCAGCCTAGAATGACTCCAACCCCCACAAACCCAGCCTTAAACCGCTTCACCCCCGCCCGAAATCCTTACCAGCGGCCGCCCCTCGTCGTCGCCTTCCGTGCTCAGCCCCAGCTTCTGGCGCAGTGCGTACTTGTTTGCATATTTGCTGTCCACGTTCTCTGCACTATATTGAAACTCGAGCAGGGGGTCGGTAGCCGGGTCCCAGGCGTCGTTGTCAATGCCGTTGAGCACGCCCGAGAACTTGGCGCGGTGCTGGAGGAGGGTCGGGTGGAGGCCCCGGCCGCCCTGGCGGAAAACGAAGTTTCGTTAAACGACCATAACACCATCGGGATTAGATTCATCAACGCCCCGGATTCAAACGAAGCCGACCAGACTTATCAGTGGGGGGGCATGCGCTCACACAAAGATAAGTACGCCCGAGAACTTGGCGCGGTGCTGGAGAAGGGTCGGGTGGAGGCCCCGACCACCCTGGGGGAAGAGCACAATCTCATTAAGAATGGACAATATCTGGACAGCTTCTTGTCCATTTAGAGAGATGAAAGATGAGACAGATGAGAGCATCGAGCACGCCCGAGAACTTGGCGCGGTGGAGATGTTATGTTAGAAACCTGATATGTTATGCTAAATATCTTCGCTTTATTTCGTGGGGAGGGAAATCAGCACGCCCAAACAATCTGGCACTGTGTTCCCGGGTGGACGCCCTGAAGGAAGCGGCAGCTTCGTTAAGCGAAAAAACAATCTTTCGAGATTTACCTTCATTAACGTGCCGAAGCGAAACAAAACGCTCCAGATTCCTGTGCGGTAACCGCACTCGCTTACAGAAAGATGAGCAAGCTCGGAGACTAAGATCTGTGCTGAAGGAGGGCCGGTAGAGGCCCCAGCTAAGAAAAACTTCCATCAATCGATATAACAAATTGTTTGTATCATTTCCCATCCAGGAAATGATCATGACGCCCAGAGATGTGGCACTGCCCGAAAAGGGTCAGGTGGACCTGGCCGCCGTGAGGGTAAAAGTTCCGTCCAGAGACTGACGCTTTGCACGATTTTTGCTTCTTCTTTACAAGATCAGGGCAGCAGCAGCAAAGCGACGGACAGTATGCCTCGCCCGCAGACAAAAGGACTGACCGGTGTACAATCGCGTCGCACCCTTTGCAGCTGACCGGTGCTTGTCAATAGTCTGAAGCGGTTTCCAATCAGCTTCAGTCGTAGCCCTTCCTCCAAAGCGGTACCGAAACAATGGCAAACAAGCCAGCCCCATTGCTTCTTAGTGTAAGGACGGGATTTGTGCGAACCTCCGGCACCAGTACCTCCTGCGATTACGTCGGCGACCTTTGCAACGAACCAAATCTTTCACCGACCGGTTAAGGACCGCGTCCGATCTTAGCACCTCCCCCGAAACGGCGGCAAAAGCACCCCCCTAGAACGCGTTTCCCCCTCACCTCCGGCCCGAGCACCTCCCGCGAGTACGTCGGCGAGACCGTCGTGACCACGTTCGAGAATACGATGCCCCCCTTGAGCAGGTTAATCCGGTCCAGCATGAAGTTGTCCTGCATCCGGTCCGGCCGGTAATATTCCCGCCAGTCGAGTCCGGCGGACGACAAAGCGGCGGGGGCGTCGGTTCCCTGGTACTCGAAATTGTGACACGTGAAGGCGACCTGGGTGGTGTCCATGCCCCGGGGGGCGTATACGTCCCAAAACAGGGGGGCCTGCAGACCGGGGAAATGACACAGGGTTTGAGAGGAGGAGGGAAGGAGAGGAGATTTCGAGCTCTTGAGGGGCGACTCTTGAGTCCTGGCGCTCAGAAGTTGTGGCACGTGAAGGCGGCCTGGGTGGTGTCCGTACTGCGTGGGACGTACACGTCCCAGAAGAGGGGGGGCCCGCAGACCGGGGGAATGACACCGAATTTGAGAGGAGAAGGGGGTGAGAGGAGTTGCTGTGCTTCTGAGGGGCGTCGAAATCGCGACACATGAAAGCGAACTGGATGGTATTCTGTCCCCGGGGGGGCGCACATGTCCCAGAACGAGGCCCCCTGCAGACTGGCAGGACAAACCGCGATTGCGGGAAGAAAGGAGGAGAGAGGACGTTGTGCTTTTGAGATGGGATGTGGGTGACGTCTGAGCGGTGGCGCTCGGGAGAGGACGGTAGGGGGCGACATGACGATGAAATGTAAAGTGTAAGACAGGGGGGCATGCAGACCTGGAAATGACATGCGGTTGCAGGAGGAGAAACGGGTTTTCCCCTTGCACCCCCCCACCCCCGACACGCGAGGATGGGGGGGTTCACCTTTCCCCCCTGCACCCTCTGGATTGTCGCCCCCATTTCGTTGATGGCGCTTAGGAAGGAAGGCATCAGACGACTGAAAGATGAAGCACGAAGTGTTCGAACCGGGGGGCCTTGGAGAATGGGAAGTACCTCAAGTCGCAGAAACGGCAATCTCCTCGAACTGGGAGGTTAACCAAGAATGGCCCGACACATGAGCTTGAGGTGCAGAGAAAGGGCGAGCTTCTGAGGAGGGGAATTGTTCGCCATTCCGGGCAGAAAAGACGCAACACCTTTCACCACCGGTAGGAGCGAGGGAATGCTTCTTGCCAACGGGCTGAAGTCAAGGTAAGCTGCCGCCGGAATTTTCCCAGGAAGAGCAAAGCCCAACATCATCCAACGGCACGTGACAGAAAAGAGATCCACAGAAAGGATCGCTCACCACGAGCGCGGTCTGCCAGTCGTGGCAGTGGATGACGTCAGGCTTCTTCCCGGCCTTGTGGATGAACTCCAGCGCCGCGCGGCAGAAGTAGGTGAAGCGCTTGAAGTCGTCCGCCTCGCCGTAGAACGCGTTGCGCCAAAAGAAGCGGCCCGGGTGGTGCGGCTCGATGAAGTACACGGGCAGCCCTGGAATATCCATCGATGAGCTTTTCAACATGTCTCCAGTATTTTATATCTTCAACAAATAGATGTTAATCGAAATTGGCTTGCAATACACGAAGCTTGACCAAGCTTTTTCTCCCCTAGAAAAAGCTTCCAAGGTGGGCAATTGGGAAGCGCCGCCAATGCGGAGCGAAATGAAGTGCCTAGGAAGCAAGCTTTACTTTCCTCTTGAACTTCAACCGCTTGAACGTTGTGTCTCCAAGATGAACACCATCTCTCTTAGGGATCGCCCTGCTGGTTCCGCGTGACGAAGGAATAGAAAAAACCTCGAAAATCAAGTCCAGAGCAGCAGGTAGTCGTTTCGAAGTCGAGAGAGTGAGGACGCAGCAATCCAAATGTGTCGCTTTCAAAAAGTGCATTGAAGACTTTAACTAGCGAATATAAGACAAGCGAGATTCGAGCAAAGTCTTGCAATCAGTAATTAGGATGTCGGAAGTCCAGGATGTCATCAGGGCCGTCGCTTATCCGGCGTGTTAGACCGCCCTTGCTAACTTTACTGACGTTCAAACAATACTCCATGTTGCGAACGCGCCGATCCGAAACTCAGAGTACGGGTAAACTCGGATTTCTTCCGCTTGAGCCCTTCATCGAAGTTCTACTCACTGGCAGCCAAAATGCTCCCAGTGGAAGCTTGAAACCATAACAAGGGGACCCAGTCGGAACCTCTGACGACGTGTGTTGCTCTCAAAAAAACGGCGTAGCAGCTCACCTTCGACGATGCCCCTCCAAAGCCTGTTCCTGTGCATCTGGCCGTCAAAATAGGACTCCAGATCCATTTGTATCACCTGCGGGTAAATGGGACACGCTTCAACCCACCAGAAGATTCAGACACAAGGTTCCCGCAAGCCACAAACATAAATGAGAAGCATAGTACCAAGTTTGAACCTGTGCATAGGAGGTTATCAGCTTGGGGAGATCTTTGCGACTCCTTGCCACAGCACAAGCAAACCTCCGTCGTCAACACGTTGTCGGCCTTCATTGGTCCTTTAACATTTCCCCGGATCAATCGGTTCTCGCTTGCGAAGAGGAACCATCCTAAGCCCCGCATATGGTTCTTGAGCCGTCACTTAATTCGGTCGCCTGTTCCTTCCCTACCATTGGTGCCAGAAAACAACAACATACTTTTTGGGGAGCAGCCGGAAGAAGATTCTTACCTTGAGGTCTTGTACCCTGCTGTAGTCCATGCAGTCGTACTTGGGCAGCACAAACTCCACCAGGTGACCCTTCTTTTGAAGCGCGCGCCCCAGCCCCGTGACGACATCCGCCAATCCGCCAACCTGAAGTGACGGAGCAGAGGACGTGCCTTCAGGATATTTACAGCTTCGATCTCCGTCATGATGTGGCTTGATTCGGAAGCCAAAGCATGTTTCCGTATGAGTATGCTGAAGAAGCTTCAAGGCTCTTCCTTGATGCCTTCCCCTGATCTTGGTTGACCTCAGCAGCCGGTGTGCTTAATCCGACAGATTATGGATGAGAACCTCACGGCACTCTTCCGTTAGTTGGTTTCTATTTCCACATCGTTTGGCGAGAAATGCTTTTGAGAAAATGACAAATAATTTCTACACCGTACGTCGACTTGTTATTTCAATTCATCTAATCCTCTCTGTCCCACCACGAGAATGACTTTTCATTCTTTGCCCGCAACATCTTCTGCGAACACAGCCGCCATTCCCTTCGCAACATCTACGATTTGGCACCTGATCCGAATGCTTCCGTAAGTCGGTCTCATTTGCTTAGATGAGAACACGCCTGCTCGAAGTCAACCACAAGTTGAAGAAAACCAGACTCAATCCCAACCAAACACTTCAAACAAACTTCGAGCAGTCCGCTCAACCAAAATGAACATACCTTGGCCACCGGCGCCATCTCCGCGGCAATGTGCACGATATGCATCCCCGGCCGCATCTTCCCCTCGATCAACTTCAGCAGCCCGGCGGCAGCGCTGACGTCATCCGCCTGCTCGAGGCCACTGTAGACGTCCCGTATCCGTGGATCGCGGTGCCACGCCATAAGCCGCAGCTCCACGGCCTGCAGGCAGATCGTCCGCATCTCAAGTAAGCAAAGCTCGTGCAAAAGTTCCAATCCGCTGGTGGAAGCAATCTGTAGTACTTAATCGGCGACACAGCCTAATCTACATACAGGAATAATGGCTAGTCCGGACTGAAGCTCCGAAGTCGGTCCGGAATCCAGCGAGTCACCTCCAAGAATCTGAGCATGGACTATATGGTGCTGATTACTGGGAGGGTTTGTGAGGGCTCAATCCTTGCGGTTTACTTACCTGGTCGAGTGTCAAGTGGCGGTCCAGCATAAGCGCGTCGAGGCGCAACAGCAGATCACTCCAGAACTCCCACGGCATCTCGCCCACCGGCACCGCCTTCGGCTCCGAGCCCCGTAGCCCCTCGACGCGCAGGCGCTCCATATCCTCCTGGAACGCCTCTACTTCGGACTTATACATTTCGACCTGCGCCTGCATGTCCGCGTCCGACTGGACCAACTGCTCCTTCAGCAGCGCCACCTGCTGTTGCAACAGCGCTTTCTCTTGCTCCGCCTCGGCCCAGATCTCCCGCTCCGCTTCAAGCTCCTTCACACTGGCCTCCAGCAGCCGCACCTGCTTGGCCAGCGCCGCAGCCTCGTCCAGGGCCTTGTTCCGAGCAGTCTCCTCCTTTTTCGCCTCCACGACTGCCTCTTCTGCGGTTTTCAACAGGGCCTCGAGATCTTGGACTCGTTCCTCCAGCCCCGCTTTTCCGTTAACGCTGGTGCGCAGGTCCTGCACTTTCGACTCCGCTTCCGACAGCTTACTTTGCAGGTCTTTCCGCTCCCTCCGCAGTGAATCCGCCTCCGTTTGTACTTCTCTCAAACCTTGCGACGCATCCGCCATTGCACTTTCCGCCCGGGTCAGCCTCTCCTCCAACTCCGGCACTTTGCCCGCCTCGACTTCGAGCGCTCGCACCCTCTCTTCAGTCTCTGTCCGCTGTCGTTCCAGCTCACCCCTCTCGGCCTCCAGCCTATTCACACTCTCCTCCGAGGCCTGCAACCGTGCCTGGACCGCTTCTAGCTCCTTCTGCACTGCCATCTTCTCCTCCATCCTGTTCCGCTCGCGCACTTTGGCCGATGACGTCAGCAGGCCCTCGAGCTTCGCCACCTGCGCCTGCAGCGCCCCCGTCCGCTCTCGTTCCTCCGCAAGCTGCCTCTCCTTCTCCGAAACTTCACCAGCCACCGAATGCAAACTTGCCACCTCTTCTTTTACCCCTTCCACGTCTTTCTTCGCATTGTCCAACTCGAGTTTCAACTCATCCATCCCCTCCCGGAGAAGTTCGTTCTCTCGCTCTAGTTGCGCCCGAGCCTCGGCCCGCCCCTCCTCCTCCCTCAGCTTCTCGGACAGCTCCCCAACTCTCGCCTCTAGTTCTCTCTTTGCCTGCTCCACTTTCTCCAGCTCTTCTACCCTCTGCCTGGACTCTGTGAGATCTCGCTCTAGTTCCTCCAGCCGCCCCTCAATAGCATCTTTCTCAGCATGAACCCGTTTGGCCTCCCCCCGTGCTGTTTCTAGGTCCGCTTCTAGTTTTTTCAAACTTGCTACCTCCTGGTCCTTCTCCCCCAGCTTCGCTGTCAGTGCTTCGACTTGTTCCTGTAGCAACTGGTTCTTGTTCTGCGTCTGCGTCAGGAGGTGGAGCTTGGCGTCTGTCTCCTTAAGGCGCGATTGGAGGAGTTGAGCCTCGTTTGCGGAAAGCTCGGAGCGGTATTTAGCTTGCTCGAGGTCCTCGAGCGCGCGCATTCGCACTCGGTTGAGCAGCAGGATGTCTGAAAGAGGAAGGTATAAAGTTCACTTGAAAGTCTGACCATCTGTTGGATGCCTTGCTGTTTGACCAGGCAAAGGACTGAATATGGGGCACGCAATCACAAGCCTTTCATTGTTCAGACGTTAGATAATATCAATAGCTTAATCAGGGCCTGTTTGGAATCGAATTGTTACTCTGGCTTCTTTTTGGTAATATGGTTGAAGAACGTCCGGAAAGGCGACCAACCAGGCTGCAGGCAAATGTGGCCTCTATAATCTACTAGAATGCGCTAAGGTTGTTTTGGGCCTCCGCCGGGCTTGCCTTGTCACAAACGCCATGAGAGTCACAGCGTCCGCATTCTGTGGAATTTCGACGTACTTCCTTTGTTAGAAATGGATTGCAAGTAAATTGCAATGGCTCACTTTTCTCTGCATCTTTGATCATCTGCATCATGGATGCGACTGTGACCCCTTTTGGCACGTCCCCTGGATCTGCGCTGCCTGGCCCCGCCCCCGCGACTTCCTCCATGTTGTCCTGCATCATCAGCATATGTCCAATATTCAAAGCGTCACTCTGTCTCTTGAACAGCGCCACTCGCAGGACGCTTAAGCTCAAGTGGTTCTGGACCCGTGCCGGAGCAGCGGTCTGCGCGCCGTTCAGAGATGGTCGACATTACGAAGCAGCGGCTGGAGAAGGAGTTTCCAGAGAAGACTCGTACCTCAAACATATAGCCTTAGTCAGCACAACATTGCCACAAGCACTCAAGCAGCTAAGGTTTGGTTTTCCAAGATGTTGTTATGGACAGAGAGCTATAGACAGCACTTGAAGATGTTGCTTAGACATAGCTGTTCCTATTTATAGGTGTCACGAACGTGGTGCTCTGCGCTCGCCTTTTCAACATTGCCCTGCTCTTCTTTTTCGCCACCATCGTCGCCGTCTGACTTCGCCGTGTTGCGGGTACTTTTTCGCTTGACCGGAGGATTGGTGGCACCCTCGCCGACCACCACACTACCACTGCTCGATTCTGTGGCCCTCCTCCAGTCTCTGTGCCTGGTTCTGGCTTCAGGTCTTGCTCTGGCGCAAGGTGTTGTAAGCTTTGAGCAAACAACACTCCTGCAATTATTGCAAAGCATCGCCACTGAGACAGCCGCATGAAACCTCAAAAGCTGTTTGAAATTGCTTGCACTTCAGAGGGTCAGCATTGCCTCATCTTTACATTCTGAGAGGCACATTTGAAACGTGCAACTTAGGTGTCAGCTTGCAGCCTTCCTCTAACGAGACAGTATAACCAGTCGCACAAGACTCTGATGCATTGTAATTGAAGACTTTAGACAATGATCACCGCTCTGCACAAGGAAGAGACCCATTCACTACTTTCTTCAACCAATCAATTGCTCTACTCGAACCACAACTTTCAGTACTTCAACGAGTTTGACTGCAATGCTGACAGTGACAGCAGAACACCGGCTCAGTTGGTCCACCCAGAGACTTACCCCACAACATTCTGTTCCAAGGATCGCCGAGGACTGCAACTTGCGTCTGTTTGCGAGCGAGCAAAATTCTGAAAATGTTTCCGTTGCGGTTGGCAACATGTCCAGATCTTTGCAGAATCTTTGGCGCATCTGCCAGCGGAATCTTCACGGCGGCGTAGTCCTGCAAACCCCTTCCACCTGCCTGCATTTACCAGGCGATCGCTGCTGGCCATTGCTTTCATAGCACAAGACCTTCAGCAACTTTTACTTTACTGACCACCGTAATGCCCGTGCAGATGCACCACTTGGGCGAAGGATCAGCTTCTAAGCAGATAGGCATGCTTGTTTAGAGCTCTCTTTCAGAGGAGCGGGTAGACTTGAAAATCTCATGTCAAATTTGCAATGCTGCGTCTACTCAGGGCCGAGCTTGGAGTCAGACACAGCATCTCCACATGACTCCTCCTCAGTCGGCTGCTTTCACCTCGCTGTGCGCGTGGTCTGTGTCAGCACACCTCGTCAGGAATTTCTGTGAGGACTTCAGACGAGCCCTCTCCTACCAGCATTGACCAGCTTCAGACTAAAAACGGCCGCACTATGGCGCACGAAGTCCCCTGTCCACAACGGCCTGCAGAAGTCACGTGCTTTGACTTTGTTCCGCTTTCTCTTTCGCTTGCCAGGCTTTCCGCCACCGCGAATGACTATCGGACGGCCTCCATTTGCCGGATGACCGCAGCTTTCACTAAGATAGAGGAGCCCCGGGCACCTCAACTAAAAACCCTAACCGAAATCATGACCCACTCCGCACCCGTACCCACCCTAACCCCCAACCTAACCCCACCCGTCCCCCGGGTGCCTGTCTTAGTGAAAGCTGTCGTTTAGTGAAAGCAAGAGTTGGCACCAGAGTGAGACAATGGAGAGTCCGAAGAAGGTTCAAAATTTGGCTTGCGGCTGAGAATCATAGCCGACGAGATTTGTGAGCCGTCGATAAGAAAAGTGGATTGCGAAGACTTTGTCTTGTCGAGTTTGGATGTTGCCAAATGTCGACCAGGCAAGGCAGTTGCTGTCACATACGATATACTCAGGCAAACCTGCTATGTTTCATATACAAAGCCCCGGCTGGTAGGAAGGATCTATTCCGGGTACATGCCCTGGCTAGGTTGAACCGGAGACCTTGATCGGTTATGGAAACCTGAGCCCGGCCTTCTTTGCTCGAGATCGTATATGAGTCTTCATGCCATTTGGATGTGGAGGGGATGCTTATTCAGGTTGAAGCTGCCCCCTGGAAAAATGGCATCCTTTTTCCAGGTAATGAGGAGGCCGCTTTGCCACCTGGCCGTTTTCTAGCACTGCAGCAAGATCTACCTGATTGCGTATCCAACATTTCTCGGACACAAACTCGATGGTCTCCACGTGTTACCTCTGAAAGGTTGCCACCAAGGCAAAAGAAGTTGCAGAAGCTGCCAGCTGGGCAGTGACGTCAAACTGGCGCTATACTGATCAAGATCTTCCATGCTGGGAGCCTGGTGCCCCTAGGGAGGGCGCGTGGACGGCCGCCCAAGTGTAGCTGGCAGCTTCTGCCTCGCTTCCCTGACCACATGGAGCCAGGCTGGCTGCTGCATGTTCCGAAGTTATCCCTAGCTGTGCAAAGGACTACAAATTCTCATGCAATTTTGGTGATGTCCCTTCATGCAACAAGAATTTGAAACAAGCTTTGCCTTCTCCACGGTCTGGTTGCATTCCTAAATTCATTGCCAGCGATCATCAGCACAAGCGCTACTATTGAATCGCCCATTTACCTTGAGCTCTTAAGTTCGTGTTCCTAAAGAATGTTTAACAAGCTCTCAGGTTGGGGTGGATCAGCAGCTGCTGATCAGGAGGCCCCTGTCTCTCAGGAGATTGACCAGGCAGTTCAGACTGAGTCCGAGACCACGCCCACAAAGCACATGATGGAGTCCGGCAAGCACAAGCACCGCAAGCATCATCACCGGGAGGTTGATGGCACTCAGGAGGAGGGGGTGCTGGCGCAGGAGGCAACTGTTATCAGGGAGCGCCCAATGGTTCAGGGGGCTGAGCAGTCCCTTCATTATCTGGACGGTGTGCCTATAGACACATCCCTGCCCCAGGAAACGACCACAACATATGTTCAGCAGGAGGTAATGACCCCGTCCCCCCGAGCTGAGAGGACCCTGGCTGTTTATGAGCCCCCCCGCGCTGAGGCGCCTGCTGCTTCAACCACCCTCGTCACTGTGAAGAGCATCTCTGCAGAGGAGAGGGACAGGCAGATCCACGAGGAGAACTTGAGAAGGTTGGTGCATGGCTTTTTTACTGGTTTGTTGCAAGGACTATTCCTTTTTGACAACACTGAGGCAGGCAGCTCTGACATCATTCTAGAGATTGAAACTGTTGCAAGTCGACCAGAAAAAAGCTGGAAATGTGACAATGTGACTCTCTGAGATAATTTGAAAAGACTTTGACCGGTCTCACTTCAGCCCAGAGATAACTGTTGTGCTGCACATTGCTGTCTGCTTCATTTTATGCTTCATTCTATGCTTGGGTGTTCAATCATGAACTTGTGTATCTGTTGTGACTGGCCCGCATTGCAGATCACTTAAATATATGCCTGACTTTGATTTGCTGGTTCATGCAGAGCTCAGCTGCAAGAGGAACAGATGAAGGTGGAGGCAGCGGCCTTCATGGAGAAGCAGAAGCGGGATACAATTGCCTTCATGCAGAAGGAGGAGGCCAAAGCACAAGCCAAGTACGAGAAGGAGATGACAAATGCTGCTTACAGAGAAGCACAAGTGAGTTATCAACTATTTGACATCTTTAGTCAGATTGAAATAAACTGTGTGCATTGCTCGTTTTGGGTGTTCATTGCTGGTTTTGGGTGTTTTTCCTGGATTACCAAAATCCGTTCATGACAGTGATTACTTACGGCTGCATTAACAGCGTATGTACTCTCAGGAAAATATGAGTCGTTGCTCTTCAAGGCAAGGTTTTGTCATCTTGCAGTCAACCAAATCTGCAGTTCTTTGTTTGATAACTGTATAATAGCATTGTTGGACTAAAGATGTTTGGAACATTCTAGTTTACCATAACTTGTGCATAGTGATGGGTAGTTTCTTTGAGCCATGACCGCCCTCTGACTGGGAGCAAGTAAGCTTGTTTGAAAAGTGCTTACTTATGGGCAATGTTAAAACTGCTTGTAGTATCAGTGTTCCCTACTCGTATCTTACCATTATTGCTCCTTGTTGTGAACAGGTGCAGAAGAAGGCTGCCGATATGTGTGCTGAAGCTGCCGCAGCTCGGAAGAAGGTGGAAATTCGTGCTCAGCAGAAGTTGGAGATGAAGCGAGCGAAGGCAAAAACTCTGGCGGAAGAGAATCTGGCCACTGCCAAGGTGCGGGGAACTGCCATCCAGAAGGGTGATGTACGGGCAGAGTTGACCCAATCCTGGACCCGGAAGTTTTCGAACAAGCTGAAGATGTAATCAAAAAACTGATTGAGAGGATGGAAAGCTGTCTTCAAATTATCTATTGCACCGGAGATCAAAAACAACACCGTAGTGAAAACGGTTTGTACAGAGTTCGTACGAGTTGGACTGGGAAGTGACTCGCGATCGGTGTTGTAGGCTAATCATGCGGAATTATGTTTACGGTTTGTTACTCTGGAAGGATTGGTAGGCACGCCCAAGTTAGGAAAAGAAGGAAAATATTGTTTGTGACAAGCACGCGAAAACACGTTTACCATAGTAATCTATCTTGTATGAACTGCAAATGGGATATCATGATAGAAAACTACTTCTCAATGACCAAAGTGAATTTGATTTCATCATGGAATGCATTGGGATTTGTGACCTACTATCTTTACACTGATATATTGACAAATTTTCTTTGAACGACAATCATTATACAACAACTTTGCAGTCACTATAGCATGATCAGTCGCATGCTTTGCAAGAATATAAAACTGTAGATTAAAGGCAATATAATCAAATACTCTGTCTTCTGGGCCTCGGGCTATGTGATCGTGCTTACGATTATTGAAAAATCGCAACATTTGGAAAGATCCCCGAAAAGCTGACGTGAGAGGAAAAGTAGAACAAAGTTTGAAAACGTTTGGCCGACAGTTGCAAGAGACAATCAATGAACGACAAGTATAAATATCACGATTCTATGTGGTGACATGTTATTATATGTGATTGATCAAACATTAAATACTCTTTTTATGATCACGCTTACATAGACTACTATCTCTTTTTCATTTAAGGAAAGAAACCTTTGATAAAGTAATAACAAACGGATGGTAACATGGTTTGCAAACATTAGTAAACTCAACTTGAGTATTGGCTTTCTGTTAGTCTATCAAAGTGAACGCTTGCTGTAATAAAACCTCAATGAATGATTGCCGTGTGCGATTTTGCACCATCCTAATCATGCGGCTACCAATTCTAAGTTGTTTTTGTTCGTCAATATTGCTCGAGTTTTCAATTCGTATGCTCTGATTAAATCGCCTGCTACCTATGCGATCATACAATGTATGGCTTATTGACTCGTCCGTGTCTCTTTCGTGACTGTGCAAGATGTGTGCAAGATATAACCTGCTTCGTAGGAGCCGCCCCACTGGTCCACTAGAGTATCTATATCTCTGAGAAACTTTGATCCGGTGGCACCGCTCTTGTCTGATCTAATTTGGGGCGATGATAACAAACAAACAAACATGCATTTGGCCCGCATTTGGCAACCATCCGGAAGTGACGCTGGTCGTTGCTTACCTTAATGATGTATTGATATGTGAACAGTGAAGTTAGTGAAGCAGAGAAGCAGTACCGTAGGCAGCTGCTTCCTGCTCTGCTGCCGCCTCCCCGCTACTAAGCTGCAAGTTGGGGCCGGGGCCCGGGACTCGGGAGACGATTCATACCGGTATACCGGTACCATGATGACCATGATTCACATGCCAGGCCTAATGATGACGTGACCTGGCTCACCGGATTCCCTTATCCAACGGCTTTGAAACCACCCACGGCCCCACATGGCTACATTTCAATGCAGCTGTCAGAAAATGGAGAGATGTATTGTGGATTCTGGAACCTTATAGGTACCATCGATGATCGTACCGTACCACTACCAGCCTGACCGGCCCTGGGCATTCGGCGAGAGAAGGCGGTAACCACTGACCAGCGCGGCCCCGGGTCCCCGGGCCGCGGCAGCTTGTATGGACCGCATCCCCAAGCCCTTTCGTATGGGCGGTGAGTCGAATTCGTGAAGCCCAGGCGGCCGGGAGCTTCGAAGCGACAGCTGGAATAACGCCCGGGGGCCGGCTGCCCCGGCCTGAAGGACCGTCGCGCAGCTGACGGTGGCTCCCGAAAATGACTCAGGGTTGCTCGCAGAGCGGGTTCCCGCGATGTACTTGTCGAAGTTCTGCTGACCGTACGTTGCTGACGGGATTCCCACCTCAGCCATTTAGATTGCGTGTGGCACCAGGGGCCCTGCTCAGAGAAGGGAGCTCTGAATCAGAACTGCAATAATAGTCGAGTGCTACAGCCAATTGCCCCAGCGGGGCCTCAAGCTCATAGCAGGGAAACCTCTTGACCGGAGTTGACCATGCCAGTGCATCTTTGCTTGCGCCGCAGTCGCCGTTGTGACCATAGAGCTAGGTAGTCCTAGGCCCAAGCGGGCCAGCCTAATTGAACTTGAAGCCTCAGAAGGCTCTGGTGTGTGAGTCTGGCTGGGCTGTCGAGACTCGAGAGTCGGAGGGCTCATGTCAGGGTGGAGGTCAGGTGTGACGACGACAGAAGCCCAAGAGTGTGCACACTGCGCATGCACTTTGGAGAGCAGAATCATGGCTGCCGTTCTGGGTTTTGGGCGTTCTTGCGCTCTACAGCTTCAGATCTCAGCGCTACTTCATTGAGCAAGGGAGTTGAGGGGAAGTGACTCGGACAGACGAGAGGCAGACGGGAGAAGAAAGAAGGCAAAGGTCGCAACTGGTCGATCGCCGGGGCTAGCCAGGAGCTAAACCTGTCTAAGGATTCTTGGGATGGTCGTGAGCTGCACGACTTCAAGCATTTCTCCAAACTAGCGAAAGGAGCTCCTGCAGAAGCAGCCCGACATTAGCAAATCCCAAAAAACCTCAAGCATGAGCTCAAAGTGGGATACTTGAGAATCGGAAGGATTGCAGTCCCAATTACGAGTGAAGACTTGAATAATTCTAGTTTCACTGATTTGGATACCTATACATCCTACTGTAAGAGCTTGTATTTTCTGAAAATGGTACAAACAGGAAATCCATCCTCTCATATTGCTGGTGGTGAGGAATGGGAGCGTTCTTTCTCCTCTGAAGATTGAAGAAAGGGTTTCTTTCAGCACATTGGCGGTTTGTAATTGCGGGGCACAATGAAGCAAGCATTTGGGGGTCTCTTCCGGAGGAAAGAAAAGAAGGTTAAGTTGGTGGACGCAGATTCAGACACGGACGTCGAGTTCCGCGACAAGCTTCAGGTATGGAGCCGCTGCACCCTCCCTGCATCTGATAGATTTCCGCCTGAGGGCAGTCCGCAACTTTCCGGACCATTCCTACCTAAACGCTCTCGACAACTTCAATGATACTGCCGGCTTCTTATCTACGCTCTTGGCAAGCTCAGGGATACTGCTTGCTTTTCATCTATTGCCACCGGCGACGATGATTTTATTTTGCGCTTGTTCATGTCCACTTGCAATGCATCTTTCATCCGATGGCCAGTGTTGCAGAGCCAGGCTGAATCTCCTGGGTTTTGCCTGGTTTCCAAGAAGCAGGAAAGCATTCTTAGTTGCTGTCGCCATAGCGCATTCCCTTCTTTTCTCTCTTTCAAGTGGTTGGTGATTCTTTCTGCTGGCTCCAAGGGTTTTCGGCTTTGTTCTGGCCCTGCAAGTGAGGATTGCAAGCAAGGGGTAGAAAGAGACCTGGAAAGCAAGGGGAGGGCATGCTCTTGATTGCTGTTGCATTGGTGCGTGTGTTAGCTCCAATCGCGTCCTTGTCAGTATGTTGTTATAGTGAGCATCAATCTGTTCTGTCAGTCTGTCTGTCAACACTGGGGCCTCAAAAGGTGAGAAAACATCAAACTATCTTGGATGGTGGGCGCTGTCACTTATGGGAGCCTTCTTTGTCCTCCAGACGGGTTGCTAGCAAGATCAGTGTTTTTTTGGCACCTTGCTGATCAAGTTTCAATCTGCAGAAACTGGCGACCGACGTCTGGCATGCTTCGCTTGCTCCTTTTTTTCGTCCACCTGAGTCTCCCTTCTCATTCATCACCTGGCTGGCGGGAAAGGTTCAATTGCAATGCCCTGCATTGGAGCCTTGCATTCAGCCTCTGTTCGCCTGTGCACTGGCACACCGAGTGTGGCTTTGTCTACCACCGCAGGGGATCTATTCTTCACTCCGTTTCCCCAGAATGTTGAGCTTGCCTTTCAATCTCCTCCATCCCTGCTGAACCTTTCCAACAGTATGCCCTCTTTGGTCAAAGGCTCGAACAGCTTGCTGTCCATTTTGTACTTCCCGGGACAGGTGCTTGGGAATCATCTAGGTACGTCTGTGCTGCTTTTTGGATGCGTCGAGATCTGCTGACGCGTATGTTTGTGTGGCCCCTTGCGACACTCTTATCGCCCCTGTTCAATTCTCATTTCAACAAAAGGAAGTTTGCACACGCATTTCTATCAGTGGCTGAGCTTTTCCTGTCCAATGGGACATTTCTGTTCATTTGCGACAACCTTTCCATACGGCAATGCCAGAATTGTGGTACTTTCTGATGAGGCGCTGTGCTCCTTGCGCGTGTGTCAGGGCCGAAAGGCAAGGATTTGCCTCGTGTTTCGCAGTTTGCAAGTTCTGCTGATTGAAGATCTGGAGCGGGTCATGCTTTTGCAACGTCCTTTTGGGAAGTGTTGACCATAAGCGATAGCCCCCTGTCCATCCTTTCAACAAGATAAATGTGCAAAATATGCCAGGACACATTGTGCGGAGTTACACAGCAATGAACGACTATGTACTGGTTATGTTGCTGCAACCATCTCTTAGCTTCTCAACCAACCTTGGGTTGTTGCCACGTCATTTCAGCAACATAACGTGTTGCTTTCTACCTAAGAGTAGTTGGTCCCAATCGTTTTGACCACTTGCCTACTCAAAGAAGCATCCATCCTTCTTGAACTTTTTCAGATCAAACCTCAGGCCTCATGAAGTTTCATCGGAACTTGATTCGTCATACCCCTCCACTTTTCAGTAGTTGCACTTCTGACTGGGGGCTTGGGTTTCCCTGACTCGACACTGACATTCTTCACGTCTTGGTTGGCCAAACATCGACATCTGAAACTGGCCGCTGGTGACATGAGAAGGCCCGTGTCGGGTCTACATTCCAATCTTGAGCCTTTGGATTACGGCTCCTTTTGTCGGACTCTTGATTTCTCAGTCCCTGATCTCATAACCCAGTTCTAACCCAGACCTTTTGCATTGGCAGGATGCGGTGGAAGCCAAGGCTCAGTACGACGAGCTCCTGCGGGTGGCGAGGCACGCAGCACAGCAGGCCCAGGGTAGGTGCACCTTGGCTCTCATGCTTATAGCAATTACTTATCTGCATTTGAATGCACACCCGCTTATTCATGCCTGCAGTCAGCGTTTACATTGTAAATTAGCGGGGCAGTCAGTTCCGCTTGCTCCATTTCTTACGAGAACAACAGTGCAAGGCATCTCTTACAATGTTAACATGTCTTATTCTCGTGGGGTCCACGGTGTCTTTCAGATCTGCGTCTGCATCGTCTTTGCAATATCACGCGATGTTTTGTACCATCCGTTCAGTTTTTGCTTAGCTTCGCTGCATCAGCACTGTTTTCAATCTCGCCTTGGCTTCTTTCATGAACAACTACTGATCCACAAAGTACTTCAGATCTGCTCCTCAGAAGAACTTCCCGAGTTTTCTCCCTCTCAATGTTCCTTTACATTCAGCAACGAATGACCTTGCTCCGCTCTGTAGCTGGCCTATCAGCAAGCTTGCCAGCTAGCGATCACTTGCCTTCCTAACGCGTTTCCGTGTATGCAGGTTTTGCCCAAGCCCAACATGACCTTGCGTCGTGCTTCTCCGAGACTTTTGGCAACTCGGAGACATATGGGAACTCGGATGATATGGAGATCGGTGAGATCCAAGCCGTTCTCTTCTTGGCGGTTGCTCTTGTTGCGCTTCTGCCTTCTGGTGTGATTTGAACGGGGCATCTGCAAAGCAGATTGAGAATGTAAGGGGCAATTGGGAATTCTGTTGGAAACTGTCAAGCATTCTATTTGGCTGGTGCAAGCACTGTGCTGCCCCGTGTTGCTTGCACAGGAGGAGTGGGCGCTTGGAATTGAAAAAGCACAGGTTCCGCAAACACTTCATGTGCGTACTGCACTGACGATCTTCTTTCGTTTCGAAGCGCTTTCCGACCGATCAGTTGATTCTGCGCTGGCTGGTCCATGTATAACCGAGGGCGTCGGGAATTGAGCGAAAGAATATAAGCACAAACAATTCAAACCATACCGGGAGCTAAAAGCTCTTAGACAAATCCAGGAGATGGAACCAGATCTAACCTGGCGAATTTGGGCTTTTTGGTTGCAGCGGATTGCTTCAAGCGCCTGGGCCGAATCCAGGGGGAGATTTCGAAGCTTCTCGACCAATATGTAAGTCGTCCAGAGCTAACGACCCCAGTACCGTCCCTTCTTCTCCGATACATCTACTGACGTCTGCAGGATAAATGTCAGGACGCCCCAACGAGTCCGTTCTGGTCGTATGAGCAACATGCGTCTCCCTGGTTTTGCTCAAGGAGAAACGGTGGTCCTGCATCTCAGGCTGACCCTCCGCATAGGCTCTTGTCAAGGAATTGTTCATCCGTGCGGCATGTTGCAAGCATCCCGTATCTGCAGATGTGTGGATGCTAAAAGCACTCTGGTATTTGCCTGAGGACCGACACAATCCGCTCGAACCACTGCATTTTCTCCCGAAGAGGTTATGAGGCACCTGGCTTGTCTTAGTAAGCACTCAGTAGCTCGAAAAATATCTCTCGAAGTGCCCCATGCCGAAAGCGACAGAATGATTTCTGGCATTGAAAATGAGTAATAAAGGTACACACCCTCAAAAAATGCACGTTCAATCGTCGAGACAGGCTCTGCTGACCGTCCGAAAAGCGAAAGCTCAGACCGTCCAAAAAGCATGAGCCTAGTGTCCGATCCGTCCGCCCTCTGCAGAGCGGACACCTGCATCAGACGGTGATTTTGCCCACCGGGGAGCTACAGCACGAACTCGAACGGATGGACGGCTCTCGGAAAGTCTGGGAGGAAAAGCGGTGAGAGGGGAACACGTGATTACTTTTCTTCTTTCCCTGCGTACTGGCAACTTCGGATTCTGTGAGCCAGGAAGGAGAGAGTCGGAGCCTTGTCCCTTGTTGCAGATTTATGCATCTTTGGATATTCCTTGCAAGTTTCATTCGGTATCGGGCTTGGGAACAATAATCAACCGACTGAATCGTTCGGAGAAAGTATCCGTTGTCCCTTTTTCTGTCTGCGCCAAGAATTCCTTTGCACGTAGCAAAGCAGCGTCAATCTCCGAGGAGACGAGTATACCAGCTTATATAATCCTACTCTTTTGATGTCGGGATTTGCAAAGCTATGCTGAACGCGCGCTTTTTGTCTAGTCCTGCCCACTTCCTAACTCATGCAAGCAAGCTGCGAGGCGCTGAGGCGCGCCCCGCGCACCACGATTGGAAGTTAACAATCAGTTACGACTAAAGCGGTCAGAGATGATGCTGAACGACTAGATTCAATCGCTTTCCCCTCCCCCGTCCTACATGAGCAAGCGTGCAAGGCGGCCGATGTGCATTCTGTGTTGTTTACTCCGATTGTGAACCGGTCAAGGAGTTTGCTGAGTGTCCCCCCCCTTCTTACACAGGCAAGCGTGCGAGGCGGCGAAGGCGCGCTGCGTGCGCGGCCGGCGGCGCGGGAGCTGGGCGCAGAACGGGGACGAGCCGCTGGAGGACCAGGCGACGCTGACGGCGCAGGACGAGTACGACGACGCGCACATGGCGCTGGGGCAGCAGCTGATGGCCATCGAGCACCGCCGGCCCAAGATACTCATCCAACAGGCGGCGCGCCTGCACGCAGCGCAGGTGAATTTCAGTCTTTCACTCTTGCAGACTCTTGCACTACTTGGTCAGAATCTCAGAGTGGAGTCGGGAACCTTTTGTTTATAAATAGCGACAGCAGGTGGTGGCCACCGAGCACCGCCAGTCGAAGATGCTCATCCAACAGGGGGCGCGCCTACACGCGCCGCAAGTGAGTTGCAGAATGTCTGCTTATGTCCGAGGCTTTTGGTTCAGAAGGTCAAGTCGTATGTCATAAAGTCGAGAACAGCTGACGGGGATTGAGCACCGCCGGCCCAAGATACACATCCATCAGGCAGCACGCCTGCACGCGACAAAGATGGTTCGCAACTAGATTCCTCTTGTGAGAATCACAAAACATTGCGCTGCAACGCCGTACTAACCCCTTTCCTCGCTCCTCTGTCAGATGACCCTGTTCACGCGCGCGCTCCAGAACGTGCACGCGATTGAGCCGTACATCAAGGACCTGTGCGTGCAGCGCAACGTGGACCGTCGATTACCCAACGGGGACGGCTACTCGGACGACGAACACGAGGACGACGAGCGGAGCAACGCGGACTCGGTCGAGCACGCGCCGTGGGACGACTCCGACAGCCAAGGGTCTTCGCCGACAGGGCATCGCGAGGTGAGCTTGTCCTTGATTGTCGAATTTTCTGTGGGTTTAGGGTCAGGGTCTCTGGACTCAATCAAAAAGACAAAGACGACGAGCGAAGCAGTGTTGACTCCGTCGAGACGCGCTCTGGGACGACTCTGACAGGCAGGGCTTATTGCACAAGGGGCATTGCAAGGTGAGCTGGGGCCTCCGGTTTCAGATTTCCAGGGTTTGCGGATCCAGGTTTCCTGGTATGGGGCTCCTCATATCTGGACGATGAATACGACCGGAGGATAGCGGTGAGCACGCACCGCAAACCGTTTCGACCCCGTTGCCAGCCGGGGACCTGCCAGTGAAACTCCGTCAGTTGAGCTTCTTTGGATTTCCTGCCCTTAGAAATCGCCCTCTGCAGCAAATCACGGGGCTACCAAAACTTTGCGAAGGGAAAGACAGGTCAACTTAAGAATTGGAAAGCTTGGTCATGATGCCCGTCTGAATTATTCTAGTTTTACCTAGGTTGGTTCTTATGATAACAGGGCTTATTGTAACTACTCTAAGATTATTCCAACTACTCTAGAACTAGACAATCACATGGAAACTGCCGCCGAGTGGTCGACGCTGCTGCACACAGATACTAGCATCATATGTCCCACTCCCACTCTCAAATCAAAGACCTGCCTCGGAGACGTCCTCAGAGTGGTCGGATATACCGCACAGCCCGTCTTAACATCCGTCTTAACATCACATATCCCCACTAAGATCGAAGAATTTTCCTGCAGAGGGCCGCCAAGTGGTCGACGCACCGTAAAAGCCCGTTTTTACACACATGCCCCCTTTTCAGGTCAAAACCTGCCCCGGAAACTGCCGCCGAGTGGTCAACGCTACTGCACAGCCAATCCTAACATCGCATCCCCCGTTCTCAAAGTGGTCGAAACTATTGCACATCGCATTCTGACCTCACAGTTCTCGCTTTCAGATTAGAGACCTGCTCGCCGACACCGCCCCCGAATGGTCGAGGCTGCTGCACAGCCGAATCTGACATCGCATTTCTCCTCGCCAGATTGAAGAACAGCCCCCGGGACATGCCGCCAAGTGGTCGACACTACTGCACAGCCGATTGTAACATCCCGTTCGCCGGTTTCAGGTTGAAAAGCTGCCCCCGAAAGGTGCCGCCAAGCAACCGATTCTAAGGTAAAACTCCCCCGTTCTCAGATTAGAAAGCTGCCTCCGGAAACTGCTGCGTAGCAGCCAAATCTAACATAAAACTTCCCCGTTCTCAGATTAAGGACCTGCCCCCAGAGACTGCCGCCGAGTGGTCGACGCTGCTGCACAGCCTGGACCAGACGCTGCAGGACATGGGCGAGCAGACGCTCGACCAAAAGGATGCCGTCTTCGTCGTCAACGCGTTGCTCATGGCCTCCAGCGAGGTCAGCCCACAAGAATGCCCGCTTTTGGGTTTGAGATACTTCATTCTCTGAATTGTAAAGTTCGTCGTTGACATTTTCTTTTAGTAATAGGAAATGTTGTCCTCTTTGTGAGCGCCTTGCTGTCAACGGGTTGCTCATGGCGCTTAGCGAGGCCAGGCCGCAGACTGTTCTTTCTCCTACCTTGACGAGGTGTTTTGCTTTTAGGACGGGCTTTGTGAATGTTTTCGGCTTAGTTCCCTATGCGCCTTGGGATTCGTGACGTCGTACTGAAGATCCGAATCAGTAGAGCCCGCCGTCCTCTGTTCTTTTTTGAAAGATGCAAGGACGTCCTTTTTATGAGCGCACTGCTGATGACTCTTAGCAACAAGTTGAAAGATCGGTCCCTGTTTGGGGAATGATGATTGTCGACCTAGTGCGATCACATGCCTGCCGTTCGCTTTGTCGTTGGCTAGTACTGAAGAAAGCTGTCATCTGCTGGAACGCCCTTACGGTTTTCGGCGAGGCTGGCCCAGGGTTCCACTTGAATAGTTAGTAGAAATTGAGACAGCACACCCTGCTCGAACACTGTGGAACCACAAAGGCGCCACTTTTTTTCATGCACTTATTCATAGCCTTCAGCCAAACATCTCACAAGAGGCGAATACAAGTCGGCATGGAAGCGCACCTGCCTTTTTCCATATTCTTGGTCATTCTTATCTTGCCTCGATGTTCTGGTATCGAGTCTTTCGCTGTTGTACCGCCTGCTGGATGTAGGGGGGAGATGTAGGGGGGAGAAAACGAAAGGTACTTGAACCGTGGCGCTGTGTGATACCAAAAGCATGATCATATTTTTCGGATGGACATAAGCTCACCCCTCCTCTCCGCTCCAATATCGCAGCACAATCGGCACCACGCTTTCTGCAATATCTCGATCTGGACTCCAAGAGGTCTGGAATTCTGAGCCGATTTGAGCAATATCATTACAGTTGCGCGTTTTCTTTAAATCTAAAACATCGATAATCCTCTTGAAACACAGGGCAAGGGCCACCACGTGTACCAGCGCAGCCAATCCGGGCCCTCCTCCCTCAACACGCACTCCGGCAGCCGCTCCGCCCCGCTTTCTTCCACGGGGGTCCCCCTGCACCTCCTGCAAGCCGCCGGGGGTGCGAACGCCAAGGCGAAAACGCCCCCCCGCGAGGAGGCGACACCCCTCGGGAGAGATGCCGGCGAGGCGGCTCACAGGCGACCGGATTTGCAGATTCAGGTGGAAGGGATGAGCAAGAGCGGGCCCCTGACGCCGTCGGTGGCGGCGGGTGGGGCTGGGGCGCAGCCCAGCCAACAAACTGGTGAGGGTTAGATTGTTCAGGGTCTTTGGGTTTCGAACCTTTAGGATCTAGGGTGCTGCGGGTGCTGCCCTCGTAGGCTTGATGGTCCGGAGGAGAGGTGTTGCGCACTGTCCTCTACATTTTGCTAAGGTCCTCCATCCGACTTCGATCAGAGGCTTGATGGATGGCAGGTTTTGCGTCCTGTTTATAGATAATTGTTTACTGTTTATTGTTGATTCGATCCCAGCTTGGAGCAGATCATTCGACGGTATGCGTGGGGGTGCTCAGCTTCGAGTCTTCAGTGCTTTTGAGGTTTGGAGGTTGCGGCTGACGGAGCTGTCTTGCTGTCCACTCTGGACGTGGATTGGCCCGTACCTTATTTGCGTCAACCGCCAACTGGGAGCCGGCCTCCTCTTCGAGCATTTTGAAATCTCAGCCGAACGAGCGGGTTCGACAAGAGGAGTTCGCAAAGAGATCCTGCTTTGCCTGCACGCCCCACGACTGCACAGTGGCTGTTTTGTCTGCCTTTTTGGTTTTCTTCGAGTTGTTTCAGCGAGACGTTTTTCAATCACTCCACTTCGCTGCGTTTGCACCTTTCTGCTTTTCGATGTCTCCTCACTTTCTCTCGTTGCCCTTTCCTCGTTTCCCCTTTTGAACTTCACAAAAAATCAGACTGCGAGTCACGAAAGCATTTTGTCAGGTTATGATGGGTCGAACGGCGCACGCGTCGGAGCTTGGCTACGTCGTACTCTTGATTTCAAAACTTCCATTGAAATATGAAAATAAAGATCTGAACGACCGTTGAAATTCCAACGGTACAAGCCTCCCTTACCTATGCAGCCTCCAGTTCTGCCCCCGCACCGCGGACTCCCCCCCCCCTCACTCGCTCCTCCGCTTCCCGAGGCTCCACCATGTACCGCGCTGCCAAGTCCGGCCCAGTCTTCCCGATCTCCGCCCCAGGGGGTGCGTTCGGGCAGACGCGGACTGTCTACTCCACAAATAATCGCACGGGCCCACCTTTCGTCCAGCAGGGGTCCAGCTCTCTCGTGGACTTAATAGCGGCGAGAGGGGGCACCGCGCAGGTGAGCCGGCGGGCTTTTGCCAAAAGGGGGTTGCAGGGTTCTATTGATTTAGGGTCCGAACTTCTTTAGGACATGACAGTCGAGGACGTGGAGACTTGATCGACTTACAAAAGTCCCCGTCGTTAGGGTCTGCGCTGGCTCTCACAAATAGAAACACTCAAGTCCTGCTCACACCTCTTCCAAGTTGCGCAGATCACCGTTTCAGGTCAGGGCGCTCAAGAGTGGTGTCACACTGCTCAGGTACTATCATCTGGAGTTCCAGGGAACTGGAGGGTTCGTCGCCTTTTTACCCTTCCTATCCTCAACGTATCATTTTCATATCGTGCTGACAAACATCACTAACCTGCTGTTTCGTTCGGTCGTGTCCCTCTTTTAAGCCGCTTGACCCGCGCTACCACCCCCTGACCCCTCGTTTTAACCGATTGATCGGCGTTAACGCCTGCTAACCCCTTTTTCTGCAGTCCTCCAAGCCGCGCAACAGCAGCGTGTACGCGTCCAAGTCGGGCCCCATCATCATGACCCAGCCGCGGGGGGTCCCCGTCAACCCGTCCCGCGTCGGCACGTCCCTCACCACCGATTCCATCCCCTACTCCCTCCCCACCGAAGCCTCGCAAGGACCCCCCCGAATATCAACGGAACCCATCGTCCCCAAATCCGGGCCTATCGGACGGTCCCCCCTCGCCAAAAGCTCCGTCTCCCCAAACAACTCCCCCCCCTCTCGCCGCCCCGGAATAGCTCCCCCTCCCTGCTGTACCAGCTCCCCGCGCCGCCTGCGCAAGTGGGCTCCGCCCCCCCCGGGGGGGGACATTTTCTGGGGGGCGGTCCGCTGGTCCGTTCCGCTGAGCCGATGCTTCCGAACAGTTCCGGGATGCCGGCGGGTTCCGAGGGAGACGGGCCGTCGCCGCTGCCGCCCCCTCCTCCAGGAACGGTTGGGAAATTGCTCCAGAGGCGGAACTCCGGAAGGGATCGTGCGGAGCAGGCGATCAACGGGGGCAACGGTCTGGTGATCAATATCCCCCCCAATCAGCAAAGTGAGTGTTGAGTCCAAGAACCAGAGATTGGAATCTGGTAGCTGAGAGGTTGAAATCTCATGTCAGGCCGGAGGGGTGGAGGTGGCAAGCACTGGCTGTCAATCTTGTTCGATGCACCGCAAATTATAAGTAATTCCAACTACTCAAACAAATGTCTGCTTTTCAGCAGCGTGGCTTGCCCAGTCAACTTTCGTCTCGCCCTTTTCACGGCCGTTGATCCTAAACGCTTTTCGCAGAGCCGTTAATCATGATTGCGCACCGGCATAGGGATTCCCGCTCAAGGACGTCTCGAAGGAGCTCCGTCTTTTCACTGCACTGTCGACATGTTTCTGTCCAGCTCTAGGTTTGTTACCTTGTATGATGAATAAAGCCGAACGTAAATGGGCTCAGTGGAAGGGCGAACTGTTTCCTGGGCGCCACTTTTCCATCTCATCGTCAACCTGTCTCTTTGCTTTCGTCCAGGCCAAGAGCTCGAAAAAATATCGAACACGACCCTCCAACAATTAACTGCGGACCATAACTCCCAAAAGCGCCACCTTATCATCCACGTGTCCTTCTTGCAGTCGTCCACACCAAGAGCGCGCGCGTGCGCCCCATGCAGCCGCCTTTGAGCCCCATCACTCCCTCGGAAGACGGCCGCTCGACGCCGTCGCCCGCCGGCCAACCCCCTCCACCCGTCGGTGCGCCTTACGTCCACCAGGCGCTTAGTCACATGGGCATGGAAGAAAAGTGAGCGCCTGATCTGTTTTCTTCGTGTGTCTTACCTCTGCTCCTCTCGTCTGTTTCTCGACTTTGTTGACGTCAGAGGCTTCGGCTATGAAGGGAGTTTACAGTGATCTGTTTCTCGACTTGTATTGACGTCGAAGGCTTTGGTTATGGAGGGATGCTGCACACTGTCGTCAAGGGAACGATTGCTCTGAGCAAGGGAGAGAGGTGAGCGTCTGTAAAGTCATGTTCCTTTCGTATTCCGTCTCTTTCTTGCCCCGTCCTCGGCAAAGAGGTGCGTCTTGGCTCGCCTCCCCCATTGCGAGGTGGTAATCAAGAGAAAAGACAGAGAAATTCGAGCGGGTCCCCATATATAGATTCTGAGGATGCTCGCTCCTCGACGTCTTTGAATCTGAGCGCTCTGCAACGATATCCTCTTCGAGGCACGGAAGCGTTTGCGAGAACGCTAGATAAGGCGCCCATCACCTCCCCAAACCCACCGCACAGATGTGGACAGCTGCAAAATCATCTTACGCATCCAAACCAGTCTTTTCGCCTATCAAGCCTAGGCGCAGCGTGCGCTCAACAAGAGCCTTTATCGACAAACTTGCAGGCCTGCCCAACAAGCTTCATAACCGTCTGCTAAACTCTCTGCTAACCCGCTGCTTACAATTCCGCTAAGCTGCCCCTTAACCGGCTTTCTCCTGCTTTTTGTCCAGCTCCATGCGTCGCAGCATGTCATTTGAGATCGCCCCCCCGGGGGGTAAGGCCCTTCCCCTGACGCCCGCAACGAACGACCCCCCCCGGAGGAGTCCAATGCATCCGATCTCCCCAGAACCGCCGCTCGTGACCATTTCTTCCCCCCTGCCTGCAATGCCCCCGTCCACCCCCCCAGAGAGGCCAGAATCGCAAGGAGCACTGAACGGTGAGGCGCTGGACTGAGTTTGCTACCGTACCGTTTTCCCCATCCGCACCATATTTGTCCGATTATCTGGTTTCCCATTTTTTGACTGCATCGACATAGGTTGTTGATATTGAAGAGGCTAATTTCCCATTCCTATGCCGGCAGAAACGCCTCGGAATACGGTAACTTACCTATTCTGCACCCGGTTGACAGTCAGTGTTACTTCTTTCGGCACTTGCCTCAAAAAGGCCATCTTAGTGCGACTTGGATTGGCAGTACGCTAAGGAGGATGCTGATTAGTAGCTCGTAGTTTCCTGTTGTTTCGCTAGACACACTTCTAAGCCTTTGAGCGGTTGCACCGCTGTGATCTGTCTGCAAGCAACTTCTGGGGCGCGTCTGAGGACTGAAGTGTGAGGTGAGTGAATTTCATTCGAAGTCTGAGGAGTGGCAATTCACCTGTTGAAGGGGACCATTTCTGCGGGGATCTGGGTTCTGTTTGCTTGCGTTCCGGAAATCTTTTGGGCCATTCTCATGAAGCGTCTCCGTCTTGCCTCAAGCAAGATCTGGCCAAATCAATATAGTCATGTCGTTGCAACTGGTGGGATCTCATGCACTTTAAGAAACCGCAGGAGATTGAGGTTCTCGTTTGTTTCTGGTTGCAAGCTTTGCACGTTCGTAGCGATTTTCGAACCCCGCTTTCATTTGTATTGCACGTTGCGTCAAATCAGATACGATCCTGTCCAGCCCAGTGCATCATCGACGGTAGGGTCAAGTACTCCTCCGAAGTGGAACCCACCGTGAGTTAATGTAGCTAGCGTAGGGCAACTTATTACCGCCGGTATCAGTGTTTGCCGCAAACCCCATCCGGTTAAAAGCAAACACTTTCCCCTGTAAACCGGGCACTCCGCTTTGTTTCCGCAGCTCTGGCGGGCTTGGAGCGTGAGGAGCTGATCAAGGCCGTCAATTCGGACAACTTCCGGTGGAAGCTTTTGGAAGACGCCCCGTACCAGGGGCCCAAACAGGTCCCGGAGTTGGAAACGCTAGCGCCCGACCAACGGCAGCACTTGTTCCAAACCCTAGCGCGGGCCGTCAAGTCTCGGCGAGAGGCGTTCATCGACGAGCACACACACGGCTTCTCGGACTTGCCGAGGGATATGCAGGCCGAAGAGGCGTGCTAGTCTAAGATACGTAGGCTAGGAGGATCACGCGAGGCTCGGAGAATGACATACTCGGGAAGTAGCAGCCCGTAATAAGCCGGTGTATTGAGTCCATACGTCCTTGCTGTCCGTAATTTGTAGTCAGTGCAGGCGCAGAAGGTGACGAAGAGGTCCGGTCTGCAATCAGCTGCTTTCGTGGCGTGCGACAGCCGCCAAGGAGTCTGATTGCGGCGGCCGATGGCTGTCTTGCCCTCTTCGAAAGTGCAGACGTCTAGGTGGCCATCGTGCCGCTACTAGACATACTAATTTGTAGATTTGTGAGCGCTCATTAAGTGTGTCAAACTTTGCTCTTTCTTGTCGCTCAGCTGCTGAAGACAAGGTTGAGTCGCGACCTGGTTGCTTAGTGCCGGGAGTTGGATACAGATGTCCTCTAACTAGGGAAACCCGCTGAGTTACTTGTCAACAAAGTTCGTCACCGGGTTGCAACGCTTCTATAGCTACTTGGTATCCTGACATGCTTGAATTGGATATGGGTGACGGCCGGGCTGCTGCATGGCAATGTCATGGCACCGTTGCATGGTGCGCTTATGATATGTGCATCCATGTGCTGTCTACTGGTATATGCACAATCTTGTAGTGACGACAATGGTTAGGCGGTTTCAATCTGCACGTATATGGGGATATAGTTGCTGTATGAGTACTTCACGCGGCCTGCAGCAGTATACGCCGCGCTCAGGGGGCCTATGAGCGCCAATCATTCGCGCCACATACACTGCAACCGTCATGGACTAGTAGCTAGTGCAGCTATAGATTATATGTTGTATCTGACTGGTTAGCCTGGCCGGGCGGCCGGTGCATATAGCGCGGCCTTCGCATGCCCGGGGCCGGAAGCAAGATATCAATCATGCATATAGGCGATGTGCATAGCTCTAGGATTGATCGATCATGTACAGTTGCCGCGTTTTCAGCTACCACCCAAAACTTCTAAATAACAAGTTGCACAGCTAAATTTTGTATACTCTCGATTGCATGGTAGCAGTATATCTGGTTACGTTGCAAAATCTGCTCGATCATATCTTGCGTGCATTGACAGGCCGGGCGCCATGCTGCAGAGCCTGATGGTCATGTTTGCAGTGTTCAGAGATAATTATAGTTGTCGGATATGATCGCTGCAGCCATGGTACTTGCAAAGCTGGCGCAGAGATCCTCAAATTTGATCGTACACTGAGGTTGAATTCCGGATAAATCAAGTGACTCCCGCCGGCATATATATCAGATGCAAGATAAGTATACAAACAATATCATTGCTATTTCTTACTGACCGTGGCCACGGCTGCCGTATATATGTGCTTGAGCTTACGTATGTGGCCGTTCACTGCAGCTCAGGTTCTGACTGCGGCATGCCCAGACTCACCTCAAATGAGGATTATACACAGACTGGCGCCGTGCATCTAAAGCACTGAACCAGATCTATCTTATAGGGTTCAATGTTATAATGTTCCTAATATACTTAGAGCCTCCCAGAATCAAGCTTCTACATTAGCAAAGCAATGCAATCAATATATTCACAGCAGTCAATGCATGCCAGTGAGCTTCGACTTCAAAGACAGCTTTAGGCTTTCAGCCTTACAACATCTTCGAGTTCGGCTAGATCTACCTCCATATTCAAGTCGATGTTTACTGCATCCCAAGTTTGACGATCCGTTCTTCTGCGCGGAACCCTACTGCCCCCCGTATTTGACGACCAGAATCTTGTAAAGCTAATCTCATAGGACAAGCTCAGCTATTGATCACAGCAAGAGCCTCCGTCACGTGCTTTGCGAAGTTGAGCTGGCTGTTGAAGACAAGCTTAATCTTTCCGTCCTTGTCGATGACATACGTTTGCCGACCTGGAAGGATAACAGATTGATCAGCGCGTCTGCAACTATGGGGGTCACAAACAGGGCGTCTTGTTCAGTAGAGGAATGTTTGTCGCAGGCCACTGGTTTCCTAAGGATTTCTTAGCCCACAAGTCTTCTCATCGAACTCCGAAGGGGGTCGGAAAGACAAGGGACCTCTCGGTGACTTACCCTTTTAGGCAACGAAACCATCATACGAACACCATTCTCAGCAACAAGTCTCTGACCTCGACCAGCTGCAATGATATATTGCCGCAAAGCTTACGGAAACAAAACAGTCTACGCTCAAACCTGCTAACACTCAACGACTTCGGAAGTGAATGGTTGGATTAGCATTCAGAAACCAAGAACTCGTCGACTTTGGCTGCACCAGAGCTCCGGAAAGACATGGTTGATTCGTTTTTTCTGAATAAGAAAGAAGAATCATGGACCATTTCTACAGAGGAGGCCTTTCTAACAGCGGGCGAGAGTATTGGGTCGTATTCGGATGCTCGACCACTGTCGGAGAGGTGGACCTGTATTATGGGTCGCCTGCTATCGCCAGTGCAAACGAATTTCTCTACAGGCTTGACTGTCTGGACAAGAAGGCGCACCTGCCAGCGCTCCAAACAAATCGCTCGGGATGCCCCACTCCTTGCGGGTCTTGTTACCCTCGTCGCTGAGCAGGGTAAAGGGCAGGTTGTACTTGGCCTTGAACGCCTGCAAGGCAAACAAGGCCTCTTGTACCGATTCTATGCTATCCTCCACTCCTGAGGTGCTACTGAAGGATGAGAATCCGTTTCGGCTTCGTGCTCATCCTCGTCCGCCAGCTTGTGCAGTAGATACTGGAACAGGCAGACTCTGTGCAGGTATGAAAAAGGAACAGGAATCAAAGAGTGAAGCGAATGACACGGGGTGGCAGAGAGACATCGGTCAGTCAAGCACGGATCGCGTTCCTGTGAGGACGTCACAGAGCTGAAAAGGTAAAAAACCCCATTTTGTTGATGTATCTCCGCACCGTGTGAGATTCTGGAGAGTCGCCACTGACACCGACGACCTCAGCCCCTGCTTTCAAGAAAGTATCATAGGAGTCCCGGAAGGCGCACGCCTGCAAGAAAAGCAACCCAGGTTGAGTTACTGCACAATGGAGTGACTCCTACAACAGATACTTGTAGACTGTCCACGGTCCTAATGGGACACGAACAACAGCCAGATTGCCCTTTCCCAAAATTGCACGTTGTTGGGATCTACGAGTGAGGTGTGACTACCGATTTGAACGCCTTGTCTTTGACTACACTGACTTTACAACGCCTCGTCCGGACTTTCATCCAATCAAATCTCACTCAAACAGCTCCCCTTCTTTTCAACTAAATAGCAGACTGACCACTTCATGAGAGGCTCTGTAAAGTCTTCGTAGCAATCTACACTTGCTTAGCTCAAAAGTCAAAAGTGAATTCAATACTCACAAGTAGATGGGAAAGCAGCTGCGCTAAGCAGTTGTGAACTCAGAAACTAACCAATGAAGGTCCAGAAATGATACATGGGGCCTACCTCCTTTGTGCATCCAGGGGTGTCGTCTGCTGGGTAAAAGTATAGGACAACACTCTTTCCCCTCAGATCACCCAGACTGAAGTCCCTGTGAATATAACAGAGGGGTCACTCATAGGTTGCACAGCAGACCCTAGAGCCTGTTTCACGTAGATCCTGACATGTTTTGATGGAAAGGATGGTTGCTCATACGTGCATTCTGCAGCATCAGAGGGCAGACTTCTACAAATATATAGCGCCTATGATAGAGGGTGAGCCATGATGCAACTTACTTTCCATCCTGATCTTTCAGGATGAGCGGGGGGACGGTGTCACCAACAGAGAGCTGCACAAAAGAAGCCAGGTTTCAAGCGCCAATTTAGCAAGCTGATCCTTGCTACATTGACAAGAAAGAAGAGAGGAGCCACACATCATCGCAGAGGACACATAATCGAGTGTTTTGTGGACTACAGTAGAGCACTCAAACCAGTCAATGTGAGAGAGTTCTGAAGAGAAACCTGCCACATAACACCTCATGCCACGAACACTACTGATGTAAATGTCCATCACAACCAAAAATCAGTAGTATCAAGGTCCTGAACGGAGAAGAGCCTTCATTCCCCCTGTTAGTCTCCAAGTAAGATAATAATCTGCTTACTTTGGCAGATGTTTCCTTCCTGCTCCCCAGTTTCTTCAAGAACGACATTTTTCTATACTGTGACAATTGCTCAAAGCTCCCTCCTCCCAAGACTGTGGTGCTACTAAGCCCTGTCAAAGAAAGTGGTGCAACGAAAGACGTCTTGAAACTCTCTTGCCTCAAGTGAACTCTTCCTTTCACTGTGGAAAATGCACACAGAGGGGCAGATAAAGAGAGTACTGGAGAAACTTTGGTGGCGGGAGCAGCGGAGGCAGCAATGCTGTGCCTCAGAAGGCGGAACGAAGCTGCAATAGGAGTCGCAGTCGTCATCTTGGCAGAAATCGAAGCTAGCAAGATCTGCCGCAGCAAGTGTCCAGCGTGGACGCCACATGTGCATAAAAAGTCTAGCTGTACATGCATAGCCTCTAGCCTATATAGCCTATTTAAAATGGGCGTTTTCACAGCCGGGTGTGATCATGACCTACTCGCTTATGCCACTGCTTATGGGACTCAATGCAGTTGAAATTTCAACAGTTTGTACCAAAGAGTTGAAAAGATACTGGCAGAGTGCGCCTGAAAATCGCCCGTCAATGGCAAATTGTGACCAGTATTCTTATGCTCGTATAGTACCATTTAAGCATAGTTGGTCCTCGAATGTTGGGCTCGCATGTTGGTTTAGGCTTGTGGTTAAGGTTAGAAGGTTACGTCTAAACCCGTTTCACGGTGTCTGGGCCTCAACTTTCAAGGTCTGCCATGCTTGCTCGGTCTTCTGCAGACTCCAGCTGCTCTGTCAGTGTAGGGGGCACGCGGAAAGTGTCTTCAGCAAGAGCGCCTTGGATGTTTGCTTCAAAGGCTCTTCAGAATTGCCTTCAGCAGCTGAGAGCAATCACCATCACGACGAGCACTGCTCTGTACCTTCTGCATCCAGTGAGCAAATAGATTGCTTTGTTGAAGATTCATCGTGACTGACACCCATCTCTGCTGGTATCTCAAGGGTGTCATTGAGTTCGTTTGTCTCAGCCACTTTCCATTGTGAGGCACGTGAGGTTTATAAAAAACCGTTTTATTTTAGAGTTATAAAAAATGGGGTGAAGATTCGTAGGCAGTCAAGTAGTCGTTCAAAGGCCGCTCAAGCCTTTGAAGTTGCCCCTTTGAAGTCGTTGTGGGTGAAGTGCACAATCAGTAATCACTCAGCGGCTGAATTTTCAGCCGGTCAAGTTTCGTTGGCCCCTCTCATCAGTTTGATTGTTGGGTGGACTCTCACCTACCCTCCTTCTTCCTGCAGATCCTCGCCCATAGTTCAATTTCATTTGGGAAGGTCTCAAGGACTTTGCTTCATATCTTCCATATACCGCCACATCGCGAAGCAGAAGCAAGGGGGGGGTGACAGTACGGTCAGGGTTAGGAGCGCCCTTATTTATCCCCGTTGTTGCTCTTGGCCAATCAACGGCCCCTATGATCGGGTTCGGGACAGGGCAGGCTCAATTTGCACTGAATCCTACAGAAGGCTTGTTGCAGTTGGTGGTGTAGTCGTCATTCCGCACAGCTTACTGAATGTACCTTCCATTGGCACTGAACAAACCGAGGGACCCGAAAGACGAGACCTGTTCACTCTGACCGGGAAGAATCTTCCCGCTGCTAGTTTGCTGATGGTGAGCACACGAGTGGCCAAGTGCCCGTGCGCGACGTGATTGGTTTTGGCGAGTCTGATGGCGTCCAATCAGCAGCAGGGGACCCAGGCGGGGGTGCGCACGCACTTTAAAACGCCGGAGGGGCGGTTTAAGGTTGGCAGGGAGAAGTCGCACCCCAGCGGGGTGATGCACCACTCTCACAACAGGACTCCCACAAAGGTGAGGAGGGAAATCAACATTCAAGCGGGGCTGAGAAAAGCTCCGCTCTCTGTTTGAAGACGAGAGCTTCGTCAAGAGACTGGCGGTCACTTCTCTGATAGCTGTCCCAAGTGGTCAAGCAATAAAGCCATGTTTGAGCATTGTTTGAAACGGTCCTTGGTCAGAGGCGTTGTTCGGCTAATTGCGGATTGTTTGCGGCACCTTATGGTCATTTGACAACGTTAATTTCTTGACTGCATGAAGAGGTTCTCTGTCACCTCATTGGCTGTACATTTTACGTACCGCTTCACCTCGTAAATAGGAGATTCCCTGTCTCAAACTATCAACTTCTGGTTTTGATCTTTGATTCTTTGTTCCGTTAGCAGCCCTGCATGTTGTTTCCTGTTTTGGATTTCTCATTTGCAATTCACCTGTCTGGACTTCCGTTGGTTTTGCTGAAGGGTTTTCCTTTTGTTCCACGCTTCTACTGGTTTGTACAAGATTCTCCCAACGATATGGGAGAATGCGATGCATGAGTCCGTTTGAGCAACTTGAGTAACCTTGAAGTCAATCTGCATCAAGTTCTGCGTTGTCCCAATGTTGGTTTGTCGTCATGCCTTGTTTTTGACTCCGATTGACGAGAGAACTCCATGCAAAGAGCCTTGCTCACAGCTACCTTCCCCAGGCCTCTTCAACCTTGCTCGAACGGCAACGTAATCTCACCCTTGACTTGGATACCCACCCAATTCCAACTCAACGATCGAGTGGTCCCTCAATTCTTCATTGCAAGCAGGCCTAAATTGATTGTTGTTAGATTCGACTGGTAAGACCTTGTTGTTCTTAGGCAATCGAAACCTGCTCAAGGCTTTCTTTGGAGATTCTCGCTCCATAGCCGCATCCTCTCCACAGCACTTGCCCTTAGCAAAACTGCTCTGACTTTGTAACGGATCAAAAGCTAAGCGATTTCAACAGAGGGTATATGACAGGGAACGACCTCCGTCAGAATCTGGTTAAGGTTTCCCAGCTTAAGGTTTCCCAGGTTAAAAGTTTTCCAGGACTGACCGTTCGAGTGCGGCTGTGATGAAACAAAGGCCGAACTGCCTGCTGCCCCAGGCTGAGAATGCCTGATGAGGTGGCGGTCTGATGACTCCCGTAGGAAGGTCTGAGCCGTCACCAATCCAATTCCGCGATTTCCGGGATTTTGAGTTTCTGCTACGACACTGAGCACCATCTCAAACCCTTCGTTTAGATGATGCTGGACGGCGCACTCATTTTGAAGATGCAAATGCCCGCTGCAGATGACGAGGGTTTGCGCAAGTTGCAGATATGGTCTTCGACTTGCTCCGATGACCCCTTCTATAACGCACTCGATCATGATGAACCCCTTCTAGTCAACGCGCTTATGACGAACCCGCTTTTGACGGACTCAATCGTTTGGGACCCTTCAAAGCAACTTGGTGGTGTGCTAGTAACGTGGTATTTGGAAATGACTTGCGTAGGCATGCCGCGATGACCCCTTCTAACCATTCTGGTCATGCGCAGATAACCTACGTAATCCTGAAGGAGCAGCCCCGCACCCCCGCCGGCACTCCCAACCCCTCCAAGTCGTCCACTGTCTCGCGCTTCCTCGGAAGCAACGGCACGAAGCAAAGCAACGGGCGTTTCGGCCACAGCCGCACATCCAGCTCCGGGGGGGAGAAAACGCCCCGGCGGGGAGCCCCCGAGATCCTAGACGTTGCGCTTCCGGATGAAGGGGGGGAGAAGACGTACGTGGTCTACAACATCGCAGACGGCGTCTTTGTGGCGGACTATAAGTCGCTGGAGAAGGAGCCGGTGAAGGGGATCTTTTTCAACAACGCGCCGCCGCTGTGCCATGCGTTTCGGGAGGGGGGGACGGGGCACGATCTGCTTATCGGGCTGGCGTCAGGAGACGGTGAGCTTCTGAATCGCTCCTTTTTCTCAGCCCTTTGTTCGACGTACCGCAGGAACTCGATCTCTTAAGCTTCCAAAGAGCGTATGATGCGTCTTTTCCAAGGCTAGACTGTGGAGGCTCTGTTACACTGGCATGCTTTGGTCAAGGTTCCAAATGTAACACGAAACCATGCAGAGCTTACACTCTGCTTGAACTAAACACGATTTGAACTTGAAATAACACGTGAATAGGACGGCTGGGGTTACTACGGGGTTCAGGGCGGGTGAGGTGCCAAGCAGTACCAGTTCTTTTGTTTCGGTGTGCGTTACAGGATACTTTTCTGGATCGTTGTACCATAAGATTCGCGAATTCTTGCACTTCAGTGCACACTCGAGTCAGAGCCACGACTGTTCCCGATAGAAACCTTTACCTTTGATGTTCCAGTCTACGCATGCTCTCTGCGCGCGCAAGTCGCCGACTCGGGGCGCAAGCTGACGGGGTCGTCGCACTTCAACAAGGAGGGTGCCGTCAGCAGCACGCGCTGTTACGGCGTGGCATGGGTGCCGGGGCGGGACGACCACTTCGTCTCCGCGCACGCAGACGGGAACATCTTTCTTTACGATAAGGTGGGTGCATGTATCTTTTGAGTCGATGGTCGACAAGTGGACGTCGATCAAATCTGTGCTTCATCCAGCAGGATTTTATTGACATAGGCATCCGAGAACCGGTAGGCTTAGTTAAAGGGCAGGGTCTGGTAGACGAAGCGAAGCCGTATATTTTTTATGTTAGGGTTTCCAGTTAAGGTGCCCCGGCGTTGGAATCCTAGTACAAGCTGAATTTGAGAGCTCGAGGTACCAATCTCGTCATGTTCCAAAAATGCAGCGGCCTAGACATCCAACCACCTTACACATGTCATCAGCTCAGCTTTTCTGGTCTTATTCCAAGCACTTATTTGTTGTCCCAACTTCGTTATCACGGACCCTCTTTACCTTAATCTGCAAGGAGCGAATGCTTGTCTTAGCTTTTGAAGAGCTACACGATCTTGAGACTCTTGTGGCGATTGAGATCCGGGATTTTGTCCATAACAGCGACAGCAACCTCGTATTGTTCAAGGTTCAGCACGCGTCTGCCATCGAAGAGAGTTACACGAATCGTCTTCAGGGGTCGTTTTTTGCAGCCCCAAACATTGATCAAAGCCACCGTCGAGCGCGAAGAGCGAGTTGTTTTTCTGGCGGCACGGAGCAAACGTTTCCGGTGGCCGTCCGATCCACACATCACTGGCTGTGTTTTGCTACGGTGCAGAATAAAGAAGGGAGTTCTGACGTCACCTTCCCTCCGATCCGGGACACCGCGGCCTTCTCCGTGGCCCACGCACGCTCCAGCAAAGTGAGCGCTTCCGCAGACTGTTACGATGAGTATGTTTTGAAAGGCGAAACAAGTTCGATCCCCCTATGATCATCTTTTTAACTTCTCTTTTCAACTTCTAGGTTAGGGTTGTAGTGCCGCCGTTGTGTCAATCCTTTCCAAGACGGAGTAGATGAGGGCTAGCTCCCGTTCTCAGTAGAGCCGGTCAACGATCAAAGCCTCGGTAACTGTGCAATATGGAGCACTCTGGCTCCGGATCCTTTATGCAGCGACAACATGTTGTTTTCGACGGGCTGTTCGATGCGTGACAGAAAGGCGAGGATGTCGTATATCATTGCGACTCGTAGCTTTTGCACCTGATGCATTGCCGACTGGCGCCGGAGCATGTTGTCCTTGCATCTACTGGGCCCGAGTGAGTCCAAGCGTTTTCATAATCCTGGAAGGATCGCAGTTGTCCGCACGTCCTGTGCTCTGAACTCAATCATCAAGATCTGAAGCAAACGGCAACGGGAAAGAACTAACAGAGGCCGGTTCTTTTGTGCAGAGCAACCCGATCGCGCGGTGGCACATCTCTGGCAGCGCCATCAATGACGTGGCCTTCTCCCCGGACGGCAACTACCTGGCGACCGTGGGCAGGGACGGTGAGCGCAGCGCTGACGTCAGCTTTTTGAGGATACGTGTTGCTGTTGACTACGTCATCTTGGGGAGGGGCCAGTAGCTGGCTCTATCTTTCTGATGTGTAGAGAACGACGAAACCCGCATGACCTGGCAGCATCAGTATGGAGGTTCTTGTTTTTGTTTTGCGTCGGCTGTGAGTTTTTTGAGGTCACAGTGTGGCCCCATGGGCTGTCCAGCCTCCCTTCTTGAGAACCGTTTTCGTGAAGAGACGTATTGACGAGCTGACGGGCCTTTTTACTACTGAGCTCCTTCGATGGCGTTACCCGACAGCAGGACGGTCAAGGCGCCCCGGCGCTCAGTGCCCTGCCTTTCCCGATACCTGGCAGCCTTTCGGATGAGCGCGACTCTCAAGATGACCTCGCTTGAGAAGTGTGCAGACCCATTACATGCCCGTCATTTCCTGTGTTTACGAGTTGATGCGAACCCTTGTGCTTCAGGCTGCCTGCGCATCTTCGACTGGCAGCGGGAGGCTTTGCTGTGCGGGTGTAAGAGTTACTACGGGTCGCTGCTCTGCTGTGCCTGGAGGTGAGTGGTCGAGAGACAAACCCTGACTGAGTCCAGGGTGAATGCTATGGATGATCTAGTTAGGCGATTGTCCAGATTCCGCAGCGAGGCTACTCACATCCACTTCAACCCAAAGGACGACGCAAGGAAGCGGAATGGGTCTTATGAATCAGAACAGTTATCCTATGGACTCGTTGATCCAAACAGATTGTGGTTAGTCACCTTTGTTTGTTTTGGTGTATTGGAATCCCCGTCTGTCTGTGTGGGACTAGTCTGTTTGTGTGGGACTACGCCATACGGTTATTGGAGGTGCTTCGGAAGAAGATTGCATGGACACTTGGGCCGACCTTGCTGAAGCTTTAGTAAAGATTACGACGATGTTTTAAGCGAACATTGACAACAAAACATGGAGGATTAGTGCTCTACACCCTACCCACCCAAAACTTCGAAACCGATTGTACTTGGCCCAACGCAGTACCCTCACTCTGGTATAAATTACCTGAGCCCCCGTCTCATTGTCCCTGAAATCAACGACATTGCTCCTTCTCTTCTCTTCAGCGGTGACAGCAAGTATGTGTTGACCGGAGGAGAGGACGACTTGGTTTCTCTTTTCAGCCTGGAACAGCAAGCGGTCGTTGCCTGGGGAGAAGGCCACACGTCGTATGTGAGGACCGCCGCTCTTGTCTCTCCTCTGCCCGTGACCTGCGTCTCGTCCATGCACTCCTAGCTTTGCCGAGTTACAGAATATGCTCGAGAGAGGAAAGGTGAGAGTAATATGACTACAAGCGGTGTTTCACGACAAAGTCACCCTCGTTTCAAGAGCAAAGGGTTGCCCGGCAGTATCCAAAGATTTCTGATTGAGACTCAAAAGGCATCTGTTCTGCGAGGGCATCGTCTCTCATACGAGCCACCCGTTATAAGCCTTCTTCATTTTGAGGTTGCTGGCTTATCGTCTCCCAATACGCAAAGGGCAGCGCAACCTGAGTTTGGGACAGGCGGTGCTCGTCAATAACAGAAAAGGTCTCCTTGTCTGGGTTCAGCTGACGTGTACATTGACGTGTCATTGTTGCCACGTGTGCAGGTGAGCGGGGTGGCGTTCGACTCCCATTGGTCGCAGCCCCCGTCAGAGGAGGGCCACGAAGCCGTGACCTACCGGTTTGGGTCGGTTGGGCAGGTTAGCATTGACCCAATCTCATGGTCAAGTGTCCACGAAAGGGAAATCGTCACATATACAGTCTGTGACTTACCGATTTTGGTCGGTTGGGTGGATTAGCTCTAACCTCGTTCCCTATACAATATTGTCACTCTGTGGAGCACTTCTTGTGCTGCTGGGACACTCATCCGCAATGGTCTTTGGACTCGCTTCTGGATTCTCGGTTGGAAATGGTTCGCAATCAAGCAGCACTGGTCCTCCTTTCCACTGAGCCATGATGGTGGAATCTTGATTTGGTGCGCTGGAGGTTTATTTTGCCAAATTGAAGGTTTCTCTGCGAGGTTTCCTTGCAAGGGCTCTCTAAGGATACCCGGGCACGAAACGCTGAGTTAGCCCATCTGTTTATGCCGAGGCTCACTGTCGTATACGTCAGCTATTGACTCTCGTCCTAACCTTCCGCCACGCCCTCTGCTCATATTCCCCTGTTCCTAACCCACGCTCATACGGGTCCCCTATTCACAGCCTGCTGATGCGCGCCTATTCACACCCGCAGGACACGCAGCTGCTGCTTTGGGACTTCGCCATGGAGGAGTTCGCCTCAGTGCCACGTGGCATCGCCACGACGCCCCTCGCCAACTCCCAAACCCTTTCTCACCCGCCGACCCCAACGGCGCCCATTCACACCGCCAACAAGCCCCCCAACCTAGCGGCCTTGAACACCGGTTTCCAGCCCGATGTGAATAAGCACCCGACTCCGAGATCCGAGGGGCCCGCAACACCTCTGGGGGGGTACACTCCGCAGGGGAACACTCCCCATGGAGCGAACGCACAGCTTGGTGCAAGTACCCCGCTTGGTGTGAATACTCCACACGGTGTGACCAGCCCCTACGGTGTGAACAGCTCGCATGGTGTGAACGGGCACGGTCTTGCGCCGCCAGTGTCGAGAAAGGAGGTGCCGAAGCTGGCCCCCATTATGGCCCACAAGGTGAGAGCTTACAGACTACGCTGATCTGAGCCGATGAAAGCGGCAGGCCCAATGTAAGCGTGCAGAGTCCTGCAAAGTGCAAAGTCACTTATAACGGCGATAGGATGATGTGTATCAGGCACAAGATAACCGTGAATGAATTGGCAAAGACCGGGCGCCAAGTGAGGCCGTCTTGACCGTCGATCAATGTATAAAGCGGGAGTAGCCACATGTCCCCAGTTCCGATCTCGGATTGCTTTTCTTTGTTTGCGGTACGGTGTAATCCATTTCAACCGGGTACTTGTCCGCTCAGGTGCACGCTGAGCCACTGTCAGACATCGTCTTCGTTGGGGACGCCCTGCTGACGTCATGCCACGAGGGCGTGGTCAAAATCTGGCAGCGGCCGAGCGGCGCAGCCGATAGCGAGGCCGGCGCCGCGCCAGGTGGCGCAGCGACGCCCTCCAGTACGGACTCGACGCCCGTCGCGCCGGTCCGGTTGCGGGAGAGCGAGGAAAGCACGATGTCATTTGGGTGACGGAAACGAAACGCACGGATATGACGGTCTGTAAAGTGCACGGCATAACGCATGTCACGGGGATGGTGTCCGGTTGAAGGAGAGGGAAGTTGACTGCTATGCGCACGGGTGATCATAACGGAGTGGAATGGAGTTTTGCGCGGACTGGAGACCACGTGAAAAACGTGGGTCCTTTGAAAGAGGCGACTACTTTATGCATGTCAAGAATCAGATAGGGCATATACTGGTTTAGAGCTGGTCACTGCTTGTGACGAGCATACCTGAGGAGTCCGTGAACATTGTGAATGTTGGTCATCACACCACGAGGAAGTCGGTCCCTGCTGGACTAAGAGCATTCGCATATGTTATGGTGAATGAAACAGCAAGTCAGGCCAACGACCTTCTGGCTTGGCGGCACTCGGAGATGAAGTGCACATTGCAATACAGCACATGGTGCGACCATGCGTCATGCACGATTTGCGGAAATTACTCACTCAGCGACGAAAACGCCATGGTTTATGTCAACACACCTTTGGACCAGGCCCGGCCCTACGCGTCAGATGGTAACATGCATGATGCAAAGAAAGAGAGGGCCGCCCACAACTATTGCGCATGCCATTGCATGTCATGTATGCTAACAAAGGTTAGGAAACAAAGCATCTTGAAACATGCACTTGTTCCGGCGTCTTTCAAGCAGTCCGATTCATCCGATGTTCCGCGCGGCTGGTCATGCACCGTCGTCCTTTCGAATTCACGCACGACAATCCTTGTTTTGCTTAGTACTAGCTTTACATATTAAGTAGGAGCCCATCACTGCAAAGTTGCACGCGAAAACGTTGACGCAGTTTGCATGCTCTGTAACATTGCCGTCGCAGCTTCGATGTGGTCCCAGAACGAGTTGCGACCGCGAATCGGGCCCTGTCTATCAGATTGGTTGGTTCTATTATAATTAACAAGAAGCGTCCGAGTGTGCACTGCTGCCGAGCTTTAAAGACGCATCTGTGCAGGGAGCGCACGAAAGTGACGGTTAGATCGAAAGTCCGTTCTGCATCGAAATATCCTTATGATGAGAAGGGTACATCGCAAAACTGTTACCGTCTGTGACTTATCCTACTCTGCGACCAGCTGTCCGACGCACCAACAAAGCGGTGCAACTTTCTACCGTACCTGCTCATTCCTTCAAAATACGACTATGTCCTCGTACCTCTATTATGGCTCTCATACAAGCGCCCAGCCAGCAAATCCATCTCTATTGGAACAGGTTAGCAAAGAGCCCGCCCTTTTGGTCCGCCTTGATCTCCTCGATAACCTTGATCGTCTCCGCCACGTGCTTCTCCGGCGAAAACTGGTTGTTGAAAACCAGCTGTACGACGCCCTTCTTGTCCAGCACGTACGTCTCCCGCCCGGGAAGCGCGCCGAAAAAGTCGCCCTTGATGCCGAACGCCTGACGGACGGAGTTGTCCTCGTCGGACAGGAGCGTGAAGGGCAGGTCGTACTTCTCGGCGAAGGCCTGACGGAGAAAGCAAGAAGTTTTTGAGCTGACAAAGAGATAAAGGAAGGCGGCAGTAGCAACCTGACGAAGAGAGATTGCTGATGATCCTGGTTGGGCCAAAGCACCACGGGTAGATTTAACCTTGTGCAAAGACGTGCGGACGATTTGGGAGTTCTATGGGTTTGAAATGCAGCAACACATAGGAATGCAACAGTGATGAAAAAGAACCTGAAGAACAATGACGATGGAAGCAAGAGAGAAAGGAGTAGAGGGCACTTTTTCAGTCGGCAAAGGCTCAACGGACAATGGTGGCGTTCTCGGGATGTTAGGCAGAAACGAAGGTAAAACATTTGCGTACGCATAAATGTCTGAAGATGCTAACGGTACCTTGTGCTTCTCAGCGAAAGCGTAAGAACAATGAGCAAAGTTGTCCAAGGATGTCAGGTTGAAAAGGAAAAGAGAGCCAATTTAAGTGAGGGAGAGCAACTCCGGACAGGAAATCCTCGGCGAAGGCCGAGGGCAACAAGAGAGAATTTCCACAAGAGAGAAGGTGGATCCATTATTTCAAAGAGATGAGCTACTACTTGTCCTCGTCAGGCAGGAGCATGCAGCACAGAGCATAGTTGTGCAGAGAAAGGCCTGACAATCAGGAAATGAGTAGGTAAGAAGAAAGTTAAGAAGACCACCACAGACGCAAACATAAAAGGAGCACGGAAAGAGAGACGGGCAGGCGGCAAGAGCGGAAGCTGGACATCAGAGTCTCGCGGCTGCGCAACGTCCTTGTGACAGACGTAGTCTTTTCTATTCTCTTCGTATTCTCTTCGTAGTCTCTTTGTGAGCTAAGCCTGATCGCAAGGAACTTCATAAAAGAAGCAGCGACTTGACAAGGTGGGAGCTGATGAAGCTGCTGAGGAAATCCCGCCAGAGAACACGAGTGGCAGCTTTCGAACTCCACCTAAACGAATTTCAGTTCGAAAACGCGACTTTGAGAAACGAGGTATTCAACGATGTAATTAGCAACGGAGCCGCCCCGTGCTCACCTTGTGGGACTCAGGTGAGTCTGCGCTGATGCCGACTACCTCCGCACCGGCCTTCTTGAAGTCGGCGTACGAGTCACGGAACGAGCAGGCCTGCAGTGGGAGATAAAACGGTCTACAACTAGGAACGACGCTGCAAACATTTGGATGTGTAATGACGGGTGATCGAATCTGTATTTTGGCTGGTCGACTCGCGTCCCAACTTTTGAATGCTTGCCATAACCCGAACCGTTCGTACATCCAGCTTGTGTGGAACGCGCGAGTGACGTGAGCACTAGCCCAAAAAATCGATTCGTGCTTACGAGGCACGTAATCCTCGAACACGCTGCGGATCCCATGGGGCGGCAACTAGGTGCGAGGGGTGGTTGTCCGGTCAAAAGCCTTTCAAATCATGGCTGTGGAACTATGAATATGCTACCCTTTAGCGGCTGGCGTCTTGGCCGGTTGGCATCGTCTGTGAAACGTGAATGAGAGCCTGATTACGGAGTAAAGACCGCACTGTTAATTTCGCCAGACCGCACTGTTGTCTCTTCTTAGTGTTTTGATGTAGGCGGGTCGAAGGGGATTGCAGGCACGGCAAACATCGGCGGGTGTCAGTCTTCGCCCTATAGAGGGCATTAAGCGCTGCCGAAGGAGATGGGTGCTGACGTTCGACTTGGTTAAGCTGTCCCATGTAGCTTCGAGCTGCCAATCCACGTGGATGAGAATCTGCTTTGGAGCTTACTGCAACGATCCATTGCAACACAGCCTTCCAATTCCTGTTCTTTCGACAGCCCCATCTCGGCAACCCTCACTTGAATGTGAGTTGCCCGTTTAAAACGATCGTCTTTGCAGTGTCTGATGTATATGTACTCTCCGAAGTCACAACCCATGTCGCCCAGCTATGCACGCTTTCAGGTCCACTTACTTTCATGAGGAGCATAAGTGCCTTCCATCCTGAACCTAAAGTCCCAAAAGCTTAACACACCAGAATCAACGAGTCAAACACCCGCATTTTCTGCATATCGCAGACAAGAACTTTCAGACAAGACAAAGAGGCGCCCAAAACACCCCAGATCACCGCCCGTTACTCAATCCCGTCTATCGAAAGATCCGGGCAGATTTCAATGGGTGCAATATCAGCGGACCGTTTTCTCACCTGCTTGGTGCATCCGGGTGTGTCGTCCTTGGGGTAGAAGTAGAGCACAACCGGCTTGCCCTTGAACTTGCTCAAGCTCACGGTGCGGCCGTTCTGGTCGGCGAGGGAGAAGCTGGGCGCTTCATCACCGATGGACACCTGGACAAGAAGTGACAGTTCTTGAACTGGCTCGATTTGTGCTTCTATGCTTGTAAAAGATTTGCTTCCAGGAGCGGGGAAAATTTGCGCTGTTATGCTTGTAATAGTCTTTGCTTCCACGACTGGGGAGGTTTTGTGCTTCTATGCTTGCAGGAATTTTGCTTCCAGGAGCGGTGGAGATTGGGCTGAATCGCCACGCGGCAAAAGCCAGCAACTCATGATGGAAGAAAGAAAAAGTAATGACGTCAAGCTTCAAGGGAAAAAGCATTGAACTCCTGTAGACCTGTCCCGGTAGTCTCTTACCAAAGCCCGTTTCCGCGAAAAGTATTCAGTGAAGCCGACCTTCTAGCTCCATTTGCAGCATGCACAGAAACTTCTGCAGCATGAAAACTCCTAGGTGACAGGCTTGTTTACATTTATACTCAAAGCCCCATCAGCGTCAAGATGCGGCCGCATCAAATCTATGCTTGTAGCAGGGAAGTGATGATCTCAAAGGTAAAGTGGGGATAAGACAATGAGAGCAGAAGTGAGATGTTTGACACCATTCCAACACGATTCAAAAGGCAATCGCTGTGTAGTGAATCACATCAGCGTTAGAAGGCTGCCTCGGTGGCAGAGGGTATTAGGACAGCAGCTTGAAACCTGCCGTGATGCGCGACTGTGTAAAGCACTTCTGAAGCACTTCTATGCTCTTTTCAAGAGACTTCCCCAGCTGATCAGTTTGTCCTGCTAAAGAAACTTAGAAGAGATTCCATGCGGCCATTCTTGTGCATTACATCTGCGTGTGCCAAGACCATGCTGTTCATTACATCTGCATTCTGCAGAAGAGACACCGGCTTTTCACTTTCAGCTGGATGTGCGCTTGGTGGAAAGGATGTCTCATTGCAGCGGTGAAGCCGAGGATCCACTCTTAAACCTGGTCAAATTTCCATATTTCAAGTATTGCAACTGACTTGATGGTTGCAACTGAAAATTCAATGGCCCTACTCCAGCACAATGGCCCTCCGTGATCTTGGTACTTTGCAAGAGGCTCCATCAGAAAGCACAATACATCCATTAGCTCACAATCCCTCTAGCTGCATATCGAAACCCTCAAAAAGCTGTCAGTATTCGAGATCCTCAAAGCTCTGTGGTCAACCCAACAAGATTAAGCATGAAAATGAAACTTGCAAAAGCTATCACTAAGGCCCTTTCACTGCATTGAAACCGAGATCACAGTAATCAAGCAGTCTAACGCCCAGATCATGCATCCAACACTCTGCCCAATCATTCCATATCCCTACCTTGCAAATGGTCACGGCTGATCCTGCCGCACACCTTGCAACCAACCCCCTGCTCACAGCCTCGAAGCGCGCCCCCACGTTGTTGGCAACAAAGCTGGAGCTCCTGAGGCCAGCTGCGGCCCCCCACTTTTGGGTGGAGCGGGACCTCCCCAAAGGGAGTGCCGCTACTGCGGAAGGCCCGGCGGCTGCGCCGCTCTGGGCGCGGGAAGCATTGGCGGTGAGAGCTGCGCTTGCAGAGAGGGGGGTCGCGCACAGAATACTAGAGGAGGCCATCTCTTATGGATCGCAGGCTGCGGGCTTATAGATGGTTCTTTTCGTCTTTTACGCTGATGGACCCTCCTGAATACTGTAACAGGTGTAAAGGTTACGCTTCTTGGAACTTGTTGAAAGGTTGTACTCAGTCAAAGATGTTCTAGGAAGACAAGCTCTGAATTGCAAGAGCGCAAAGTTTGTTGAAGCAATCAGATCAGAAAGTTCGCATTGCAGATTGCAATGCAGCTTTTCAAAGGAGGCCGCGAAGGGCGAGTGAAAAGACAAGGACGTGGGCAAGTGGGAGCCAACACTCAGCAAAGACAGCCCACGGTAACCACAGGCCTATGGGAGTGCCACGTAAACAGCTTCACCTTCGTACAGAATCCTGGATTCACGAATGGCAGAGCTTGGCATTGAATGCAGAGCCAAAGTGCGCATAGGCTGACGTTGGAAAGCGACTGTCAGAGTGTGGAGGGCCCCGTATGGTCGCTCAAAAGGTGGCGTCAGCATCAGTCGAAAAATAACCAACCACAACCGTTCGATGAACGCAAACATGACTTCAATACCGTCCGTCACAATCCAGTTCAGTATCTAATCGAACGGCACATTTTGATCCGTCAAAATCTGACGGCTGTATATGTCAGAAGGTCTAAAGAAAAGCAGACTGACTGAGCATGACTGAGCAGCACTTCAGTGCAGCGCGATCGAGCCTCAGCCAGGCTCAGGCTCCGGCGCAGCCGACTCCTAGACTCGGAGCGCACACTGATGTCAGTCGCAGCAAGGGCGCCACTGAAAGCTTCCAAGCGCTTGCCAATCGCTGGTTCCCTTTGCCAACAATGGCTTTCAAAGTGCCCCCCCTCCCGCTTCCGCTGGACAAGATCATTGAGCTCCAGAACTTAAATTTGATCGGTTTCGCCTTGCTGATCCTGCTCCCCCGCTTCTCAATCACCAGACTGGTCATTTTCCTGATGACAGTCTTCTGGGCGGCAGCATATGCTTGGAACATTGCTCACACCATGACCACGTCTCCGGATAGCATCAAGTTCGACCAGATGCAGACACTCGATGTGAGGGCCGAGCGAGCTTGCAACTTTCTTCTTCGGAGTTCTGCAGAAGGTCCATGAGTGCAATTCGGTTGGTCATTTCTGGTCATGTTTGTTCCGTCAAGGATTGCAATCTGGAGCGAATTGACATGCAGCCTTTCAGCAACTATTATGGGCCAAACATTTGTGTCTGCCGTGGAGTCCAGAGTCTGATAATTGAAGTGCTCACAAGAAGGCGCGTGTATGTGAGAAGAGGCAGTTTGAGCGGAAGCTGCTTTGATTCAACCGCAAAGAAAAGTCACTCTGAGATTGCAGTGCTGCAAATGCTACTTGATGGGTTTGTTCAAGTTGATTATTGAGCTGAAAAGCACCCACTTCTTGCAACTTCATGATGAAGCGTCTCCTTACTTGAGATCCTGATCACATTGCGGTTACTTTGTTCACACAGCAGTACGTCAGAATCTTCTGATACTGGTAACCCCAGCATTTTGCACTCCAACGAGAAGGTTGACAAACGGTCCATTTTGCAGGGCTTGACTGGCCTGTTCAGCAACAACAAGCCCGGGATTTTTGCGGCCTGGACGCACATGCTCCCGCTCGACTTGTGGGTAAGTTCCTTGCAACGTGCACTAAGGTGCTTGGTTCGTTGTATGCGACTACTCTTTCCCCTCTTTCTAGGTGCGTGGTTGTTTGTCTGCATCTGACACTCGAACAGGTGCATTTAGAGCTTCTGCACATGCATATTTGGATGGACTCGCTTCTGCGCTCTATATTGGCGCTCCTCGGGTGCCTTTCTATGACCAGCAATTGATGATTAATGCTGCATTTATCTAGAATTGATCTTTGTTTGCTCTTTTCTAATGTGTTGGTATGCTCTCTTCCATTGTTTGCTCTTTTCTAATGTGTTGGTATGCTCTCTTCCACAGACTGCCAGGTGGATCATTGAAGACGCCCCTGTCAGTGGCGTGCCCCATCTCTTGGCAATCCCGGCTGTTGTCGGCACTTGTCTCTTTGGACCGGCTGGATTGCTTCTATACTTCATCATCCGGACCCCGTTCTTGCTATTCGCTAGTGGCAGCAAGCCGAAAACTGAGTGATTTCAAAAGTGACGGAAGGAGGGGGAAGCACAGTAAAGGGCTCACTTTGTGAGCACGGTACGTTACTACAAAGGGACGATTTGTCTAAGAGCGGCTTGTTGAAAACAGAAGGTACTTTGTCACATAAGGAGTGTTGAGCAGTTGAGAGAGTTGCCAGGTCGAGACTTTGCTTGCATGCTGGAACCTAATAACTATGCATAACCAGAAGGCTGACCTTTATGCTGTGTTTGGCTTCGACCTGCTTCATCCTTGCTTGTCTTGTTGATGCTAAAGATATCGAAATTGATAGTCATATTTCCGGGATGAATTCTCGTATGAAAACGTACAGACATCAAAAGGGCAAGTCGACTAGTCTTTCAGGTTGCTAGGCAGCCAGCAGAGTTGTATGGCGAAGGATTTGAAGTACTGTCCTCGTCAGAGCTGTCATGCGCAGCCCGGCTCATGCATTCAAGGCCGCGTCAAATCGTCATATTGATGCATACTTTTTCGGACTTGACCATGGCTGCATTCATTCACACCACACCATATATAGCTATAGATGATCTGATTGAAACACAGATCTTTGATGGCCCCAACTAGCCATCGTTGCGATACTTGATGGTGGCCATGTATCGCGTGTGTGCATGTGCATGCACTGGTATATGCCGCTATATGTGCACTGACCTGCTCCGAGTCGCGTTCGATAATCAAAAATCAAAGGCCATGTGGCACATGCCATGTCCAATTGCAGCATGACCTAATTGGCTAGATATTCAGCATGCCTACCGATTCAGACATGTGCCGGTACAATCTTGATCACCTCTCATGCAGGTTTGAACGACTCCTATTGTATCGCGCATACACATTCTTTTGAAAGCGTTCGGACAACCACCAGGTTATAAACGGTTAGTGGAGCTAGGTGTCGATACTTGGGAGCCGTATATTTTGTTGCGCGATCACAGAGAGTTAAATGGTCGATACGAGTGCATTCAAACGTTCCATGATTTCTGAAAGGGTGTGACAAATTTACTGTCTGCGAAGAAAACGTAAGGACTGTACAAACCCAGTATTTACAGTGATATGGACGGCTCGTTGTGTTTCTTGTTCCGTTTCTACTTCGACCATACGTGTTCATTACAACCGAAATCTACCTGAGATTGTGCGGCAGCCGACTAGCAGACCTGCACGACTCTGCTATCAACCACCGTCGATTCCCACTTGGTCTTGACGTTCAACCTTCGTTGTGGGAAGCCTATTGACTCGATGTTCCAAGGAGACCTTCGAAGGCCCAATGCACGCGGCTTGGCAATCTCCCCATGAAAAGTTGGCCTATAGCTGAGCTCGACCGTCACACGAGGCTTAGAGAAGGAGGCCAAGGCCTCCCTCCTTCCTCAACTTTCTATTCGCGAGCAGCTCCTAGATGGTCACAGAGTTTCCAAACCCAGACCCAAACATAACCCATGAAAACCCCACGTACACCCTTTCTAGACGCTTGATCACCCCAGACTTATCTTACAAGTGACGTTGATGCCCACACACCTAAGCTTGCGGCAGCGGTTGTGCGCCCATTTACAGTGCCATTTACAAGCATCTACTCTACAGAAAACGACATTTCAGCTGTACATCGGAATCTTGGCGATTACGCCCAAGTCCCCCACTTGAGCGACCCCAACTCAAAACCCCCAGTTTCACACACCCGCCCCATCGTTTATGTACTTTCTATCGTTGCCGTTTTCTTTCGGGTTGCATCCGAGTCAGACCTGCGATCAGAGACAGTACTTATAAGTCGAAAGAAGCTTTGACAAACACCCTTGACCCTCAGAGTTTCTGAATATTGCTCGCTTACGGATTGCCGGCATTGTTTTAGCGGTTTGTGCCGGCCTTTGCACATGCACTGTCGACAGGCGAAAGAATTACGAAGGCGTTAAAGGGAGCCAAAATTAGAATTGAACGACAAGCAACTTAATTCTCTCTGTCGAGTTAAATGTCTTCGACCACGATGATGCTGCATTCAGACAAGCGGGCTACGTTTGTGTTGTTGGCATCGCAAGACGTTTTACGTGAGCTCGCATGCCCACTTCTTGGCAATTTGCAACTCACTTGGCGATGCAGGCGCCTCGACTTGTTCTTGGTGCGAAACTTCTGAAGCTCGTCCCTCCAGCGAGCTGCGACGCATTCGGAAGGTTAGAACTCAAATCAAGACGATGTCCGTGATGGCTACGTTTTGATCGAGCGTATACACTACTGCAATCAAACAGCGTATTGATATAAAGGCTCATTTCGTAAATCCGAGCTGCAAGGAATTTAGTTAGAACTGATTAGGAAGCGACCATGGAAATCTGCTTCCCGACAGGTGGGAAGAGACTCCCGGAAGCAGAAGCAACACAGCTACTGCCACAAAGGAACAACTTCAGCGAGCCGATTCTCCTGGCCTTCGTGTTTTCCAGTCGCTGATTCCTCCATACAGTTTCAGAAAACTCACTACGCAATGGCTGCCTCAAAGCAACTTTGACTTCGAGAGTCCGTTGCAACTCACCAGCATCAGCGTAGCGCTCCTCATTGGCCGCAATCGACATGTTCTTGATGAGAATAATCTCCTCGGCCAGGGGATCGTGCTGGTTGTCGGCACTGCAGAAATGAAGGAAAGGAGCTTTTAATAGCTAAATAACCTTGATAAAACATGTTTCTGACTATCTTCTTGTTCACGCTCTTATGGTGGGAGGTATCTCAGTTTCGGGCTCTCAGTTTTCGAAAAATGAAACATTCTGCAGGGGCATCTTTGACCCGAGTACTCTTGAGGATCTGTAGGATAGTTCCCCCAACACAGTGCCAAGAAGGTGCTGGAAAACAAAAAAAACTAGGTGCAAAACTTTCATAAGTATTCCCTCTGGCACTTCAGTCAGTTTATTGGCCTTAGAGCTCAGAGGATGGTCACAAGCCTTTGGAAAAACGGCTGCTTATGGCAGGGGCTTGCTCCCCCTTCTGTGCACCGTAAGAAATAAGGCATGCTCAAGCAACCTCACCCTCCTCTGCAAGGTTAACTTCCAGAGGTGTGTCCACCAAAGATGACCTCTAAGCCAAGCACGTGGATTCTTGAAAACATGAGCATGTAAACTCACACATCCAGCCTGGCGTCCGGCAAGAGGCGGGCAAATCCATGGCCGGCAAGGTCTGTCCACACCGTCTTGTACTCGGGGATGACGCCATCAGACTCCATTAAGTTCTTGTTGACAAAGATTTTGACCTGGAACAATTAAGACGCCGATTCAGTACGCCATGATACGGCACCTGCAATTGTGGACACAGGTAGAACATGACCCTGCAACTGCAAGAATTTGAAGGATGACAAAGGTCATAATACAACCAGTGTCTTGTCAAGCATTTGCCCTTCCCTTGTGGCCCAGGCAAAGCCTAATTGCACTAAACCAGACAACTTCCAGCCCTCACAACAGACTACAAAAGCAAGCGCGCAAACCACGGGCCAACTTACGTTGCAGGCGACGGCGATGTTGATAGCGTCCGAAGGCTTCGCATCAACGCTCACAATCTCGTTCGAGTTTGCCTGCAGAAAGACAACTTCGAAGATTAGCACATCGTAATTTGCCACTTAGGGAGCATCAACACCAGACTATTAAACCTAATATTGCATTGTGATGTGGACAGACATTTTACCAGACAACTGTTAGATAGATGGTGTCTCTCAGTCAGCTTATTGAGCAGGCTTGCCTCCTTTCAGAAGTTGGTACGCTCCTCAAAGAACTTTGAAAAATCAGACGAGTGCTCAAAGGGAACACAGACTCTGGAAGCAAACCGCAAAAACGAGTAACGCGCTACTGTAAACGGCAATTTTCTACCTGAGCAAGGTAAATGCGGGCGTGGTACGTATCTACCACCCGTCCCGTCACCCTGACCATCTTAACCTCCATCTTTGTGGTAGCGCACATCTCGCGGATGACCTCATACATGGTCGGCCGGGCCTGAAAGCAGAGCAAACATTGTTAAATTAAGTATCGGACCACAAGGCTGTAGGAAAACCACCTGGACAAACGTATCACTGCCACTGTTGATAAAACCCCAGCAGTGAAGTCAAGTTTGTGGACAGGCTAAATTGATAGCCCTTCTTAAACCATCATTGAGTTAGCCACAACCCTGTTCAGCGGTGCCAATCCGAGAGGTGGGAATAGGTGCTCAACCAGAAATACTGATTTTTTAAGCCCGGCGAATCGCACTTGAGAGCAACAGCTTTGCAGCTTTGTGAAGTATGTTCCTTTCCAAAAGGTCCTCCATGATTCAGCTGGAACAAAATAGCAAGATTGTGAAGTGCTTCCGGTCAGAAAAATGTTTTGTCTGCCAATATGATGAGACTAAGCAAACAAGCAAAGTAGAGAATAAACTCACGCCAGTCTCCTTTTTCAGAGCCTGTGTCAGCATCTGGCTTGCTTGACCGTCTGCAGCACAAAGCGGAAGGTAGTCAAAGATAAGGTACCAGGTCAACACAGCAAGTATTCCAGCGCCACCAGTCCCTGCTCCTTCATGCAAAAAGTGAACCAAAATGGCTGGCACGAACTTTTGCCTGATTCCTGAAAGGAACGCCTTCAAATCCACTTTCAAAATGCACAGTTGACAAAGGTTCTGCCAATCTGAAATCAGCAGAGACCAAAATGTAAACCGCCTCATGCAAGTAACTTACTGACGACAATTGGTAGTACTAGGTCGCTGGCCTCCATCTTCAGAAAGATTGTGGGAACAGCGGCATGGTAGAAGATACGGCCTGCACGAGCGCCAGACACCTGCTTAGCGCGGCGCAAGTTGGCTTCATAGTAATGGAACACTCCTGCTTACGTAGGATACAAACAGCAGATGGCAAACAGAAGTTAAGTGGAGTGACCAAGGTGGGTTCTGAGGAACACAGAGTGCGATGGTGTAAGAAGAGAGATACCAAGAAAAGGAAAAGGCTAAAAACCCTAATGACCAATTCGCAAGAGATGCTTGAAAGGAACACAAAGCAAAGAGATTGCCTGTAATCATCGTGATACTTCATTGTGAAAAAAGTTGCTGAGAAAGTCAAGGTCCAGCTACTTGGATCTTTTTCTGAACGCACAATCAATCCAAAGTGCAACAAATCAGTCACGAGCGGACAATGTCAAGCCAATGCTTGAATCAATGTGAAACTAGAAAACTTCTTCAGTAGGGAGAAAGCAATGTAAGAGGAATAAAGCAGATGGCGTAAAATAGGTTTCTCTGAGAAAATCTACAATGCACTGCTAAGAAACTTTGTGCTCTGCTGCCAAAGGGTTCACTTAGAAGCCAAATAAGGAGTCAACACTAGTTGAACCTTAAAATGCACTTGGAGATATATATGTAGAGAAAGCTCATTCGCTCAAGCTGTCAACCACGCAATCAAACAAATTTCAATGCACACAAATACACATACTTTCAAACCGGCAGGGAATTCTTGAATACAATATTCTTATCTGGTAGTTGGTTTGAAAAGGAGAGTGTTTCTTCTCACATCCTGATGCAAACAGACATAGTAAACCCCTCAATCAAGGCATTATTGCGTCAGCTTGAATTGCTTACATTTCTGAATCACAACCACAGCAGCTGTCAGTGTCTCAACACAGGCAATTTCAAAAGCCCCTTCACATATCTCTTGCAATTGGGCAACATCAACTGGCCTACTATGAGTATGCTTTGATTAGGTACTTCAGCATCCTTCAAACAAATTGACTCACTTAGTTTCAATGCACTTACTTGCATCAATTACAGCAGCCTCCCGAAAATCCTCGTCCGCATGCAGCATATCTTCACCGGAGCTGCCCTGGTTGTCATTCAGGGCCATGCTGATGACCCTCCTGCGAAGCGTTCTCCTCCGAATACTTCTGCTGCTTGGATGTTCAAATGCAACAGCAATGCGAGACATTGGAATTCCACATACTAGTCCGTTATGCACAAGGCGTGTTGGGATTCTGAGAACTGACACCGGCAGGCACCGCACTCGATGAGTGGCAGCTGTGTGAGCCGCCTCCGCAGGGAGCGCTTGTTGAAGCAGAACATTTGAAGAAGCGAAGCGGTTCACCGCAAGAAGCGCCATGGCCCTCACAATTGACCCACTGCTTCAAATGGTGAAAGATTTATATTGGATGAAGTGGATGCGTGTAGGCCTTACAATTGTGGGTAAGCAAAGAAGGATCAATTGCAGCTTAGAAAACGTGCTGCCCTTCAAACCTCATTCCCAATTCTTGCGTCCGGCCCCACTTCTCAAGAAGTTCTGCTCCAAAATGCTGGTTTCCTTCTCAGGCTGGGGACCTGAGCAGCATGAGCTATACGGTATACTTATGCAGCTGCTGCTGATGCAGGCAGCAGGAGTTCAGTTTTGCTGCGCAAGCTGGTCACAGGCCACATGATGATTTGATGTTGGTTACGCTAACGGTCCGACTGTACACTCTGGTTTTTAAGCTACCGTAATTGGTGTAACATTATTGAATAGCATGCAGCCGGTGGATGCTAACCGCACACGTCAACCGCGGCCTGATGTCAACCTGTTCATATAATAGGACGCTACCTGAAAAACATAACCCCAAGCAGACTTTAACCTAGCTCCCGGGCTCAGCTGGCACCTCATCCCTCGGTTAAAAGTAGACCCCGACCCTGAACCCCAGTGAAGACCTAGGATCTAAAACCCAAGAAAAGTCGTCAATGCATGATGATTTTCCCGGTGCAATCTGGCGCCAATGATCGATTGATCAACCGTGTAGTCCTACGCCGGCGTCGGACAGCCCACCCCGGCCGGAATGACATCGATCAGGCCAGCCCGCCATGCGCATGCCAATGAGTGCCTCATCACGTAGTCCGTCCGATTGAAAGATACCACATAAGTGGCTGCTTGTGACCATCCGATTGGATTAACCTGACTCAGCAAACCGACTCGAATCCAACTGGTCCGGTCACATTTGAACCGGTTGGTCCACGAACTTTCGTGCACAGCCCGGTACAGATTTTTCTTGTACGGATATCGTACTTGCCGCAGTCACGTTGAAACTGGCCGCTTCTCACACACACACGAGCCCGGTATAAATGGGTCGGCAACGCCAACCCATTCTGGAGTCTGGATTCAGCATGCTCTTCGAGCAGACTCCTGGAGCGAGCCTGGCGCCTGGGTCCCCTGTGCAGCACGGATCTAGCATGGCGCAATATTGTCATGCTTCAACGACGCCCAGCCTCCAGTTCCATGTCGGGAGGCCAATGATGCGACGTACATGCGAGTGATGCGAGCGCGAGTACACATGCTGACATACAGTTGGGAGATCTCACAAGCAACTGACAAACTGAAGGCCTGAACTTAGCGGCGGTAGTCGATTGTGTCCAGCCGATGATGTATAGAAGAGTAGACCTCTTCAGTCTGCTGATTGTAACCCTGACATTTTGTGCTCTTGAATACGACTAGTACAGTAAGTTGTTATATAGAGTCCCTTTTCCAAAATGTACCTAAACATCCGCGGAAAACAATCTGGTTACGTGACAAAAACAACGATAATGACGGGATAATGACTCGCCGATCTTCCCATGCAGTGACGGCGACAAGGTTGACGAACACTCAAACTTCTTGTCGGATGGGTTTGAAGGTCATGCACTCATGCACCGGTACCTTGCACATGAACAAGTTGTGCCACATTACAAGTCGCTTGGCCTATCGGCCTTATGAATCGGACCATTCTTTGCTTGACTTGAGTTTGCAAAGATTGATATAACAAAAATTTCATGGTATACAATCAATCCTGGTTTCACAGGCTCATACGTATAATTCGAGTCGTTGCGGACCTCCAATCATGCTTGAGGGTGATCTTTCAGATCATGTCTAGGTACATCAAAGTCGATGCCATGCAAACTTCTCTTGGACCGAGTATTTAGCAATTTGAAAATGATCATGGGCCTTCTGATGCATGGGGGATAAATGACCGGCGGATCAACCGGTCGACCAGGATATGGTATCTTGTATACATGATTTATCTGAAGCCTGACGTGCACCTGTACACCTGGATTGTGAATACAAAGCCACGCTAGCACCCGCCCAATCAACCTTAGTATCGTCGGGATCATTTTTCGATGGCAGCGGCTTGTCCTATTTGTGATACCGAGTGCCGCCATTACTTGTCAAGACTTTACCTTGATTTACTAGCTCGTATTTTTGCACCATGAATACTTCGACCCAGGCACTACATTTAACACGTTCAGATCACAGATCTCACCGTAGTGCCTGTTGACCTGCCATGCCAGGCCTCACAAGATCAAAACGAATCATGCAATTCAGTCACATAGAAAAGGACGGAAAGGCTTGAGAACAAAGCGCAGATGTCATTATGATTTTCGTCTACGACCTTTGCGCTTCATACGAGTCTCCCGTTTAGTCAACTCGTCATTCACATTTTTCCATGGGGAGTCGTCATCTGGCCCTATTTGATCAAGAAGGTCGTCTGACTCCTGCATGATCGTAGAAAAGAAAGATTGCGACGTTTGCATATGAGCAGATGTACAAACGAAGTCCAAGTTGAAGCATCTGCTCAGCACTTATGGACTCAGCGTACTACTTCTAAACGGCAGATTGTAAAGACAAAAGTCATCACGATCAAGAAACTTCTGCCTCGCAAATTTGTCTTCAAATCTACTTTATGCAATATCAATCCCTTCAACTCACCCGCATCTTCTCCATGAAGCTCACAGCATAGAATGTGGCAGCGGCTGCGATTATGATTCCACCAACAGAGAGGGCACTGTCGACAATGTTGACTGCCGACATGTTTGCTGCAAATGTAAGCGGATTGATGGACCTGGAGGCTTCTCAACTGTTCTACTTGTGCCTTCTCGCCTCTCATCCTAATTTATTGCCTTGGTTTTCATGGTGAAGAGGAATTCATCAGTCAAGCTTAATGGATATCATGTCCTTTTGCAATTTTCAATGGCTTGATAGTTGACAATGTCAAGTGATGACCAGCTGTGCTTGACATACGTCATTCTTGGACTCTGTGGACTTGGCTTAACCTGTGCTCTAAGGGGGACCTGGAGATTCTTCAAACATAGCCTGCATCCGATCCTTGGATGGCAGATGCATCAGACCCTTCCATGTTGGATCAGAGAGATGAACTCACAACGCAGGTGGTACAATGCTACGAAAGGGCTGAGAGCCAAACCCAGACACTGGAAGCAATCAACTATTCCACTCTTCAATCAAGAGTTTTTCCAAATCCTGGTTAGCTATTCTAACATTCAGCAATGCAATCGTTCTCAGGGCTGAAAGTGGACCACTGTTGTCCTCTAGCTCATGCGTTTATGAAATCGCAGACATGAAAGACTCTTTCAACAGACGTTGTTCTCAAAAGCATCAAAAGATTTCATAAACATTGATTGCAGAAAACTGTGTGATACGCCAAAGTATTGTTGGACTGTCGTCCACCATGGTTGTCGAGAGCGACGAGTGTGAGAATCTTGTATCAGCCATGTGGCTGGCTATGATGGTGGCAAACCACAACAAGACTCAGACGCCATCAATGCATTTCGACAAGGAAGGAAAATTGACAGCAAGTCCCGGCAAAGGTGGCTCATTTGGAGGATATAGGAAGCTTGCTAGACCTCCGCAAGTTGTCCCTTGGCGGTCCGGCCCCTTGGCGCTCACGACCATGCATTGAAAGGGTGCTTACCTGTCTTGCACAATCTTCTGCTGCTCCGCCCAAAGCGAAAGGCCCACGGCGCGACCCACGGTGGTGAAGCTGGAGTCACTCAACCAGCTACTTGGATTTATATGGCCGCCCGGCCGGCCCCTTCTCAGCTTCTCCAAACTGATCTCCCACGCCCTTGTCCCTTCCCCACCGCTGGCACCAGCTGCCCAAATGTGAGACTCGGAGTCGGAGTGCATGAAACATTTTAGGCACCTGTAGATGAGAGTGAGAGGAGCAGGTTCTTCAACGATCTTGGACCGTTCAAAATGTCCATCTAACGGCTTCGATCTCCCCATTAAAGCTGGTGATCCCCCTGCAGGAGTCTGAATCGGAAAATTAGGGTTTCTCCGGCCGCGCTTGCATACAGCGCCATGGTTGTGAGCAAGCTTTCGAAATTCAGGCGCCATGTAGCAGTTGATGTGTCAGCAAACGCAAGACGGCGTGCAAAAGCATTGCCTTTGAGACCCTTGTATTGACATCACTGTCAGCATCTTGCGTGTTGCATTAGTCGGGATATGGGGTTGTGACGAACTGTTGGAGCAATTTTACAAAGCAGACATACCCCGCTCCGGCATTCTTCTTTCACGTAGGCAGAGTAAGCATCCAATTCATCATCGATTATTGGCTACAATCTGCTTATGTTTTCTGAAGCTTTCACCGATTGCGTGTATCTAGCGTGTCAGGGTTAGCACAAGAAGGAATCTGGAGGTCTAATTCAGCGTTTGCAAACGAAGTAGCCAGGATGAAGCCCACGGCGAGTCGCCGTGTGGCTCCTGACAGCCGCATCTTGAAGATGCGGGAATACGAGGACAGGCACAGGGCCTTGACTGAGGCCACTGTTGCTCAGCAACAGATTATGGCTACCGCAGAATGGGAGATGACTACAGACAGGAGGATCAAAGCTCAAGTAATTCAGGGCCGGTTTCAGCATCTAAAGGATAGGGAGGAGCAGAGACTGGAGGAGCGGAGGGAGAGGCTTGCAGAGATGTTGAGAGCAGAGGAGGTTCAGTTTCAGCAGGTGAAATTCTAGTCTTTGCTCTCAGTAATATCTGCCCCTCAACACCATCCACATTTGACCCGTTTGGTATCAAGTGAGCGGGACTTGCAGCTTCTCAGCTTGTGGAGTTTCGGGCCAAAATCAGCACTGCATTTCATGTCGCGGGTTATGAAATACCCAAGCTGTGAGAGCCTGCCTTTTGCAAAGTCAGACAGTGAAGTGTTCTGCACAAATGACGCTCCAAGGGGCTCACAGGTCAAAGAACTTGGTTCTTTCCTTGGCATTCTACCAAAGAAATCTCAACAACTTGGAAAGACCACGTGGGAGAGGGGCTAGGCGAAACATATCCAAAGTGAGGGGCAGCCCTCGGGCTTAGGTGTCCGCACTTCTCTCATCTGCAGAGTCCAGCTCAGAGTAAGCCCAAACTCAAGGGCGGAGTTGGTCAATCTCCTAGAAGGTCCTGCGAGTGCCTCTGCAGCACCCCTTAATCCCTGTGCCTTCCTTCTCAGTGAGAGCCAAGCTCATGGTGAAAATGTGCTTTAGAGGATGCACCTGCCGCCTTTCCCTTCAAGCTGTCCTCACAGATTTTCCAAGCTGCCCAGCTCATTACAAGTATCGACCGTTCTTTTCTTTCCCGCTGTATGCAAGTTCAGTTATGAGCTTTTCTGCTTTGATTTTCCCTACTCACGCGGTTGATAGCATTTTGGCCATATGCCATCATGTTGCCATGTCTTATCAATTTGGTCATAGTCCATCTAGATTTCATCTCAAACAAGAGCGGCCAGCCTGGACTTCCCCAGGAGAAGTGCCAAATGAGCTTATCTCGCATCAGAGCAAGAGCCACCATCTAGACTTTGGGCCTCCATGACTCGGTCGCACAAGAGAGCTGCTACTGTAACTGTCACACATCTGCAATGAAGGTCGCATGTCATGGGCTACAACAGCAACTCGACCGGGGAAAAGAATGCGGATTGCGGAACTTACATTCGTTTCACTTTATGTTTGAGTTTTACTTTCCCGTTCACTTTCACCTCACTAGATTGAATGTAGTTCTTTTGTTTCTCTGTTTCGTCATATTCCATCATTCTAAATCAGATTGCATCAGACTTCAATTCTGGCGCTCAAGAGCTGCGCCGCCTGGAGATCTCCACCTTCAGGGAACACACGACAAGGCCCAGAACAGCAGATCAGTGAGGAGAAAAAGATTGCGAAACCCATAAACTTTTCATGGTATAGAATCAGAGTTGCGTGATCTCTTGCTGAGGAGCTGCGCAGCCTGGAGGTGCAGGCCCAGAGGGAAGGCCCGAAACAGCGGATCAACGAGAGGGAAGGATTGTATGAACTGATAATCTTATACAATCCGGTGTTGTTATTTGCTCAGGAGCTGTGCAGCCTGGAGATCCCCCCTGAGGGAGCACACGACCAGGCCCGAAAGATCAAAGGGATGAGAGGAAAGGGATTCCAGAAATCTCAAGATTATCATGTTGAGACTAGATTAGAATCAGTCTAGAAATAAATTCATGTTGTTCTTTACTCAGGAGCTGCGCAGCCTGGAGATCCCCCCCGAGGAGCGGCGCGCGATGCTGGAGGCGCGGGCCGTGGAGTTGCGCAACCGGCGCGAGGCCGAGCGCAAGCGGCTGGCGGACGAGCTGCTCTTCCAGCGTTGGCGCGAGGGTTGCGACGCCGTGCGCACACTCGACTCGAAGCACTTGACCATGAGCGCCGTCAACGGCAGGTGGGGCTGACGTCAGCATAAAAGGCCGCTAGCTGTTTGCTTTGGTTGATGGTGAATTGCAAAGGGAAGAACGAAAAGGTGGGAGGTGGGAGGAAAGCGTTCTGAGTCGAAGCACCTGACCGTCCGTCTGTCAACGAGCGGTTGGGGCAACACCATTGACTCCACCGGCGAAGCGACTTTGGCAGACGGCTGGCGTTTGTTTGATGCATAAGCTGTGTGCCTCCGGACGTCGGTGGAGGCTGAAGCAGACTGACGGGTCTGAGGGAACCGGTATCACGATTAAACAAGGCCGTTCGATGTTGGGTGCCAGCACTTGATCATGTTCGAGAGTACCTAGTTGACTACGTACATCTTCTTATTGCATTGTTTTCCTTTCATCCACCCTTTTCACCCTTACGGTCATCAGTGATCTCGATTGCTCCTGCTCGTACGTTGAGCTTTCAAAGCTACACACAGGAGAAAAATTGAGAGCGCAAATACAAACCGTCTCCTATTACGATCCGAAACAGCAGAGTACACGATTTCTTGGTTCCGTTTGCGGCAGGCGCACCCAGCTGGAGGAGAAGGATAAGATGCATATCTCACCGTCGACAACGGCACCCCTACTCCTACGACTTTCATAAGAAGCTCTTTTCGATAGAAAGAGAACCACTAAAAGCGCAAACAAAGCGTGTCTCGCAAAAGTCGAGACAGGGAAGAATCCAATTCTCCATTCCGTTTGCGGCAGGCGCGCGCAGCTGGAGGAAAAGGAGAACCGGCTGCGGACCGAGGCGGAGGAGAAGCGCGCGGTGGAGGGCATGATGGAGCGCGAGCGGCTGAAGAAGGAGGCCAAGGTCGCCGAGGAGAAGCGCAAGCGTGCGCAGGTCGACGGCGAAGTCGTCAAGCTGCTGGACGAACAGATGGAGCAGCTGCGCATTCTGCAGGTGGGGCTTGCGATCTGGTCATTTTCAATTTTGTGTTGAAAGAGTCAGAAAAGGTTGGTTCTCGAGCTGTCATTCTTGAATTTTGAGAGCTCTTCTGTTAGGTGAGTACGTTACAGTCGACAGCGAGGTCGTCAAGCTGCTGGACGAACAAACGGAGCAGCTGCGCATCCTGCAGGTAGGGCTTGCGATCTTCGACGTGTTTTCTTGTTCTTCAATTTCCTGAAGACTTCGCAACTTTTGCCTCAATACTCTGTCAGTCCTGAAGCTTGTGAGCTTGATTCTGGTGTGGATTCTGGGGGTCGTTGGAGTGGTCGTCAAGCTGCTGAATGAACAGATGGAGCAGCTGCGCATCGTACGAGTGGGGGCCCGCCAATCTGCTCATTCGGTCATTTTGCGTACTATTTTGTGTAATATAAAGAGGTTAGCTCACTCCCTGTCATTCTTGATTTTGTGAGCTCGTCTGTTGCGTGAGTACGTCACTCGCTCAAGACTGTGAAACTCGGATGCTCACAGAAAGTATGCATCTTCAGTAAGAGAGAAAGCTTCCGAACGGGCTCTCTCTCAATTATCCCCATCTGTTTCAAGTAATCACTGCGAGTGTTGGTCTTGTTCGCAGGAGGAGACGGCGCAGATGACGGCGCGTGAGGTGGCGGAGATGAAGGCGCGGTGGGCGGCCGAAGACGCGGAGCACCGCGCGAGAGAGGAGGCGCTGCGCGAGCGGCAGCGCGAGGTGCGGCGAGAGCTGCTCTCTTCTGCGCTGCGCTTAGACACTTTCGAATCCTCGACAGGAAACTAATGGACTTTTCTGCGCTGCGCATTCACGCTTTCATTGGATCCATCCTAAGGAGAACTAGTGCTCTTTTCTGCGCTTTGTATCTATGCTTGTGTAAAGCAGCGGCAGGATACTGCTGTCTGTCAAATGCTGAGAAGAGAAGGAGCCTGTTATTATTTGATGGGGCAAGGCGCTTTGGCATACCGCTCAAACCCGAAAAAAAGATCGTCACGAGCTTGTTCCGGCGACATGTTGTTCGAACGCTCGGTTTTGGCAGATCGCCGGGAAGTCTTACGAAAAGCACGGTTGCTGAGATTGTTGCTGACCAGTGCGCGCGCGCCTGGCAGGTGGGGCGCGAGCTGCTCACATTCAACGAGCAGAAGAAGGTGGAGCGGCAGGCCAAGGAGGACCAAGAGCGGCGGTACGACCACGAAATGATCGAACAGGTGGGGCTTTCTGTAGGTTGGAGTCCCGTTTTGGGTCTCGTTTCGGGTTTGGTATTGGATTTCGGCTTGGAATCTGGGAATTTTGACTCCGGGCTCGCCTTTTGAGCTTCTCCTGTGCGGCGGAACGACAACCGGATGATCGAGCAGGTGGGGGTTCTGAGGTATTAGGTTCCATTTTGGGTCTCGTTTTGGGGTCTCTTTCCGGGTCTTCTTTTCGGGTTGCGACTCCACGGTACCTTTCGATCGGACTGTTGGTGTGGACTAGGGGCGGCGGTACGACCACGAATTGATCGAGCAGGTGGGAAAATCTGTTCAGTTGGAGTTCGGGGCTCTAAACCATCACCCAAGTAATGTTCCTAATCGACGTCAAGGTCAGCTTGACGGGTGATATAATTCGTACCTGTACAGCTCGAGCGGAATCGGGACAGGGGGTGTCTTGGATTTCTCGAGGGATCCAGAGTTTCACGGTTGTAATGTAGTCGATTGCGTTCGACGATCGCACGGAATGATTAGAGACAGTCTCCAAGGCTTCCGGATGGTCTTTTTGAATAAAGCAAAGGAGGAAAAATAACCTTGATAGACTGTGAGCCAAGGGTGCCAATTGGCTTGCTCGAAGGACTTGCGGGAAAAGGGTTGTCCGTGAGCTTGAGCGCAAGCGTGCAATCGTCTTACTATTTTGAGAGGCGCTTCTGCTGACAGCGCCGCCACTTGGTAAATCTGGCGACATATCTGTTCCGCTCGTTTCAAAGTCGCACAATCGCCTGCTCTACTTGTAGACCATCTTATGCTGCACCGCGAACGGTCGCTTGGCGCACCAGCGAACGATTTCCGCATCAAATAGCAGCATGCGAGTGTAACCCTACCCAAGAAGTAGGAACTTAATTAGATTTGACTGGCCTTGGGTTATTTCTGAGGGCCTTCTTTTGCACCGGTGCAGACTCTTCGTAGAGAGCGGGAAGAGGAGCAGCGGGAACGCGAGGCGCGGGACAGGGCCAAGGAGGAGGAGCGGATATACAGGTGCGCCGCTCTCGCCCGGCAACCCAATCTTTCGATTTTAGGAGTGAACTTGGACTACGCGACATTTGGATTTGACACTGAGAAATACAGAGTCGGAGGAATGATACCAAGCAACGCTTGGCATTTTCCTGAGTTCTCCTGATCTCGTTCTGGCCATACTGTAACAGGAAAAGAAACTTCAGATCACAAATCCGACGTCGGGAGTGCCGGTAATCGCCGTTAGCTTGTGCGTTGGAAGTGCGACGGTACATCGCCCCGTGAAAACAACACCTGAGAACTTGGGCGCCCATGAGAAACGTAGATTGCTCTAGCGGGGGATATTTCGCCGCGAAGTTTCGAAGGCCACTGTCATCACCAAAAGCCAATCGAGAGCTAAATTACGTTTGCTTCTCAACTTCACCGTTCTTGACTGCATTCGTCGTGCTCTTTGAGGCCTCTGCCCGCATACGTGCACGACTTTTGAATGTATGTGGGCGGTCAATCCGAGATAGAAGAGAAGACCTCTTCGGAGGACTGCGAGGTAGGGCCCAACGGTGCTTCTTTCCAGGGTCATCGGAAAGGGTTTTCGCCTTATCTCGAGTGCTGTCGTGGTCAAGCAGGCCTTTGTGAAGTTCAGACAGAAGTCCGTTCAAGTTTCTGAGCAGGTTCTCTACCCGGCGCGGAGTGCGTGCAGGCAACACCTGGCAGTGGCAGCCCTGCTGCAGAGTCCGCAGATGGAAAGCCTTCGGGGCCGGACATCTCAGACCTTCTAAACATACAGGGGCAGAATGAAACTACCAAGACTGTGAGACATTCAAATCATAAGACTGAATGTTCTTGTTCGGCTCGTGCGCAGGCAGCACCTGGCGGCGCGAATGCAGCGTGGGCAGGCGGACCGGACCGATCAACCAAACTCGCGGATGAGACACCTGCATAAGCGCCCAGATGATGGAGATCAGACAGAGACCAACCGAAACTGACACACAGAACAAGAAGGGCGAATGGAGAGGGGGAAAACATTGAAAATCATTCCCATTCATGTGCGCGCAGGCAACACCTCGCGGCACTGATGCAGCGCGAGCAGGTGGACGAGGCGGAGAAGGACGCAATGATCAAGGCGGCGGAGGACGCGGCGTGGGCCAAGCGGGAGGCCACGTGGCGGCGCGACAGGGTGGCACGTGCCCGCCTCATGGAGCAGGTCGCGCAGGAGCGGGCGCAGCAGCTGGCGGAGAAAGGTGAGGGGCGAATGGGATTCAGAATTTGGATTTGGAGGTTGGAGCTTACAGCCTTACAGCCTTTTGGGGGCTCGTGGTTCTGGGGTTTGGGATTTGGAGGTTCTGGCTCGGATTTGGAGTCTGAGATTCTTCTTTAATGTCTGGGGGCCTGCGATTTGGCCTACAGAAAAGGAATTCGTTTGCGAGCTTCCTGGAGGGCTCAGGGAGTGATCTATTCGGGATCAAGAATGGCATCTGCTTCAGCTGTGGTTGAAGAAACCTTGTTCGCCTGTCCTTTGTTCCTTCACGCAAGCGCCGCTCTTTACTTTGCCTCACCTTCGTTTGCTTCCCACCGGCCTTTTGTTTTTATGCTTCCTGGCAGTGCACCATGGAAGTTCCCTTTCAGAGCTTCTTCACGCATTTTGCGTGGCGACATTTCGACCGCGCGTTTGCAGATCCGACGCCGATAGAGTACCTCCTGACAAGAGAGGGAAAGGCGACGTTACGTGGAACCGCTCTGAGATTAGGTGTCTGGCAATTGGTGACGCACCATGACATGATTGCTCAAACTTTGTGCTCAAAGCAGGTCTTCTAGAATCTTCTGGAGAATTGAATGCGCCGTTTTCCATCTTCACAGAGGAAACGCGCGCGCGCATGGAGGCCGAGAAGGAGGTGGAGCGGCTGCGCTTCATGGAGGAGCTCGCGCAGATCCGCGCGGAGGAGGAGGGGAAAGTGCGGGACAAGAAGAGGGTGAGAGAGCATGCCGCGCAACCTGACTCCTGAGCACACGCAAAATCGTTGCAACTCTTCGCGCTTGAGGTGCTTTTGATACTTACTCGGTTGGGACCTTCAAGGAGGGACCACTCTACGCATGCCATGCGCTAGACATCTGACGAGATACGAAAACGGAGTTCTTTCTTGAACGCAGGCTCAGGAAGCTCAACGCGCAAAGTCAAGATACATACACAAAATGAGAAGCCGTGGGTCTAAGCTGCTTTTACTGCTCATCCGGCGTTCGAACAAAGAGCCATTCAACGCAGGCTACACTTGACACCTGGATGGATATAAACACAGACGTGAATTGTCGACACAGGCTCAGGAAACGCAGCGCATAAAGATCATATTAAGTACGTAAATGATGAAGCCGTTGGTCTAAGCTGCTTGTAAGACTCCCTTGTTTTCAGACTTTTCAAAGAAAGCCACTCTGCGCATATCTCGCTCTAGGCGTTTGACAAGAGTTCGAAACGACTCTGTTTCTCTTCGCGTAGGCTCAAGAAGCTCAGCGCGGAGAGATTGACCGGCAGCTCCGAATGAAGCACGCGCTGCAGGAGACGAAAGCGGACCGGGTGCGGAAAGAGGTGGAAGGTACGCTGACCTGATTTTTCTTCCCCTTGTCGCGATCCTCAGCTATTTGGCAGTACAGTTACAAAGAGAATCGAAAATACAAAACCGAGGGCTACTTCACGCTCACCTTCAAGCTTACCTACGACTGTACCAGGGAATATGTTGTTACCACAGAAAAGAGCTCCAGAAAAGGGCTCACATGCCGTTGATCTTAAGTACTATGAGACGCTCTTTTTGGAGGCCTTTCGATCCGCTCCTCTTTGCATCACCGAGCTGAAGCCTCGGACGACTTTACGGCAGTTCTCAAGCCCTTCTTAAGCCACCCTACAGTGTTTGTCCAAGCAAGTGAGAAGCTTTGAGCGGATGCACGGATGCGTCTCTTAACAGTCAATCTTGTCTCGTCTTCTGCAGAAGCCAAAGCGCAAGACCAAGTCTTCCAGACGATGGTCTCGAAAGCTACGTCCGTCCCGCTGCAAAAGAAGTACCATGGTCGGAGAAAATTTGACTGGTACAGCTGAGCGGTGTACTGTCTAGCACGTGGCGAGTATTATAAATTAGTAAGCTTGTGAACATTCTAATTCTCTCTGTGTATACCTTCTATATCCACGGTGGATTCACCTATCATGACCACGGGATGCAGGCGCTCTGAAATCTCTCTCGTATATGCAATCCGGATACTCAGGTTGACGTGTCCGGCCTGATAAGATCGACTTACATCTTCAAGCCCCTCGCAGAATCTCTACGAGCCAGAACAGATAACTGTAGGGCTATAATCGAATGTCCAATCACCGCATAATCATAATCATTATTCAACCCTTTCTGCAAATGCAAACAACCGTCGCGGCTTGGCATGCTCTACATATTAGCCTCATGTCTAAACTGAGCAGGCACCCGCCAAAATGTGTTGCAGGCTGCACCAGGGCACGTCGATGTACTTTGATTGACGCAATATGTGGCTTAGACTATCGTATACTTGCATGATTTGGCACATGGTACGTCAGTGTGCGTGAAACGTATGAAGCCGTCGAGCCGGCCCAGTATATAGCCGGCAAACGACAGACAAACTATTTGCAAAAGAGCCAGAAAACAAAGGTTTCATATACCGCTGATATTCGCGAGAACTTCGAAACAATATAGCTTATATTGCGCGACGAATTGGGAAAGGCGCTGGTGGAAGCATACCCGGAGGCTACCCATCGTAATTACGCAGCCACACCTCGAGCCATCACCCGGTGGCGTGCAAAGCAGCGCAACCTCCATATGTGCGGCCTCACGCATGCGCAGATCTCAGGGAGGCGCTTTGGAACTGCTCTTTTCGAATCAATCATTCTCATGTAGTAAACACTAATCCAAGGAAAAGGTGAAGGCCGCTACGAAGAGGCGGCAGGTCTGCAATTGGATCAGGGAGAAACGCTGCGCGATCGCTTTATGGCCATTGACAGCAATTGCTAATGAGAAGGAACGCACCCAGCTTGAAATTTGCGTCTGATCAGGTGGTATTTGCGGTCGCAGCAGCAGCATGCCGTCGCAGGCAGCAGAGAAAGCCTCGCGCAGGGCGGAGAAGAAGGCCAGCGAGTTCAATCAGCGCTGGAAAACGAAAACCAGCATACCTGAAGAATCCACTCAAGTAAAGATTGCTTTTGAGGAATACAGGTCGATCTTTCATGAGGCCCTGAAAGCATGCAAAGCAACTTCCATCCAGGAAGAAGAGGGAGGGAGGGAGCCTCGTCAGCTTTGTCCTCCCTGGTATGGACCAGGACGCAACCTTGAGAGGCTATCTGCCTGCTCTGTACGAAAAGGCAAAGTTCTGCCGACGGGAGGATTGCCTCAAAGCACAGATTGCGAAGCTTCAGGACTACGTGCAGTTCGCGACCCCTGAGGTTGAGAACTCCTCTTGCCCGCCAGATAATCTGTATCTCACAGTGAAAACCCTAGAGTTTGTCTTGAAGATGGATCAATCTCTTCGGTGCCCTGGAGTTCCTGAGGAGCTCTCTGGGGTGGTGTACCGTCCTTTCAGCAAGGACTCCGGGGAGCTTTTTGTGGCAGCAGTGCTTGGATCCGAGACTGGGGACAACTGGATTGGACACAGCTACTTGAGCCAGTGGAACATGAGCGAGGAGGAAGTAATCGACTTGGGATTTCAGAACATCGACAAAATCACTCCAAAGAAGCTCAACTGCCGGCAGATCAAGAAGCCCGAAGACATGCCGAAGTTCTTTTCTCAGAGGAGGAGCAAGCTGACTCCTATCCTGCACTATGAGATTAGAGGAAGCAGCGGCTTGCTACATGTAGATTTTGCAGACCAGCGTGCCTTGCCGCGTCTCTTGCTTCCAAGAGTAATCGAGAGGTTTGCAGAGATCCTCAAGTGCGATGCCACATCTCTGGTCTTCATCCCATTCGACAATGGAAGCATGCACGTAGGAAACGCGGAAGACCGTATTGGAATGCTGAACCTTTCTATCATCCAAAAGCTGCCTCAACTTCAAGGAGACCCTACCAGAGCAAAGTTCAGAGTCACGTGGAATCCGTTCCGAGTAAGGGCTTCTGCCCTTCCTGCCCTTTCTGCTCCTCGTGCTGTGTTCGAATCAAACATGCAATGCTTGTGAACAATGAACACGCGTGTCTAAAAGCTGCGTATGCAGTGTCAATAACATAGAAGAACCTGCGCTCATATTGCAAAGCTTATGTTAAAGGAGAGATCGGAAGCACAATGTTCCAGAATCTGCGCTCACACGCGACTTGCTACAACATCCTGAACCTAGTTCAATCCTAGTGAGACCTGGTTGTATTCTTCTTTTCCAAAGGTAACCTGGCAATTTCGATGAGACGAAACAAAGCAAAGGAGTCTCTCTTGTGGAAGTCTGAATCAGCTTTTCGCTTCGCATTGCGTTTTGCCATGTCTGTAATAACAGCAGAACCTCACGGCGGATCCACCTCTTCAGGATTTGACAAAGCAGTTTCTTCGAAGGGGCGACTGAATGTCCGCAAACTTCTGCCTTCCGGTCGCCCTCGCAGGTGTCAAACCCATGCAATGAGAAGGGCTTGGTTGAGCTGGAGCCGTACCTAGTGAACGGGGGGCGCATCGCGGTTCAGTTTTGGGAAAAGGACAAGATGAAGATCTTCCACCCCATGCCCCGGACAAAGGATGACATTACCTATGTCGAGAACGTCATGAAAAACCCGAGCCTGAAAAACCCGCTCTTCATTCTGCCGGAGCACGTCTTTCTCGAGGGGGTCTGCTGGAACGTGAGCTTATCTGTCTGGCCGTCCCAAAATGGTTCAACATACGTAAGATAGTACATTCGAAACTGCAAGAGACCGTTTTCAGCTGGATCCAAGAAGGGTTGCCTTGAGGTTGCATGGCACGAATCCAACGACTTTGGTCGACATTCTGCTGATCCGACCACTTTCTGTGAACACGGCGGGTAAGTATGAGAGAGACTGGCACGATCTTGCCTGCTGTTGAGATACGAAATGATATTTTGAACTGTCTCTTCCTCGGTGCAGTGCCGAAAGCAGGTGGAGCGGTTGATGAAGTGCGCGAAGTGCCGCAAAGCAAGCTACTGTTCGAAAGGTAAGCCAGCAGGAGCCGTATGACGAGCTCTGAGAACTTTGGAGCCTCATGAGGATTGAGATTTGCACAACGACGGATGCAGCGCCAAAGTCTGTGTCTGGCAGCCTTGTCAGGCGAGGCCTGATATCCAAGACGATCGCAATCACGAACGAAACGACCACCTATCGTTCCACATGAGAAGGTCTTGCGCAGAAAACGATCGGCAAAGCTTTCCTTCACTTTGCTCCCAATTTGAGCCCAACCGTCCCCGTTTGGCTCAGCTGCATACCGTATGCTTTGTCCGCTGCTGCTCGTGATCGGCATCCTGCATTCTAAGCGGGTAGCAAAGTTCCCGCTCATATGTCTGCGGCCGAACTTCCTGCGGCTTGTACAGCATGCTTATGAGAGCCCTTTCATGACGATTTGAGACTCGAAATCGAGGTGGACGGCTCAAATGCAAGCTCGTGGTCGTGTATTAATTGTATTTGTTCTAAGGCATGCCAATCTTCGCTTCAACTATCAGCCCCTTGTAAGAGGGCACGTACTTAAGCACCTAATGAACTTGCTTTAAGGCTGACGCTTCTCACAAAGCTTTTCCCACAGAGTGTCAGAAGAAGGCGTGGAACGATGGCCACAAGTGGAACTGCGCGGAGAGGCGGGAGTTCTGGAAGAAGGGGAGGAAACAGCGCCTGCATGTGAGTGAGGAGCTGCGAGAGAAAGCAAAGGTCGCTAAAGAGAGTCTCTCAGAACAAGACTTGGCCCGCTTGAAGAAGATGGGGATGACGCAATCGTAGGTTCGCACGATTAAAATACCGAGAATGAGCACCCATCCTTTATTCAGCAACCAGAAGTGTCAGGTCGGAGGTGCGGGGATTTGAAGTCATTATAATGAGTCGAAAAACGTACCAAGGTCTTGTTCGGAAGGTCGCGGATGGACAGTTCTCTTATAGCCCGTGCGTATCAAAGGCATGGGGCGGATCCCTGCGCTGTTTGCAGACCCTGCTTTGTCAAAAGCATGCGCAGTGTTGCAATCGACGCGGAACACCCAAATGGGCAACGTTGCAACCATCTGTGCTTATTGACCCTAAGCGGCAGTTACGATACTGCTTGAGTCTGGCTTCGAGTGTCACAGCTCGAGTCGGGCTACAGCTATGCGACGCGAGCAGACGGTTTCTCAGGCTGTTCAGGATCTCGACACCTCGGATGAAAAGATATGCAGGTTGGCGGGGCGCCTGGATAAATGATGTAGCCAATATTATGGTGCAATATGCCCGCTAGCGCAACCCTACTTGGCGTACCGGTACTCATCTACCTAGTGGATGCCAAATTCGTTATGAATCATCGATCATGCATTGCGTATTAGTGTCTACCTTGGATGCCAAACTCCTTATAAGTATCAGCGATTGAACATCACACGTATCGTGCACGATTGACCGATCGCCGCCGGCGCGCAGCTCAGCTTGGCATGTTCGCCGTCACACTAAACCGTGACGGTATTGCGAAGCTAGCTTGAATAAGCCATGCGTGCCAGCAGATCGACATGTGCGTGGTACAATCACGAAACGGCGCACGCACCATGACTCATACGCACATATATGCATGTGGCGCGCGGCCCCATTGTCTTCAAAAGTTTGCCAGGGGAAGTCCACAAAGCTTCATGACTTACGCATGTGCAACCTGTCAATCATAGACTCGCTTCGTTCTCCAACATACCCGCTCCTTAGCTAGTACTTACTGAAGGATCTTGTGAAAACGAAAGCAAGGACTGAACGAAGTGAGGGATGCGAGCCAATTGGTATAAGATTGATCTCCCGAAATCCTTAGTCCTAGCCACGTCAGCTTCGAACATGCCACGCACCGCTGTGCTGAAGCAGTCTCAGACATTGTCCGGGGCAAAGGCTCGGTATATGTACTTAGCAATGGCCTCTTCCTTTTCCTTCTCCCTTTCCTTCTTCTGCTTCAATTCTGCCCGGGTTAGTTGTCGCTTGCCTCGATCAGCGCTAGTCCCAGATTCTGGCACATCCTGCAGAGACGAGATCGACAGACTGTGAGACGCCTAAATGTACTCAGCTCAAGAAAATGGCTGCGAGAATGGTCTCCCAAATCTGAGACCACTGCAAACAAGGACTCGAGCAGGACACATAGATAAGCGCACAACGCAGTGGTGACAGTAACCGACTGAGGAGAGTGAGAACCGCTGTCTTCCAAGAGGCCGTCTAGGGATTGTGTTCGTCCCCGAAGTTAAAAGGACCGTCGTTCTTGTTGTTAGGCTGCGAGTCCCTTTATCGGATGCCCGACCTGCTTTTCCTCCAGGAGTCTGATACTGAGTGTTTAGAGTAGAACAGTGAACCTCCAATTTCAGCTGTGCCGTCGTCATTCCCAGCCAAACATCAAGCATAAAACATTCCTTACAATCCTTGGTCCCTGAAATGTATCTCTGCCTACAGGAGATGCTGGCACACATGAAGCAAGGAATCTGGAAAGGATATACCAGGACAAGTCCAAGCTGATGAGGACAGCAATTGAAGGTTCAAATGAAAGGAAACCCGCTTTTTTGCCAACCCTTTCAGAGAGTTCCCTGTGACTTCTCTAAATTGACCTTGTCACGAGTCTTTCCAGGTCACCCTCAACGCGGAACACATTGATTGAGCGACTCCTTCGCGCATCTGAGTGGGACTGACGAGCGCATCAATAAGAAAGCGAGCAGACAAGACGAAACAAAGTGGAGATTGCTGACAGGAAATCATATTACCTTTCGCTTCTTGGTGGAACTGACTCCTGGCACTTGCTTGGCCTGCTTGTCAGCGCCGATGCCTCGCTTATCCCCCTTCATATGCGCATTCAATGGTTCCAGGGGTCCCTGCAAAACGAAGTAGCAGCTTAGCAAGACGGGCCAAAGTGCGACACAGACTTTCAACCCTCCAGGTCTGTGCTTTGAGTTCGCAGGTCTGACAGACACCCTTGAGAACTGCTAATGTGTTGGTGAGTCTCCCACTAGCGGGTTACAGAGGTTCCCGACACGGCGCAAGATTGATGGCCAAGACTCAGCGGCTCCTTCTTCTTTGTGATTTTGGTCTTTGCTGCCTTGTTCTCTGCCTTCGCGTGTCAGCCTCGAGCCAGGTACTTCTTGTCGGCTCTTCTGAATGTCTGCTTTCAAGAGCACGCGACAAGCGTGCTAGAGTTTACCGCAAAGATGACCAGATGCAATTCATCATAAGCTACAAATGTCAATCACACTGAGGGTGATCGATGAACACAATGGAGCTCTTGACTCGAGCTGGACGCTGGCAACAGACTAGACAAGAAGCTCGTACATCCTCATGTAAGAACAAACTTGTGAGGAACAAAGAACAGCTTGCTCACCTGCCCTGATGCCCCTAAACCTGTCTTCTCATTCCAGCCAGCTTTCTTCAACATCTGCAGGGTACAAGAACCTAGTCAGTGGGAAAATGCGCATGGAATCAGGAGAACGGTCTTTTGGAGTATGGTACCCCAACGAAGTGAGAGTAAACGAAGCACCGGTCTTTCCTGAGAAGAAGGTGCGTCCGTCAACAACATGTCCGAACAAGCTTGCCCACATATCAGTCTTTGGTCAAACTGAAATCAATTGAAAGTGTTTCTTTGCCATATCCACAGCAACACAACTTTCTGATGAACACGACCACTCCACCAATGATGGCAAAATCATGCGCACAAATGTCAGATGCAACTATAAGGAAGCGCATCGAAGATGCTAGAATTCTCTTGAATCAACCCATTCGTTGGCCTGCTGTGACTATGGAAGCCATGCGCCCAACTGCGGAGGCTCCCAGACGCCAATGAACAACATAAGAGCACGAACCTCGTGCCTGTAAACCTTTTGTGTCTTTGCAAACATTGTAGTGGGGCAAAGCGCCAACTTAGCCAATCAAAGCACAAACGATAGATAGCAGTGCCACAGGGGACAACAGCCTTACCTTATAGCCTATGTTTTCTTCCGGGATCTTCATCCGGTACGCAGGGGCTCTTTTGTCTTGGGCGCCAAGTGACCTGACTCCTTGCCCCCCTCCGTCTAGGTTCCGCCCGCTAGAACCACCGCCAAAAGATCCTGGCTCGAAATTTCGTTGCTCTTTACTAAAGTCCGAGTGATCAAAAGTCTTTGTTTGAAAGCCCTTATTCACCCCTGGTCTTGGCCCAGCACCATCTACTGACTGACTCGGACTGCGCCAATCTTGTTGTATGTCTGTACAGTCATCCCTGAGACTACTGCCTGCTTCCCTGTGTGAATCTATCCTGTTTGAGAGGATCTCTTCCACTTCAGTATACTTCTCTCGCTTTTCGGTTTCATCGTGCCTCCCTCTGTTCAGTAGCCTCTCCACTGGAATCTCTCGGCTGGTGTTCCCAACACCTGGCCCGGCCTCAGAGTGCCCTGGTGCATCACGGATGCCCCCATTCCCTGCTTCTGCGTCACCTGCACGGTTGCTGAGTCCCACTAGTGAAGCATAGAAACTCGCAATGCTAGCACCATCTAGACTGTCTTTACGGTCCACGACAGACTTTCCGATTCCCAGGGCCATGGTCATCTTCCGACCCTGTCTCCTAATAATGAAACTTCCAAAAAGATCAGCTCAGCGGAGTTGCGGGCAGTGTTTCACCCTCTCGCACTCCCCAAGCACGCTGCCTCCGCTCTGAGCCTTTAATCAAGATGCATCCAATGGCAAGCGTGTCGCCGACCCGCCAAAAATTTTCAGAACTTCTCACCTGAGGCACTCGAGTCCCTGGACTGCAGCGCTTTGGTGATAGTGGCTGCGCGCGCGCGCGCTCATCCTCTCAGTGTTATTTATTTTGCTTCCCCTCATTATAAGTGTCATAATTCTCCGGCTTCTGCGTATCCCTGTCGAAGTCCGAATACCTTCTCGGGGCGCTCTAAAGCTTCGACGGTGCTTGGACGCAATTGCATAGTACCTCAAACACTTAAATAGGCTAAACGCCGATTTATTACAGGCATCAGCCTTCTCGCCTTCACAGGCTTCAGCCTTCAGCCTTCAGCCTTCAGCCTTCACTGTCAGCCTTTGAAGTCGAGGTACCTAGAGCTTCTAAATTCTCACATGGTGGAGGAGGGAGGAGGCAATAAGATGCCGCTTGGCTCCTTGGCGCGGCACAAACCCAGGGCCACAATGTGCACGAACCACTCCTAAAAGTTCGCAAGCCTAGGAGAGAAGGCCTTTGAAAGATCTGCCTCTAACCATTTTTTGAAACCCTAAAGCGGTGGAAGGTCTGGGGAATCCCCCTTTCCTGGGAGGCGCTCCAAGCATGGAGGCGAGAGCCATGCAGGGCTGGCAAGAGGCCGAGCCAGGCCCTTCCCCCTACTCCACCTCCCCACCCTTCTGCCTTGCTCTAGTTAGCCCCCACACTCAGCATTTTAATGTTATCTTCTATGACTTAGCGGTTGGCCTGCCAACCATAGTGTTCGTCGCTTACCTGCTAACAAAGGTCAAGGGCTCGGTTAGAAAGCTAGTCAGCAGCAGATCGCACATAATGAGTACATACTATGGTTTCCTTTGGATAGTCTGCGCCTTGAACATTCTTCGGGTGCTTGTACAGGTGAGCATGTACAGCCGGTGCTCAGCATCAGATCTTGCAGTTGCAAGTTCCTGGTCCTGATACCCCTTTGTGAGCAGCAATGCTGTGAATGTAGGCACGCCAGAGTCTCAGAATGGAAGAGTGAAAATTAGGGTTTCATTTCGTAACTTGTATCAAATTCCTCTCCAAGCGGAGCCATCCTTCAAACCTGGGTGTAGACCTTATCTGAGAGCTATGTCAGACATTACCTGTGCCATCTATCTCAATTGCTCCGGGAAACAAGGCTGCCTAGTGAAGGTTGAAAAGAGCTCTTACGCCAATTCTTTCTCCAACTGAAAAGAAGCTCTTTTGAATTGTGCCGTCAGAAGTTGTGTTGAGCAATTCTAATTGTGTTTGGCTGCAGATCTTTGACGCAGAGCCAGCTGATAGCCCCAGGGCCTGGAATGTCACGTGGCTGATAACTAGGTTCGGGATGGTCCTGCTCGAGGTCTCGGTGGTTGTGTTCCTGTCTCAAGGGTACCTCATAAGCGGCTGGGAGGCTTTAATACGCACCGTGGCTTTCTCGGGGGTGTTTGCCATTGTAGATACAGTAATCAAGGTGAGAATGAGCTCATGACGTTGTTCGTGAGATCTGTTGGGGAATGCCTTCTGTGGTGGCGATCTGTAACACATGGTTTTCCAAATGATACAGGACTTTGGAGTTCCTCTTGGCTGTTTGCAATGCTGACGTCTCAGCGCTTCTCCTTCCCGTGTGAGCAACATCAGTGCAGACTTCCTGACATGCTGTAATCAGTTTGAGTGCCTCTCTCTGGAGTCTGCTCAATTGTGGAGCTTTTACCGTTTGAGCTGCCAAACTCGTCCTTCGATTTGTCTCGATGAAATCTGCCCTCCGCCAATACTGCTTACAAACCTAAGATCGAAAACCGTCAGATGTTAGTCGTCAGTACTGCCTGCACTTAGAGACAAATCCAACTAGACTCATCGTTCAGGGGGAAGGTCTGCCAGTCTACAGACAATCTACATGTCTGTGATTTGACCTTCAGCTCAGACAGGGGATGCCGAACATGTGGGTGTATTTCCATGACCTGCAGGCAATCTACGTGTTTGGGCTGGGCGTACCCCTGTTCATAACGGAGCCCGACGATGAGGGGAACTGGCGGAAGTGGTCCTTCTGGATGCTGCACGCGCTGCTCTTCCTGGGAATTTATGCGCTCATTCTAGTTCTTCCGCACACGCGGTGGCGGGACAGGCTGCCAGGTATGCCTCTAGTTTGAACAGACTGGGAGGCTGTGTGTCTAGTTAGACTGGCCTGCCGAACGTTGTCCCAATCTCATAAGCGGCCCGCTCTGCATCACCTGATTGGGGCCACTTATGGCTACTCGTGCCCGCTTGTTGTGAGCTCTTTTACCGCTAAGGGCCGTGGACAGAGGAACACGCTTTTGAAGCAACGCAGAACCTCCCGCATATGTACTCGTGAGTATTATGGAAAGCTCAAGTATTGGGCTCAACATGGTCAAAAGAGGGAATGACTTTGATCGACAGGCCTGCCAAAAGTGAGCCAGGCGTGTCGAGATCAAAAGCGATCATCCTTTGCTCGATTCTACAATAAGAGTCCTTGACCTTTCAGCTTTAAAGAGGGCGTCAGATTTCGACGTGCACTGGTGGCATCTGAGTCCTGAGGAAGATTCTCATCGGACGGACTGTTATGCATCTTGAAATTTGGTCTCAGCGCCCAATCTGCCAATTCTGCGGAACATGGTCGCTGAGGCGTTCAGGGTCACAGAACGTCCTCTTTTATAAAGTCGAATCCACAGTCACCCGCAGATGTATTTTGTCAACTTCGGAATGCAAACACCTCGTAATGCTCTGAAGGACTCAAGAGTCGCAGCGAAAACCGGAATGCCGTCGAAACGAGACAATCAAAAGCACGCATGTAGGAAATCAACTTGCATCCATTTTCCTCCTCTTTTTGCAGCTCGGCCAGCCTTTTACCGCTACGTGTTTGTCCTGTTTCTCATCAACATCGGGCTCACCTTCGGGAGCTTCCTGTTGGGCCTGGCCGTCGACTTTGGCTACTGGTGAGTTGGTCAATCCATTGATTTTTCTTACGCTGTACTGGTGTCCAGATCTTTCAAACACCAGACTGCTACCTGGCCTCGATGCTATATGTCGATTTGAAAAGGGCTCGAGGCCCTGCACGTCCTTTTTGGAGTGTATTGCTCCGAGGCTCTCTAATGCAATGCTGTCGAGACTTCTCTTTGTTGAGTCTTTCACGCCGTTGAGTCCATCAGGCGTGAAACACTTTCCTACGCCCACCTCCAAGCTTCCCCCAAAAACGGGCAAGAAGAATTTTTCCTGGTTGTGAAGGCTGCTCTTGAAAGAGTTGGAGAGTTCTTCTCAATCTATCTCGAGATTAACGATCTATATGATTCAAAAGCTGCCTCGCAAGCCGGGTGTTATATACGAAGTAGGTTCCTTTGATGGTCGAAATGGAAAAGACGCCTTTGTTGACAACAGAACAGTCGTCACCAGAAGCTGAGCAAATCTGTAAACTGTACCTTCTCACTGTGCTTCTGATGAGAAAGGGAGCCTCTGCTCCTATAACGACCGGGAGTCGGCTCACGGCTCTTTATTTGTCTATAGGAGCAATCATCCAGATAGCAAGCGAGGCAACGACTTGCTGCCCTCCTTAACATAGCCTGCCAGTCGCTTTGGGCGGTCTCTTTTGCCCAAGACAGATGAAAGGATAGAAGAACACTTGTACTTATCATAGCCTGCCGGGCGCTTGTTGGGCGCTCTTTTTTGTCTCGAGACAGATGAAAGGATGAAAGGATGAAAGAATACCTACCTTAGTCATCGGGCACCGCCTTGGTCGATGCGGGATGAGCGTTTCACACCAAAGAAGGGACTTTGCAGAAGGGAGGCCCCACGGCAAGCGACAAAAAGCTGAACGTTTCTGGTTCTCACTTGCGCAGCTTGTATGGCTTCTCCAGCTTCCTGTACTACGCCTTCTATCCGCCGCTGCTGTACATAACATTCTTGGCGGACTTCTTCCGGGTAAGACATTCACATTGGAAGTTCAATGATGCTTGTTCGACTCGTTCTCGAACGTTCCTCGAAGACGTACTTTGAATTTCTGTCAGCTGGCTTTCAACGGTCTTACTAATATCATATTAACGTGCGCTTCAAGTCCGACGCAGCTTCTGCCGTTGTCAATTCTTTCGTCATTGCTCCGCTCCAGCCTAATGGTTGCCTAACCACCTTGATCAAGAAAACAATCAAAATGATCCTGAATGCGAGCTTTGTACCTCTGGTGGGTGGTAAATCTCAAGTGTGCCTCGGCCACAAGTTCGATCGTTCTTGCAAAAAGACCTCGCCTGAATAGTAGCATGGTTCCTTCTTTCAAATCGGCTTCTTAAACTCTTTCACAAGTCAGGCCTCGCCGTTCAAGCGCTTCTGACAATCTGGATGAAGTTGTGCTCCGACTTATCTTGGGGCGCATTTTCTTATGCAGGAGGAAGACTTGCAAATGGAGGACGTCTACTACAGCGAGATGAAGGACGCCGGGTACTTTGATGCAGATTGGGAATAGCTGTCGATCAATTTGAAGTCCGCCGAGGACGCTTGTCGTCAAAGATCAAGCAGCATGCAGTCTCGGTTCAGCGAGCTTCGATCGGGAAGCGGAGTTCATTTCCAACTCATGTCGAGTCACTTACAGGCTGATCCCGAATGGTGTATCGTTTGGTGCTTGTATCGATCTGAGCCTGGAGCTAAAATCGCATGGATCATTCAAGTTGAGCAAACGATGATGTCAGGACACATTTGAATGAACGGGTTGGTTTGCATAGGCCGCCGGCACATATGGTGCAGACTGCACATGCCGCCATGCCTGGCATGCCAGGCAGACGATCATGCATGTAGCTATACGTCTTCATTCAGCATGCACCGGCCGCAGGGGCGCCTGCAGTCGTCGTTATATAGTTACGATCGATAGACATGCAGTCGGATGCCCGCATGGCATGGGTGATGTGGTCACATCTTGAGTATATTGGAATTACGTCTTCATAAGCATCGAGTCATCAAGGGCCATGCCATCCCACACCTTGCAATTGGTATGCGACGGTGGTCGTGGTTACCATGTTAACCTGGCTGACAAGCCGAGGACGGTGCTCAACCGTCCGCTCAGAGATCCTTTGCTATTGCGCAACTTACGCAATCATTTGATCCAAACGAGTGCTATAAGTACTGAGAAAATGGAACGCTTTTCATCAGTCTACGCATACGGTCAGCTCTTGGATTCGTCGATCAATCGAAAAGACGTTCTCAGTGCTCGTGCGGGGCTCAGAACCGCAAGGGTCACGGTCGACCATTGGTACTTTGTTGCTTACGGACAGGTTTTAGATTCCATGTAGACAGCCAGAATCCGTGTAGACACGGAAGGCATATTCTCGGGGCACTAAGAAGCCGTTGACCCAAGGCTTATTCACGAAAGGTTTGCCTGTCTACATACAGCATTACAAAAATGGCTGTAGAAACCTTGTGATGAAGGCCTTTCTTTAGTCTCGCCTCGTTACCTCAGGTCGGACTCCTCTCCGGTACACTCCGCCTCTCGAAGCAGAGAAAGGACACGCTCGTGCAGCTGTCCGCCACAGGAAGCCAAAATAGGGCCCGCCCGTAACCGCATGGGTTTGCCCGCCATGTCGGTAACCCGACCACCTGCTTCCTGCACATGTCGAAGACCGAGCATCTGCGTTTGCAGAATTGCGGTTGGGAGCTATTTGCTCGAGTCCGGCTAGTTTTAGGGCCATCTTTGTCAGATGAGGCCCATGACCTACACGATTATGCGCAGTAAGTACCGATTCACTTCTGGGACTGCGGAGACTGCACTTGACGTGAGACCCTGAAATACATCCTCTGACGGATTCGGGTAAGCCTGGAAACGGAGGGGCACGGATCGAAACAGTCATAAAACCACTGCTGAACCTCACCTCCACAATCAGCCAAGCCGCCGCCACGTCCCATGGCTGCAAAAGAAACACGCCCGCAAGTCAGCTACTTTTAACTGTGGCGAATCATCGCTCTGCTTGCAAGCAGAACCCTGGTCAAACAGGTCACCGAAATGCAAGCAGCGCAAACTTATGCAGGGACTGTGCAAATTGGAGCTGATTAAAATGTGCAGACGGTGTGCATAGGAAGCGCGGGATTGACACGCACAAAAGGGATCTGTTGAAGTGTGCAATTATGCAGAGATGGAGCGACTGCAGCATCAAGAGCGCACCTTTAAGTTGAGCTCAAAGAAGCACGCGAGCTTTCCCGCGGCCACGTAGCTCATGTGAAGGGCCTGCACAAAGAGGATTGCAAACTGTCTTTGATTTGCAACGAGTTAGGACTGGCTCGAAGACAGCGCTTCAGGGACTAGGTATGTCGCGTCGACGTCCTCATGAGATGGTGCTAATTTTTGACGTCTATCAGAAGCTCACCTTGTCATGTCTTCGAAACAGCTTCTGTCACGCTGCCTTCCATCGACAAGGTGCTTCACAAAACCCACTCACTATTATCGAATCGTTTTGCGGATCTCGAAGCACACGGAAGAACGACAAGTATTCGGAGCACTGGATCAACGTTGTAAAGATACGCTCGCAGAAGGACCATTGAGATCCTCATGTTCACTCGGCGACTAGAAGAGAGACGATTGGTTAAACGGCAGGAGAAGTACTGAGAGCTCATCAGCCGTACTTATCGAAACTCCTTTGTGATTGTTTGTGGCATCTGACCCTGATCTTGGCATCACAGTCCCGAATGCTTTTTATTGGAGATGCTAATGTTCAACGTGCAATATCTCCATAAGCCAGAGGTTTTCCATTTGCAATCTTGCACCCGGATAAGAAGGCATCCGTAAACCCAGGAGCCTCACAAAAGTAAAAAGCCCCGAGGCTCACCGCAGTCCCTAAAGCGCGGACGGTCCGTGCGTGCGGGGCAACCGCTGAGACTCCTCGCAGCATGCGCTCTCGCACCGGACGCTGCAACACATGATCTACCCTCAAAATCCTAGCTTGATGAACAATAATCGTGCAAAAGTCGCATTGAATATAATGGACGTCTACAAATACAGAGAACGTCCAAGCAGTCTCAGGTTTCGGCGCTAGCACCACAGAAGGAGCGCTCTCAAACTAAAGGCAGCCCCTAGCGTCGCCGGGTTTCTCAACCTTCGTGGTTGAGCGTTCGAGGAAGGTCAGGCCTAATAAAGGATAGCTTTTGAGAGGGCAGAGTCCTTGATAGGTCTTAATAGGGTCCTGGACAACGGGCATTTTCGGCGCCATTAGAAAGCCAATATCGGTGACTCGCTAAATCGTACTGGAAGCTATTAGTCGCGGCAGGACGGAAGACCTCTCTTATCCTGCTTGGCTGGTCTAAGAAGGGTTGTAACGCTAAGCAAACAGAAGACGAGGTACAGAAAATGGAGGTGACTTAATGTTAAGCAAGCGAGGTTTGGAGCTAGCGTCTTTCAAGGATCCGACATGTTGTGTTCACTCGTGGAATAGAAGGAGCGGGGAAAGTGGCTCGCAACTATTTGGAGCAATCGGAAGCCCTGCAAGCGCAATCTGTGCAAACGAAGTACTAACGGTAGCGTCACCGAGACAAACGAGCGACAACCGGTTGGAAGACGGATACATTTTGGCTCTAGCCGTTACCGGTTCTACTACGAGTACAGTATCCAAGCAAGCACAACTGCTATTGCTGCAATTAGATCGAGACCTCCTTAAAATCCAAATACCAACGGTGGAAGCCCCGAGTCCGGCTTCGAGAAGGAAGCGCCAAGCGTCGAGAAAGCGGTCGAGCTTAGACATGCGAACGACACCGTTTCTAGGCTGGATGCAGGGGCAAGAGCTCGTTCGTGTTGGATATCTCTTCACAATGGAGTTTGAAAGGCAGTCTCTGGGCAGTGTTCGGTGCCCTTAAGAAGTACGTCGAGGCTTGTTGCTGGCAGCCAAGTGAAGGGTCATTGTATCAAGTGTGGCAAGCTTTGCCGTGACTTTACCGCAATTGGCTGGATTGCGTTAACCAGAATCGGTCGACAGGCCGGTGCACCTCGTATGAGTCGAGCAACAAAAGATGGCGACAGGAGCACAGTCACCTTGGACGGGAAGCCCACCGACACCGCTCCGTCCTCAAGCTCCGTTTCCGGCGGTAGAACGGAAATCCGCTCGCCGTTCAGAAACGCGCCTGCAGGGCCGCAGAAAAGTTCGATCACTGACCTCGCGCCGGATTGTAAAGTCCCGCGTTCTGAGAAATACAATCTTTGCAACCATGCCCACACCTTCTCGTCGTCTGCCTTCGGACCTTCGTAACGCTTCTAAACGGCCAAAATCGTAAGCGAAAATGCCAGGGACTATACTCCCAAGCTGAGGAAAAGAGAACCCTCGTTTTTTCGCCAAGGTAAGCGCCAGGAAGAAGGTTACCAGCAGAATCTGATCACCACCCAAACTCGTTAACGCGCCGCACCCGTGCCCAATCTATCCCCCTGGCTGACCCCACTCGTTCTACGCCTTCGACGTTACTCTTCGTAGCACTTGCCCTTCAGGAAACCTCCTGAGATAGGAACGAAGGGACATCGAACGGCTAACCTTCGCCTCGCCGAGCTGTGAAAAGCTCTCCCGAGTACGGGTTGAAAACGACGCCCACCTCGACCCGGTTCGCTTTTGCAACGCCGATTGACACCACCGAGAGGGGCAGGCCTCCTACCTGGGCCATCAACGAGCAGAGTGTCAAGAGAGGGCCACCGCTAACGATGTTGTCGAAGATCGACTGGTCGGAAGCTTCGATATATCCGTTAGAGGGTCTGGCGCTGTTCCAGACGTCTTCTGACCAACATGTTTCATCGATCAATGCTTATAAGTTGTGACAATCTATGGCAGTGTCAGGGGTTCGAAAGCTGAGAGTTTGTTGAGTGTCATACTCGAGTGGGCGCACTAGCAGGCCAATTGAAAGCAGATGCCAATCAGTACGTTTCACTATTCGGTCATCTTGACACAAACCTGGACTTTCTCGTCAGACGAGGCCTCTTACAAAGTTGAGCGTCCCGTCGATCGGGTCCACGATCCACGTCCAATCAGAGTCCGCCAGCGTGGCATCCAGCCGCTCGAGCTCCTCGGACGTCGACGTCTCCTCTCCTAGGATTGAGTGGTCCGGAAAACTCTCCTGTCAGAAGGAAAGAGCATGTTCGATCGAAGAAGATGGTCACGAGCAAGACCACAGACCCCTGTGCGAAGGAGCTCGGATGAGACATCGCAGAGAGCAATCCTGAATTAGTACACCTTGAGTGGGACGCTTGCGCGGCTGAAAGATTTTGAAACACGTTTCCAGCCAGTCATAGGGTGGCCAGCTTCGTATCTTACATGGACCTCCGGCCAAGTGTGTCGGTTCCTTCCTGCTCAACGAGGATGCTCCAAGTCCTCTTCTAGCTCGGCTTAGATCCAATTCGGACTACATTTACCTTACTCTTCTCTCTTCCTCAAAAGCTCAGCGATCCTTGAAGCCAGTCTCCGGTTTAATACCTTTCTCTCGAATGCTGCCGTCTGTGCTCCATCAAGCCACCTTAACTTTCGATCAACCTTCTTTCGCACCAGGTGAGCGGAAAGGCCTCACCTGTACTCTCTGCTTGATGAGGTCCTCGCACGCCTTGTCCACTTCGGTGACCAGGTCTGAGCGCACGCCCTTTGTCTCCACATTCTGCGCCTTTCCTGAGGCGGCAACAATGAGCCGCCCAGCCTGCATCAGAACAAGCATTGGTTCCTTCTTTGAATATGATTTCTCTTGTTGCCTTGCCTTTTTGCAGAAACACTAAGTATCCAACTTTGCTCTGCGTCGGTGGAATTGAAGAGGAAAGCAGTTATCATCTGATAAAGCAAAGGCCTTCCTTGTGTAGCTTATCAAGCTTAGAAAGAGGGGCGAGACAAGCCTGTTTGCACCTTGTCACGACACCAACTTCATGATCTGATGGGAAGGTAGTGCAGCTTCTGATTGAACTTGGAGGAGGTTACTTTGCCCAATCTGTTTCCTACGATGGCAGAACTCACTCAGTGTGGTTTGCAACTTTGCAGTACCAACTTTCTGTGCAAAGATCATGCTGACCAGGCACTAAGGATGGCGCCTTTAAAGGGAAGATACTCCAGAGCTCAATTCTGTCAGAAGTCAAGCAGTTATAACATACGAGCATCTTGCAAATGAAGGAACTTAAGAAAGAAATGCAGCACGTGACAAAATATGTGGCTACATCAGAAGCTGCCCTGCCCCCTCCTTATGCTGCCCTGCCCCCTCCTAGTTATGCAATCCGGCCCCCATCTTATATTCTGACACTGAACTAGACAAAATTAAATCTTCTATCTGACCTCCATCGCTGCTTTTTTGGCAACTCCCTCAATCTCCATCTTCAGGTCCTCTGGCGATGCCCCAGCTTTGGCACCTTCAGTAGTGTAAGCCATGACCAACTTTCTTCTACTTGGCCGGAACTCGAACTTGATCCCAGCGCTCTTGGACCAAAAGCAGCTCAATATGCTCGCTCCTGAGGGCAGTGTAGAAGACCAAGGGCTTGAACAGACACAAGGCGGTTGGTTTACAATGTGGGCAGCTCCACATAAGCTAACCTGATCTGCGAGCTTTCCACTGAGTAAGAGTCCTGAAAGATTGAAGCAGGATGCTGATTGTGAAGCCCCAGCTTGCCTTCCAGGATTGCGGGTTTGTTTATTTGAAACTTCCAGCAATCCGTTCGCTGCATTGCATCGACTGCCACCAGTTTTTTCAAGACGGCTGAGCACGTAAATCTGCTGACGCTGCCATGTCTTTGCTGCCAATGTACTTCCCATTCCTTGAGCGCCCAAGAAGGGCGAAAACTCCAAGAATAGGAAGAGGGAAATCTGCATTTTGCGAAGGTGGATTTGAGCGGCCATGGAGCAGAATTCTCAGAGTTAGGGTTTTTTCATGATCCATGTTGCCCACAGCAGCTAGGGTTTTGAACTTCGTAGGATATTTGATGGTCAGGATTGAGTTGAAATGACGTAAGATGGCTTCCGAGTCAGACGCGTGGCGCCGATCTGCAGCCATCTGGAGCGTCAAGAACCGGGTTGACCCCACCGGTAGTCAACTCAGAATACAGTGTCAAAGCACCGTTTACCAGGGTCAATTCAAAAATACTTTCCCTTATATATGATCTACGTCCTGGTTAGCGTGAAGTTACATGCAGTTTTTGACACTTTTGGAACCCCCATCATCCGGGTCAGCCGGGTGGGAAATCTGATTCGTGAATGAGTAGGTTCGAGCAAAGACGGTCATCTGACATATATAAGACTGGAAAGCACCTGACTGGAAAGCACCTGAAAAAGACGGTTTGCAATCTGCTGAGTTGCTTTTCAGCCGCGTCTTCCTGCCTTCCTCAGTTCCTGCAACTTCCTTGGCCGCCATCCTGCAACTTGCTGCTTGCTTGAAGGCCATGAACGCGGCACCCCAAAGATCAGCAAAGAAAGGAACCACGGAATAGGAGCTTGCAGATGAAACCGGGACCGGGAGTTTTCAACGTTTTATTTTGCGCAAGAAGAGCTTGCTTTCATTGTCAGCTTTGTCATGAGTTGTCCTATCTGTCTCTCCGCGACTTGAATAGGATTCAATCTGGCTCTTCAAGCCCGTATGTAAACCCATTGTGCTAAGTGATGACCTGATAGTCAAGCAAGCTGACATCCATGTTTAGGATTGCATTAGGTGCACAGTAGTCAGTTACATATCTGCAGCAGCTTCTGAGGAAGCAAGCCCTGTGCACAAGACTTCCCTGGTGGAAGCAAGGGTTGGCACGGATGGGTTCCTCTGCTCAGCTTCGGCTGATGTCGGATCTGAAAACAATTCAGCAAGAACCCCCGGAGGGATGCAGCGCGAGTCCGTTGAGCGATGACAACCTGTTCGTCTGGCAGTGCCAGATATTTGTGAGCAACGGCAACCATTCTTTCTAGCTGGAAAGGTTGAGTTGCATATTCAGATCATGCTCCTTTGATGATTCACCAAGCCAGTTGCTTGTCTTTGAATCTTCTGGTTGGAACCATCTTGAGGCTGCTGCTGTAGACGTGCTCGAAGCTGCTCCTGTAGACGTGTCGATCCAGCAAAAGAGGATACTAAGCATGGCAAGTCGTTACTCTGGATTCGTTCAAGATATCGCCGTGATGTCGGGGTAGAGTTGAGGCTGGCTCCTCTTGCTGGCTCCTCTGTCTATCCATCAGAGCATCTCCTTGAAGAGTTTTCGTCAGTTGGGGCTGTGGAGCTTCAGAGGCTGTGTAGTATGACTTAAGCTGCTACTGCAATCTTCAGAATTCAGATGCTGATAGGTATTGACGTGGGAGCTGTCGGAACAGCCTTCTTCCGACATTCAGGTGTTTCTTTGTTGTGCTGGCCCGTATGTTGGCATCTTTTTGAAGTATTTGTACGGGGGCACAACGCTAGACTTCTTTCAGGTGTACAGCATTCAATCTGCACGGCTGCAATCTTGATATTCTGAGCCTTCTTCTGACGATTGCAAGAAGCTATCATTCTCCTCTGAAGCTCTCGCGCTAGCATTTGTGTGCAGCCTTCGCACTGCAGCGCTCCTTGTTGCGGAGTTGCACAGTCAAGGCGTCCTTTGCTTTTGGGCCGCCGTCAGTTTCCACATTTTAGTGTTGTGCCGCAGCGTACTACTGTAAACTGTTCAATAGGGTCAGTTCAGAAGTTCCAGTGGTGGACGGAAACCAATGTTGCAATGCTGAAGCAGCTGTTCACTTACTACAAGATGATTTGTGGACTGTATGAAGGCTGGCTCATCTTTGTCTCAAATAGTTATAGCTGAATGTGTGACAAGGCGATGATGCCTATTATTAGTCAAGCTAACCCTCTTCTAGTTAACTCTTTTGGCTGGTTACATTCCGAACTCGTCCTAGCCCCAAGCGCGTCCTGAGTGACTCTAGACTTCTGTCAGGTTTCTGACCTTTCCAGATTATTTTACATCATGATCTGGTCAACCTGAGTGCTAAACCTTGGTCACTTCCCATTCGTCGTTACACCTCTCCTACATCCTTTTCCCTTTAGCTGTTCAAATCGTGTCCTTCACCACTGACTCACCCCTGACAACCCTTTCGTAAACACGATGTTCTTTGCATCCTGAAGTGCTTACCAATTCCTCTGTAGGGCCCTGACGAGTCCCCTTGGGAGGGTGGCATCTTCTCTCTGCGAATGATCTTCACGGAGCATTACCCTGCAAAGCCCCCCCGAGTACGATTTACAACGGACGTCTTCCACCCAAATGTGTATAAGGACGGCACGCTCTGCCTCGACATCATTCAGGTGCAGTGGCAATCTGCTGTATGTATTCATACTGCTTGTAATCAGAGGCTTCCACCTGTCTTAAGAGCAGGCAAACAACGTGTGGTTGAGGCCATGCACGTTGAAGTTATTTGCGATCTTTGGCGGGATGGCTTGAAACGGAACCGAACGGAGCACTTCCTCCATTGTAGCAGCGTCCCAGTTGGGCTTGAGCATAGTCTTTTAAATTGTTGATGGGGGAAGCGGAACTGAGTCAGTTTCTTCAGAGTTCCGGATTCCGGGATTTCGCGAGCTGCAATTCCGGAGTTTACACATAATCTGGGAAAGAGGTTCTGCTCTGGGTTGTCCTGGTGCACATGTCCGTTGCTTGTCAGTGGAGCCGTGCAGGGCAAGGGAGACGAAAGCGGGGGTGGAGTGATGTCAGAGCGTTTGAGTATTCAGCTTTGGCAATCTGCTTCCAAAAAAGGTCTGCCGAAGGAACTGGATTGCAGACGACTTTTACAACTTACCGCTTAGGATGGTTGCCATCCTCGTTTCTTGTGCAAAATGGTGAATTTACAAAAAGAGGGATGTCGTTGCGAACAGAGGGAATTCTTTTTTGCAGGATGCCTGGAGTCCCGTGCACAATGTTAACACGATTCTCACTTCGATACTGGTGAGTACCATCCGTTGAAAATCACTGTTCGAGGCATTCAGTGTCGGGTGACGTCTTCGGTGGACTTGAGAAAATTCGACACAAGTGCTTGCTGAAGACGTAGGCGATAAAACCAGGCGTGCAAAACGCCTTTGGTAGATTCGAAAATGGTTCTAGAAGCATCTGGCATTTGCTCTTCTACCGCTGGAGTCATGAGCTGACGCAAATCTTCTTTAGCTTCTAGCTCGTAAGAACCCAGTGCTCAGGATCGTACATCCTGCATGCGCGCTCCAAGTGAAGACTTCTCTATGGGGTGTTACATTTGTTTCTACGGGACAACCTTTCTTGGCCACGCTTTGCGCAGGCGCCATCCTGAGAATCCATGGTCTTGGTCTTCTGCTTTTGGCTGGGAAGTCATGGTCGGCAAGCCGTAGAGAATACCAGCGGGTCAGGGTGCAAGCAGCTGGACGCAGCCAGAGACTTGGAATCTGGTTTGCCTGCCCCTGCGCGTTGAACGGTCCCCCACGTCTTGCGAAATTCGTGCACTGTTTCTTTGAAAGTCAAGTCCGTTCACGAAAGTCACATCCTTCCATGTAAGGTGGGCTTAAGATCTCTTTTCTTTGGCCCAGTGGTTGTATTTTAGCACTGGCAGCACTTGATTTTCTGTCATGCAATCTTGCACCTATCTCTGATCTTGACGGCGTTCGTGTTGTACAGAGTCTGTTAACTGATCCGAACCCGGCTTCCCCAGCCAACCCGGACGCTGCTCAGCTGTACCAAAATGATCGTGCGGCGTACAACAAAAGGGTTCGGAAATGTGCACAGAGGTCGGTAGAAGGTTAGCGAGCTCCTCGGATCATTATGCACTTGCGAATAGGCCTTTCCGGACTGGTCTGATTTGGCCGCGCACTGCGATTGTTGGACTCACTTAGCGGCCACGCATAAAAGGGGTACTGTGAGCTGCGCGCTCACTGTTTCATGAGAGGTTAGGTGTAGAAACGGTACTCTCAGGTGACTTCGTCCGCAGGTGAACCAGCGGGAACATTGATGGGGTGTAGGATAGGCAATTGCTCTCTGAGAACTTCGAACTGTACAGCTATGCACATCATGTAGAATAATTCGAAGTTCCTGTGATTCAGCTAGGTTATTCCATCACACTGTTGCAGCAACTCACTTGTGTGCTCTGATGAAAGGCGTCTGACCGGCCTGATTCCGGCTGATTACGGTGAGCACATCCCCATACCCGGCAGGCAATTCGGTGCCTGCCGGCGGCGGCGGCGGCGGCGGTGTCGTGGTGCCTGCCTGTGAGGTGCCTAGCAAATTTGACGGGTTGCGTGGTCCATTTTGACATGTCTGTAAAATGATGATGAATCTATAGTGCTAGCTTGAAGTTTAATGATATAGCTTGAATGTTGAGTCCATTTTTTTTTTGATAGAGTCGATTTAAGGCCACATGCATCATGGGCCGTCATCATGCAACTCAAACCAGCTAGCTGCCACAAACAGTCACACAAAAACTGTTGGCTGCGCCGGACCATATATACCGTTTCACACGTGCTGCCTAGGCATGGTTGCACGATCACGTAGCCGCCTCATGTGACGGATAATGGTCTTTAAACGCTTGAAAGTTCCTTGATTTGCAGCATGCTGTCCAGACATGAGTGTGCATGATTTTCGTGAGAGAATTGCAACTACTGTCCTCTAGCGTTTTGTATTGAGTGCTGTTACTCAGAACAATGATCGCACTTGCTTCTGTCCACTAGTTCAGCACGTCCCTGTCAACCCGCATAACCCGCCGCGAATGGCGAAACGCTTCTCGCCAATCGTCCTCAGTGTGCTCGCTGTTGCCCCTCTTATCTGCTGCAACAGTCTGCGGATCAAATTGTTGCCGGAAACCGCTTGCCGACACTCCTTCCATTCCGATATTGTCCACAGCCTCCCTCCCAACCATGGAGCTGACTGTCGAGTGGTGTTCTGCTCTACGTGGCATCTCCGAGTAAGCAGTACGACGCGGTGCTGCTGGGGCGCTTGCGTCCGCTGCCGCCAATCTCGTTCCTCCTGAAGTCACGCTTGCACCAGCTGACGTCATCCTTGCCTCGGCTGGTGGAGAATCAAACTGTGGACCTTCTCGACCCTCAAGCGCAGAGATCTCCGACATCAGCGCCACGTCATCTTCTAAACCCCGCCTCCCTCCACCCTCTCTCGACGCTTCCAGAGTTGGGCGAACGTACCGCCTGCCCGTCTGACCATCTCCCGTACTTTCAAGCGTGAACACCGCCCGATCAATCACCTTGCCAGCTTCCCGCTCGCCCGCTTGCCTGACACGTGGCAACGGCTCAGCTCGTGCTGCTTTTTCCTCAGACACCTTCGAAGCCCCGACCGAACTCATCCCCTCCTCCTCTACCAAGTGCTCTGCTGAACCCCCCGAATGGTGCAGCTCTCCCTCCAATCGCAACCGACCGTCGTCTTTACCCAGCACGACAGGTTGCAAGTAGCGCCGTCCTTCGGACGCCGCTGCCAGGGAAGGCGACCCACGTGGCCCCAAACGCTCTGCCTTGGTCGCCCTCTCAAAGAACTGCAGCCCGCGAGAAGGCCCTTCCCTTGCCCGTCTACGGTGCAAATCGTGGGGTCCGCTTTTAAACCTGCGCTGTCCCAAACTGAACTCAACATCCTCGCTGAAGTCTCTTTCCCCGACTCCCCTCTCCTTGTCCCGAGCGCGTTCTTCCTGCCTCGGGGGGCCTGTTCGTCGGCCCCCCCCCAACCCCCCAGAAGCACCATACATGTCAACGGAGACAAACCCCTTTCCGAGCTCCCCCGAGGCGCTTCCTTCTTCTCTCATCCCGGATCCCCGGTTTCGTACCCCGTATTCCGCTTCCCTTCCGCTTCCCTCTCCCAAATTCCGTTCCATTTGCTCCCTCTTTCCTTCCCAGACAGCCACGCCCCCACGGCTCCCGTTCTCCATGGCCCCCGGCAAAGAAACCCCTTCCCGTTCCTGACCCTCGGCGCTTTCTCCAGTTCGGCGACTGGAGGCTCCTTTCTGCCCCCATACCCCACTTCGTCTCCGCTTTTCAACCGCTGCAGACTCCCCGTTTGCATGTCGCGCACCCTCTGAAGGTGACTGGACCCCGAAACTGCTCCCGCCATCTTCCCCAGACAAATGGCCGTTCCCTAGAACCCTCCCCCTGTTGCTCAGCAACTCCAGCCCCCCGCCGCCCCTCTTCGGCCGCCTCCTGCTCAGCAGCTGCGTAACGCTCCCCAGCTCCCGTGCCTCCGGCGTTACACCCCCCGCTTCGAGCGGCTTCTCACGAGGAGCGACCGCGCCGTTACTGGACGGCTGAACTGCCCCTTCGAGAACTCTTGCGTTTCGCTCCTGAAAAAGCGGGCCGGTGGTTTGCGAACGCCTGTTCGCTCCTGCAGGCACGCCTCCGACCTGCTTCTCCATTCCATCTTCCGCTCTCATGAGGTCAGCAAGACCTCCGACCTGCTTCTCCGTTCCATTATCTGGTCTCCTAACATCAGCAACCTCCCGTTCACGGCCCTCCCCCATTCCCGTCTCCTTCAAGCCCTGCACCCCAACCCTTTCTCCAACTTGCACTTCTCGCCTACTGCCCTGTACTTTGATTCCTCGCTGCCTATCGCTTGCTCTAGCTGTTGCCGTACGCCGCGCCCTTTCCATCAGTGCAGCAACTTCCGGCTCCTCCCCCCGTACCCAGAGCACCTTCCCGCCACTGGCGACTGCTCCCTCACTGACGTCAGCTGCCGCTCTGCTGACGTCCGGCCGACTCCGAAGCCACCGTTCTTCAGCCCTTCCGCCCCCGGTCCCTTTCCCAGCACTGGTGTATCCAGCGCCGTCGACTCTCATTTCCTTTCCCCCCGTCACTGCAGCATCTCTCACAAATTCACCACTTCTTGTGGAGGGCTCTCCTGAGCCAGTCTGCCTTACGTTGTTCGGACTCGGCTTTCTTCCGGTCCACGACTCGCCTTGCTCTGAAAGACTTTCACTTGCTGTTCCATCCTGTCCTGTCACCCCCTCCCACGCTCCCCAAAGCGCAGCAACCACACTCGCGACAACGACCAAAAAGGCGGCCCCTATTCCCAGCTGTATCGGAAGGCCCTGCTTTCCCCAGCTCTCAGCCACCTCTTGCGTCAGACCCTCCAAGCCATTTTCAGCCACCGACGCCCGCAAGTTTTCCAATCCCGTCACAGCCCCTGAGCTTCGCACCGCCTCCCTCGCTCCCTCCAACGCCTTCTCAAATTCAGCCGTTGGGATGACCTCCCTCACAGGCGCAAAAAGCGCGTCAGGATCAACTCTTAACCCCCTCACCTTCTCAACCAGCGCCCCTGCCAAACCCCCGACCCCAAGGGGATCCCCCGGCCCTGAGCCCACCGCGATACCCCCCATGGTTTCGACACCAGCTCCGCCCCCCTCACTGGAGAAAAGGGCGCTCACGTCGACCCCCGCCGCCCTCAGCCTCTCCAACGTCACGTCGCTTGCTTCCTCGTTGCTAGGTGGCACCTCCTCCTGCGAGCCTCGCCCGCTGACCTCAGCAGCTACGTCACCCCCCAATTCCACCGCGCTTTGCTGTCCTGAGGTTCCGTCTCCGCTTCCTCCGAGCGCGGAGCGTTCCCCCTCTGCAACCGCCTCAGTCCGCAAACCTCCGGTCTGCTCATTCACCCTGCCACTCTGGCCCGTCTCTTCCCCACCCGACGCCCCCTTCCCGCCGCGCCCCGACGGCCTCACACTCTCTGTTTCTGTTTCTGCAGCGCCCGACAGGTACACCTGCGGAGACGCTGACCCTGGCGCCCTCCCCTGGCTTTCAATCTCTGTGACATCCAGAGCAACATGGCCTGGACCACTGACCACCGAACGGCTCGTCCTTCCCCCTGCTTCTTCTCCCCCTCCTTGAGCAACTGCGTCACTGCCCTCAGTTGCGCCTCCCGGTTCAGTCCCGCGCAATCCGGATATTCCGGCCCCCTTCCTTTCTCTGCCCAATTTAGACTCGTTCAAAGAGCTCACGGTTGCCTGGGCTGAGGACCCAGCTAACCCGCCACTGACTGTTTCCTCCGGCGGGCCCGTTTGGGGGCCTCGAACCAGACGAGCGGGGCTCTCCTGCGTTTCAACTGCCTTTCTAGGCACTTGTTCTGTTTTCTCCCCCAGGAGACTAGGGTGTTCGGAATGGGCCATTGGGTCGGGAGAGGGTAGAGTGCGCGCGTCCATGAGGGACTTGAGCACCGTTGCCAGCTCGTCAGGCGGCATTTCGTGGAACCTGCCAGACGTGGGAACGTTTGGAACATCAGACAAAGGGCAGAAGATAGGGTGTAGATCTGGTTGACATGGGGTGGAATGTATCTGACGAGCCTTGTGCTTCTTCCAGAGGGCCCTCGAAATGGTCTACTCAATGACTTGGATCCTATCAAGGGGAGTATTGCACGAACAAATGCCGGCGTTTGAAGCACGTCTGCGCGCAGATATTTCGTCAAAGAAGTGGCGCTCAATGCAGTCAGTCATCATCCGTTTTCATGTGAGAACCACAAAACTGCCCGTCTCACCTTTTGGCCAACTCTCGCGCCAGGATGCGCTCAACGCTCCCATCCCCCGGCGTCCACTCATACTCCACCCCGAGAGATGGCTTTGTTTGATGATTGCTTGCCGCCAAAAGCTCCAGCGCCTGTGGCGCCGCCACCCAAGCCACCCCAGCCACCGCCAATCCTGCAATTGCTGGGTACAACCACTTTCCAAACTTTCCGTTCAGAGCCTGAGGACCCCCGTCCTCTGTTGCACTTTCACTTGGTTTTGTTCCCCCTCCTTGCTTCGCCCCTAGAGCTGACCCATTCTCTTGCTGCAGTGTCAAATCAAGCGGCAATTGCCTCAGCGCGCTGGTGACTACCGTGCCGCCCTCCCCATTGACACCGCCGCTCTCGCGATGCTTCTTTCTCTTCTTTCCCCCCCGCGTTTCGCTGCCGATGCGCTGGGTGCCCCCTTTGCGGTTCTTCCCTTCTGCCGGAATCGAACACCGCAGTACATCTGAACGGTCCTGCCTCTGCTGAAATCCTCCACCAGAGAGTCTCGCCAGATGCCAACCCCGGAAGCGCAGCGCCTCAGCCCGATCCTTCAACAGCCAGCTAGACCAGCATTTTCTCCTCGTCTCACAGGCAGAGCAATTCAGCACTTTTGAAATCACTCCTGGGTGTCCAACCAACAACATCGGGCGGACGGCGAGCTGCGGCATTATGTCCGGCTTGGAATCATGCTGTCCATGTCATTGTTGAACTTCAGCACAGATCTGAATTCCAGGTTTGCCTCCATTGATCGTTGCGACATTGGGGTGTCTTTGAGCACAAAAAGACTGCTGGCATTGGAAAAGCAAGAGTACCTGCCAGTGCAAGGAAGCACCGGAGTGACGTCTGCCGCCAAGGAAGCTGGCAGTCATGGCGACAAGAATGAAACATCGTGGCGACCGCTAATGAGTTCGTCGTGTCAACCGTGTCGCCGCTTCTGAGCTTGCGTCCTGGCAAAGGAAGAACCGTTCATGACAGCAGTTCAGCATCTGGCTCTGGCAAGAACTTGAACTTTCAAGAGGAAGCCACGAGAGCGCGCTACAGAAGGCAAAGCAGGGAAGCAGCAGCAGTTGCTGAAGAAGTGCTGCCTAACGTTTTACTTTGGGCCCATCTTCGTGAGCTAAGCTCGTCTTTACATGTGCGTGCGCTTGCACAGAGCTGTTGTGAGAGAAGAACAGCTTTTGCAAGTTTTCAAGCCAGAAATCCACTGCAAACCTGAACCCTGCAAAGATTGAGGTTGGGGCAGTAGAGGAGCTCATCAAAACATTAAGTGAAGCTTGTTACTGGTGGTATCATTGCTCAGCAGGTGTCCAAATTAGTCTGATTGGTGCCCTATCCGCAGGTAGTGGAGAGTTGATCACACAAGGGGGTGGAGCTCAAGAGTAGAGATGTTGAAGTCTATGGTGGCGGAATAAAGCTGAGTTTTCAGTCCAATGTGAGTTTGTCTTGAAGGCCAAGGGGTGTGGGGTCAATTGTCGCGATTGGTTTACGCAGTCAAACAATCTAGCAGTTGACTGAACGCCCTTAGGAAGGTTTACCAAGTGTTAGTGCTTCCAGGTTGCACTTCCAAGCAGATACGATTGGAAGTTGTTCCAGCTTCCGTTTGATGCAAAATCAGTCTGTAAAGGCAGAGAAAGGTTTTCGGGGGTAGCCTTTCTCCGTTGTCTGGCTGCTTGCACAGTCACCTGAGGGACTGAGGCCCTTTGGTCTCTGTGAAAGGGGCACTTGGTGAAGTTTCCGCAGTGCGGTTAGCGACTGAGGTTACGGGTTACGCGTGACGTCAGCAACGGGTAGGAGACTGGCAGGTGGCCTTCACGGCTGCCTGCGGGCCTAGGATGGTCCTGGCACAGCATGGCAAAGAATGAGCCGTCTCTAGTTCCTGAGTGGTTGAGGCAGGGCCACGGGAACAGCCACCAAAGCCAGGCCCACCATCGTTACCACGGTAAGTTGTTTTCGGTTTCTTCCTCGCTGAAAATGTCTAGCGCTGTGCTGTTTTAACCCCTCCTAAGTTTTCAGCATAAAGTATGGCGTGAATCGCAGATATATCAATCTCGATGGTCCTTCTATGGTCCTTCTAGGGTTTCCCGAAGCACTTTCCTGGTTTTCAACCTGGTCAAGACTGCTCAACAATGCAGCGCTGAGTGTGTTGAGCATGCTCTTGGTTCCCTATGCTGCTTTATGATGCATCATTTTGGGGGTTCGCCATCTGGTTCCCTGCTTGTGCGCCTCCGTTCATTCTACACCGGCATGCTTTTTGTGCGCGAAAGAAACGTGCAGTTGTAGCCATTTTCTGAACGAGGGAGATTAGTTTTTTCAGGCAAGTATCATTTGACAGGAAGTGCTTCCGCATGGATCTACATGCCCTCTCCTCCTTAAAAGGTCACAATTCAAATAAAAAGTTCCAGATGAAGATCCTAGCAAATGCGCCTGGCAAGTACAGAAGAAAACAGAGATCTAACAGCCCTTTGGACGGTTCTGATTGCTTTCCAACACAGTTCGTCCATCATACAAGTGGCAACATGACAATCGTGGCGACCGTTGACTGATCAGTGTTCAGTAGGCAGTCATCGTCCAAACTTGTGCAATAATGTAGAGGCCGCAAGAGGAGGAGCGGGTGGATGCCTGAATTAAAGGACGCATCCATTGTTTTCATTTTTCGGAATAACTCGAGTCCGCTGATCACAGTTGCTTTTTGGTACTTTGCTTTGAAGACTTATTACTTGTCTGTAAAGATGGTTGCTTGTGTATGTGTATGTGCATGTATCCCACCTTCCTCCTGGACTGGTTCTGATGAAGTCCTACAGTTCACTTGTCAAGCATTAGCTGCATTGAAGCTCTGAAATATACGAAATCTGACAGACGATCGTTTCTTCTTTTCAATCTGAAGATCGGTCGGGCAAAGCGGATTCAGTTCTGGTGGTGATTGATTGAAATGTGCGATGAAGCTGCTTCAATATTCCTGTGTTGACTGCCACCTTCAATGGATCCATCTCCGTTCTTGTGGTCGTCTTCCACCTCGTGGTCCAAATGCACGGTTGTCAGGTGCCCCTGAGACCTGCATCTTCTGCTGTTTTGACTCTGATGTACAAATGACAACAGTGCTGCTTTCGAAGGTGGCCACAGAAGCTCTTCTTCCACAGCTCAAATCTTGATCAACCAAATAAGTAAACCAGACTTGAAATGGTTTCCAGGTGACGGTGGTGGGCCTGCCACCCCTCGCCGGCACTCCGGCCGCGACTCCGAGCCTTCCCCATGGGTGTCCGGAAGCTACGTACCCCCTGGGAGGCGCAGTTCTGGGGCGGAGCGGCCGCCGTACGACCGCTCCACCTCCCTTTCCCACTTCAGGGGGGTAAGCAGCTCCCTGAGTAATGAGGCCGAGAGGGGCGAGTCTCAGGGGGGGGGCCAGGAGAAGCAGTCACCGGAGGGCAAGCAGCGGAGGCATGGGGATGCATTGGATCCTCGCAGATTGGGAACAGAAAGTGGGGCGGGGGGAGGGGAGCAAGCGTCGGGCCCGAGCTTGCCGACCGCCATGCCGACGACCACAGGCACGCTCGCGAGCAACGTGCAGAAGGCGGCGTTCGAGCGGAACTTTCCGGTGCTCGGGGATAAGTTTGGGCGGTTCATGCCGTCGATGAACAGTCTTCCGAGTCCTCGGAGGGAGGAGAGGGAGGGGTGGAGCTCCAGGCTGGCGGATCTGCCGTCCCCAGCAGTAAGGGGGGGTCCGAGTGTAAACGGGGCTGGTGCGCCGGAGAGTCCTACAATAGCAGAGGGAGGGCCACGCACGCCCAGGATGGCCGAGGCGCTGCAGCAGGGGATGCAGGAACAGCAGCAGCGGTCGATGCCGAATGTGAGTCCATCAGTATGGCAACGGATGATGACTTGGAAGTTGCAAAAAAAAATTGGAGTGTCGCCTTTTGGTCGAGAAAGGGCAATGCGGCATCAAGATACTTGGGGCTTTTGTCAGACTCCCCTTCTGTGCGATCTGAAAGAAGCCAAATCTCGTCAGTTACGTGAAAAAAGGAAACAAGGAAGGTGACTGCACTCTGTTGTTGTCTCTCTCTTTGGATCGTTGAGAATCAGGCCTGTCTTGAGTAGATGGAGGATGTCGAATGCACTTGGTCGTTACTTTGAGTTGCCACTAAAACTATCACGGGAAGGGAAGCAAAGTTGCTTGGCTGCTGGTAGATACGCCAATTGTGAGAGGATCACGTGAGGGTGAATCCCTCAGTGATGGTTAGGCACTGTAAGCACATGGAACAGCACACTCCTTTATCACCTGCCCTCAGCACCTTACTGCTGACTAACTTGCTTTGAGGAAGGTTTTTCGCTGTCTTTGCATAAGAGGTTCCCCGCTGTACTGATAATACGTCAGCTTGCCCTTTCCGACAATGTCTGCAGTCAAATCTATGTCTGCAGCCGAAGCTGGGACGTATCAAGTGGACCCGGGTCTGGTGATGCTGACTGAACTGTAACCTGCGATGTGCAGGCACCGTTGGAGAGTCACAAGCAGGAAGAGCTTGTGCTGAAGAAGATGAAGCAGTTGATACCGCTGAAACCAACCATGCCAAAGAACCTGGTGAGCCTCGTATTCAACAACATATGGCACCGTAAGAAATGAGCGGCTGCCGAAGTCATGCATGGTGTTAATACTTGTGTCACCACAGAAATTTGCGACCCGATATAGAACTGTCCACCAGGATGTGAGCTTGAATGAGTCCACGTTGCTGAAATGATTTCGGGTTGAAAATGTACTTTAAGCGAAAGCCTGGGGATGCTCTTTTTGGAATTGATTACCTCCCTTTCTTTCCGCACTCCTGAAGATTCTGACAAAGCCGTCAAGGAACCCGGTTACGTGGTTTTTACGGCAAGCAATCTAGCGCTCAAAAATAATGCCTGCAAGCACAATGAGAACGCGTATCGTTGCACTATCTGAGCGAGAAGCCTTTAACTCATACATATGCTTCTTCTCATTTTGACCAAGTTCGCGAACTGGATGCAGCTTTTGAAGCCGTCAAAGAAGCCGCTGCATTCGAGCACGCCCCAGCCGGCCGTTCTGGATGCAAAGCCCATCGCCCGGCGGACCGACGACCCGTCCTTGTCCGGAGCCAGAAAATCCCTTCCCGGGCCAGCAAACGGCAGCGTTGGCAGATTACAAGTCCCCGGTTCACCCTCACTCCTGGCCAACGCCCCAGCCACCCCCCCGTCTCCTGCCGCTAACGGTTCGAACCCGGGCAACGGTCCCAAAGTCAGTGCGGCCACCCAGAAGCGGAACGACTTTCTGAAGGGGCTCCGGAAGAAGGCCCTGTCGCCCAAGGACCGCACTCCGGAGAGCAACGGTGCGGCAGGAGAGGCTGGTGGCGCCGCCCGCGAGCAAGGCCCGCCCAGCTTCCGGCAGTGGGACTCCATAGAAGCCTCCCCTGACAGCCAAGGGGCCCCGCGCGTTGTAGCGAGTCGTGCAGAAGAGGCACCGTCAATACGACACGAAAATGGGGCTGCGAACGGCCTGCCGCCGAACGGTTACCTGAACGGGGCGGGTGCTAAGGGGGGTGTTAACAGAAGCGCGGGTGACGTGGAGCTTGTGGGAGAACCAGAGGGGGAGGAGGCCGATTTACTTCGGTCTCTGGGATGGACCGGGCCGGACACTGATGATGAGGAGGGAGCGCTGACCGAGGAGGAGATTCGTGCCTTCTTTTCGCAGGTGGGATGCGCTGTTCGGACGTTTGTTGGACTCTCAAAGTGGGTCTGACAGGGACGTCTCTGGAAGAGGGTATAATTTTCAATGTACCGTCGACAAACTCGTGATGCGAACGGACTTTGGGATCGTTCATGTGGAACGGGAGACGCTTTTATAGGGTTCTCAAGCGATGCGTGTTTACTGAAGTTCGTACTATCTTTCCAATTTTCGCTGCTGTAAAGATACCCTGTGTCCGCTCTCCTACTGTTTTCGAATTACGCGTTCGTCAAACGACTCGGGAATCGACATGGGCTGGTTCACGGCAGCAATTGTAGCTCAGAAGGCAGAAGGATGTCCTGGTAAGTTTCTCTAACTGATTTCGTGATAATATCGACACTTTTCTCGGAGCCCGCGCGCATTGAAAGCATATAAAGCGGGATGCCCGCCTTCGCCAAAGCGCTGACTTTGCTGAACTGCCCTTGCAGACCGCAAAGCTGAATCAACAGCCGAAAGCCGTGTATCAAAACGGAGCCCAGACGTATGAACCGACCAGCCCAATTTCCGTCGCATCTGTGGCGCGACAGGGGATCCCTCTGAAACCGGAGGTCATTGTCGGGAGTTACAGTAGCCTCTCCTCGGGTCTCAGCTCGTCCGATGACGAGTCGGACTATTAGCAGCCCGTGTATACTGCCTGTTTGTTGTCTTAGTAGCGTCGTCCTGTCGTGTGTACCACAGCGTGCTTGTAAACCGAGTACCTCAAACGAAGAGATGAAGAGGTATTAGTACGCATTTTGAAAGCTATAGTCCTGCACTTGAGCGCTGCAAAGGTCAAGGGTTCGATCCGAGTGCAGGGTTTCGTCAATAAGTTTGTTGGAACGAACCTGTTCCCTTTTCCGCCTTGCAAGGAACTTACGCCTTGTTCTACCAGAAACAGAACTGATCACGATCCAGCCGCAGCTGGAACTGGCTTGAAAGTCAAGCACTGATGTTCGGAGCCGCTGCATCCGTTCATACTTACTCCCACTTTTTAAATTTGCATGACGCATGTGGGGTCGGAATGTGCAGCCGCCAATAGTGAGAGCGGAAAGAAACATATCTGGGCTGAGCCTGGTCGGAGCTCTTTGATTATATAGCGTCCGCCGCGCTATATTTTCCATATCGAAAGTGATCGATCCGTCGGATCACGTAATTGCGCAGATAACATTGCAATTGATATGGCGGCGGTCTATAGTTGCTGTTCAACATTATGTAGCTCTGTGCTGGCCCCGATTCGGTCATTTTCAAGAATTATCAGAAAGGACTACCGTGGTGCGACACAACTGCGTGTTCAAGCCTTCGGATCAGCCCGCGGCAATAGATAAAATTTGCAGACAAAATTTGCATGGCCGGAGCCACTGCATGATCACATGGCCGGGCCGCATGATCATGGCCGTGAGGCCAATATAAATCCATGTTGCAGATCGCGGAGGTGCGGCACTTCGATCCTTCTAACTCGATTGCATGAGATGCCATGCGCTGTCCTACTGAGAATTGCATTATACCGCGAAAGTGCATGAGCTTTCAACCTGCCGCCCTTCTGAGCCTGAAGTCATTGTGGCTTGGAGCTGTCACAGGTAAAAATCATGCATGCCCGATATCAGGTATGTAGGGGTGGGCGGCGAAATGACCGGGTCGTGCATGAGTCAACCTCATCGACATATATCATTTGAGCCATGAGATAGTGCATAACTCTGCCTATACCACCTGAAAACGGTACGAATAAATACTTTGGATGTCTGATAAGGCCTGGATACGCGAGGGTGCAAAGCAGGGAAGTTTTCGGATTCAGGTTTTAGCATGTCAATGGAGCCGCAGGCTTGTTGTTTTTCTTGCGTATCATTATCTTTCTTGAGAGTTACATAATGTTCGACGTTTGAATCTGTCAAACCAAGCTCTTTGTGGTCGCTGAGCATCTAGATCTGGTTGCACTTGGTTCAATTCTTTAAACTTCGTCAGAGTGTCAGCATTCTGTAGCAGCATCTCGTTCCGTCAATTGAAGGTAGAAGGGGCCGACGCCCACGTGGAATCATGTCGCGATCGCTCCAACAGCCTGTACAGAAATCGAAGCAATCAGTGTAAAGCGAGCCTGTTGGACGGTTTTACACAGTTCAAGAATATTCTTGGGCTGTTCGAACATGGTCGATCGGTCAGTTCCAAGCTCAGTTCGAGGTTTTCGAGATGGGCAGACGTTTGAGGCTTGTATCATGGACGTCATCTGCAGCATTCTCTTTCTAAGTTTCTAGGTCTCGATCTTAGTATGGCCGTGGTCCATAGGTTTCGGTTTCGAAACCCATCCTAAAAGAAAGCCGACCAGCTATGCTAAGCCAATTTTGCAGTGTCCTTCAGCTTCCTGCTTTGCCTGACCTGTAGGGTGTAGCTTAGCGCGGTCTACAAGTGACTTACATGGGCGAGATACGATTCAAAACAGCTTGAGCACTCGCAGCTGGATATGTTCCTGAGCGCACAATAGAAACGTCGCAATCGCCGTTCAGACTATGCGCATACTACTTCAGTCACTTTCAACGCCCAATACAGCCTGAGGCCTCCGAATTTATGCGCATTCGCTGACTCTTGCAATGATCGAAGATCGTCTATCAAGAACGTGTGATCGTACTGTGAGCGATCCATCCGAGGTGGAAACATATCAAGTTTGCAACTTGATCGGTCCAACTGGAGGACGTCTTGAAAATTCCTTTGGCCGCCAAAAGAGCTGCCACTTCAGTATTCGAGGGCTTTGGAAGAGCGGCCACAACCGCAGAGGCTTTCAGGGCTTTTCAGGGCTTTCAGGACAAGAAGAAAAGACTATACAATAGCTGCCTTTGGCCAACTCTGCTGCCTTTGATCCTGTGACCAGCTCCAAAAACATACAACACAGAGGTACTTGGAAAAGATTACATGAGGTCGAGCGGCTGATTAGCACCTGTCCAAGTTGTGAGCGCATGACCAGCATAATCAGGAAAACAAGCTGAGAGGCAAAAGCTCGTCTTATAATCGTAGTTCTCAAATGCTTCCTCAATTGCAGGGGGAGATGTGTCAAGTTGGACTTGGAATCTATTTAGGGTGGATCTTGACACAAGCCTCCAATCAGAGCGAACGACATCTTGTGTTCATCTCGGAAAAGTCTGGCTGAATTATAATTGAGAATTCTTCTTCCAAGCATCTTCAACATCGAGGTATCGAAGGATGGAATCAAGAATTAAAGTTCGCAGCCGCTATTTATCAAGCCTGTGCTCATTATGCGCTCGGTGAAATCGAGGAGTTGCATTGGCTTTGTCAGAAATAGACGCGAAACAGGGTTGATCCAGCGATCTTATCGATCTTCCCTTATTCCCAGAAACACCTACCAAAAAATTCTTCTACTTTCCTCGTGGAAACAGACATGGGGTGATTGATGAACAGTAATGTGGTCGAGCAGGAAGTTCATGACCGGCAGATGGAGCAAGCTGATTGGAAAGGGCGCTTTTATCTGCAAGATGGTCGAGAGGCGCAGGGGTGCTGCCCCAGAATTCAGAAAGCCCCGAAGCTGGTCTGGCCGAAGTCGATAGCTGCTGTAGACGAATCTTCAGCGCAACTTGGCTTATTCGACGGGAGTACCTTAGCTGGTCACATTTTGTTGACAGGAAACTACAGGGGCCTGCGGTATTTTGACTTCTTTGACCACAGAGCAGAACAGGATGAGAAAGAGAGGGCCAATGACGTCCCAGCTTTAGGCTTAAAAGAGAACGATGGCCAAGCCGAGGAGACATGTTTCTCCACGAAGGAGATTTCAGGGCCGTCTGGGAAAAGTTATCCTGCAGAGTTCCAAAATCACAGCATTCATCCTGGTGATGTTCCTGGTTCCAGCAGGATTCTTTCTCTCAACCTCCTCAAGGTCGGGAAGGCAAGACTCAGGTGAGATTTTGAAAAGATGTGTTTGTAAGCAGGAAGTTGTTATCAGGTCTCATCAAATGCGGTGAGCTTGTTTTGAGGTGCAATTACATTCTACCTTCAACACTTGCAATCTCTCAATTAGAGTTCCCTTCTTTCTCGCTTTGGCTTGATGTTTGATCGGATGATAAGGTCCGCTCGTACATCATTCTTTCATCCCCTCGCTTCCAACCTGTCATCCCTTTTTTTCCCGCCGTTCTTTCAGGCATACATTCCAAAAGCCCTCGGCATCTCTTGCAACAAGCGGAGGTGCAGCCCAGGTTGGAAACGAATGGAATAGTAAGTTTAAGCTTATGCAGCCGCTCGAAGATTTACGCTTGAGATCTGTGCCTTTTTCTCTTGAGATTCTACTGCGAAGTTCTTTGTGCCACATTGAAAGACAAGTTGTGGCGAAGGGACTTGGACAAATCGGGCATCGCAGGTTTGAATCAAGAACGTGTCTTCGAACTTTCTAACGAGTCGAGAACTTGAGTACCTTGACAGAACCCGCTCATTGTTTTTGCGACACGGCGGAACTCAAAATTTCTTTTGACACTTAAGTCATGCTTGATTCAGCTTGAATGTTGGATACTCATGCTTCGAAGCGGCCAATCTCTGCATCTGCACCTGATGGAACGTCCAGAAGTACCGATCTTCCTGCTACGTGCAATCTTTCAGCCATTCATAATGGCAATGATCTCAGAAAAGTGGACTAATTTTGTGAGTGATTCGTCTCAGGTTTTCAAACCTCGTCAGATCCCAACTCTCGACGAGAAGATCGAGGCCGGAATGGGAATGGAAGACGTCGTCGAGCACTTCATCGACTCTGAGTACAACATCGACGTGCCAATCCTCCAGTCCTTGCTGCAGCGAGCCATTAAAGCAGTTGACTCGGCCGAGGAAACGGTAAGTAAGGAGTGGGGCCCGGGTATGCTGGAGTACTCTACTCTAGATGCTGGTTCGGTGGAGGAAAGCGCTCCAGCGAAGTCAGAGGGTTCGAGCGCAGAAGGGGGACTTGGCGAAGCAGTAATGTGGATGGCCATGTAGGCTCTTGCCCCGAACAGCGGCCCCATTCGAATTAAAGTTGTGACGGTTTCAAGACATCATAGTCTCTCATGGAAGCTGCATGAATTTCCCTGTCGTACGCATCAAGAATACGAAAAAGAGAGCACGCGGTCCAAATTCAGTGGGCGTCAAGAACCAACTGGCATCTGCATCGTTAAGCATGTTCGCAGAGATTCCACCTGTCAGCTACCTAGTGGCCCATCTCTGCTTGCACAACTAGGTTCACTTAAAGAGCAGATTGACGGTAGGCAGCTTGGGCTCTAGCCTTTTGTCGAGATGGACCCACCCAGACTTGCAGGTTGACTACCACTGTACCAGTCGCCTTCGTAGCGATCTAAATAATATCTCTTCAACCACATTCCATTCGATTCCGCAACCACAGCTGATTGGGCATATCGATGCACTGTCAAACTTTTCATTGATCTTCTTAAAGATGGAGCTTGATTGTCTGATTCTCGCTGAGTGGCATAAGACGAAAAGAGCATGCACTACGAAGGAGAATAAGTCTCTGCTCAGCTTCATGTCCTGTGTTACGCGGAGCCCTTTGTTTGGCTATGTAATATGGACCTCCGAGTAACGGGAATCCCTGGCATGTCCGGTCCATGTACGGTCCATTTGAAGTTTTGGCGAAGTTGATCAGAGCTGCATGCGCTGATGCGCCAGCAACAGTCTCGACGAACCTGAATTTACATTGGAATGCCTCTTCGACAAGGCGTAGGTTCTGAACGGAATCTTGAAAATCACGAGAAAGAGTGTTGAGCGTCTTGACCGGGTACATGCGCGAGAATGCCTAGATGCTTCCTTGCTTGCCGTCTTGCCGCAGGCGCAGCCAGTGTTCCATGGTGCCCAGGCTGGTTTACCAGATGCATTCTCGACCGTTCATGTTGCTCGCGAGCTCAAGTTTTCGATATTGTACACCGTCCGATAACGCTTCCTAAATACATGGTTAAGTTACGCCCGTTGACGTTGGGTTAGTGCTGAGTTGTACATGCAACCGGCGACCAAGCTGAGATTAAAACGAACGCACTGCCAAATTATGCCCCCCAAATGCAGCGCCCACATTCTATTTCCATCATCAAGCCGACATGCATTCTATGGTCGCTTGTAAACACTCCTCTTTTGCTATAGCATGTGTATCAACAACTGATGTACTTTGTGGTAGCTCGTGGAATCCATGTTCCTTGTTGACGCCAACTCCAAAACCTTTCGCAGCTTATCTATCCCTCGCAAGCAAGCGGTCCTTATGCAAGAGACCATTTCCTGAGAAAATACCTGCTCAAGAAGGTTTGCTTTCCATTCAATTCACTCCCTGTTCAGAGCTGTCTTTCAATTATCACACCAGATGCAGCCCCAATCTGATTGACGGCATTCATCGGCCCAGAACATTGACAAAATTTGGTAGAGCTTTAATTGTGAGAAGCTCCAGTGAAAAATTAGGAGACGGTGTCTTCATTGAAAGGGCCTCAGACAGCAGTGTAGGGGCAGGTGCTTTGAAGGGCACATTTACCACCACCAAAAAGAGTCCGCCTAAGCAAAAGGGGGGGAAGCTGCCAGACAGAAAGGAAGCTGTCCAGACCTTTTTGGTAAGTCCAATGTCTAATGCCACATAGAACGCAGCTGGTTTTCCTGACCTTGTGAATCCTCAGATTGTAAAACTGAGTCGGGGGAGTCCGTCCGTCTGCGATCGTTCCATCCTTTGCAGTCGCAGGTACTTCTCACAGCAAAGTGTCAGCTGATCTGAAATGTTGCTCTGCTTGGGCATACCACAATCTCAAGAGCTTATGGTGGGAGCCGCTTAGCTCGCAGACTTATCCATTGGTAGTGCTTTGATGCAATGAGACCACCAGCGAGAGACGTCCAGGGAAAGTCTGGAGCACATGATCGAGGAATGCAAGTGAGCCTTCCAGTCTGAAGTTGCAAGGCCGCTTCACCAGGTGCGCAGTCAGTGCGTCATTGTGTTGAGTCGAGATGCCCTTCTAATTCATGTTTTGCAGTTTGACACTCCCGTGCAAGAGCAAAGCCCGCGGGTCCAAGCTACCAAGCGGGGCCGGGGGGGCAAGACAGTGACTGTGGTCGGCGGTCTTAAACTCAAGCCGGAAAGCTTGGAAGCTCTAGCGAAGCAACTGAAGGCCCTTTGTGGAGCTGGCGGTGCTGTCAAGGAAGGATGTGTTGAAATTCAGGTGAGCTTTGCAAACTTTCTTTTCCCAAGCTTGTCAAGTCTGTTATCAGCTCAATTTCCTCCTTCCATTCATGGACTCCCAAACTTTCAGATGTCTTCGTGAAAGTCACTCGTGTGACTTCAATGATTTGAGTGACGTTGACTGATGGGAGTGGTGACCTCCATCTTTGCTTTTACCTCTATGATATGCTTTTACTTGGTCATGATCTGCAAAAAGGAGGTCATTCAGTATGACATGGGGTTTGGACACATTTTTCATCAAAGAAGGCCGAAACGAGCAGAATATATGTTACAGGGCGATCACACAAAATCGATAAACGAGAAGCTGATCTCACTGGGCTACAAGTCAAAGGTGAGCGGAAAATGATTGGAGAGAAAGCACCCATGTGTAGCGGACAGCACGCGCACGGTATTGTGAAGGACAAGAGGGAGCGGAGAACAGTTTTTGAAGGCAGGTACAAGGTCCGTACGTTTTGGAAGGCTCTACTGCAAGGGACAAATATCTAGGGCCTCCGACTCAGTTGTTTCTTGGAAAGCAACCGACGAGGTTGTGTCTTGTGTCCCCTTTCTAGCCACTCGGCCGTAGTTCCTTACTTCCGACAAGAGTGGGCTTTATTTGAGCTCGACAGTGGTCTACAATTAAGTCAAACTTCGTTGGAAACCGTCTCATGTTGAGCTGCTTTCGTTGTGAAGTTCAGTGCCTCATAAATTCAAACGGAATCTTAATCAATCTACAATCGTCATGTTTGGCAACCCAAGACTTCTTTAAGCGGCCTGCACTTGTGTGTCACTTTCATACAACCTGAGCATTACAATCGTTGGTTTGTAGCATCACAGCTAGATGGTGAGAGCCGTTTGATGTTATTCTGAATGCTGCCGAACTCGATCTTTTCTATATCGGTTAGGAGATCCACTCATGCCAGTGAATTTGAGTAGTCACTACAAAACGCAATCGTCACTTCCTGCATATGTTGCGCAGATGTACAGGAAACGTATTAACCACCATGCCAGTGACAAGCTCTTGTCATGGCGCACCGTTGTATAAGCAGGCCATATGATGGATCTTGTCGACAATATGCATACGTACATGCTGACGGAACGTGCTGATCGAATTCGTCGAAGAATTACATTGAAAGGGGCCCCTGGTGAATCACGCAGGCTGAGCCGCCATGCGGCATTTTAATGTATCATGATCATAATTCATTGAACTCGGCCGGCGGACATACGTGGTCGCCGGAATCCGCTGCAGGACAGACTGCACTGCCGCAGTCCTTAGCGCGTTGCATGTGCTTGAATAGTTCTCACGGCCGTTGTATCACTAGCATGGGCCCAATATGGTACCGCCGCATCATGAACGTGACGCGCCGTTCTCACAAGCGGCCCACAAGCTTAAGAGGATCCTCGAGCCCAACAATCATGGAGAGCTTGAGCCCTACCTGCCGTACGCCGCTGGCTGGCACCTCTATTTGCATGTGTCCGTCCGACCAATCGCCCATGAATGATTGTCGATGCGTCACGTTGTTCATGGGCCTTGTCAACTGCATACCGTACGGTCGGGCCCAGTGATGGGTGCCAATGATCCATTTGGTCATTTGACTTGTGAATGATGGTGTTCCGCAATGGCTGCGTAACTCACCAAAGGGATGCAAATCCGTCCAAGCTGCTTTTTATCTAGAAGCTCAACTCCGGTGTTGCCTAATACATAAGCATCAAATATAAACAGATCAGAAGCCGGAAGTAGTAACACTAGTAAAGACAACTTTCAAGCTCAGTCTAGCACACCGGCAGAGTTTAATGTCCTCAGAATCAAAATCAACAAGTCAACAACAGAGTTTGTCAAAACTTCGACAAAAGGGTGCCAGTTCAGCAAGCAAGGCTATTCCATCTCTAGGAGCGTGCATGATTAAAATACAATTGCAGGCTGTCTATGCCTCCCTCTCAACAATAACAATGTTCCCAAAGTTCCCTTTCGTGATCCTGAAGGACTGATCCTGATACAGGATATCCACCCAACCTGGCTTGCCTTTGGGGAAAACTCGTTTCATTGTGCCATCTTCCTCCATATCCGGGTTATCCTTGAAAACCTTCTTCCAGACCGTAAGATCAGTCCCTTCAGCCGGAGTTACACTGCTCTCTGTGAACTCCACGGAAATTCTCTTGTCACCCTCGAGAACATACTCGGCTCGGTTCAGGATCTTGGCTCGCATAGTCGGCAACCCCTCTGGCTCCAAAGTCACATCTTGGTATACATCATAGTACTTTCCCCCGTCAACTTCGTTGTAGACCTCGTGCATAATCATTGAGAGCTCCACAGGCTGATACTGCATGTACAAAAGCAGCGAGCTTGGTCATTGAAAACAGGCTTGTGATAACACCTTGCCGGAACTACTTTCCGTGAAAAGACACGAAGAAGATGCAGCTGAAAGTCCTGCCCTCTTTAAATAGTGTATCTTCCTTGGGTCTTTTCACGGGCTTTTCGCTCTTCTCAGTGGCCAACTAAACTCCCTGCTCATCGCAAGTTTGTCAGTTGCCAAGTATGAGGGCGTTTCCAACTCTGATGACCACTATATTGAATAAATCACATCAGCGACGCACAACTTAGGAACCACCTTCTCCTTCAATTTCACTATTTTGCAGAAACCTTGGCCTCGCACGCTGTCAGGCTTCATACCGCATTGAAACGCAAAAGCAATTGGGCCTACTCTAAAATCGGGTTTGACCTTACAATTACAGCCAGACAGGTGTTGAAAGTACTGGTTTAGAGACCTTACCATGTTGAACGTTGCCCGCCCCAAAGTCAGCTTTGCCCCTCGGTACAAGACATTCGGCATCGTGCTGTTCAGCAACCGGTAGCCGCCTTTGACCATTTCAAGATTCTTTGCTGGCTCAGAGTCGGGAGTGATCTCTGACAACTCGTTGATGATGCTGAGCTCTTCCTCTGTCAAGTTGCCGATATTGCCCTCGAGGCTCGTCCGCAGCTTGCCCTTCAGCTCCTCCCTCTGAAAAGGACAAAGGGTATCATAAACTAGGCATCTCCGTTACATTTTTGCGGGCGTTGATTGCAGACACCAATCTCTCTCAAATGTTTGTCTCGTCCAGAAACTTGGACGTCCCACAGTAACTTGTCATTCAAACTCGTTGGCCACATTCTGAGCAGATTGACTCAAGGAACAAAAAGGCGATCGGACCCTCAGCATTGTGTTTAGATGTGGGCCTCTTCTGGGCTTGAGCTCGACATTTTTGCAATGCTCGTTAAGGAGTGGCAGTGTCTCAGTGTAATGTCAAGACGACTCGTTTGCATTTTTCGAGCATCCATTGGCACAAAAGAAAACCAAAGCAAGAAAGTGGTAAGGAGGGGCAGCCTGCTATCATACACACAACGAGGTCAGAAGGTCAGTCCCAACAGCAGCCCGAATGTGCCTTGAACACATACCTTCCCTTCCAGATCAGTGGTAGCGCTGGCCACCACTGAAGTGCACCGGTTGATCATCTGCTTCTTACTTCTGCCTGCAAATGCAGACTTTGTGTACCGCACCAGAGATCCTTGCTGGCCAGTTGACTGCCAGAGGGGCGCAGCCTTCCCTACTCTTCTTTGCTGCTGTTGCCGGAAGAACCTTGCCTGCATAGTGTAATCGTGTGAGCATGTCTGCATGCACACAGCGGGCACTGTATATGGAGGCGCGCTGCAGCTTCTGACTGAAGTACTCTGCCAACCCAGCAGCACTTGACCTCCCTGACAACAAGGTATGGCTACTGACATTGCCATTTCAGCTACGGTATTAATGCAAGCCTATTGTTGAAGAGAAGTTCAAAGCCGTTTGGGGAACATAGAGCTGTGGATCTGCAAGTCTCCGCGCCTCGCTTTAATGCCAACCTCCAAGCTGTTCCTTCTCAGCAGAGGCAAGCAACTTTCTCATTGGTAAATTATCAAGTGCTCTCTCCTGATGTCAGAGAGCAGTCTGGTGCAAGGACAATGCACCAAGCGGGTCTGAGCGGGTCTGCCTTTTCTAGTTGCAAATGAGCACCATTGATTCTCGACGATTTTGAGGGAGTTCTCGCTGCTCTACGACACGTAGAGACTTATCGCAACGTCCATTTTTTTGGCAAGCGCTTATCGGACGGTTTGTGAAAAGTCGAATTCCATTGGCGGAAACACCCGCCAAAACATTCAAGTAATACCGTCTCCGGCAGTGCGGGCCAGCTAGGGCGCAGCTTTTAAGTTTTATTCAACTCAGAGCGGACAAATCTAAGATTATCTTACCTGGTCCTGAGTGACCGTCACTGAGTCACAAGCCGTCACAAGTGAATCTGCAAGGCTGCACTGCAGCATTTGGCTGCATGACATCGCAGATTTGATGATACCGCAACAGAAGTGAAGTCCTGAATTCCTAATTAAGCTTTTCGCCGTTTGCTGACTTAGCAAAATTCCAGCTTCTGCGGTTGTTGCGCTGGAAGCACGAACTTAGCGCTGCTCAGATACATACCAGGAGCAGCAAAGAAACGTGCTTTCGAGCACTTGCTAAGGTAGCAGTAATTCTGGATTCTGAGCTTGTTCATTCAGCTAGGAAGCGGTATCAAGGTCAATCATGCAAGGAGACATTCTGGAAAGGAGGGTGTTAATCACATATGGTGAGCAAGTTGCTGCATACATAAAGTTTCACTATTGCAGTCGTTCAGATTATGCGGACAGAAGCTGATGTTCAGTCTGCATTCTTATGTTGCAGATCAAGATCCCCATGGGGCACATAGATGAGCTACTGCACAATAAGAATGAACGAGGGAAGAATGGGACAAGCTCCTTGTCCATCTTGAAGGACAGTTTCACTTGCTGGTGTTGCTCTGCACATCCTGATTGACTTGTGAAGATCCATTACTGGCAAGAGTGTCTCCTGAGGACTCAAAGCTTGTGTCAGATTCTACAGATCAGAAGGAAAATGCGGGTACAACCACTGGGGGAGAAGCCTTGCATTTGCGGCATCCAAAGACTGGTGCGTGCGCACAACCCGGTTGGAAACTCTGCCTACAAAGTCAAAGACGAGCAATAAGGAGAAGATGCTGTGGACCAGAATGGTTGCACTTGTTGCATTTGGCCCAATCTTGATCAGGCTGCCAGGCAACAGAACTTCTTTGGTCATCAATGTGACCAGCTTTGAACAAGTTTTCACTTGCGAGCTGTGTCAATCGACGCAACAAACACTGATCAGCAGAGGTGTCTCTATCTCTGCCTTGGTTTCAACGAAAATCCTTCGGTCTAAACAAGGCGGGGATGAAAGAAAACAAAACAATACCCATTTGGCTTGCCATTGTTGATAATCTGGCCATGCCGCAACATTACTTCTCTGTGTCCGTACAGCTGTTCCGTCACTGTACTTACTGATTCGGGAAAAGTTGCAAGAAGTTCACTGGTTCAAGCAGCAGCTAGCGTCTTGGTTCATTGGAGAGTCTGTCAGTGAAGGTGAGTAGATCAAAAACCATGTTGTCATTTAGTTTCCTGCCACTCAACCAAACAGCTCGTAAGGTTGAAGACAGCGTGTGGAACGTCTTATTCAAAGAAATCTCATGCAGTTTCCCTTGCATACCGCCTCGACAGACACTGCAGATACTGTCCAGAGGTGAAACCTGTGGGAGGACTTCAATGACTGACTGTTGACCCCAGTTTCTTAGCTCGTTTTGCAGATGGCAGCCTCTATCTTTCATCACCTGTCGACCCACTGTTCATTGCCCTACCGCTTCTGGAACAAGCACGAATGAAGGTGAGATACCATTGGCATTGACAGGAGTCAAATACATCTTCAAAGAATCCGAAGAGCTGCAAACATAGAGGATTAGGAAGATAACTGTTTGAATGCCTTTTCCCGGTCTCTTTTCACCGAATCTTTTTGCATTCCTCTCGGATACAGAAAGGCGACAGTCCTGGCATGTTTCGAGGCTTGGAGGAGATGCTCGAAGTGGAGGGCTTCCCTGGCTATCAAAAGCTGTTCGACGTCTTCGAGAAGACCCTGGACATGGTATGCGAAGTCAGAGGTAGGGGAACCTGTTGACGCTTATTATATCTTGCTGCTAGATTGCCACACATAAGGTTCATTATTGATTCGGTTGCTGGAAGCATACAAGCAGGCTTTTGTGTTGGACCTACTAGGACCTTACAGAATGAGATTATGCTTTGACAAGATTCGATTCGCTCACTGCAGAAGCCGGCGACACAAAGTACTATAGACTAGACGACTTCAAAGCACTTGCTTGGCTTTGCTGCAAGGTGAGCTTTCTTTGTGTCCAGGACTGCCGCGCAGAGAATTGAACTTGAAGTCAGATGCTGTTTCCTTCCGGGTTGTTGAATCTTCCAGTACTTGACATCAAGCCAACATCACTCTTGGTCGTTTGTAAGGACTTGATTCTGCAAGAAATCTACTGCAGGCAAAGGTGAGAATATAGACGTACAGTCTGTGGAAATGCACACAAATTTGGTGAGTGAGAAGGCTTTTCATTCTTGTGCAGGTAGAGCAAGCGTCAGCAGCCCTCAAAATGAAAGGGGGAAAAGCTTTTCACGGGTTGAGCGACGATGAGCTCCGTAAGTCACACGTTTGGCTAAGACTCCACATTTATCAAAGTCCGCATAATTAGTTTTTGTGTTGATCCTCAGGCCAACGTCCACGCCCTGTTAGACAATTCAGGTCGCGAAACATCTCTTGTCAGTAATGAAAACGGATATTGTTGTTCTACATTGAACAAGTACCTCCTCTCAGGCTTCTTCAACAAGGTGTCCTTCACTGATTTGACGGCGACAACTTCTCTTCCAGTATACTGTCCAACCAGCGGCCCAGTCACCGTTGAGATGCAAAGCCGTTCCCGATTGACGTCTCTGCTCGCTCTCCTTTCCATGCAGGAACTTACTCTATCGGGTTGCTATCTGAGTATCTACCAGCTGCTACATGGATGAAGCGCCTTTCAGACCACTACGGGTGAGCCTTCGAACAGACCTGATCACTTCGATTTGGCAGCAAAGTTGACAACCTTCTTTCCAATCCCTTGCAGATCCCTACTTTGCAAACGGGCACGAAAGCATGGTCGTCATTCCATTTGTCGTTCGGTGCTTTCTGCCGAGTTCGCCGTTTATAGAGATCTGAGCGCTTTTCAAACCTCGAAGAAGAAAACCTTCGGGGAAGACTTGTTGTAACATTGTGACCCTGACCCCCGGTTTTAGAAAGCAGATCGAGTTGTTAGCATGTACCACAGCTCACATGGCGTGATGTTGAGTCGCTCAGAGCTTGCCCGCTCAATCAGATGTCTTAGCTAAGCTTGCAATCCTCAAACTTGAGAGCAGCTTCGCTTCCAGTCGCCTCCGCAATTTTCAGGTCAGCGTCAGAATGTATGATGCCCCTTTGTGGGGTGTGAGTCTTCGATCCTCACCCCCAGTCAGCTTTCCGCAGCCTTCGAAACATAGTCCTTTTGCCTTTCGAAACTTTCATGTGTTTCAAGCGGACGGAAAGCTCCAGACTCATGTAACGACTATCTCTGGTTCTTTGCAGAGTTGATCTGGATGCCGCCAAGAAGGCCCGCGTCCTCCTTCCAGTCCAGCCGCTGCCGTGTGCACCTCCCCCACCCCCTCCAGTGAGTGTCCCTCTCGGACACGACGTTGTTTTCTTACCTACTGCAGTTGCCGCTTTATCGGTTCCATGCGCTTTTGATATGGCAGAACAGCCCGCTTCCCTCGCTGCTTTCAGCATCGCTTGCACCGTGTTCTGCTACGGCCTAGAGGCTTGGCTTATCTCGCGTTGGCAAAACGGGGTCGACTTCGACACATCGAGACGATTTCCAGCCCTTTCCAGCAAGGATCCTAATTCAACCAAAACAGTCTGCTCTGCTTTCTTTTAATGCCTAGCTTGCCTCGATCATTTCGTGCTTGTCAACAGCGATTTCGTCCACAATTCTCGCCTATATGGTCTGACCTCTCATGTCCTTCGTGCAGGCTAAAACTGTGCCAGTCGCAAAAGGGCGGGCGAGCTCCCTAGCAAAGAAAGGACCACAACCAGGCGATCGAAAGATAACATCATTCTTTGCCAGGCCAAGGTGACCGTGTGGACAACTTTGAGCACAGGTTACCTGTATTGTCCAGTCGAAATTGTACCTGAGATTTGCTGCATAGCGAGCCCTTCGTGTTTTTCCCACCATTTTCAACGCCTTGTTGAAGGTGAGTCTTACCATGCAGCGGATACTTTGGAAAAGCATATTGGTCAGATGGCATTGAACATGATCTTTCAGACATATTCAGGCTCTCGTATTTACGGAGTTCCTTAGGACAAGCAGCCCCCACACTGAGCAATCGGACCACAGTCCACAGCCGCATCATGTGTGGCACGTACCGGTCCGTCTCAGTCGCCGTTGATTTCAGGCACTGCCCGGCACGTGCACGTGGTCATGTTGTCACATGTGATATCTTCGACGGCATTTCTAAAAGACAGAGCTAGCGTGTTCTGCATCCAAACATGGCGGGTGTGCATACGGGTCGAACTGCATGTGAGGCCGTAAGGCAGTGTTGTGCTTCAGTATTTTGTAAGCACTATCTCGATCTTACATGGTGCCTCGTGCGCAATATATCGCGTCGGCTGTGTGCCATTGAGCGTCGACACCATGGCGCTCACTTTCATAGTAAGCTTGCTTGCAGCCAGCCGGGAGCACACCACACTTTTGATTGAACTTCCAAGGAGCCAGCTACTAGCTGGATTAGCTAGTTGCTAGCTTATCCTATTCGTAGGACACGCGTATACAAGATTCGCGGGCTGAATGTAGATCGCAATCAAGACGCTATGCAACAGCCTAACTGCACGTGTGAGATACTAACCAAGAACTTAGAGGTCGGACATGCCGTGACCACCTATAGCTGTTCATATGTCAGCACATGCCCAACCTAATAACGGATTAGGAAACTCTTGTCGAAGTGTACACTGATACGGGACAGCGCCTAGCGCGGCTCGAATCCTAATCGCCATGCCCCAGCCTCACTGGTCTGTCAATCATCTGGATGTCGACTAGAGCTAGCTTTTCATTGTTCCAACCTGTCCGCAATCTCGACGCGGCAGGCAGGCGGGACCGAGTAACGTGCCCCGAGTGCATGACACTATGTGCCGTTTGCAAGGCCTAAAACTTAGGGTACGCCACCACGTGACGTATGCATTTTCGTCCTCTTGCTCGGTCTTTTCGACTGCTTCGCGGCATGGATGCAACTTGCTATGACCTAAGAAACCACCTGAGGCGCATTCGGGTTGTTCTTTTGCAACCAGTGAGCAAGCCAAACCTAGGAACGGAGACGGACAACAGGTTAAAGAACGCCAGACACCATCAGAAAGTAGCCAGAGTAGACGGAAAGAAGACCGTGCGCAGCTCAAATCTGAGCGCTAAGTGTGAAAGTAGGTACATGCATTTCGCGTTTCCATCCACGGTCGTCGTACTCGCCGCATAGATTGTCAGCAACGGGAGCCATCAGAGGACTAACTGAAACCAATGGAGCCAACCGTCGTACCTCAAGCGTTTCATCATCTCAGAGCAGAATTGCAGGCGCACGTCAAATCTGTTCTAGAGATCATTGGCGCATGCCACGTGGCAAGCTTCACGCACGAGAGAAGGGCGCTTACGATGGCTTCGTTCGGGTCGGAGCTCGGCTTCTCCTTTGCTAAGGCCGTCAAGGCCTTGGTCAAGATCGGCTGCAGATTCTTCTGGATGTACTCTGTAGCCGAGGCGCTATCCGGAACGGGATCGAGAACAACTGCAGAGAAGAAAGCAGATTCCCAAAATGTATTGCGGTTTTGTTCGAACTAATCAAGATTTGCATCTGCTGAGCCGGCGGAACCGGCCTTGTCGGCCAGCAGCGTCTCAAAACTGAAAAGACGTTTGGTGATTGTGCGCGGAACCCAGTCTCCTTGAACGAGTTGAAACTCATCACTCGAGTTCCTTCGATTCTGCTTCAATGCGAACGGGTGCCACTACCGCAATCATCTACTGATTCCGCTTTGATTGTCCGAAAGACGGCTGTTGTCCAGAAATTTACTTTGCTCTCTGTACAATGGGCTGAGCTCACGTCTTTCAAGATCTCTAGGAACGGTCCTGAGACCAGATGCATCGGAGTCAGAAAGGCCGTAGACGCTTTCAGGAGTTCTAAGAAGCGAAAGGCCTTAGCGAATTAAATCTGGGCTGACATGCAGAACAAATCCCTTCAAATTATCAATGCTCTTGTGCAGCAGAACTCGAAGCGCTTACGGTTTGGGAAGAAGAATCGTATCTCCCTCTGGGCGCTGGAAGGCGAGTCGCTTCCATGGACAGCATTCCTCTGACCGTCTGTTCCATAAAGAGCGCGGACGCTCTCCGGAGCCTCTTCTCTTGCTCTGTTTGAGTTAGTTGGGCCCGCAAGCGTCCTCCACTCCCGGATTGCATTTACCTTTGCAAGTACGAGTGCCACAACTGGTCCGCTGGAGAGCAGGCAGACCGACGGTTTGTCAGCAGTCTGTACTGGGATCTGCCGAGGCAATCTAGCTGCCTTGCTTGTAACAAGGAAAACGGTAGCCCAGATACAAGGACCGAGTAAGACCGTAAGGAGGATGCAAAAGGTACAAGCAGGACCGTCGAGACTGATGAAAGTCATAGCATTGGGGTATGTGAGTATGCCGACCTGGTGCACGGATTGGCATGTAGGATTGCACGGGCAGAAGCGGCCTTAGGAGCTCGTTTTGATGCCCTGGATGGCATCGGAAAGGTTCTACGTATCTGGCCGCTTACTTTTTCTTAGTTCTGCAGCTCCTGTCCCTTTTAGGCAAAGCTGAGTAGAGGAAAGTACAACGGGTCTGGTCTCCACATGCAACAACTTGAGCAGCTATTCCTTAAATCTTACCTGCTCATGAAGGTCACAAGACCTTCAAAGAAGGGCTTTCCGGCGTGCTCTGCATAGAATTCTTCTGCCATCTCCCTTGTCAGCTGTATATGGCAAGGGACAAATTCAGTGCTCTCTCCAATCATGAAAAAGAAACAGTGAGGATCAGGACTGCACTTGATCCTAGCTCTCAATATACAAAGTTAACAGCCATTCCCGAATGATTATGAACAGTGTGATTTCGAAGGATAGAGTGAGTATCTAGCACTCTGGCAATCCAGCTAAAGAAATAAGGGCTATGGCTGCTTCAGTCGAGCTGGCATGTGACATTATGATTGGATTGGAAATCTGCTACATGCATTGTTGACAAGCTTCAGAACACGGCCTTTGGGCCAAACGCGGGGTTGAGCTCCTCTTGAATGAAGCTTCCAGTTACCAACTTGGAAGAAGCTGGATTAGGCAAGGACACAGACCAACCTGGAGCTTTGCCTGCTGCACAATTGTGAAACCATTCACTTCGATTTGCTGCATGATCCGCTCTGCATTCCCAGCTCCAACGGCGTCTGGCTTTATCATGGCATAGGTTCTCTCTAAGCGCCCAGATGCCTCCATGGTGCAATCACTCCTTGACCCCCTGCTCTCCAGCTCCTAGAATCTTGGAGCTCTCTGGAGCGTGCAATTGGAAACAAGAACACTTCAAGGAGGTGCAAGCTCGGCAAGCTGAGCGATGCTGCAAACGTGACAGAAAAAGATGCAGTCTACTGTAATCTGTAAGCAATAGCATAGGCTCGGGGACTCTAAAATCACTTGCCTACCTCAAAACACAGTCGTCAGTGTCGTCACGCTATCATTACAGATAGTACCTTATGCTTTTGAACAGTTCAACCAGAGTTCAACTTGAATCTTTAAAGCTGTGCCGGATCACAACTTGTCAGATCAAACTTGGATGGTTCAAGATGTTTGCCTGTGTTAACCGGTCTAGCTACAATCCGGCAGCGCGCGCACATTCCCAATCGACCGCCAGTATTAGCATGGATGGACCCCGGAAAATCGATCTACGGTCTAGAGGCACCGCCAGATGAGTCCGAGACGATCAGCACGATCCATGGCGAGTCGGCGCTGGCAGGTGATCCCGGTATAACACCGACACAACGTAGAGATACTCCTGATTGAAGATTCGCACGATATCACATACCGTAGCTCCCTAGCTGAGCAAAGTTGAAGCTCTACAGTGACAGTCGCTTGCATGGCTCACGAGCATGCGCAGTGACTCCTTACAGTGCACTCATGTATGTACGTGTGTCAGTGCGTATGTGTATTGATCAACCACCGCAATCCCGGAGCTTCATTGAGAGCCAGGATCAGCTCGCCATAAATGTGTGATTGTCCCATGTGGCAACGTCAAAGCTCGACGAGCTGCTAATGAAAAAGTGCACGAGTGGAATCACATGGTTGTACACTCGACTTGATGGAAGCAGAGTTATGCTTTTCGACCTTGCAACAATTACTTGAGGTCCAAGTTGTACGACTCGATATGAACTGAACTTGGCAACTAAGAGTGGCTCATGCAATCCTGACCTGCTAAAGCTCCACGTCGGTCATTTCATCCACCTCATGCTCTCGCGCATGGCTTTCACCAGAAACATGCCCTGCTGTTACGCTTGCTGTGCCCAAACTATCAAAGAAACTACCTTCTTGACCGCTAGGGGTACCCCCGAGAACGTTTGGTGCCGTCGCGCCACCTGCTCCCCAAACTCCGGGCCCCGTTTGCAAGGAGCCCGCGCTTCCAATATCGGGCGGAGGAGGCATCCCGAAATTGCTAGAGGAGACGTCGGCTTGCACCGAAGCTCCTTGTGGAGGTGTCCAAAACTGCTGATTACCCTCGCCTCCCCCTGAGTAGCCCTCCCACCCTTGGCTGGTGCTCTCCCCCCCTCCGCCCAGTGCGAAGCTGTACCCCCCCGGAATGGAAGCAGGCCCACTATCATGACGCCCTGGTTCAGCGAACTCCGAACCTGACTCCCCCGAGGCAGCGCTGCTGGAAACGGGAGGCCCCGGAATCATGAACGTCGGCGGCAAAGGCTGCGACGCAGAGCGCGCGTGCGCTTTCGGGGGGCCGCCGGCCCCCCCCGCCGAGTGAGAAACCCCCGGGGGCAACGGCGGATGCCCCGACGTTTCACTAGAGTGGCTGCGCCGGTGACCGTGGGGCAGTGGCGGCTTACTGCTCTCGGCGGGCTGGAAACCGTTCGGGGCAGGGGGTTCTCTGGACTGCGGCCCCAGGGGGGGGTCAGAGGGATTGGCGCTTGAGTTTGGCTGGTCAGGGGGGTCGGACTCGGATTCGGAGTCGGGGATGGTGCCGAGGGGGGCGGGGGGCGGCACGAAGAACTTCATTGGCGCAGGAACCTGGACGCAGGAGGGAAGCAATTACGAAGAGTTCAATCCTCGGAGATGGACAAAGGACAAACCCAGATGTGTTGCCCAAATAAGGTTACGCAGCTCCAGGAGTTCCTGCGTCGCTTATCAGGACCGAAACGCTACGCGCTGCAAAGCCAAGACACACATACCCTGGCAAACGTTCATGAAGGAACCCTACCTGAGGAAGGGGGTTTGCAAATATTTGAACCATCGAGTTTGGCGAGCAGATACGGCAGACCAAAAGTACATTCTCAAAACTTCGACTTAACGCATATTGCATCGAGGACTTACCGGAGGCCTTGCCGCCGGAAGCGACAGCCCTTTGGCCGCTGATCCCGCCGCTGCCCCCCCTTTGTTGAACGTATCGACATACCGCGACCGCACACCCGTCCGCCCCCTTGCCGAGAAGTTCGGTACTGCTGGGGGGGGCGCCAAGCCCCCCGCTGCAAGCGGAGCTGTCCCCCCTTGAGACGCAGGCGGCTGCCCCGCCACCCCTGGGGGCGGTTGCGAGCTTGCACCCGCCCCAGGAGGGGCTTTTGCGCTGTCCACAGAGCCAGCATTTGGCCCCCCCGAGCCGAAGGCAGTCGGGGGGGGGGGGAGGGGCGCTTCTTCCTCGGGCTCTGGTTCCCCCTCGAGAACCCACTTCTTCCTCTTCTCGTCGTAGTAAAACTTGTTCTTGTCGCCCAGCTTCGCCTGATTTCCGCTGCCCCCCCCCACGGGAACCACGCTGCTCAGGCTGTTCTTGAGCCCCCCCCAGATGCCGGACCCCGCCCGCAGGAACCCCCCACCCCACGGGGCGTTTTTCCGCACGGGCGACGAGCCGCCGCCGACGCTCTTTGGGCCCGAGTCCTTGTCCCCCTCGGCCGCCGCCGAGGCCTTCCCGCTCTTGGCAAAGTCGGGCTCCGACGCGCTCCGGTGGGGGCTCTTCCGCCGATCGTCGTTGCCCCCGTCGCCCTTCTCCTCTTTTCGGGGGGTCGGGGGCTTGGAGACGCCGCTCTCGGCCGTGCTGGCGACAGCCTGGTTTTCGTACGACGAGATGAGGGGCGCGCCCTGGGCGGCCCACTGTCCCCCCGAAAAGGGATCGCCCCCTGGTTGGACCCCCCATTGCTGGGACTGGGTCTGACCGACGGGAGACGAGGGCCGGCTTCCAGAACTGACGGCAGGGCTCGGGTTCCACGACTGACTCTGCCCGGGGGTCGGCGGGCGGCTGCTAAGGGCACTCCCCCCCCTTTCCGCGTCCTCGATATTTACCCCCCCACCCGCCGCTGGACTCACCGACCACGCGCTTTGTCCATTGACGGGGGGCCGGCCGCTGTGCAGATTCTCCCCCCCTGGCGGAACCCCCGGTTGCCAGCTGGCGTTGCTTGCGGGAGTAACGCCCCACTGCTGCTGCGGCTGTTTGTTTTCGGGGGGGACGTAAAAGCCCTCGCCCTGCCCCCACGCCGGCGGCTGTTCGCTCTGGGGGGGCGCAAGTGCGGCCACGTTCTCCCCCCACTGCTGCGCAGGGTCCTGCACCTGCGCGGCCCACTGGTGCCCCACCAGAAACGCGCCACTTGTCGTGCCGGCCATTCCATTACCAGCGGCCGCAAAACTGTTACCACTCCCAGAGGCCGAAAACGTGTAATTCCCAACCGGCCCGGCAACGTGTCCCACCCCCCAACTCGGAACGGGGGACGCGGCCGCCCCCTCTTCTTTCACCGCGGGCGACGTTGGCCGGGACCCCCCCGCCGGCATTCCCCCCATGATGCCCTTGATCCCCCAATCGACGGCCTTGAAGAGCCCGCTGAGAACTTTCGCGCTGCTAGTTGCGGCCCCGGAGCGGACGTGGTTCTGGAGGCGGTCCTCGAGAACGGTGGCGCCCTGGCGGATCGCCTCGACGTCGGGGCTGCGCCCGCCCGCGCGCAGGGTCTTGAGAACCAGCTGGCAGTACCTGACGGGGGAAAAAACAGAATCAGATCTAAAACGAGCTCGTTCCTTGTCTAGGTTCAAACGGCGAACCAAACAAGTTTTGTCCGCAACCAGCAACTAGTAATGAGAGGTCGAAATGTATTGCGCCCGCCTCCGCGTAGAACTTTGAGAACCAGCTGGCAGTACCTACGGAAGGGAAAAAGAAACAAAAGAAAGAGCAGACCAACAGCCTGTTATCTCCGGGTCTCGTGTGGAAGCGTGGCCGCGTTACAGCAAGTAGGAAATGGGGGAGGGATTGATCTGCATGGACCACAACCCGCAGGCAGGGTTTTGAGGCTGGCAGTTCCTGGCGGAAAGAAAGTAGGAGTCGGATCAAACGACTGAAAAAACCCTTTCGTTCGTGATCTCGTGGAAAGTGTCACAGGATGTCGCCCAGCAACTAGAAAGAGGTGAGAGATCGACTTCTGTGCGCGCACGGACACGAAGATCATTGCAAAGCAGCTGGCAGTACGTGCAGACGCAAAGCGTGTCGTAAACTGTTGACTTCTCCTCCTCCTATCCTGCATGTATCAAAGTGCTCGTTCGCATCTCAGCAACTGCATGCACGAAAGGATCAAGCCTGTGCGCTCCCCCGTATGCCGGTCATCAAGCACCCGTCGGCAGCGGACGGGGAGCCAAAGCGCATATCTTATAGGCGAACGGCTCCAGGTCAGCTCCGTAAAAGTCAACCGAAGACGAGAAACATAAGAAGAGAGCAGGCGAGGGCTTCGAACATAAGCGAGGCAGCCCTTGGACGCGTCCCTCGCATGCAACAGCCCGAAACTACGGGACGCACCTGAGCGCCTCTGCGGTCTTGCCCGCCTCTGCCAGCATGGCAGCGTAGAGCAGCTTGTACGGCTGGAATGATGGCAGCACGAACTGCGGGTTGCCCAGCATCTTGGCGTGCTCGTACAGCTCCGTCCGCTGCAAAAGAAACGACGTTTTTCTGTGACTTTCCAGCACAACTGTAGAAGCAAAACTGGCCAGAAAAAGGTGTCTGGAGAGTAAGTTTTGAAGTTCTTTGTTGGCGTGCTCGTACAGCTCCGTCTGCTACAACAGAAAGGAAGTTTTTCTGCAACTTTCCAGCACGGCTGTAGAAACAAAATAGTCAGAAAAAGGGTGTTTGGGAAGATTCTTTTAAGCTTTTTGGCGTGCTCGTACAGCTCGGTCCGCTGCACGGGGGCAGCTTTTGGTGAGCGTTACTTGACTTTCCAAAAGTGCTGTAGAGCAAAATCACCGCAGGATGTTAAGCGAAGGGCTTCACTCAAAAGCTTCCTTGAAGTGTCAACCAAGCTATGCTGTCTACAAACTTAACCGTGCAGCTTCCGACCTGTATCCCGTAAGTGTACAGTGGATTGCCTAGGGCATTCAAAGCTGCCCTGTCAAAACCTGCTTCATATCCTCCCCGATAAGACAAGTCGTACAGCATAAAACTGGTTTAGGGCCAGCAGAATTTCTGACACCGTGGACTTCTCAAATTGCGCACACTTAGACTAATCGTTGTGATCGTGATTGTCCTCGAGCGACTGCAATTGTCCTCGCCCCAACCAGGCACATACACGCGAGCCTCCGCAAGAAGTGACAAGCTATATTTCAACGTCCTCGAAATCCAACTTCAAAAGAGGTTTCACCCACCTGAATTGCCTCGGGCGTGGCAAACGTGCGCGGGTACTTGTACTGGTCCGCCCCAACCAGGCACACGCGCGACGTCCCCGAAAAGCCCTCCGGTTGCAGCTCCGCAACGAGGTAGCACATGTGCGCGGCCGCAACCTCGCCGCGAGTGCGCCACAGACTATCGCCCAAGTGGGTGATCACCTTGTCGTCGCCCGCAGCGCGGTTGGCCGCCAGGATCGCCAGGTTGTCCTGCCATTGGTCCAGCATGCTGCCAAGACCGTCGCCCTGACAAAGGAAGGAGATGAGGTTCAAATTTTGGAGTCGCAATCCTGTAGAATGCTGTGAAATTGGAGTCATGTATTGGCTGCCAGGATCGTGAGACTGTCCTGCCACTGATCCAGAATGCTGCCTGGACCGTTGCCCTGAGTTCGAAGAGTCAAGCTTCGAGGACACCTTTTGATAACCAAGGATGTGAGGTCAAAGTTCAGAAAAGGTTTGCGGCCAGAGTGGGGGGTTTTCCTCCCACCTATCCAGCATGCTGCCGAGACCGTCGCCCTAAATATCGACGAATGGAAACAAGTCAGCTTCGCAGTGCAATTTTTTCGGTTCAAATACAAAGGGGTCGTTTCTCAGAGTGTTGCTGAGACCCGCCGCTTGGTCCACACGCAAGTCTATAACTTCGTAATCTACAGACCAGAGAAATTACCCACCTCGCTCAGGCCGCCCGGCGCCAGCTGCGACGCCCGTCCCTACAAGCGGATGTCCATATGCTAGCATCTCACCACACCAAACAAGATCCTAAGGCCATTAAAGCCGAATGCTCTTAACAGCCGAGGTTGCAAGTTTGTCTCACCTGGTCAACTCCTGGCGCAGGCTGCGGCCCCCCCGCCATGGGCGAGTCCCCCTGCGCCGGCATCTTCTTCCCGGCAAACACCTCGGCGGGCTGCTGCGCGAGCAGGAGGTGCAGCGTGCGCAGGGGGGTGCCGAGGCAGAACTGGCGCTGCGCCATCTCGCCCACCGTCTCGCAGAAGACCTGCGAACGGACAGAAGAAGCATTGACGGACTGGTAAGTGGTGTCCTTGCTTGAGCGATGAACAAACAGCTGTTGCGATAAAGAAGTGTCCTCGACTGTAGTCTTCTAAAAGCAGTAAAATGCGAGCACACAGGTTATACGCAACAGCCGTTCGAGAGCAGAAGCGATTAATGAACCTGGATTTACGAAGAAGCACGAGCGGGCGCTTTGGATGTCGGCGCTTTTTTGTCACCTGACTCATAGGGAGAAGGAGAAAGCGAGGGCCATGAAAACTAAGTAACCATACAAGGTAAGCGAAAAGGACAAGATACGAGAGGGAGCTACCTGAAAATGGAGGAAACGGGGGTTGGGAGAACCAAAAGAAGCGGAAGAGGGGAGGAAATGGAGGCAAGTCCATTGAGCAGAGAGTCGTTCGTTACCTTGTCTCCAAGTTGTCGTGCCAGCACGAGAGCGGGCCCCCACAGCTGCCCCTGCTTGGCGCATGCGAGGGCCTCCTTGCGATTCCCCGCCACCAGAAGGCGCTGCATCTCAGTGGCGGTTCTCTGCAGCAATTGGTAAGAAAAACCGTGTTCAGTAAGGTTTTGCTGATCTCTTTGCATGATGTCGCATGACGTCAGCCCAACAACGGTGACAGTGCGCGTAAGATAAGTTTCCGTGATTCCAAGACTAATTACCATAGCTTTGCTGAGATGGCTGTGAGTGATTGAGTTCGAATCGGCAGTTTTACCACGACCGTTGAGCAGACTGCTGCAATCGTATAAGCTTGTTACTACCGTTCCCAGTCTGCAGACCCCGGTCTGCAAATGAACGATCCAACGGCCCTGCTGAGCAAACCCTGCTCCGACGAGTGCGAATTGATCTGCAAATGGACTATAATTTACGACTTCAAGGTCTCAGATCCGTTTCGGTATAAGGAGACGGCGATCCTGATTGACTGTTGTTTAGCCTAGCCTTCCCGTTTTCGCCTCCAGCTGTCATGCAAATGCTATCCAGTGACATAGTCTCACCTTGAGGTCTTGCTCTAACGGCTGATGCTGCAGGGGGTCCGAGTCCGTGGTCTTTGCCACCCCCCAGGACGAGGCCGCAGTCGGCTGCTCGGGCGAACTCAGGAGAGCGGCCAAGGCGGCCTCAGGTCCCGCAGCACCCTGCAACCGAGAGTATATTACTCAGATCTTCTGACCGGACAATCTGCTGATTCTCTCGTGTGAATGGAACAGGCATGTCACTTAAGACGAACACGTAGAAGACGGGTGGGGTTGATTGGGCGGTTAGGGTGAAGCTGGGTGCGAAGGACGTACTATTGGTTAGGGTGCAAGTTTAAGTGCTTGGCGAGCTCATATTCTCCGGTCACACGCCCTTTTGGTCGTATGGAAGTTAGCAGTCCGTTGAGGTGTTCAGATACGAAGCAGGACGGAATTTGTGTTGGCGGACTTCGTCACTCCTCTCCCTTTGTTTCGGCAGACTGGCAAGACGATGTGACAGATCTACCAGCGCCCGCGCTGTTCAAAGGCAACGTCATCAGTCATCAGTTCGGGATTGCACGTCAACCCTTTCCATCGTATGAAACCCTTGCCCACATGTCCTTCTGTAACTCAACGTGCCCCGAATCTCAACGACCCAATCCATTCCGCGACTCTGAGTCTCAATCTCCTTCAAATCCCATCTCCATTTTCCTCAGAAAGGGTCGGTATCGTGTGCACGTGCCACCATACTGTGCCGCCATTTGACGCATGAGCCAGGAAAGACGCCCCCACCGTTCCCAAGGGCGAATCGAAGAGATGACAAGGTTTATCCTGCCCTCCGGACTCACTGTCTCTTGGCCCCTATTCAGAGGATTAGGATTAAGGGTTGCCATGCTATCGACACCTAATGGAAATATGATTGGGGGGAAAGCTAGACAACGGAACCATGAACAAGTGCACTTTGCCAAGCGCTGCACCGCCATGTTTGAGGCCACTTGTCTTTAACTGCATGCTTCTAGGGCAGAAAACGCAAAGCGCTTGTTTCAGGCGCACCTTTTCCTGACCCCCAGCGGAGGCCGCGACCGCGCGCAGCTTGCCATAGTGCTGCGCCGCCACTTTGAGCAAGCCGTAGAGCAGGCGCAGCGACTCCGGGTTGCCCTGATGGTCCGTTTCCTCCTCACGGCACCGCGCCATGCGCTCGTCCAGCCACTTGGCGAGGTCCTTGGCCGCGGTATGGCCCCCTGCAAGGTAAGAAGAACGGAAAGTTTAGGAACGGAACGAGAACGGAACGTGAGAAGAAAACGCGTCATCTGCTTGTGCACATTACGTGAGTTTGTCCGACCACTAACGGGGTCCTTGGCAGGCGTGCCGTCCCCTGCAAAGAAGGCAGAACGGAATGCGTAGGAATGGAAGGGAAACGGAACGGAAAGAGCGAAAGCGTGGTCTGCTTGTGCACTAGAATTGCCGTTCGTCCAGCCATTTGGTGAGGTCCTTGGTCGCTGTATGGCCCCCTGCATGAAACAAGTCCGGTAAGCGCGGCGAAGCGTATGAAGTTCGAATTGATGCTAGACTACCATGGTCTAGCGTACTCAAGGTGTAAGGCAAAGTAACGTTCATCCTTGATCCGGTGCTCACAGCTGCCAACCATCGTGTCTGAAGCTCACCCACAGTGCCGAACCTTGAGAGACAAGAAGCTTGTGCTCGTCAAGACTGGTTGTGGGCCCAATCCTTATCATCTGCTTGGACACAAATATGGCCGCATAGAAGCCTTGAAGACCGAGCCGAACATTGACCGATACACGACTCACACGGGATTCTCCACTCTGACTCGTAGCTTCCCTAAGCTCGACGCCTTCATCCACACCAGAATCAGAATAGCAGGGCCACTGCGTGGGTTAAACCCCATCCGCTTGAAAGCAGGCCGACTTCTCTCACCCGCTAAGGGCCCCGCATACGCCCGCTTCCCGAGGGCGTCGAAGTAGATGGAACCGACGCCCTTCCCGCCATCCGCCGAATTGGACGCGACAACTTGGGAGAGCGGGTGGATCTGGAGCGATGACTGGACGGCGCCAAAGGAAGGGCCGGGTGGGGTCTGCAACAGGGAAATGAAGAGTCGTCAATTGATTTACCACAGACAACGGGCAAAGGGCGTTAATGCAGGAGAGCGTTTGTCCTGTACATGCTGTGTTGGTGTTCTTTCTGCTGAACGCACATCAACCGGAAACGTGCAAGCTCGTTTCAATTTGCATACAGCGCTTCGCAAGTTGAGGAAAGGAATCCTTTCTGCCTTAACAAAGCGGAAGATGTTCTAGACATGAAGGTGAAGTAGCCCGTTCAACAGTCAGCGCTGGGGGAATCCAGACTCGCTCTCTTCAAAGGAAAAGTCAGCCTCAGATCCAAGAGAGGCCCTGAGGACTGAACCTAAAAGCCATCCTTCTCGAACCCATTGCCACCCTCCTCACCAAATTAACAAGGTTGCTCCGACTGTCTCTGTCCCGGACAATGTTGTACAGAAGTCGTGGTGGCAGGCTGAATGTCAGCAACAATATAACACGAATAAGGCAACAATCGGTAGGGCGCTCACCATATCTGACCCGAACTGCACCCCACCCCCAGGCCTCAGTACAATCAACTTCCCACCAAACCCAAACGCCGCCACCGAGCATGGAGGCCGCCCCACGGACGTCTGCATCGCCTCCGCAGTGGAGCGCGGCACCGCCGTGTGCTGCGCCCAGCCCCCCCCAAAACCTGCCCCCCCAAACTCCTGTTGGGCCGGGATGAACGCCGGCCCGCTCTGCTTGGGCGGCTGGAAGAAATTCACACCGGCCGGGACGGAGGGCTGCGGCATGAACGGCGGGCGGGGTGTGAACGCGGGCGCGGGCTCGTGGGAGAAGTTGCCGGCCGCCCAGTCGTGCTCGGAACCGGTCTGGCTGGTCGCCGAAGCGCTGCGGCTGTGTCCCGGGGGGCGGGGGGGGAGGGCGGAGTGTGAATGCGTCCGCTGCGGGTGGGGTGTGAAGTCGGTCACAGGGGGGCCGTACTGTGGGGGGGCGTGCTGTTCGAAGAAAGGCGCGCTGTGCACTGCGCTAGCTTCGGGGGGGAACTGCGATTCTGAGGGGGGGGAGAACGGAGCTTGCCCAGGGGTGAAGGAAGGCGCTGAGAATGGGTTTGGCTGAGGGGGGTACTCCGGTTGTCCTGGTGAGAACAATTCGCTCTGCGGGGGGGGTTGGGACTGACTTTCTTGAGGAGAGAAACTCTCCTGGGATGACTCTTGCGTCGGCACCGGACCCTCCCCCAAGTCGTGCAGAGTTTCGGGCTCGCTTTCCCCCAAGGCTGTCTCCGCAGCTTGACTCTGTAAAGGAGACTTCGGACCGTCCGAACCTGGTAACAGACTGTCCAAACCCGTCGGAACACCGTCATGAACTGGCTCCGGCTGGCCCCCAATCTGTTCAAAGAACTGCTCGGGATCGACGTGCTGCGCGCCCGTCCCCCATTCCTGGCTCCCCGCCGCCTGCTGCTGCCACGTGTCCCCTCCCTGAGCATGCCAGCTGTCCCCTCCCTGAGCCTGCCAGGTGCTGCTCCCCTGAGCCTGCCAGGTGCCGCCTCCCTGGGCCCCATACCAAGACGCGCTTGGATCATAGTTCGGGGCATAGTAACCGCTCGGGTCGTAGGAACCGTTTGCAGCGGGATTTGGCGCAGACTGTGCGTACGCCCCTCCCTGGCTGTGTGAATACGCCCCTTGCTCGGGGGAACTGCTTGGAGCGGGCTGCGCATAGCTTCCTTCCTGGTGGTGTGAATAGGCCGCTTGCTGGGGAGCGGTGCTCGGGGAGGGGTGTGAATAGGCCCCCTCCGGCTGCTGGTACTGGCTCCAGTCGTAGGTTTGGTTGTACTGATCGCTCCAGTATTGAGAAGAGTCGTAGGGTTGGCCAGCAGGATACTGGGCCTGATCTCCAAGTTGTGAGACTTGCGAATCGAAAGCGGGGGCGACTGCAGGAAGGCGTTTGTGCATCAACCCTGAGCGCCTTCGCAAAGCTAGTAAATCCATAGTCATTTTGGTATGGGTTCTCTTTCTTCAGATGGGAAGAACTAGCAGCAGCCTTAAGGATCTGAGCAACCGATGCACGGAAATTAGGAAGGACAAAAGGACCTGAAGGCTCCAACGACACCCCAACCTGTTTGAACTTCGGCGAGGGAGACGTTTCCCAATGCGCAATTGTCTCTCCTACACTGAAGACTCACAAAGACAGGAGGTAGGACACTTAATCCAGATTGGGAGCACTAATTGTGCGCTTAGGGGCAATGAAAAATCGAACATCAACTGTATTACTTCCCGTTGCCTGTATTCGCCACCATGACCAGATGCCGATTCCTCGCTCAGATAGAGTCTGATAAGCACAGCCGTCTCACCTGCCGCTCCAAGAGTTCCAGAACTGGCAAGCCCCCCGTGCGCGCTTGACCCTCCAAAGCCCCCACTCTCTTCCTGCCCACCGATGCTCTCGAAGAACGACACATCCCCATCGTCCCCCACCGCCCCAAAGTCGAAGCTCGACACCGCCGTTGCGACGGCCGCCACTGTCGCCGTCGCCACAACCGCAGCTGCGTCCGAAACCGCCGTCGGCCCGTGTTGGACACCGGCTGAAGCGTCCGCGCCGCCTGACACAACGTCCGAAACGGGTCTCGATGCGTCCAGATCGCCAAGGAAAGGGTTCGGGAAGCCCGGGGCGGCATCTGACGGGGCTGTGGCGACGGTCGAAGCACCCAAGAAGGGGTTCGAATCGCTCTGTGAAGCGTCTGCGGGTATCCAAGGAGCGTCCGAATCGCCCCTCGCGGTGTCTGACGGGAGGTCGGACGTGCCCGTCTTGTCGTTCGCTGGACCTTGGAATGAACTAGGGACGGGGCCAGGAATGTGACTTGGGGGCGCCAAGGTTGGCAAGTCCGGACTGGGAGACTGAAGTGGTGGTTGTGACAGGAAATGCGGAGGGGGAGTTGAAATTGCCGGGGGGGTTGCTGCAGCCTGCTCGAAGAACAAGGCCCCTTCGTCTCCACCAGGGGAAGGGAAGCCGAAGCTAGGCATAGATACAGTTTCTTGGGGCCTTGTGGGGAAGTGAGCAGGCGCGATCGGTTGGGGCTGGGCATCTGAGAAGGGGCCGTTGCTGAAAGGGGGTGGGGGATGTATCGCTTTTGCCTGCGAATCTTTTGGAGTGTCCTGGTTAAAGAATGACACGTCGTCCTCCTGGGGGGAAAAGGCAGCCCCGAACGGTTGGGGGCGGACGGGTTCTTGGGGCCATGCATTTGGGAAATGACCCCCCGGTTGAAAAGCTGGCTGCACCCCACCTGCGTTTGGAGGGTGAGCTTCATGGGGCCAAGCACTTGGAAAGTGACCCCCCGCCTGCGAACTCGGTTGCTGCCAATCTACCGAAGGGAAGCTGGGGAGGGGGGATGAAGGCACACCCTGCTGTTCTTGTTGAGGCTGGACCCCTGAGGGCGTCGCGGAGGCAAAGAAGTCTACGTCTTCTTCCCCCCGGGGGGTGGGGAAGTTCCAGGAACCGGCGTTTTGCCCCGGGGAGGTCTGCATGGGGGGGGGCATGGCAATCTGGGGGGGCGCAATCCCAATTTGGGGGGGTACAGGAGCGGGGCCCGTTGCGCTGCTCTCCACCGCTGCGCCGGTCTCCCCCAATTGAATGCCAGAGCCGAAAGCGCCCGCCGCTTTCTCAATGCTGTGCCCCTCCGCTTTTGGTTCTCCATCTGCCGACCCGTAATCCTGCCCCAAACCCTGCCCGTGTTGTGTAAAATGCGCCAGCTCAGGAGGCGAGACCGGCCCAAAGGGGATTGGACCAGGAGACACTGCTGGCGGATGCTCCGTCACATGCACCTGCGGGAGGGAGACGGCGTGTGGAGCCCTAGGGGGGGTGGAAAAGCTGTGCATGGCGGTTGATCCTTGTTCCGGGGGGGGGCCTGCGGAAGCGCCGCCGAGCTGCGGACGAGCCACCCCCTGTCCGAGCGGCAGCGACGACATCGCCGATGATGTCACCTCGTCCTCGTCAGAGTCCTCCAGCAGCTGTTCAAAGAAGGCCGTGTCATCGTCTGCACTGGCCACGCTGAGAGACACCCGCGGGGGGCTGAAGAACTGGGGAACGGCCGGGGGGGGGCTCGGACCTAGGGTTTCGGAAGTTTCCGGCTTCGGAGGATTGGGAAGGCTTGCCGTTTGGGGCGTGAGAGCAGGTTCTGGGGCAATCGAAGGGGTTTGCATGGGGAGGGCGGTTGGGAGGCTAGGAAGAGTCTCAGCCTGGTTTGCGAATTGTAGGACAGGTAATGCAGGTTGGTTGGTGCTAGGCGCCGCCGCTGCTTCGTCGATTGAACTAGTGTTTTGCCCCGCGTCATCACCCGTAACAACTGCTAGAAAAGCTGCCCCTTCTTTGGGTTCAGAATTGTCTTCTCTGGAGAGCGTCGCACTCAGAGCTTCGGAAACCCTCACCACACTTTCTGACGCCTCACCATCCGCGCCCCCATCTAAGCCCGCACCTAACAAATTGCTCAGTAGAGGGGTGGTCTCAATCGGTTCAGCTCCAACCGACAGACCTCCTTCCAGAACTCCGTTCTGCATGCCTTCTTCCTTTCCGCTGACAACATCTATCCCTCCGCTATCCCCAGTCGTGCCAGCCCCTCCGTCAGTCACGTCTGCTCCCTCCAAACCCCCATCTTCTTGGCTGATCACTGCAGTGTGCGCCAAACGAGTGTATCCGTTAGGATCGACCTGCGTGCTAGACACTCCCTCCATTGGTCCCCCTGCTGATGCGGGACCACTGACTTCTTCTTCGACATTTGAAGAACTGCCATCCGGGCCTCTCCTTTCTGGATCCTCAATCCCCGCACTCTCACCCCCAAGTGCATTCACGATGCTTGCTTCTGACACCCCCCCGGTCATCAATTCCTCTCCCAGCATGCCATTGTTGTGGTCTGCATTGGCATCAGCTTCAGGAGCTCCTGACGCAGGGGGTTCAGAATCCAAATCAAACCCTTCACCAGACGAGCTCGCAAGCGGAGTCTCATCAGCCCCTTGACTTACATCAACGCTAGGCTCTATCGGTGCATGCTTCTCCTCTACTCTATCTGGCACCTCGTGTGCTTGCTGCGGCTTCAAACCCCCTGCATCATCTCCATTATCCACTTTTTTCCTACGCACTTTCTGAGACGGTGAGGCAACGACTGAAGGAGGCTCAGCAACTACAGTTTCCTCAGCAGGTCCACTTTGCAATGGAGCTGCCTCCAATTCTTTTGAACGCTCCTGATCATCAGAAGCGGCCGCAGTTGAGCGGGGCCCCTTTGCCACTGGCTTTGGACTGCGCGGCGATACAGACGGGCCCCCGGCCCCCTTCTTCTTCTTGCCGGCCATTCCTTCAGAGACGCAAACACCGATCCTTTGGCATGACTACTGTGGGGAACACAGAATTGCGCAGGAGCTTTCAATGATGCTTCCGCCTTGGAAGAGAAGGACGCTCACAGCGCACTGCTCAGCGCCTGCTGTTGATCAGCTCCGAACCACCCTTTCACGAACTAGAGCGGGAAGGGCGAATAGACGAGCAGTCTAGAAGTCAAGCTCTGCGCGCGCATGTACAGAGTCTGTACGCGCATAAATGATGGCTGCCGCGCGCCGCGCAAGCGAGTCCTGCATGCACCGTAGGACTGAGATGCACACCTTCAACTTTCCCCGTAGCCTGGGCGCCTAGCTCGTCCACTTTCTAGGCCTGAAGAACTGGGAAAGTCCTTGCTTCTCAAATTCTTGTGGTCGGTGCAATTGCTTGCCTCAAGCGTGAACGTGCGCGTTTGAAGCTGCTCACCCATCCCAGGAGTGTTCAGCCCTCAAAGTTTAGACATGGCCTCACGCTGGCCCGTCCGCCAGGCCATCTGTGTCCTTGCTGTCTTGGCCGCCACCCCCCCAGCTGCCTGGGGCGCAGACACGGCCGCGTTTGTGCACCAGGACCTGCAGGCAGTGGCCTCCAGAATCCAGGAGCTGTTCCATTTTGTGGACCTAATCAAGGTTGAGTCGGTCGTGGGACAGGGCCAGCTCGTCGTGAATGGAATCAATGAAGTCGCGGCTCTTCTAGTTGCGGCCACGGCTCATGTGAAGGGCCAGGATCCGGTTGCGGAAAGCGCTGCTCAGGGCTTCTCGTCGCAGCTCATGAGCGCGCTTCTCTCGCCGGTTCGGACACTCCTGAGGGGTATGGAGAAGACGAGGTTCCCGCTGTCGCAGGACAGCTCGTGCAATGCGCTCAAGCTGATTGAGACTGCGGTTGGGGCGATGGGGACCGCCCTTGACGAGTACGAGGCAGCGCTTCTGGAGGTTATACCCACCGAGGCAGGCAGGGTGAATATGGTGAAGCAGACGCTAGGTAACAGCGTTCGGGAGTTCCTCCTCAACTGGCACGCGGACTCTCAGCAGGCGGCCAAGTAGGGGTTCCAATCGGGAGACTCTCTGTATGCAGTGTTAGCTTCTGTGTACTACCGGGTTGGGTAGGCTGATTTATGCCTTGGGCTTTTAGAAATTTTACTTTTGCTTTTGTGTAACATTTTCATTATGCTAACAGAGATGCGGATTGTTGAAGCTTAACTCTGAAATTTTTTCTAGGATTGGGATTCTGCTTTGCCAGAAGGACTAACATAGCAGTTAAGACAGCAATCTTTGCAGCGGGCAGTCTTGGATAGCATCTGGCAAGATTTGCAGCGGGCAATCTTGAGTAGGTTGATTTCACAGAGGTTTTCTGACAAACCATCGTCATGTGTCAGCACACTTTTTCAATTTAGCCACACGTGTTTGTGAGAGCAAACAAGCTGCTCTTCAAAATCCTGGAAACTACATCAAGCTGCGAGGGTCTTGAACATGGGCCAGGTGAACAATCTAAGATGACTGAAGTAACATGTCCACATTTTAAGGCCAGAACATACCATGTCTATCAGCAGTGATGTAATGACGTCCTGACGAAGATTTAGCTTCAAAATAAAGTCCACTAGAAGCAGAAGTATTAGCCGCATGCACAGTAACTCAATCTCATACATTACTTTGTACCATAGTAACATTACGTACAGTATAAAATGAACTTGGTGAATCACTGTTCGGCAGGGACCATCATGTTCACTCCACTAGCTAATTGGAATTACAATGCTTATATGCATGGATTTTGGAGCAGCTGGATTCAACACTGCAATGTTTTGACGTGTTGATGAATCAAGCTGAGCCTGGCGTTGATTGTATGCCAATGATGTTCTCTTTTCAAAACGCCGTAGCCACATGGGCCATAGGCGCGCTTCCATGCATACATGGGAATTGATGATTGTATGCACCATGCGACCGCGTCCATGATGGTCATGATGCATCAGCTAGGCCGACAATGTTGCGGGCCGGTCCCATGCAGAATCATGGAAACGGCCGTACATGTATGAATGGATTGTCGAACAGCTTGACCGTCTTGTGCACATGCTGCATGACAGGCTCATCATGCACATACTAAAGACGTGTATGCCGCTGTAACACAACGTACATACCCGTTGAGGCCATATCTCCAGAACACAGCTCGACGAGCATCCGCCTAATGCTAACAGTTGCAGTCACTTTTATTCAACTGCACTGAGTGTCTTTCGCTGCAGGATCCACTTTCAATGCATTTCCAAAAGCAGACACCGTTACATGGGCACGAGAGAGCGACCTTACGAGTGTACACATGCACTACTCAAGTTCGACGACCGACGAAATGTTCAGGACAGCGTCTGACTTGACCCCAGTCCATCATGCACGTTCCTTTCTCAGTTTGGCACTTTAGATTATATGTACTGCATGCTTATAACTCGACTTCCTGGCCCCTCTCCTCCAGCATTATAGGTCACTAGAAGGCGCCAGAGAGTATATTCACAAAGACTATCTTCCCCACTCCTTGCGCAAGAGCGCAGCCATGAAGAGCCGCCGCTTGGCGCGCATCCTCGGCGTACTCGGCTCATCTTCTTCTTCAAAGTCCTCCCATGTGCTGTAGACCGACGTAATCTGCACGAGCATCCATGCTTGGATAAAAAAACCTGAATTTGTTCTTTTTTGATGGCTGCGTCGGCCAGTGGATTCAAAGTTTGCAGCGAGCTTGCAACATGCTGAGGTGAGGGAAAAACTAAGGAACATGAAAGGCGAGGATCAAATCCCAAACATCATCTGATTGCAGTTCAACGCGTCCTTATGCACACGAAGCCGGAACCGGAAGTGAACGCCAATACGAACCCGTACGAATCCAGAACATGCCCCTCAAATCACCGCGCTAGACAAAGTACAGGTCTCAAGGAAAGGGCCACGTCGCAAACCCTCCAATATAACATGGTTACTGGGACCCATAACGCCGTGGCGACCCAGCGGCCCGAATGTCGGTGTCGGATACTGTTTCCTGGTCGCCAAATGGGAGATCACGTGATTTATTCAGTCGAATCTAGAGTGAACCCGCTCACCTTCCCCGCTTCGTCCATCTCGAACTTGCTAAACATTTCCAGCACTAGCGGCTTCTCCTTCTCTTTCATCGGCTCGACCCCCGCTTTCCGGAGCACCTTTCTGAATGCCTCGTCCCGTGGTTGGTTCCGCTGTTCCGGCTGTTCCGGTTCCGGTTCCGGCCCGTCCCCGAACTCGGCCTCGTACCAGCCCTGTGCGCCCCAGTCCTCGAGTTGCTTCTTGAGGTCCTTGGGCAGGGTTATCGTCATGGTTGTGTAAACCCACCGGGTCCCTGCAGGGCCATCAAAGCCGGGTTACCGTCAGAGTTGTGTAAACCCACCACTTCCCTGCAGCCTCGTTAAGAAGAAGACTCGACATTCAATTCGATTGATCTCAAGCTGTGCTCTTAATCTTGACGTAGAGTAAGCCCTTTGCCAACCGCGATGGTAGATGTGAGCTTGTCGACGTAAGCAACAAGCACCGACAAGTGCGGTCGTCAATTCAGAACTCTTCCCCCGGGACGACGTGCCGATGGTTTCCGGCTCGGCCCTTACTAGCTCTGGAAGCATTTTTCCGATTTGAAAAGATGCCCCATATGCCTAAACCTAAACGGAACAACCCCTTTTTCCAACTTAGCAAATCAGCAGGGATTCTTACGAATAAGAAAACCTGGATGGCGGGCGGAGAGCTACGCAAATCCTCCCATGAAAGTAGGGGATGCGCAATCAGATAATCCAAGAAACTCCTCCCGATTGTCATCAGCTCAAGAAGGGGGCCATTGAGGGGAGCCACACAACGGAGTGCAAAAGGGTGTTTCAGATCTGGACGTGCGGGGACTGGAAGCAGCTCCTCCGGTAAACGAAAGCTGTAAGCCAGCCCCGCAACTGCGGTCTAGCACAAGCCGACTTCGGGATTATACACGACTCACCGACGCCTCTCACAACCAGCGCATGTCTACAAACCTCAGCAAACCTCCCTCTCACTTCTCTTGCGGCCTTTACTTGGTTGCACAAATGCGAATCCGATCGTACCATACAAAGTTTGAATCGTAACATTTGACCTGACAAAGTCACCATTCATTTACCAGCCTAGAGTAGAGTAGAGTTTCAAGAAACGAAAGGAGATGTCTCTCGATTCTGCAAAAGGAAGGTCTAGCAAAAGGAAGCTCCTACCCTAACACTGAAAACCAAACCCATAAGATCACCCGCTCCGCACCCATACTCACCCTGAGACCCCGAACTAACTCCACCCGTCCCAAGCTGGTCAGCTTACTTTTGCTAAAGCTTGCTTTTGCTAAATTGAAGCTTCGTCGAAAAGAGGCGGATCGCGATAAACTCACATCGATGCGCAGGGTCCGCCTCGTACCAGATGAAGTCCAGGCTGGGGGGGTAGCCGTTGCGAGCAAAGAGATTCAGCCATTCCTCCAGCCTGAACAGACAATCTGCAGTGGTCAGAGGTCGAATCCGGGCACTTACCCCAATATAAAACAACCACAACAACGTCCCCGGTTCGCCCCACCCACACTCATGCCCTGAGAATCTCTCCGAAAGTGGTGTCTTGAGGAGTCTCCTATCTTCACTCCTGTCCTTGTATTACCCTACGTTAAGCAGAGCACGCCAGGTTACTTGCTGCCGCTTTAGTACGCCCTCCGTAGGATGATCTCGGTACTCTTGCAGAGACATTATTCCATCTTGAAACTCGAGACCTATCCTAGCATCTGGTCAAGTACCAACCAGATTCTGACCTTTCCAGCGAAAAGGGTATCAAAACCAGCTCCAGTACGGAACTCCAGTCTCTTAACATAAGAAGAAGGATTCGTCATCGAAGAAGGGCAGGTGACCAGCGAGAGCGACGAAAGGGAGTCAGATTTCGAGCCTGATAAACCGATTGAAAATTACGGGATTGAGGCACACGGCATTACAAGAAGCGAGAAAGAAGAAAGATTCGCTTACAAAGAGGGGCGGGTCACGAAAGAGCGACAAAAAGCAGCTATATCTTGGGCCTGATCGAACCGATTGAGGACCACAGGATTGAGGCACACGACTGTACAAGAAGCCAGAAATGAGCGGAGAAGACGAAGAAGAGGAAACTGATACTTGCGCTTAGGATGACACTCACAGCGTTGCGGAGGTGAAGCAGTGCAGCGGATCTTCGAACGTGACGAACGAATTGACGAGGCCCTTCTTGAACGGGTCCGCTTCGGGGTCCCGGTCCATGGCCAAGAAGTCGCGCAGCGAGTATGCGAGATCCTCCACTTTCAGCTGCATCGCCTTGTCTGCAAACGAGACGAAAGAATAAGAGGAGGTTTGCTTAGCAACGAAACATCTGAGCATCGGAGATGGCAGCGCTTTCTGCCAAGCTGGGAGAGGAAAAGTCCGAGCACCAAATGGTAAGAGGAGTGTTGATTAACATGGGAGATAAAACGGCTTCTGGAAAGGCCGCGAACTCCATGAAGTGAGCTGTGCGTTGATTACGTCAGCTCAGCTTCGCGTTCTTAAGCGCACCCCCATTTTCGCACACTTCTGTGGACGTTCGCAAGGATGAACGACATTGGCCAATGAGAAGGATCGCGAACAGAAGATTTTTTAGCTTGCTTTTTCTTCAAGACGATAAGAGGCAGATGCTTGTTTCTAGGATTGGGGCAAATCCATCTAGGTACAGTTGGAGAGTCCTGGTAGAGTATTTCGATATCAGCTGGAAGAAGCATCCAACCAAAATACTGATGTTCGCTGAAGAACTCAGAACAGGAGGGCTGCAAGGCCTTTTCTCACTTCCCGGATAAGGAAGCAAGGAACCACGATAATGCGTGAAGAAAGAACCGATTGAGCGTTGTATCGAGATTTGCAGAGTTGGCAATCGTGCAGCTGCCAATTGATCCTCTTCCTCCGTTCAGTTGACCAGTACAATGAATTTTAGTCCAGCGTAGCAGCATTTACCTTCCGGGGGGATATCAGGGGGGGGCACTTCTTGCAAGATGTCATCGTCTGCAACGGCCTCGAAGTTGTCCGCCATGTAAGGGTACGTGCCGAAATCTGGGTGTGAATACGGTCTATGTGAGCAAGCTGAAAAATCAAAGCAGCAGAAGAGTGGATGTGGGATTAGGTTTTTACAAGGGAAACGTACTCCTGCTTTGCCGTGCAGCAGTTTTGGCTACTGCTATCGAACGACAGGATTAGAGAAGCAACATGAGAAGCAACATGTGGATTTGACTGACAATCATACAAACTTTCTAGTCGACAGATCAGAACCGTCAGGCTTCGCGCTTTCCTCACCAGACACCCGTGACAATCACAGGTGCCTCCGGTCAAAGCATGAGGGCAGAGAAAAGACTCAACGCAAGGTTGGAAATTTACGAATTTTGCAATGTACAAGAATTACAAAAGTTGGCAGCAAGAACTGGATCTAACCTACATCTGTCCTCTGATTGCAATCCCGCAGCCTTATCCGATCCGACACGTGCAGCAAAAGACAAGCTCTTACCTCCAAAGGTGTCAATCAGCTCTTGCTCGTTTTTGAAGCCGTCCGCCGGGATCGTCACCTTTCTCGTGCCCCCTTCTTTCGTGCGAATCTCAAACTCCTGCTCTCCCTCCGGCAAATTCACCTGTCCTTCCGCATCCCATCCCTCCATGTCCCTCGATCCCGTCCCGAAACCCCGAAACGCCTCCCACGGCGGCGCCGACTTATCATAAGCCGCCGGGTCGAAGTCCGCCGCGTTCGCGGCCTCCAAAACTCTTCCCCGCTGCTCTTCCGAGATATTGAGCGCCTCATTGACCCGATTTGCCGGGTGGTCTTCGAACGAGTGCTCCGGGGCGTTGGTCTCCTCTTCGGGAAGCCTAGCGAGTTCCGGCGCCGGGGTCGCTAGCGCCTCCAGCGAGAAATCCGGAAAGCGCCCCGCGGCGTCGTCGTCCATCATCGCGCGCTTGATGGGGTGCGTTTTGGCGTACGCTTCGGGGTCGAAGTTCGGACTGTCCGGATGGAGATGGTCCAGAAACTTGGGCATCCAGTCGGGGTAGTCCCCCTTCTTTCGCGGCGGTTTCTGCGCGGATTGCCCGTTTGGCGTGCGAGTCGACTCGGGGCTTGATAAATCAGCGACGGAATCGGGTTTGAAGGGTTCGGAAGCCTCAGGATTTGACGGGTTTGGGGGTGAGCTGGGGTTCCAGGATTCGTCAGCTAACCCGGTTTGATCAGGGTTTCGACTGGTCTCGGCGCTGATCAACGGCTGGTCAGACTCTGAGAGGGCATCGGCAGACTTGGGCTGACCAGGATTCGGAGCAGTTGACAGAGATTCTGCAGCGGGGAGTCGGTCAAATTTTGCTTGTTGGTCCGATTCCGAGGATTTCTCAATAGCCTCGGCTTCACTACCCTCTTCAAGATTTGCTGACGCCAGCGATTTCGGAGGCGTCAAACCACCCTCCCGTTGGGCCGCAATTGCCTGGTTGAGAAACGAGTTTGCCGGCCGACCAGACGCTGCGCTCGTCCGAGTGCCAAACAGCGCATCGCTGACGGCCAAGTCCCTTCCCACCGTCACGCTTTCGCGCGCTTTACCCGGCAGTTTCTTCGATGCCCCACTTCCTCCCAAATCGCTTCCTGCACTCTCCGTCTCCACCAGGTCTCCTTTCGCTTTTACTTCCTCCTTTGCTGGGGCTCCCTTTCGACTCTTCCCCTTCCTTCCTTTCCCCGCCATCTCTTCCCCACCTCTCCCCTTCTTCGAAGCTTCCAGAGTTTCGGCCATTGCTTTCGAGATGCCCCCACCACGGCTGGCCCCTTTCTTTGCCCGGCTTTCCGGCCCCGTGTGCTCGTTAACCGCTCGTTTAACCGCTTCTTCGAGTCCTAACCCGACGTCCAAACCCACTCTCGCCACCTTCTGCCCGAGCCACCCGCCTCCCGAACTGGACTCTTCCACCCCCCCGGATTCAGGGCTTCCGGCACCCCCCTGGGACGAACTTTCCGGACCGCGCCCCGCTCTCGGCGCCTCAAAAGTGCTGACCTTAGAATCGGGTCCCGCATCTTGGAACATCCCCAGGCTGGCCGCCATCGATTCTATAGAAGCGTCCCTTAGATCGTCCGAAGAACCAGCAGCGTTTGGAGAACTAGAGGCGTCGGAAAACGTCCCCCCAGCTGTGGACACCGTCTGGTTTTGCGAAAGGCCGGCGCCCGACGCCGATTGCCCTTTTGAACCAGCTTCCGAATCTGAGACATTGTCCTGTTTTCCCAAACGCACACCCAAAACCGCCGCAGCTTCCGGACCTAACCCGCCGCCACTGTGCACCCCGTTCCTTTCCTGGCCACCCCTTGACGCCCCGGGGCCTTCGGCTGACGTAAGTGTCACGTCAGGAGACGCCGATTCCCCCTCTTCTCGGCTTGCCACGTCACCACTCTCGACCCCATCCTCCGTGAACCGTTCTCCGTATCCTAGAGGCCGAGAGAAGCGTTTCTCTGCTAGGACTGGGTCAGCAAACAGGTTGGCGACGTTTTCGGTGCCTTTGCGGGGCTCCCGGCTGCCGCCGTAGTACTCGTCGTCCATGCACGTGCCAGGCTCCTCGTACCAGGGCAAGGAGTCGTCATCATCGCCTGGTAAATAGGAAATGAATGAAGAATTAAATAAATAGGATCGTCACCGCGTTCTATCTCTGATTTCTCGGGAATGCAAGGTTGGTGACAGACCCTTCTTTTGGGCGTCGCGAGCATCTACTTGTAAAGACCGTGCTCCTTGTACCAGAACAGTGGGTCTTCATCATCGCCAACGAAGCATGCATCTTGAAAGTCTGGAATCTGGGGCAGTCCGTCCCAAATGTCGTCAGCGAATCTCTTTGGAAGCATCAAGTTCCACTGTATCTTAATAAGGCGAAAAGCTCTTATCACCGTTTTAAAGAGCAAGATGAAGCCTTGACTCCCTTTCTGTAAGTACGATCCGATCACGATACCAGTCAATAATCATTTCTGCATGATTCGACAGAACAAAGATTGAAAGAGGGAGAGTTGACTGTGCATTCTTTCAAATACGCGCAAAGCAGGGAGTCAACACGTGTAATTTGGGCCAAAGATGATACAAAGGCGGTTCCAAAAATGTGTTGCAAACAAAGCTATAAAGTTGACTACGAGAGCTGGGGCTTCGACTCCTCACCCATAAGAGCCTTCCAAAGGTAATCCCAGATGATGGGACGTTCAAGCTGAGTCTTAACAGCTCTTCTTCATCCTTGAAGCACTTCCGATGCACGTTGATTGTCAAGTTGAAGCAATTGCTGCTGAAATATAGAGTCTTTCCAACATGCTGCTTTGGTGGAAGAAGAGCATCACGGAACTATAAAGAAGGTCATACAAAAGTCGCCCAAATGAGTAAGATACTTACCGTTCCCTTCCTTTTCTTCCGGCAGAGCCCCTCCAAACGCAAGGTCTCCAATTGCCTTTTCCGAAATGTCCACCAACCGCTTTAGGCGGTCCAGCAGATCCCCAACCGAGCCCCCCCCAGGAGCAGAAGAATCCAAGTCCGCAAACTTCTGGTCACCGGTCACGCTGCTGAGCTCATCGATGATGTCGTCGAGCGTCCTCGCCTTGTGCCCATTCGAAGTGGGGCGCTCCTTGCTGACCTCAGCAGTGACGTCAGCAGCGGAGGACGTCGACTGCTGAGGAATGGGCTCCTTCTCCGGGGGGTTCGTGGTGGGGCCGTTCTGGGCCCCCAGGGCGCCGAGGTCCAGCGCAGCGCCACCTGTCACCTGAAGCTGTGCGCCACCTGTCGCCAGCTGGCGGTCCAGGGCACGCAGCTCCTCAGGGGACATTGCGAACAACCGGCGCAGCGCCTCGCTCTGCAGCTGGGGGGTTTCTCGGAATCGGACGCTCTGGGCGTCCGGATCACCTGACCCGTCCGATTGCACGGTCCCGTTTGGATACGGGGTTATGTCCGACGGTGAGGGCCCATCCAGATAAGGGGGCCCTTCCAAAAAGGAGGCCCTGTCCGGAGAAGAGGTCCAGTCTGAGGATGAAAGCGGGGACCGATCCGAAAGTGAGGAGCCCTCGGGGCGGGGAACCCTGTCCGACGTCAACGGTTTGCCCGAAAGGGAGCTTCTCAGAAAGCCTGAGTCAGCCACCGATGCTGGTCCCGGGGTCGGAACCTTTCTCTGGTCAAGAGGGGGTCGGAATGAGTTATCTGATCCAGGGGGGGGTGGCACAGGGGGCCATGGGACCTGCTCGGAAGCCCCCTGAAGAGGCGCTCCTGTGAGGGGGTACACCGGGGCTGCCGGGGGGTGGGGGCTGTGGCGCGGTGGGGGACTGTGATGGGGGGTTGTCCGTGGGGCCAGTTTAGGGGGGTCGGCCGGAGGTAAAAGGAAGCCTTGGCGCGGGGGGTAGGAATCAGACAGCCAACTGGAGGGTCTTTGCAGGGGGGATACAGGGAGGAGGTTTGGCTGAGGGGATGGAGGGGGGGGGATGCGGGCCTGCAGGACCCGAGGGGGGGGAAGGGGAGGAACAGGGACGCCATTGTTTGGGGAGGGTTTTATGCCGGGGGTGCTAGTTTCAGACCCCGAAGAGGGAATTGCTGTGGCGGTAGAGGTTGCTTTCTGACCGTCTTGCCTAGGAGCGGCTGCCTCAGCCTCGCCTGGTCTGGAAACATTTGCCTTGAGATCGCGAGATATGTCCCCCCTTTCGAGACCTTCTGATTGAGGCACCCCCCTAGAAAGTGCCCTCTCATTTGAAGCCCCCCGCCCCGATGACTGCGCGCTGCCCTCCCAGAGCTCCCCCCAGTGCTCAAAGTCTGCAGCCGCTTCTCTTTCCCCCCGGAAGCTCTTCTCGAACCCCCCATTCCCGTACAGAATCTCTTTCAGCTCCTCTTTGCTGACCTCCTCAAAGTAGCGGTCCTCTGGAAAGATCGACTCCTCGGCCCCCTCCCCCTCACCCCCTGCCAGCATCTCCATCAGTTCAGGGGGCACATCTTGCCCCTGTCCGACCCCCAGGGAAAAGGACGGGGCCTGCCAGAGACCCCGCCCCGGCCCCAGCGAACTCAGGTTCTCTGGGTTTGGATCTTGGTCGAATTTCGGATCGAAAGAGTCAAACTCCGCATACTCTTGAAGCTGCTCAGTGAAGAGGTCAAGCTGCCTTTGCGCTTGTTGCATAGCCTGCTCGAGAGCCCTGAGTTGGCCCGCAGACGGGCCATCCGTTGCCTGATCCTCCTGCGAGCTTGCGCTCTGGCTGGAGTCGGTCTGACTGCCAAGAGAACCTGCCGGAAAAGCAAATATTAATGGTACATTTCTCTTGGCACAGTGGAGGTTTCCTGATCTAGAGTTGTCGATTTGGATTTATCGAATCAACAGATCTGAAGGTGCAATAGAGTCCATCGAAGCCTTGATCCTTGAACCTCTGCAATCCAAAACGTGCATCATGCTGACAAAAAGAAAAGTCTCACTGTCCACAGAGCATAGAAGATAAAAGCCCTGTACATCATTCCACCAGGATAATGAATCAGACACGTTACGATCAGAAGCAGGAATCAAGGAAGCAACCGCAACGACCAGTTGTTTCAATGCAGTATATTGCAGAAAGTGAGAGTCGCTGAGTAGCTTTGCTAAATGGCGGCTGAGATACCAGTTCATCAGGTGTCTGCAGCGTTGTTGCACTTTTCAACAGGAGTGATGGGACAGTCACCCGATCATAGAACCTGTTATTACGAACTATGCTTTGTACTGCTGCTTAGCCAGCATTGTTTCCTATAGGAGTGGGCCGTTTCAAGTGGTGGCACAGATTCTTGATGCACAACCTTGCTGAAAGGGAAAGCAGACTTATCATGCTTAAAAGGAGGCATGGAATGTGCACCTTGCTCTCCAATCGCATCAGATCTTGACGCCCCTTCATTCGCACTGGCTGCCTGTCGCTGCCGATCTGACTCTTTCCCCTGCTGGGCGAACACACCTGAGCGGGGGGCAGGCCGGAGCTTAGGTCCGCTTAATTGACCTTGCCCCTCACACAAGTGCCTTCGAAAGACCAGTCCGCATTTTCTAGCCCAAGTGCACCCGTTCCGCAGCCCCTGTTTGAAGAGAACACTGGTTGCAGGCGTGGAAGCATTGCAACTCTGCATCCCACACATCAACAATGCCGAGCCTTGTCTGCAGGGACCAGACGAGCGGATCGCAGACCATGGCTGCATTGCGGAAGCCATGCTGATCGCCTTATTCCCGCCTCAGCTCGACAGCGGCTAAGGATCCTCGCACCCTGTACCGTATCCTGCCGCTGCAGATCAGTGCACTGCGGCAGCCACCACTGGAAAATGTGGCGCACAATCTGCGCTGCATGCATTGCAATTTGCAGGCGCAGGCTGCAGCTTTTCCTGCTTGCGAAATGCTGACTAGGCTCGGATCTAAAGTGATACTGGCCCGGTAACGTTCTAAACAACTTCCGGCTTTGTCAAGTTGCATTCCGCCGTTACCAGGAGATTAGTAGGGTTCCGTCAAGCTGGCCGTCAAGGGGGCGGCTTTCGCCATGGCGGCAGCTCGTGATTCTGCCAGCCTTGTTCCTCAGCTCGTCAAAGCTTTTTCTTACGCCATGGCGCTGACAACCGGCCGTAATTTGAACTCTCTTCCTTGGAACGTGCAACAAACATTGGCCCTGCCGCGCATTCAGATAGCTGCTCCTCTTTTGGCAGCTGTCCACAGACGGTTTGACTCTAGGAGCTTGCAAGACGCTTTCTACATTGTCTAGCTGGAGCTAACTTTGAAACGGCCCCCTGCTTCAGTCTGGGCATTGGGTTTGCTCAATTGCCACTCGACCAATGGATGCCTCAATTGAGCGCAGTTGACCCTGGCACAACTTTAGCGCGCTTATGCAATCCGAGCATCCAAACAAGTACCCCCGAAGGGATCAAAAGACAGGTGCAGAGCTGAGGGCCAACTGAAAAGCAAGGTTTGAAGGCCACTGCCAGTTGTTCGATGGCTCCGCTTGTAAGGAAGGGAGACTTCCTGATGCAAGCGGAGTGCAAGCTGGGGGACAGCAGCGGGGGCAAGGTCGATGTGCCTTCCACATGGCGGGCATCTGTACGAGTCACAGAGGGAGGGGCTCAGACGGAGGTGATAGAAATGAGCTCCAATGCAACGCAGAGCTGCATCAGCGAGGATGCAGAAGTGAGCATACTTTGATGCTTTTGAGAGGAGCCTTTTGCATCCTCTCAAATGAAACAGGTGTGAAACTTTTCACGATAGGCCCCAAAAAGAATCTGGACCAGTGCTGAGCTCTGACATGATGAAGGTTCAAGAGCATGTCAGACCGCTTGGCCGCATGCATAGACAGGTCTTTGAGGAGTTGACATTGGACGATAACGTACTCAGGCCCCCACCTTTCTACTTGAATAAACAAGTGGTGCTGCCTCACGCTTCCTGTTCGCATCCCCAATGCCAAGAGAGTCAATCAACTCACAAGCACATCAAGAATGCCTAGCATCAACAATTGGTGTGCATTATTCGTCACAACTCCAGGAATCGACTCTCGATGCCCACGTCTTCTCCAAGCAACTAGATACTGCACACTTTTAGGAGGGGCCTTCCCGCCGCGGTAACTAAGCAGGGCACTCAATCAAGCGGGGCATGCCAGGACATCCTATTTCCACGACAGTTCACTGCCAAGTTGTCTTACAAAGCTCCCTACAACCGTTGACAGGTCCAGACAGACAACGTGCACGTCTCACCAACAGAGACGAACTCAAGCTCAGCCGCCACAGGCGCAGCATCTGTGTTCGAGGCAACCACTTCTCCAATCGAAGGGGAAGAAAGCCGAGGTTAGTTTGCAATTTGTGGGTTTCGACCAACCAAGGGAAGACCTACTCGAGTCTGCTCAGTGCTGAACCACCGTTCATTTCTCTTACCATCTTGCCCTCGAGCTGCTGTTCACCAAACGAGGCCAACGAGGAATCCTCCTCGGCTCTTCACCTGTTCGCAGATATTGGGCTGGTGGCGCCGACCTCTTGTTGTATTCACAGCGGCCCTCTTTCGGAATTCTTTGGTTCGGCCTTTCCTCTTCTTCCAAATTCTTTGCCTGTGGAAGGCAGCCATCTTACTTCACCAGTCGTCCTGCTCTTCTAGTGCTTAGGCCTCCTCTTCCCATAATGTGTCCAATATCGGACTTGGGGACGGTAACCAGCCTCGAAACAAGGTTGATCACCGGTTACTTGTCCATTAACCTGAGACTGAAGTCTCGTAACCAGCCTGGTTAGCAGCCAAAGTGTTCTGTGTCCGATGATGTACAACGCGCGTCGATCATCCAGTTTATCAGCCCGCTCGCAAGTACACGGCTCATCATTCAGAAATGGGATAAACTCTTTCACTACAAACGTTTGATATTGGTCGGGCCTTGTGTAGGCTCGCTTGAGGTCCGTGGCTCAACCGCCGGCGTTTCATAGAGATCGTAACGGAGGACTCTTTTTTAAAGGGACGAAACATCAAATCGAATCAACAGAGCCTTGAACAACACCACTGACCTTCCAAAGTATCGTTCCGATCGACCCGTGTGACTTTCAAATGGAGCTAAGATAGCTGATCTCGAACCTGTTTACACGAAGCAAAAAGCACAAACCATTCCTTCACCTACTATTTGAAATCCTATCTTCATTTGAAATCAAAGAACTCTAAACAACACCACTGACATTCCGAATCATCCCCCCATCAACCCGTATGTCCTCCTCTCTGCAGAAGCTCACTCTCCCGCTGCCGCAGCAGACACAACGGTGACTCTCTCTCTCGAGCTGCGCTCTCCCTTCATTTCCCCCGCCACTAGTTCCGGGCCTCCTAGTACGTCTGCCGTTTCTGACGGGTTCGCAGGCCTCGTTGTAACCGGGATTGCGTGGAACGCTACTGGAAACGTCGTAGCCGTCAGGTAAGGGGCGAAGCACTAGGTTAGATTCAAATATCACTGTTTTTGTTAGTTGTTTTTGTGTCTCCGCTTCCTTGGTTACTTCGTTTCGTCGTTCTTCGTTCTTTTCTCTGCTGTAGGAGTTCCTATCGTTCTCGTTCTCGTTTGCTCGTTCTCGATTTTTCATGCAATCCGCTTTCGTTGGAGCTGGATCGTGATGCGATTGCGCTCCTTGATTGTTTCTACCATTTTAGGCGGCTGAACGTCTAGGGCTGGTGCTAGCTTGGTGCGGTTGTTTGTGCGATATAATTTGCAGCACACTCGTGTTCTGAATGCGGTCCTCGGGTTTTTCCCGGAAGTTACGGGCGGCTGGACGTCCGTGGCTGGTGGCACTTTGTTTGGGTGTTTGTGCAATAAGCTACCATTGCAGCCTAAATCGTGGTGTGAATGCGCTCCTTGGCTAGTTTTGTAGCTGCGGGCGGCTGGACGTCCGTGGCTGGTGCCACTCTGATCCGGTTCTTTGTGCAATACGCTCTATGATCCTACTGTGAATGCGCTCCTCGGTTCCATTCGCAGTTACGGACGGCTGGACGTCCGTGGCTGGTGCCATGCTCCGGGGGCGCTGTGCACCTGGAACGTGGGGAGAAGGGGCACCCGGGGAAGGGGCACCCGGGGGAAAGCGCCAAGCGGATTCGGAACGGACGGAACCGGAACGGATGCATTGAAACCAGATACGGTGATCCAACTCGATGTGAGTGCTGAGCAAGATAAGAGACCCTTGAAGAGGATCCGTCGATCTGGAAAGCTCGGGCAAGCGCTCTCAATGTATGTTGAAGTGAAGGCTTGAAAGCACGACTTTTCAGGACTCGAGCATGATGGTTCAAAACTGTCTACTCCCGAAGGCAGCGAAAAAAAGTGGTCGTCCGTTTGTGCTGAGTGTTAAGATTTGATATGGAAACACCTGTCGGGTCAAGGATCAGGCGCAAACGCCTCTACTCTTTCCTTCTGACAAATAGCTTTTGCCAAATATGTTGTGCAAGGACGCCGTTCGAACCTGTCCAAGCTCCGCAACATATACAAAAAGCCACTCACCAGTAGAGAGCAAATATAAATTATGGTCACGCTCGCTGCAAATGCTCGTTCACGAGGCGAAGATCACAGCGAACATCTTATTGAAGAGTGCTTTTAGAAAGCTGTCGAGCCTTGAAGCTACCTCTTGGCTCGTTCTCATGTCCTCGTGAAAGGACATGTTCGCTATGGTCGGATGCGTGCTTTTTCGCGAGCCTCTTTGTGCACAGCCCTCCAGTTCTGACGTCACACCCCCGGTCTGCAGAACTGCCTGATGGCCGTCGCGTTTCACCCGACGCACCCCGCACTGATCGCAGGGGGGACTTTCAACGGTGAGCAGCGAACGCCGTCTTTCATGTACGGCTGCGAACGATGCTTGTAGCTCTGCAAAATCCAACAATCAAAGCCCCACGTATGTTTGTAACAGCCTCACTTGAAGCTAACGACTTCGCTTTTCCAATGAGTGTCCTTGCACCTCGGGTGTTAAAGCCGCGCCGATTTTATGTTTCCGATAGGCGTCCCTTCGGCCGGGTAGCAGAACGGAAGACTTTATGTATCGTCAGGGGGCTAAAGACATTGTTGCGTGTCGTGATTCGCCATTTTGGTGGGCAGGACTCCAAACTGAGCAAGACTATATCTGGGTCTGGCCCACGAAAGAATGTCATTGAGAGGACAAAGCAAGAGCTAAGTGCCTGTTTCTGCAGGCGAAATCTACCTGTGGGATCTGGGTCGAGAAGACCCCCAAAGAGCCAAGTCCAGGATCACAGACTTCAGCCACCGAGAGCCAATCACGCAGGTACGCTGGCGACACCCGGCGCTTAACGTACGCCAATTGAAGTCAAACTCGGCAACCGCTATGTCTTCTCCTGCTTTGTATTGACGTATTCGTGAACAGCCGCAGATTAACTGTATTCTGAGGAGGCTTGTCTACAGTGTTTCTGGGCGAGAGTCACGTGCGCTTTCGACCGCCAACCTCGAATTGTACGCGGAATGGAGGACAATGAGGGAGGGCGACTGATCGATGCGTCTCTATCTTGCAGTTGAGCTGGCAGTACAACACGCACGATGCGTTCACGCACATAGGCCAAGAGCACGCTTACCAGGTGAGAGACCCGGACTGGGCTTGACGAAGTCTGGTTGAGATGCTCTTCACGTGCTTATTGCCATCTGCTGCAGACTTCGCTTGACAGTGGTTAAAACGTTGGTTACGCTGGTTGATTACGTTGGGTACCTTGGTTGGTTAAGTTCCGTTGATTACGAGGATGCCAGTTTCGCCAAATCTCGGCGATAAACAAGGCCGTCGGGGTCGCATGGTCCTGAGGCTGAGCTCAAGTGGAACCGGCTGGATAGTGGCAAATATTCTTGCTTGCGGAATGGAGGCACGTGAAAGAAAACGGAACAAGAGACGGGAGCTTCACAGTGCGTTTACGTTTGAAAATATGCTCGACGGGAATGTGTCGCTTGAACGGCTCAAAAGCTGTTCTTGCTCAAGCACCCTGGATAGATAGGAGACAGAAATAGGAGCCAGAAATAGGATTTGTCATTATTCTTTGGTAGACGCTCAAGGCCACTGCAGTATGAAAAGCACAGCAAAGTCAAGCCATGGATGACCCTTTTTGTAGAGTCCTTAGAAAGCGACGCTTGCTTTCGAGAACCAGAAGCGTTATTGGACCGTTAGATCCCTAACCGCCGATTAGAATTGAAACCAGTCGCCCCAACGCGAATTCGGGGTCAAATAAAATGCGGACCGTCAAACTTTTGTTGGGTTCCAGATTACGGATCAACCGGTTGAGAAAGAAGGCCAACCGGTACCCCAAAGGACACGAGACTCCTGTCAACCATCGAATCTGTGTACAACGCGTCCCCTACAGGGAGGGGCTCTTCGCTTCCGGGATGGAATAGAACAAAGGTAAAACTAGTTCGTGCCGCTGAAAATGGCACCTTGACACAATTGAGTGCTTACGCTCGTCTTTCGCAGATTGTGTCAACGAGTACGGATGGGAAGGTGCTCGTCTGGTCGATCGCCAAGTTGGACGACCCTGTCTACGGGTAAGGACAAGTTCTAATGCCTGTGGGCGTTCTTAAAATCTCTAAGAACTCGAGATCCTTTCCTGGCAGTCTTTACTAGGTTCCATCATTGAGTGAGAATGTGGAGCTGTCGGCCGGCAGGGGTCTCGTCGCTCATGTGGAAGACGAGATGGAGGAAGTCGACAACACACGCGTTCAAGGTTGGCACCGAGGAGTTTGCTTTTGCCAGTAAAATTGTGTGTGCTGATCTGCCAAATTTGTTTCGCTTTTCTGCGTAAGATTCGCCGTTTAAATACAACAATCGCAATGTACAAGCGGTAACAATCATTTTCCAGTGAAAGCCATTCTCGGTGGTCTTCTTCCGGAGGATACTTGACTTAAATCACACCGCATTTGAGCGCCCCCGCTGAATTCACCATCGGACAATCTCTACCAGTAATATGAATGTACCCGATGCCAGTGTGATCATGTTTCCATTCTCACTTGTTCCCAAAGCGCGTTTTTGAGGGCCGCTTTCACACGACGAAGAATTCGCAGAACGTAGATCCAAGTTTGACCCCCAAGGGTTACACCTTAGACCATTTTTGTATACTGGGACGAGATCACGAGGCTCTCCTTTTGTATCCAGGTACGAGTTGACACACGCGCGGCAAGGACAGAAGGAATTGCTCTGGGGAGGTAAGCAGAATGACAAAGCCCGACAGAGATTTGAGCGATCAAAGCCTCACCAATTGAGGATTACTAACAAAGGCCAGAGTAACTGAGATAAATTTGTCCATTGCGTAGAGCCATTTATCCCTACTTATCGAAAGCCACATACGAAAACGCACCCCATTTGGTGGTACAATCTGTACCTGCTTATGATAGATGCAAGCACGACAATCCAGTCGAAGTCTTCTGCTGTTGCGTCCAGCTCTTCCAACTCCACTTTTCACGCGCTTCCTGGCACTGCCTCCTGCAGCCACGTGTCTGTCGCTGGCGTCATCCTCCGACCGGGACCACCAGGGCGCCTTTGTCGTGGGCACGGAGGGCGGAGCCGTCTTTCGGTGCCTCATGCGTCACAATGACGTCATGGTGGCGGACTTGGCGCAGAAAGTGGGCACCCCAGGTGAGCGAACTAGACTGGCACATTCTGGACAAACGAGGACCGCGTGAGCGCCTGCTTTAGCATCGGAAGTCGGCTGACATTTCAACTTTTCCCCAGAGCTCGTGGTTGCATTTAGAGCATTTAGAGCAAATGCGGTCTGGTGAATTTCGACCTGGCTACAATCAAGGCGTCCTTGTTGGAGTTTGAAACGCAATGTACTGAGATCCGTTCGCCGAAGGAGCTGAAAGTCCTCTTTAATTGGTGAAACTCGAACTATGACGCAGTCGGCACTGCAGGTCGACGCATTTTGTCGAACCCGTCGCAAACAGACTATGAAATGGTCGAGAGCCACTTGCAAGAGACCTTCACGTATTAGCAAGTTCACTGATCGGAGTGCGGAAGTCTAGGCTAGCAGTTTGTGAGATTGGACTTTGCTTCCTCTTCTCAAAGGTCCAAAGGCTAAAAAGTTTCTGTATAGGCTTGCGAACCACAAGCTCGGAAAGTGTCACCATGCACATCTGAAGGAACTAGATTGAGCTGAACAAGAAACGCCTCAAAGAATCCTATAAAAAGAGAGATTGTAAGTCAAGAAGGCGATGTTAAAAGAGGTACCGCTCACCATTTTCGCACTCCGTCCGACAGTGTCGCCGGGGGATCCCTCGCTGAAGCTCAAGTCCCCGGTGCGCTCCGAGTTCGTGCCCCACGTGGGCGCGGTGCGCGCGGCCGCGTGCTCGCCGTTCCAGCGGAACCTCTTCCTCACCGCCGGAGCGGACGGAAGCCTCCGGATCTATAGCGTCCTGCAGGCAAGCTCTCGCTCTAATCCTTTTCAAGGCATAAAGCAGATTCTCGTGATATGGAAGTTGAAGGAGGAAGTAAACCGACTCTCTGATCCGGCCTACGCTCTTTCGCTTCGTTACTTACTGAATCCAAACACGGCCGCCTCCGAATTACAATGTTTTGGCAGGCAAGCTCTCGCGGTTTTCTCTTTTCAGCTGTTTCGAGCTAAAACGCAAGGACTGAGGTACGAAGAAGGAAGAGAAAGAGAAGGGGCCCCATCAGCCGGCCTCTGCTTCTCTGTTTCTTATTTCGAATAAGTGGCAAGTGGGCGCCCTGTAGTCGAGCTCCCGTCCTTTCTGTTGCTTCTGCAAGATACAAGCGAGAAAAACTCCAAGAATGAGGTGGACAAGATCCGATCGCTCTTTTTGTCGCTCAAGAAAAAAACGCGAGGTCTTCCTTAGCGCCCAGCGTTACGGCCCTTGCAGGCCAAGCCCCTTTTGCACCTCGCGCCCTCTCAGCGCGCGCTCACGGCCGCTCAGTGGTCCCGTTCTGGCCACCACCATCGGTTTCTTGAGAAAGCGTAATGCAAGGTTTCCTTAACCCCAGTTGTTACGGCCCTTGCAGGCTAAGCCCTTGTTACACCTGGCGCCCTCTCAGCGCGCGCTCACGGCCGCGCAGTGGTCCCCGTTCCGACCGCTGGTGGTAGCGACCGCCGCCGCCGACGGCCACGTCCACTTTTACGATCTGCAGGTGGGTTGAGCAGAAGTGCAGGAGGGCTACGTAAACGTGCATGTGGGTTGAAAGCGAAGTTGCAGAACGGGGAGGCGTCGCCGCCGCGCCAGCGGCGGTAATCCTGCAAGTTGGTTTGGGTAGATCTCTAGACGTTTTGAGTAGAGATCTACAGGTGTGCTGAGCAGATCTGCAGGTGGGTCTGATAGACCTGCAGTTAGGTTAGCGTTTCGGCCGGAGGGGAAATGCGGAATTTCAACACCAAAGAGTACGTGCACTTGTTCGTCTGCGCAAGCTCCAGGTTCGCGTTCCAAATCACTTGCCAATACTCACGGGCTATGCTCAACATTCTCTGTCGCCGGACCAAACGGTTCACCCCATCCTCGTCCGTTCTTTGATGCAGAGAAGCGTTTTGCAACCCTGCAAAAGCGTGCGGGTGCGGGAAAAGGGCCTGCCGGTTGAGGCGATGGCGTTCAATCCGAAGGCGCCCGATCGTTTCGCGGCCGCGGACGGCAGCACTTTGAAGGTCGGCCGTTTCATTTGCCTCGTCCTTTACTTTCTTCAAGGGGACTTACAGGGTTGCTTACAGGGTTGAAGCGACGTCGGAAAGCGACCGTAACAGTCAGGGGGCCTGCTTGCAGGTCGCCGATAAGCAACGCTGTAACATTGCAGCGATGTTCAAGATCCATCCGTTCGTGCCGTTGTTCGACTGACGAGCCGAGAAGAAGAAAGCAAACCAAATGTGCCAATGTGTCTCAGGGCCCGCATCTGACCGAAGCTTTGAAACTTTATTGCGGCTTGATCCACAGTCACACTGATCACCGAAATTAATGTGGTTCTCTATGACTTTCTCTGTGCCCTCGCATGTCTTCCGTGTTTCTCGAGCCCAGAGTGGCCACCAAGAAACGGGGCGAGAAGGTTCTGTTCTCTTGCTTCTTCGAAGATTGCTGGAAACCGCCTCCTACGCTTGGCTTGAGTTCCTCTCTGAGCGGTTTAAATATGAACGTTCCATTCTTTGGGGCCTCTCGTTTCGGGTTGGATGCTCACTGTCAGCAGCCGCCTTTGGTCTGAATAAGTGACGGCTGCCTTTCGACGCTGCAGATCTTCTCGCTCGGAACCTCGTTCCAACTGGCCCGGCAATCAGAGGCGTCGCAGATCGACCGCTTAGAGCAACAAACGAACGTAACGTCGCAGGCTCGTATCCCGCCCGACGTCAACTTGCCGTCTGGTTGATCTGCACACGCCTGTCTGTCGCAACAACGGCATGTTGCTAATCGGGGACCGGTCATCACTTTTTGTCCGTAATTAAGTTCATCATGAATCCGTCAACACCTGAACGTATTTCGCGATGCATGACCCTTTGACTGGTTCAAACTGCCCCCGCAGCTATCGTACTTAGCTAGCCTCGACCGCGGGCCCCCCATGCGTACGAAATTAAACAATACGTGTGAGTAAACCATGATTGATTCTGACAACGTTGCATCATGCAATCTCCAAAGACTAGATTGCATTCCAATATGCAATAAAGTTTGCCATGTGGCGCATGGCCGCCCTGAAAGTAGTTGTACGCCTCATATGTGCGAATTTGATGATATAATTCGATGTCGCCCTTCCGATGGACTTCGACATATATGTGCAGCCATGAGCATGTGGTTAACATTCTTGGCATGGACACCAAGGTATGCGTGAGCTGCGCTCATGCATATGTGCAGTTGCACGCATGTGAACGGCTCGTGGGGCCGCCAGACATGATATGATCGCGACGGCCTGGTATCGGCTACAGCTATGCATGCTTGTGCAACGTACATGATAATATGTGCGTTGGCTGGCCGGTGCATGCACGCACGTACAGGTGCATGATCGGTACATCCCACCACCCAGCTAGATCATGATATACAGCTGCACGGGCATGCCATCAAATTGCATAATACATTACCGGTATGTGCAAGCCTGCAAACGTCCCAGGAATGTTGATTATAACTGGACGCCTATAGTTCACCAAATTGCGGGTCGCAACACCGGCCCAGCATGTAGCGTCGATCATTGCGCAATGTCCAAAGATATCGGCCCCTTGTATGCTGCCGAGTTGCAGTACTTATTTGGACTTGCCCTTACCATGAAAGCTAATTCTGACTTACCAATGTGCTTGACGGCACGAAATGAATAGTTTACAAATTGGGCAGCTCCCTATTTACTAGCGGTTTGCGCTCAGTCACGTCTACTTCAAAAGGAACCTCTTACGTAATTCTGGGGTGCCGTTCAACTGCAGTCTAAATAACTCTAAATAGTGCCAACGCGTTGAAGCAATCGCTTGATCTCAGCCCTCACTACTCTCTACACAGGCTAGAATTCAAGTCCCTCATCAGGTCGGACTGATATGATACGGATTACTTGACCGCCTTCTTGAAGTTCTCTCGATAAGCTTGTGAAACTATAAAGAGAACTGCAAGGATGGAAAGGACACGCGGATTGTGCAACTTCATTGTACCATGTTTGCTGATGCCAAAACCTTCACCTGAGGAATTATTTCCTTGAAAACAAGTGACCTTCGTAGAAGTTAACATGCTGAACCATCTCAGATTTTTCCATCTTCTAACCTTTGTTACAATGTAAATTTTGGTGTCCAAGAAAAAGCATCTAAGCAGATTGTACAGTGGTTTTCCGAGGATCCTTGAGAGGAACCATGACGTGTTTCTCACCTGGCCACATGGCTGTTAGTGTGGTCTTTGAGGCACCTGAATCTGAGTACGTCGTCTTTGGGTATCCCCGCCAGAACCGAGTAGCTGCAAAAAGCTGTGCTTTGATACTCTTGACCACCCTTTTTGGTTTTCTTGTATTTACTATGAAGTGCAGCTAGCAGGAAGGTGGCTTGTCTTCAAAGCAAAGCAATGACCTTTATTGCAATACATCAGGTAGATGTCCAAGCTTAGCTGAAAGAGGAACTTAAGAGAGTTCAGATTCCGTCAAAAGTCAATCCATGTGGTTCATAACCTCAATACAACAGCCGACAAAAGTCACTGTTCACGGTGGTTCAGTTGACTCTCCACCCTTGCTTATCCATTATATGTTTGGTGTCATTCAAGGAACCAGTGCACGAAACAAACTTGATGTCAATCCTGAATTGCACTTCAGGGAGGTCCCGTGGTTCTTAGAAGCAAGCTGCCACCAGCAACCCTGAAAATGGAGTACGCTGTGAAGCAAGGTCGTAGAACTAACCTCCAATTGCATACAGGGCCACCAACAATACAGGGTTCAAAACAAGGTTAGCAAGGGGCCCTAAAACTGGAATGCCTGATACAACAGGGAGGGCAGCTCGTATGGACGTTTGATGCCCACGTCTTGTCCGTTGCTCTTTTCTATGCTTGTGTAAGAATGTGGAGGAACCACTTAAGCTGGTGGCGCCGTTGAAAGTTGAACTGTGAGCAGTCAGTCTGCTGGCTAGGCGAGATGATCGCAGATGTTGCCCTTGTAAACACAAAAGGTGCGACGTGTGCCCCTGATTCCTGGACGCTTTTCTAATCATTTGACCTTGCAGGTCAGCCCCACACAGATGCTTACAGCATGCAACAGCCATGGTTGGGTCCAGGCAATGCTCAAAAAGTCAACAGCACCAATTCGAGAAAAAGAAGCAGCAGAAAGTGGGTGGCAGCTTTTGAATGTTGGATTGCTTGCTCCCTAGAGAATTGAATTTGCTAGAATGACCTGGCATGCATGGGAGATCGCAGGGAACATCAATCAGTGCTTGGTACCATTAGCGGATTTTCCGGGGCAGCTGCTGTGTGGTATTCTTCAGCCAGCCTCGGGGGCGTACGAGCACTTCTAGAAGGTCTTTTGCCTTGCATGAGAAGTGAGTCATGGCTGCTGTCCCAGCAGAACAACAGAAACCCAGTTGCGGTGGTTCTGCTTGTGGCGCTTGCATCTCTAGCTAGGGAGCTGGTGGAAATGGCGGGCAAAGTAGCCCCTACGAACGGTAAACAGAAGGAGAAAGCAGCGCCAGAGAAGCCGAAAAAGGCAGCCCCCGCTGCAAACGGCTCTGCTGGACTCCTAGCAAACGCATACAACCCGCTTTCAGGCACGTTTCACTCGATGGAGTCTGGGGCGCCGGAGGCGCAGGAGAATGGGGGGTATAACATGTTTGAGGGAGGTCCAGGGCATGGGGATGCGTCCGACTCGGACTCAGATGATGAAAGGGATGAGGCAAACGGGGATGAGAAGCGAGCGGGAGGGGCGGCATTGGTGAGGTTCTTGGCTGTTCAAGCTTCTGCTCTAATTGGAGGCCTGCTCCTTCCTCCTCTCTTCAATGAATTTATGGATTCATTTATCAGAAGTGGCCGGCCAGCTCCGAGTTCAAAATTTCTCCAGGCGATTGTTGCTGCCAGCTTCTAATTTCAGGGTTTGTAAATGGCAAGGAGCCGAAGAAGAGCCCCTTTTGGCAAATTAGCTGGCACCCGGTTAGAGCGGGCACCTGGCACCTTCCAATCTTGGTTGGCAATGGTTGGATTGTGTATCTGAAAATAGCTTCCATCATGGTTTTTGTTGCGACTTTTTCTTGTTTTTGGGAATGGTCTCCTTTAATTGAAGTGTTAGAGCCTATAAAGCATAGGGTGCTAGTAACCAACTTGCTCTCTTGGAATACTTGTTGCAGCCTCTTTCTGGAGCGTCCTACTTGGTCTGAAACGTACTTCAGCGTCTAGATCTGCTTGCTCTTTGACAAACCATTGCCACTGTGTCCTTACAAACCCTATCTCATCGCTTTTTGAGGACCGAGCGCTACCTTCTTTTCTTCCTCTGAGATGCCGTTCTCTTCCTTCCTTTCTCGTAGAACAAGGATTGATGCTCAGCGCGAAATTGATTGCGAAGCTCTGAGTTGTGTGGTTTCTCTCTTTATTTATCTGCTTTAGTGGAGGTTGAATGCCTGTTGGCTGGCACCCTTGAGCACATGTGAACAATCAAGAATCCAGCATTACTCCAAAATGGTAGCAGTCCGTGAGCAACATTGTTCAAATTGAGTGGAGCTCCTGTGTTATGACTGGATTGTAGCAAGTCGCGGAAACCTCCTGACACTCGACCTCGCTTTTTGCGGCAACTCTGTTTTTGATTTCACCCGATTTTCCTCTGCGATTGATATGGAGTAGCAATCTGCTACGGTTGTCCACTTGAACACATGTCTACTTTGTTTTCCAGATGAACGTTGGTCATGTTATCTTAGTTGTGGTGCTATTGTCGTTGCGTCACTGTTCTTTTGCCTGCCCTTATGAGAGACATCAGTGCTCCACTTTGTATGCCAGAGTCTTTGGCTGGGTAAGCCTGTGGTGTTTTGGAAGGGAAAGTGGTTGATCATTTCAAGGGCTCCGTTCTTGTGAACATTGTTTCCTCTTGTTTGGAGGTTGTCCTTTCCAATCTTGTGGTTGTGGAAGGATGCACTTTGTGTCAGAAGCGGGTATTTCCATTGACTTTTGAAATTGATTAGTCAAGGCATTCCTAGGCATCCCTCCTACACATGTCCAGTTCGAGAAAGATAAGTGAAGTTCGTTTTTCACCAGACTTCTGCCTCTTGGAGTCATTCGGTGAGGAAACCCTTGAACTCTTGTAAGCTCGCGTCTCTCAGCATTGCCTGCTCATTCTCCAACTGGTTTTCATGGTGAAGTTTGGCTTTTTCAATGGCTATTGGAGCTAGTTGTCTTGCAACAGATTGGAAAGGTTGAATTTGTGAAGCCTTTTGCTGTCAAGCCAGCGGTAGGGAAAGGCAAAAGATGAAGCAAGACAGGACAAGAACAGAAGCGTACATTTCAAGATACACCCAGAAGGTGGCAACAAACAATCTGCATTCCTCAACTCAAGACTTACTGAGTCAGACATTCCAGAAGGAATGGATGGGTTTTGGGATGACGGGGCCTACTTATCTTGAGCAGGTCACTGAAATCAGATCATGTATCATTTTGAGCACACCCTGTAGTAAATGAACGTGACCTGCGGAGCATTTCGTCAAAGTCTGTCATCGCTTTTTGTCTACAGAAGGACAAAGAGTCGCGAGCCGACAAGCGGGATCGAGAAAAGATGCGCCTGCGCAACGAGAAAAAGCACGCGCGACAGAAGGAGCGCCGCGCGCAGGAGTTGCGAGAAAAGTGTCTCTCGTTGCTTACGGCATGCAAGGTGGAGATGCTCGCGCTCCAGCTAGAAGCCATGGGTTTTCCAAAAGACCAGGCGGTTAAGGCCGTAACCATGCACGGCGGAAACCTAGAACGTGGCGTGTCCTGGCTGCTTGAAGCGGGGCCGGAAGTCGCCACGACGTCGGTAGACCCGGGGCAAGCGAAAGTCGACATAGCGGACGAGTTGGCGCGCGTGGTTGACGCCGAGATAAAATACGGCATCTCTAGGGGCGAGGTGGAAAGAGTAGTCGTTGCAAGCGGGGGGGACTTGGACCGAGCAATGGAGTCGTTGGCGGCGCAGCATCCGGTGCAGTTGGCGGGGCCTCGGCCACCTCCGCCGGGGGGGGCTCCAAACGGCCCCCCTCGAGAGGGAGGGGGCGCCAGACCGGCGGCGGGCCCGGCACCACAGAGCAGCGCGCCGGGGCCGAGAGCACCGGGGGGGCAGCAAGCGCAGGCGGGGGGGCCGCAAGCGAACCCTCCTAGTGGTCCAGGTGGGGGGAATTGTATTCAGGAATGGATGTAAAAGACTCTTTCGTGTGGCGTTTTTGGGTTTCTCGTGACCAAGCTAAAAGCAAGCTGATATCGGTTGGGTCACCTGTCAGTATGTCCCTTGCGGGACGTATTTGCTGCAGCGTGGAGGTTCGTTTGTCATCATCTGCTCATGCATCAGTCGATTTGGCAAGTCCATAATGGTAGTAGGAAGTAATTTGGCGTATTGGATGGCGAGCCAGGGGCTCCCGACGTTCATCGGCAGCTAGTTGACTAGCTCCACTGAAGGTGTCGTGTGTCAAGCCGCCTGCTCTCCAAGATGGTCCAAGCAAAGCACAGGTTATGTCGGTTTTTGAAACCGTTGGTTGTGCCCTGTGTTTTGTTGAAGACAGTTCCAGAGACACTGCTTACCTGCCTGTTCAGGTAGCGCGGGTTGGGCTCACAATGCGGGCGCTTCACCAAATCCTAGTTGGGGCACCCCTCCCTCCGCAAATACAGCTCGTCAAACATGGCAGGGGGGTCAGCAGCCCCCGCCGTCACAGGGTTTCGCACCCCCCTTTCCCCCTGCAAATGGTTCTCTCAACCCGGCATCGAGGCAACGGCCTGGGGTCCCAGGGGCTGTACCTAGCACAAATGTTCCTCCGCAGGGGGTTGGTTTCAGTAGGCCGTCGGACCCCCAGCTTGGTCGGCAAGGCTACCCCCCGGAAGCGAGCCGTCCGGAAGCGCCCACTCAACAGAGGCCCCCATATCAGCCGTACCCGTATCGGCCTCAGGCCTCGCAGCAACCGGGGGCCGGTCAATTGCAGTCGCAGCAGACGAGTGCCCTGCCCCCGCAAATGAACCGCCTGCAGGCGTCGCGCCCCGGGGGGGTCCTCCCGCCCCAGCAGCAGAGGCAGTTCCTGCCCCCCCACAGCGCGCCGCAGCCGCCGCCCTTCTCCCCCCTCCAGCAGCAACACCTGCAACAGCTGCAGCACCAACAGCTGTGGCAGCAGCAGCAGCAGCAAAAGGGGGGGGTGCTCTCTCCCCAGGGGGGTAGCTTCCAGCCTGGGGGGGTCAACAGCCAGGCGTTATTCTCGCGCCCGAACCTGCGCGCTTTTGGCCCTGGTCCAGGGGGTGCGGCGCCGGGCGTGGGGAGAGGGTTCCAGGGTTTGGATTTGCCTAAGTCGGGGTCGTCACTCTCGGCTGCAGCGGCCCCCTGGCCGGGGAGTCAGGGCAGTGGGGGCAACGGTGGTGCGTACAGTCAGATGGTAGGTCATGCGCACTACTGTGACATCCTTAGCTCTACCAGCCAGGACCTCGAGATGCGACTCTGATTTTAGTGCCCGGCTGTCCAACCGTTTTGTGGAACTGGTGTGGAACGTCTTTTTCGATGGTGCAGGAGTTCCGAGTCTGCCCTTTCGTGATGTTACCACTAGGTTTGGTTTCTTTGGGTTTGCTCTTGTAGTGATGCTCACTGGAAGCAACGTTCAGAGCACTGGTGCTATCATCGTCTTCCTAGTATCTTTTTCGTTTGACGTAAGACGTTCTCAACATGTTCTCCTTTGTATTGAAATAAAGAGTCCGTTTGAGGAGGCTTCGAACTTCGACCGGCTGGCCCTTTCGGCCTTCCAATCCTTTTCAACCGTCATGCACTTGCTTGGAAGCGGGTTCGAGTACCGTCCGTTGACTTGTTCGCTTGCCTCTCAGAACCCCCGCGGCGCATCGCCTGTGAGCAACCTCCCCCTCCGCCAGGGCTCATCCTCCGTTGCGCCCATCGGCCCCCCCCAGTCTCCCGGCAGCTCTTCCTCCCCCCACTCGCGGGGTTCCTCGTCGCCTCAGGCAGCGGGGGGCGCGTTTGGCAGCCCCATCTGGCCCCCTTCCAGCACGAATCCGGCCAGCTCCATCCTCTCGCCGACTTCCGCCTCTTGGGGGGGGTTGGGTCCTGGCTTGGGAGCGAGCACCGGACTTTCGCTCAGCGGATCGTCTGTAGATTGGAGCCTGCGGCCCAGCGCTGACAGGCCGAAAAGCGGAGGCGGCGCCGTAGACTGGAGCCTTCCAGGGGGGTCTGCCACGTCGGGTGTGGATTGGAGTTTGGGTGCGGGGAGCAGTGGCGCAGGGAGCGCGTTCGGTGGGTCGGCGGGAACGATTGGCAGCCTGAAGACCGGGTTTGGCGGGGCGTCGTCGCTCGCTTCCATATGGTCAAATGATAGGCCCGGCTCGGGGGGATCCCCCGGGGGGCTTGCAAACGGGCTAGGGGGGTTGGGGGTGCTCGGGGGGTCTGGTGCGGCAGCCAGTCGGTGGAACGCCGGCGAAATAGGGGCTAGCAAAGAGCTGGGCAGTGACGTGTGGGCCTCTTCGTCGGGTTTGCAAAAGGGGAAGGAGAGTAGCGGGTGGGAAACGCCGTTTGGTGGGAAAGATATCTTTCGGGGCGACGGAAACGGTGCGGCAGGTTTGGGGCTAGGAAATACGGAACAGGACGCGTCGGCTGCTGCGTTGTTGAACAATCTTTCTCTGCAATGATCTACTTGGGTTTGTTTACTTCCATCGCCCTATGTTCACTGATTGGAGAGCAGTGTTCATCAAATGTGTTCGTATGTGGTTCCTTGATCATGCACCACTATGACAAGCAGGTTGGGGGGGTGATTGTTGCACTCATCAGCTATGTAACCGCCTGCATCAAATGCCATGCATGGAAGTTGTCGGAATACATCCTTGCCATAAACTGAGTCCGGGTGCATAGGGTTATTGTTTTGAGCTAGGTCACCGCAAACTCTGATCGAACCTAGCTCACCGCAGGACAGATGCAAATATTGTGTACATGAACGCGGAACCGCAAAGTCTGAGAACCTAGCTCACCGCAGGACAGATGCAAATATCATTGTGTACATGAATGCGAGTCTAGTAACATTGAACGTCATGCAGCCAATCATCAATCAACAAAATCCGACATGCGTTACATGACAGCTATGAAATCCATCGATTGCCGCATGTGAAGTTGCATAATTTTAGAAGCTAGTTTCACATGATGTTTATATATGAAGTCCTGGCATGGGTTGCGCTTCACTTCTAAAGTTGCATACGTAGCTCGACAGCTTTTGACATTATAGTATCGTCGAGTATGCATGGCCGCCAGCATTCAAATTCCATGATCTGTCCACTGCAAACATATGCATGATCCAGCTATGTCTTGTGCAAAAGCTAGCTCCATCGAGTCGACTCTATCGACAAGTTTTCACTGCAAAAAGGCTGGCTTACATCGGGTTTCGGCTTATGCACAGCCAATGACTTTCAAATACGATACATCGACATACCAAACGGTGACTACTCAGACTGCGATCTCCTGATCGTTCAATATCAAACGTACAAATCGGGAACGTTTGATCAGCAAGAACGCTCAACAAGAGTTTACATTACGAATGTTGATATGACGTTGACCTGATTCTTCTCTGTTACAAAAGCAACAGTATACGTTGGCAACAAGGATCCATATGCAGTCTTAATATGTACCTGCAAGGTCAACAAAGACCAGAGTACATCTCAACCATTGAGCCTGAAGACGTGATGAGGGCGGATCAGACTCGGTTGTACAGTCAGATGCTTCAATTTCGGCAAGCTATGATGGCAGTCACAAGGTGGCAATATGAAGACCATGTGACAAGCTCAACACGAACAATCTCATCACAAAAGCCTATTTATTGTACCAATCTGATTACTTCGTCGTTGCACATCGAACAACAGCTGAGTGCTCACCTCCAATATCATTGTCGGACCTCTAATAGTGGCCATATAGGCGGGCGTAGAGCTCCGACAGTGTCGGATCCCACTCGAAAGGAACTTGCACCTCGACCAAACTTTTGGAATGCAGAAGCTCGATAAGCGAGTGGACAAAGCTCATTCTGCTGACACCCTCCAGCGCCTCAGTCATCTGGATAACGAGCTTTTCCAACCCTTGCAGAGCAGCGATCGGCTTGGTAACCAATGTGCCCCACCTCATTATGCTGAAAGGCGAGGCCGTGAGGGAAAGCCTGGTGAGGTTACCAAGCTTCTGAAGCGATTCTATCACTGCAACCATGTGCGCCACCTCTTTGCTCATTCTAGGCGCGTCGCCCTTCCGCATCTGCAAGTCCACCTCGACAAGGCTTCTGTGCGGCCCAACAAACCTTAGCTGATTGACTCGTGGAGACATCATAAGCTTGAGTTTCCTGAGCGATGGACACTCTATGGTGAGCCACATGTCCCCCAACTCAACATTGAGTGTTAGGTCTTGTAGCGTGTCCCAACCAGCTACTAGGCACCACGAGCCCGGAGAAGGCTGCAGCTTGCAGCCGTACTTTTGAACTTTGCCTTTAAGGGGCATATGATCAGGATCGGTTACTGGAAAATCTGTGTCTACTTCCAGCAATCCCCTCATACCAAGACGATCGATAAGAATGTTGCAGTTGTGCAACTCGTCGTCCTTCAAGTGCTGGAAGCCATATAAGCGGAGCACCTTCAGCTTGGGGGCCCCATAGATTATGCTCAAGATAGTCTTCAGTAGAGGGTTGCCAAAGAGCTGACGACCTTTCTTGAGTTCAAAGTGCTCGAGCACTTTGCAATGGTGCAGGGCCAATAGGTCGTTGTTCTGTTGTGGTTCAACTTCGGAAGACGGGGTCCAATCCAGGCGCAGAATCTGCAGTCTCTTTGCTACTCGTGTGGTCACGAGGTTGCGGACCAGGCTGTGGGTCATACTCATTGGAGATCGAAGGGACAGCGAAGTGAGGCTTGAGAATGGCTCTGATGAGTTCTGAATTGGTGAAAGGAAGCACCCAGAGCTCTCTAGGGACAGCTCCCGAAGCGAGGGCAACAGCGATAAGGAGGAAAGGTCCAGATCATGAGAAGCCGGCATCCCGGAAGCCAGCTCAACAGCCAGCTTTTCCAGATATATACTGCTCCCCTCCGTGAAAGCTCGCAGCTCCGCAATCCCAACTTTGAACAACGACACCTCCTTCAGGATAATTCCAGGCCCAGGATGCTTGACTGACAGAATGAGTGGCCTACAGCCAACTTGAGCGCCCCCAAGAGCTGGCCAAAATGCTCTGGACATCTCATCATACTCAGTGACGCAAGGCTCGGGCTCTTGGACGATGATGGTTCTGAGCTGGGGCCACGTCTCCAAGAAAGGGACGTCATCGCTGTTCACCCAGTCAGGGCACCCATCACTGAACAGAGTCAGTGTTTGCACGTTGGGGAAGCAAGCACCGAGATGTTGGAGCTGAGAGGGAGACCACTTGAACTCTACAGACCTTGGGACAACAGTAGAGAGGTCGAGCGAGCATACTTCTGGAAAGCACGTGGGTGCCTGCTCGAGACTGCTCCTAGTACACCGCAGGCGGAGATGGCAGCGACTCTGCCGCTCGGCCGCTCTGAACACCCGGCAGACCAAGGAGCAAGAGTTTCTGTCTTTGCAATGGGTAATCCTGGTCAGAACAATTTCCAGAGCATGTTGCTCCATTCTTAGCGAACGTCTGCACTAGGCTCGTGCTTCGACTCCTCCGCATTATTGGCTTTCCGCCAAGGACCAACCGAGCCGCCTCTCACTGCCAATACTCAAAAGGAAGCACACAGTTGCAGCGCTTTACTATTATGCCACCACTCCTACGTATGCGGCATGCCTCTGAAAGAATGGCGTTCTTGGCTTGCAAATTGAAACTTGAAAGCGAAACGTGGGCTATGTTCAGATTCTGATCCAGAATCTCTTGCTCAACTCCAGGTCACAGGCCCCGAAAATCCGGAAGAAGGTCCTAAGGAGCAGCTGCTGTCTGGTAATACCCTAGAGCTTTTAAAAGTGGAGTCTTATCCACTCGAGATCCGCTCACAACTTTCACACCCAGGCCCCAGGGCCAAATTCTTTGAAGTACGCAACCCTCAAGAGTCAAGGCTCAAAGTTTCAGCGAGCAGCTTTCGATCAGAATCAAAGCAGGAAGGACAGGCGGGCAAACATGGCTGGTGTTGCGCGTGCCGCCAGCTTGGGTTTGCCAACAGCCTGTGGTCTGGGAAGTTTTAGGAAGCAAGGGGATGCGGCTGGGCGGCGAGCGGCAACGTCTAAGCTGCATTGTCAACGAGATGCATTTGTGAACTCTCCATTGCTTTTGCCGCCCGAGACTGGGAAGCACGCTGGGTTGAGCAGAAAAGAAGCGCGTGCTGCGCTGAAACGAGATGAGGGGCACGAGGGGGCCTCTGCAAAAGTGAGTTTCCGCAATGATAGTTCTTCGATGCATGCAGTCCCCTTCCAACAGGTGTGAATGACGCCAATGGCTACTCTGGATTCGTTCGCTTAGGTTCTCTGATTGATTTGGAGTGAGAATGCTAAATGCATGCAAGCTACAAACTGAACATAGGATAAGTAGCATAAAAGGTCCAACTGGCCAAGAAGTGGAGCCTTCACAAATGTTGTGGAATGCTTGCTCAATGGATCCTTGGGGTTTTTGGATGGAATGCCTCGCTCACTGGATTGGCATTCTCCTGTCCCATGTCTCACCTGTCTAGCGGTTGTCTAAGTAAACAATCTCGGAGGCTCTTAGAGACTTGAAAACAACAGCCAACAGTAGTTTTCTCATTACTAATTGGTTGGACTCAACGGCGTGAGACTTGTGAGAGTTTCCAGCAAACTGATACCCAACACAAGATGTGCTGCAAGATCTGGCTCGATGCTACTGACAGCTGATTCCCAACCTGGATATTCATATATCGATTGGTGCCGGTTACTGTGTGGGAAGGAGTGCACTCATCTGTTCCTTCTTCTTAGCAATACTTGATTGCTCTCGGTATGTTGTGGTGGCACTTGTTTATGTTTTCTTACCTCAAGAGAGGGGCCTTCATTCCTGATTGCCAAATGCAACCACCTTCGTCCGCTTTCGCAGACATCAATGCTGCTTGACATCTGTCATCCCTGAGGTTTGGGCTCCCATTCCACTGCCTTCATTTCCATTTGCTGCCATGAATGAGGTCCCCACTTATGGAAACGCTGAAAACAAGCCGCCTTTCAGCACTGAAGGAGCGGCTCTCCTCTGAGTCCAAGATGACTTCACCCACGCAGAGCCATTTGCCATCTGGGTCAGAGCCAAGCCTCAACCTCAAATATGCTCAGCCGAATCGCTCTGCTCTGGATTCACAAAGTTCTGGACTGCGACTGCATCTACCATAGCATCCTAAGAAGCACAGGTAACAGCCGCCCTTCCTGACACGCTACAGGAGGGCCTCTTCTCCGCCCTCAAGCGCTCCGCTGCCGCCGCCGCCCTCGCACTCACTCTCGCCAGCCCCAGCCAATCGCTTGCGACCACCCTCTCCCCGCCTCCTCTAAACCCCGTGCTCGGGGACGTCTCCGTGCTCATCTCGGGACCCCCGATAAAGGATGCCCGCACGCTGCTGCGAAACGCGCTGCCAATCCAGGGCAAGGCAGTCAAGGAAGTGCAGGCTGCACTGGAGGGCATCACGGAGAGCCTCAGGCTACCCGGCACCAAGGGCTTTGACCAAGTCTCCGGGGTGAGCCGCTTGTTCATCTACCATGGAACCTCAACGGTAGTGAAAGAGTCGGCGGATTCATCAGTATTTAGCGAACTGGAGCAAGGAGTGATGGTCTTTGGTTGCTGAGATGGTACCATCTGGCTTATCCGCTGATGTCAGTTACTGACAGCAAGATAGCTGTGACTCTGTATGTTGCTTCTGACGTCACTGCGGATGCATCCGTCAGTGCCCTGTTAACAAGTTGCTGAGGAGCAACTGGTGTCATGGATGTCTGCCACACCTGTTGCAGTGTCTCTTGCCAATTCTGCCATCCGTTGTGCTAGGAGGTGCACCACCAGCCATCTGACCATTGATCAGAAGGTGGGATTCACGCCAACTGGGAGTTGGTGACTCGACGGTTGATTCTGCATTGACAGACTGCTGACATAAGCACAAGTCTGATTTAGGTGCAGATTCTTTGACCTGGAAGTTAGTCACTCTACTCTTTGACTCGAACTCACGCCCCTGACGATCTCAACAGTAACTTACTTTCTACAAGCTACGTCGAGTGAGCTTCTTCTCACCAGACTTTCACCAGGCAACTGGCGCCCCTCTGATTTGCACATACCAGTGCTTACAACATACGAACCCATTCCTGCAACTATAGCACACCGTCTCAAGCTCTGAGCTAAGCCCAAGCTTATTTTCATTGCAGGCCGTACGGAAAGCGTCTGGTGCTCTGAACCAGAACCTGGATGGCATCCTCAACGAGGTCCCAGAAGCCAAGAGGGCGGACGCGTCACAGCTGGTAGACCAACTGAGGGCGGGCCTGTCCGATTTCCAGCAAGTTCTGCAGGGAAGCAGCAAGGAGGCGGTGGCGACGAAGCAGAAGGAGCTCCTGTCGATTGTCGGGAAGTAAGTCCACGATCTCTCTTTCCAGCTCAGCCGGGCGTGCTTCAGGAGCGTGTCTGCAAAGGAGCTGCTGTTGATTGGAAAGTCGCGATTAGAAATCATTTGTGCCTGAGCCACCTCCGTTTACGCTCGCCAAAAGCGGAATCTTTTAGACCCTCAGAACGGTTCGCAGCTTGCATCGACTCCGTCAGAATTGGCAGGGCTTCCAGTAACGAGGGGAGTCTGACCACATGAGGCGTTAAAGCGACTGAAAACACCTAGGTCGTTACGAACCAGAAAAGGCAAAGGAGAAAGATTGTCGAAAGTGGTCCTTATGTTCTAGGAGATCAAACAGCTGTTTGCTAGTTTTTGCCTGTACATCTTCAGGCAGGCGATGTTGCGTCACTTTCCACAAATCGGCCCAGCCAATAGGCAGTTTGGTCGCAAAGTCCTTGACGAGAAAGCCAAGAACGAAATGGAAGCTTGGGTGAAGGATTGCTGAGTTGCGGGTCCTATCTCCTCTTCACAACATCGACAGGGCGATGGTACGACGCTTTTCGTTCAAGTGGCGAGCGAAACGATTCATTATTGGCTTATAAATCCAAGGGGAAAGAGTGACTTAAGGATAGATCCTACGAAGACATCCCTCGTCTACTAATAACTCCAGCCTTCTCGCTTTTTCCCTGCAGCATCGAAGAGGCGATGGTGCAACGCTTCCCCTTCGAGATTCCGGCGGAGTTCGCGGGAAAGCCGTGGCTCAAGGGCCGCGCAACGGTTGAGATCAAGCTGAAGGTCAAGGATAATGCGAACCTGTCCAAGGTCACGATGACTGCGGTTGTGGACGGGTACAATGCGCCAATCACGGCGGGCAACTTCGTGGACTTGGTGGAGCGGCGCTTTTACGACGGGATGGATATCCAAAGAGGTGAAGGCAGCGCTTGTTTGCGTCGTCGTGTGTTCGCATTGTATTTAGGTCCGGTTCAAATTCGAGTCTGGTTTAGCAACCGCCCTCATGAAAAGGTGTGGGTTCAGAGTGCTAGTCAATGGTCCGGGAGCAGCAGTTCTACGACGAAATGGAATATGATAAGGTGTGGAGTCTCCATGTTAACGGATCTCAGTTTTTGGCTTCAATCACCGGTTGATGGCCGCTTTTCGAGGAGGCGTTTGGAAAACGCACTTGACGGCGCCTGCAGAGGACCAATGGACTAGTCGTCACGAGATCGATTCCGTAGCATCCAGGCAAGCAACCGTGAACTTTAGGCACGTGCTCTTCAGTCGCTTTTGGTAAGTGTCTGCTCGCATATGAATCTGCCGCACTGTGGCACCTCCTAGGCACCGGGCTGACGTCACCACTTTGCTCTTGACCTCACGGTTGATGCTGACGGGCGCGACCTTCGTGTGTGCAGCTGATGGGTTTGTGGTCCAGACGGGCGACCCCGACGGTCCGTCGGAGGGGTTCGTTGACCCGAACACGGGCAAGCTGCGCACCATCCCCCTAGAGATCAAGGTCATCGGAGACAAGCTGCCCATTTACGGCGCTACTCTCGAGGTGAGCCGGCCTGTATTCTAGTCCTGCTGTATCATACATACGGTATGTAAAGAGACAGTGTATTCCGTGCTTTTTTTATTGTTCACTATCCGTTCATGTCGTGGGCATAAACACAGAGCATCAGAACGGCTTGAACGGAGAGTGAGGTTCAGCGCTCTTTCCCTACGCTCTTCATTCTCTGCTTTTTTCGTAAATACGGAGCACCATACTTTGAGACACAGCACAATACTTAGGGCAATTGAATCGGGCCCCTTGGGCTTTGTTTTTGAAAGCATCTGTGAGCACTTGAGCAGCTTCGAGTCGCTCAAACCGCTGGAGTGTTAGTTGCTCTCTGCTGTAACCATTCATCGGCGTCGAATCGAGCGCCTGCCATGCCATCCGGCAGATTCATATGAGAGTTGATCCGGTCGTTTTCAACGCGGTTATTTTCCTACAGGACGAGGGCCGTTACAAGGCCCAAACCCGCCTTCCCTTCAACGCGTTTGGCACGATGGCAATGGCCAGAGAGGTCAGTCTCGACATCTTTGACCCACTCTTATTTCCTCTTTAAGCATCGCTCCTCGCTCTTCGTTTTCTTTGAGAAGCCGACCTGGCAGTTGTCAATGATTACTTGATATGATCTAGTTCACCATCTGCAGGCTCTGCATCGGATTCTGGTTTGCAATTTGTTTTACCATTCTGCAAAATTACTTTGCTGCAGCGAATCATGCGTGAAGAAGGAAGATCGGGCCGTTTTCGCTGCAGAGTCATCTTTCTGCCGAATAAAGCATTGAGACTGCCGTGTCTACAGTCTTACGGTCGATAATGGAGAAACCGAGTCTCAAATGTCCTGCTTTTCCTTTCCCCAGGAGTCCGACCCCGACAGCGCGTCCAGCCAGATCTTCTTATTTTCCAGGTCGATGCTACTTCTCAAGGAATTGAGGTGGACTCTTATTTACTCGGGTGATCTTCTGCACATCCTGAGGTTATATCCTACCTTTCCTTCCCCCAGGAGTTCGACGCCGACAGCGCGTCCAGCCAGATCTTCTTCCTGCTCAATCCAATCGGAGCTGACCCCCCGCCAGGTCCGAAAATTCAAGTCCCAGAGTCGATACTGAGTTTCATGAGTTTGATTCTGAGGATCTTGAAATAACATTCGTTTTACTCCCTTCCCCAGGAGTTCGACCCCGACAGTGCGTCCTGCCAGATCTTCTTGTTTTCCAGTGCGAAGCTACTTCCTAAGGATTTGAGGGAGAATTATGAGAAATTGAGGTGATCCTGCATATTCTGAGGTCATATTCTTCCTTCCTTTCCCCCAGGACTTTGACGCCGACAGCGCGTCCAGCCAGATCTTCTTCCTGCTCAAGGAGTCGGAGCTGACCCCCGCCAGATCCCAAAGTAAATTCCCAGGAGTGGATCCTGAGTTTCATGAGGAAGGTTTTGAGGATCTTGAAATAACATTCTTTCCCTTTTGTTCCCCCAGGAGTTTGACGCCGACAGCGCGTCCAGCCAGATCTTCTTCCTGCTCAAGGAGTCGGAGCTGACCCCCAGCCAGATCCGAAGCTAATTTTCCAAAAGGCGATCCTGAGTTTCATGAGATTGATTCCACGAGATCGATTCCGAGGATCTTGAAATGGTTGCTTTATTTCCTTCCCCCAGGAGTTTGACGCCGACAGCGCGTCCAGCCAGATCTTCTTCCTGCTCAAGGAGTCGGAGCTGACCCCCAGCCAGGCCAATATCCTGGACGGGCGCTACTCCGTGTTTGGCTACATCGTCGATAACGAGGACTTCTTGGCGGACCTCAAAGTGGGCGACTCCATCGAGAGCATGCGGGTCGTGCAGGGCATCGAGAACCTGCAAAACCCCAGCTACAAGGTGGGTGGAGTTTCAAATTTGATAGTGAAGCTCCATGTCAAGGCTGATATTAGGCTGCGCCTTTTCCTGTAGGATCCGGACTTGAAAACCTGAGCCGCGATCTTGTGATGGCCCAGATCGTTTCGTTCAGTAGATGGAAAGGGCCGGATGCAAAGGCGGTCTGCTTGTCTTCAAATTAGGCGATCCGATCGGAGACGCCATGACGCCGTGTATGCAATCGCCTCCCTATGTCGGCGGTAGACGACATCTGAAGCGGAGCGAGAAAAAGGTAGATATGAGTAACTCGTAACGTCTGCTATGGTCTGGAGTCGTGCAGATTGCTTCTTCTTGAGGATCTTCGCAAGATTTGATCTGGGACTCAAGAGGGCCGGTCCGCTGAACCTTGATATAGGGTCCTCTTACTCACTTTGTATGGTCTACTGACTGGAAGGAAAGCTTCTGAAGCGACTTGTGAGTCTTGTTACGAGGACATGAGTATGAGCCAAGTCCTAGCTTTAAACCTAGGGGTTCGACAAATTCCTGAGGGCCTTCTTTAATCTTTTGCAGTGACCGTGATCTTCCATTGGTCCACCATCTGGACTGCTTCCGAGTTGCACAAGCTACAATCAGGCAGAGCACTAGTTTTGCAAGTTACTTCAGACAGCTTACGAAAGCTCTGCTAACAAACAGCAAGCAAGTTTTGGTGTTTGTGTGTCGCTTGCGCGAGGTATCAGGTAGTCCGTTGTGCTAAACGAGATTCATATATGGAGCGTTTGCAAGCAGTCTTTCCTCCATGATGCGTTTGCTTTTGAAGTTGCCATTCAGCCCAATTGCAAGGGCTGAAACTGTTTGCTATCACCATCAAGTTTGCCTTGCAAAGACTCGGCCCAGTGAAGAACCTACGGGCTGCAGATGGCTTCAGACACCGAGGGATCGTCCTACTCATGCACTCACCAGCCCGTATGCAAGTGAGTGCATGTCCACAACCGTGCTAAGTCAAGCGCGGATGAGCGAACATTCATGGGGTCGCAGGGTACATGCACGCCATTATATGCAAGCCGGCAAGCGCCGCATAGGCACATGCCAATACGGTCGCGCCAACTTGTTAAAGCTATATTCGGAATATTACGGCCGGCTGCAGCTACGTACAACACAGCTTGTTTGTATCTGCGGCTTGTTAACATCGCATAATTATCGCGCAAGAGAATGATCCCATCACGGCATTACGGTCGGTGCCAGAAACGAGTTAACAATCGATGGCGTCACTGCCTTGCAGCATCTGCGTCTAGATAAATCGTGGACAACCTCGCCTAATACGTATACGTAGCTATAAGTGGTACAGGCTTGCCCATGATCCCGGGACAAACGTACATGCATGCCTATCATTAGATTGAGGCCAGATCAGAATTTCCCGATCCCCAAAGCATGCAAAATAAAGTCACTAGCACCGTGCAATGCAGCTGGCCGGCAAATCAGTTGTGCAAGCTGTCATGACGTGTAGTTTTAAATATGCATGAACTATCCGGCGGCCTGCTGTGAACCAACATGACGTCGAGGCAAACTGGACAACTACTAACCGTGTGACACTGGAGGAGCCCGGTGCAACGTCATGTTATGCATTCGACAGTCTTGTCGTGACGACCGTGTGATTTCTATTGAGAACTGTGGGATCCCGTCGATTGTAAGAGGGGCTTGATTTAATGCCCCTTTAAAGTAGGCCCCTTTGACAATCCAACGCCGGAAAGATTACTGGTCTTGTGCATCTACTTCACCGGTCAACGATCAGGCCCAGTGCTGTGTAGTAGAGTCTGCAAATCAGAGACTCCATGGAAGAACACCGGTGAAAGTGGTGAAAGTCCACATCAAAGACTTGTAGAGCAACTACCAGTGTCTTATCACCTGAGTCGAACTGCTTTCTGAAGAGCAATGTGCTCTGTATCCTGCTGCCTGCAAATTTATATCAATTGTCAGCATATCAAGGAACGTAATCAAGCAACTTTATTGCACGTTTATGTTCTGCCCAAATCGTTGGAGGAAAGAACGCACTGTCCTTTCTTACGTTTGACGGCAATGCGCAGCTACTTCGAGCATTTATCGGGCGATTATCTACAGTCAGCGAGTAGCTGTGCTCGTATGTATAAACTGGATTGTTTCTAAACACTTTGATGAAGTTGATTTCAAAGAAGGGATAAGGACGGCAGTAAGGGCAGTTCACTGTAGGCTATAAGTCAAGAGTGGGCCGTCTGTCGTCTTTCCGGCGATGCTGAGCCGGTCGTGTTTTCTCTTCCTCCCTTTGCTTCCTCTCCTTCAAACGGATCAGCACCGTTCGGTACGGTATCAGAAAGTGCTGCAACCCTGCACAGAAACAAGTCTCGTCTGCAACTCGCAACACGCACAATAATATTAAATGCCTCAAAAACCTTAACAGAGACCTGGTCGGTTCTGAGGTGCCAGTTGCCCGTTCAGACTACTGCAAGCTCGGGGATCGGAGAGCGTTCAGTCCTGAAACGAAATTTCAAGGGTTGCCAACAAGAGGTGAGGCTAAGGCGTTCTCAGATTTGGACGAGCGGACAGATCATCAACCTTTGAGTTGCTTCAGGTGGGGACATTTGCTCCCTGCCTACAGCCAATTTACAGATTTAAGCATCAAACCAGTGGCACAATTCGCCAAAACCAACTTACTTTGAAGGGTTCGAACGTATGGTAAAGCTAACCAGTCTGACAAGAACTCGAGGACAGCACGCAGCCTTCTTTCTCTGGCGCAGGCCTTCTTTTAGCGACTACTTTTTATATTAAGTATACATCTGCAGCGACTCACCTTGTTGGCACGCCATTTCATAAGCCTCCCCCCAGGGATATACGAGCTCCACCTTCTTCCCGTCAGCTTTTCTAGGCCGGCTCCTGAGGCATCTTAGGAGCTGGACATCCGCCTGGAAGAATCAACAAGCACGTTCAGGAATAGAAAGTGCTTTGACATGGAAAACCGACCAACTAAACCTGAAGCACGGAGGCAACTTCCCAGGCCGTCAATTGGCAGCGGATAAGGACGAGAGGACTGAGATCGTTGAATTGCCTAAAGTTTGTGTTCTTGTGAGACCGAGAGAGAGCTGCGATATCCGTCCTGGACACCAAATGAGGTCGTCTTATCGTGAAATGTAGAATGATTGGAAACCTGTAGCACTAAACTTAGAGGAGACCCAAAATGGTGCGTGGCACAGAATAAGAGTGGATACGAAACCGGGGGAGTGGTGATTTACATCCAGGTGTTCAGGTCCGCTTTAAGCGTCTCTGGCCCACTCGAATGCGCTTCACTACTTCTGACGTCCTGCTTTCTCTCCGTCTGTCTGTTGCAGTTCACTTATTCTGTTGCCCCAAAGACCTAGGGTAGGACAAGAACTAGGATGGGCAGCTCACCTCTAGGAGTACTGACTGGTCGTGCGAGTCATACGCCATGTCGTGGCGGTAGCAGCAGTTGTCTAGCCAATCAACCGGCGCCTGGTCCCATGTTTTTGAACCATCGTCTCGCCCACTGCTGTAATTGGGACCACAGTAGCGGCCATAGCGAGGGAACAACCGGCTGAGGGCCGCTCTGCAGAAGGAGAACAAGATCTTATTCTTATTTTCATCTGTGTAACTAACTAGGATGGGAATGGGGGCTACACTATAGTAGTCCAGTTGTAAACCAGAAGAGGAGACTCTGAAAGACTTTTGGGGTCCGTGAAAGTAGGGAGATCAGTCTACTCTGTGTGGATCTGAAGTAGACTCCCTCAGATTTAGAATGATTAAAAGGAGCAGTCCACTTGGGATCAGGTTCCTGTATTGGTTGGGCGTTTGCCACGAATTCGCGGCGGGAGTCAATGGGAGCCACTTGTACATGATCTACCAGCTATCAGAAACCAGTGTCCACAGAGAAGTTGGGGAGCTTCTACTGGAGATCTACCAAAGCTGATAATCATCTTCGATGCGAAGAGGAGAACGTGAAGTGAATAGAGCAATAATAACATGTCTCTCAGCAGGCCTCACAACGCTTGAAATCTCTTCGAGTTCTGCCAAGATCGGAGTTGACCATTGGAAACTACCCCCTTTAGGGACTGATCAAAAAGGACAGTGTGGAAGCCCTGTAGCCAAGTCCTAATTTATATACCAATATATCCTTGTAGAGAGAAAGCATCAAAAATACTATTTGAGGCGCCTGAAAGAGGAATGAGAGCACAAGTCTAACACATCAGCGAATGTGACGTCTTATCAAGGAGACGCAGATCAGACACACCCATTTCTCGGTTTAGAAGGAACCGAGAGGTCCTGCGATACCTTATTAAGTTCCATGAGACTCCAGATAGAAGTAGACAGATCTAAAATCATCAGAGGAGATGGCAATTGGATCGCAGTTGTTGCAATGCGTCAGTGTGTAGTGACAACATGGAGCAGACTAGAAAAAACCCGCATCCAGAACCATAACGAAGTCCTTTTCCTCTTCCCAACTTCCATGGCGGTCAGATTATGCCTGACATCAGCAGGTCCAATGACAATAAACCGAGGATTGGGTACGAACTGGCGGTATGCGTAACGAGATCTGAAAATTGGAGATAACTGTGGTTGGTACTCACAGAATTGGATCATTATCTTACTCAGGTTCTCTGTGTCAGGGATTAGTGGAAGCCAATGCTCATAGGGAAGTCTACTGGAAAGGTTTTCTAGTGAGCTGATTGTAGAAGTCAACCAAGGGAAGTCTACTGGAAAGGTTTTCTAGTGAGCTGATTGTAGAAGTCAACCAAGGGAAGCAGACACGGCTCCCTGGCCAGCCGAATGCATCAGAAGCTGCTAATTTTGGCGAGCCTCTGTTTGGTTGAGAATCAGGCACTCCCCACGTGGAGTTTAACGTTGTCCAGTTTGCGACAAAAATATTCTCAGCTAGGTGTTTTTCTTTGCTGCAGACTGGCCGGCTCCTGGGTTACACAGTGGAACAAAAGCAGTCCGCTTGCTTGAAAGTTCCAGTGTATCTTCCCAAACGCCAGTACATGCAAGATCTTGCACAAAAACATTATGAACATGCCCAGACTGCATGTAACGCATGCCCTCAGTGTGAACAGTATCCAAAGTCAAGCAGATTGAAGCACAAACATTCCGATCATGCTGTTCTTAAACCTTCACGTGCGCTTGTTACATGCTCTGAAACACCCCATTCATTGCAATCATCCCAACAAACTTTGTTTTCTTTATCGCGCCCTTTAATACAATTTCTGGAAGAGCTTGCCAGCCTCCAAGTGTATCGAACCAAATGTGACAGATGCTTTCCTGCACCCTGAGTATACTCGACCTGTTACAATTCAGGCTTGAGCTATGTGCCTACAGCCAGACCTGTCGCATGCAGACATGATCAGAACTCTGGTCAAAAGTCAATCACTGCCTCTCACCTCGGGCCCTTATGCCAGTCCAGCTGTGCGGTATACTCATGGGGCACAAACGACTCCAAATGGCAGCCCGTCATTGTCTCCGCTTCTGACACCACCTCAGCCGCCAATTTTGCAGCTCGCTCTGGCGCCCCTGATCTGGTGGACTGATTTGAGTGCCTCGGCCCGCGCATGTCTTCTGGCGGATCAGTGCCGTCAGCATCTGAGTTTCGGGGAGGGAAGGAGGCCAGGCTCAGGCTAGATGGGAATCTCATCGTGTCTGAATGGGGCGGTCGGGTCAATCACAGCAAAGAGGCAATTGGCAACACGACAACTAAACAGCTAAACCCCAACACGGCAGCTGGCAACAGAAGACCTTGACTAGTGTTGGCTTCTGCAGCTAGCAAAAGCGCACAAGTTGGAAATGAAAGCAGCAAGAAGCAAGGACTGCCGGAGTGGCGTCTCATGCTGGCACCAGCTAGATCTGCCGCCATGGGGCTCGAGAGCTTCGCGGCGTAGAATCTGTGCCGTCCACGTTTGCCTTGGAAGCTTTTCCGCCGTCCGATCGGTTGAGAGGGAATGCCCAAACAAAGACCATCAAATATCTCTGGCGTGTGCTCGAATTTGTATCTCGGGAATCAGAAGCGTCGAATTGAAGAATCTTTTCGCAGGCGCTAGGACTAGGACTATGGTGCCGCAACCGTGCAACCGAAATGCGCTTTTGACTTGAAAAGCGGTTGACTGTGCGAAAAGAATATTCTCCTCTTTTGATGGTTCAAAAACGCGCTTCAAATGGGGTTCAAATGAGCAAGGTACACTTTACCACTGCCGGTTTTAGCGGCTCTGCCGTGACGGCAGCCACCTCAACGACTGTGCATTCCAGACCTGTTGTGAACGGCCCGGCCCCGTGACACGTCCCGTCCCGGTCGATGTGAAAACCCTGTACGTGAAAACGTACGAAGAGTGACGTTGTCGTACACCGCGCTTGGCGTCAGCTAGCTGTCACTGGTGATTGGCCGGACATTCGGCCCGGTCCGAAACTTTTTGGAGCCTTGCTAAACCCTCAAATCTTGAATGCCATGCAGGCAACCGTGACCGTCACGACTGAGCGGCCGCGCGCGGGCAATTGAAATCAACGTATACATGCATATACAGGCGCGGCTCACAGCAGATTTACGTGCACATGATGCAATCGACCGTTGTGATGGAAGGCTTAACGTATGCGAGCATACGTAGCCGGATACTAAGTACTATTGGTGGTTCAAGAGGCATGTCGGCGATCTGCTCCAAGTCACCATTTTTCTACTGCAAGTGTTTGGATTTGAGTTTGTGCACGTGAAATCGAATCAGCTTTTCACACACGGAGTTCGCTGACACTGTCTTCCGCGAACGGACGAGCTGCAAATGATTCTGGAAGGAACATCATAAAATCTTATCTAGATGGATGTGCAGATTAAAGTAACTTGAACAGCTTTGAGTGCACCAAAGGACGTCCCAAAGTTAAACGGTTCCGGCACTACAGGCGCAACGTACATCAGCAGGATTCAAGGTAAGGGGCTACCTTTGATAGCCACGCGCTTACCTTCAATGTCGACGTAAGAATCCAGTGCATGCATTGATTTAAAGGAAGTCCTGAGGCGGTATTCCAGCCCTCTACTACTTAAGGCAAACTCACTGATCCACTAAGGGAAACAACAAGCTAACGGCCAGCTTTGTATTTTAAGGTCCAACTTTCTGACTTCTTACTCAATGGTTTGAAACATTGAAAGGACCCGATCGCTGCTCTCAGCTCGATCCAATCCTGCTTGCAGATCTGGATATAGTGTAAAACCAAGTAAAATTGAATATATCACGAGCTCCGACTCGAATGCATCATCTTATCCATAACCTCGGCCAGTCAGCCAGCACGGCGCTCGAGATCCGTCTCTAGGTGATTACACACATGGTAGACCGCCCAGAAGGGCGGCGGGGGCTTGCCTCTTTTATTGGGCGATTTCGGGCAGAAATATTAAAGTGCACATTGTGGCATCGTGTGGCGATGCTCTGATTACCCCCTGTGAGTTTCCGCCATACTAAAGCAAGTGCTGAAGTCTGTGCGCGAGCGTGCACACGCGGTACACGGAAGTCCGTACACCGTCCTGTGGTCTGAACAACTGCAGTACGTACCGGAATCTCAGTCGCTCTTCCCTCCGGACACTTTGACCCATCGTTGCAATTCGAAAGCAGCAATTCTGAATGAGTCCATCGCATATAAGGGTGATTTGAATTCTAATTTATTGGGTTGACGACCGGGATACGCCACAGTGTCAGGTGCATAATTGAAGTACGAACCACTACGTGGCAGCTTCACAGCGTTCGGCATGCAACGTGGCAGGCCTGTATTCAATCTGTTCGGAGAAATCGAGGTCAAGCGTTACAATGTTACGTTTTTGCGCGTCGGGACACTCGCGTCCGCGTTCGATTCGTAGCAACATTCCACGAAGGCGCGCGGGGCAGTCTGGGCTCGGTGGCTTTTGAGGTGTGGACCTTTTTCGGGTTTTTGCGTACGTTTTCGTATCGAAGTGCGGGCGACTGAAAACAGGGCAGACTCGGCTCCCCTATTTTCCGCAGAGCGGCGTCGTACAGCGTCGCAAAAACGCGGTTGACACGAAAGCAATAGTCCGCATATTTTACTGCGTAAAAGAGGCAAGCCAATATGCGAATGATTGATCAGTCGATCTTCGTTGCCCGGTATGCCAGCAGGCTTTGTTAACGTGACAATCGCTAGCGAGAATTCAGAACTGTATGTTCCCGAAAATAAGCACAATTTCGAGCACAATTTTGTCGTTCACTTTTCATTTTGGCAAAGACTGAGCAAAGGGGTCAAGCTTTCCATTCTTGCTGAGACCGGCCAGAACCCTCGGATATATATAGCACGAAGTATATCATCGTCCGTATCGTGGACGCAACTCAGCATACGACGGCCTTCTTCCATACTCTGCCATAATGAGCAAATGAAGTTTGATATATCCTAGGTTTCATCTATCTTAGTCAGGTTCTGCTAAGCAAATTCAATATACCCTTCACTTAGCGGACAAATGCCGCACATAGTGACAACCAGCCAGGCCGGCCAAAGTCTACACAAACCTTATCTTGCCAATCGCTTATAAACCATTCCTGAGCCTTATCGCAAACACCTGTGTCCTTATCACAATCACCTGTATGTACAGAGTCTGACCAGAACCGAAAGGCAACAAACAACCTCCAGAACTCTGTGTTGAATTGTCCGCGTTTGGGAAACAGGTTCCGGAAGATTGATGACCTTACCACGTGCAAGAAGCACCACTTACGGGTATTCTAGTACGTCCGCACTTTCGCGGCAACTTGAAAAACAACCAACACCGATTTGACCGATATTCCACAATCGTTCGCACCAGAATGACTTCTCTATACGCTATTTAAACCCACTTCTCTGTTTGCTGATTAAACCCCAAATGCAATTTTCCATGACGAGAATGAATCACCTAAAGTTCTCAGGTACCACATACTTCGTCGCCTCGTTTAGTTTCCGCCTCCCAATACTGGTTAACGGCCCGTTCAAACATGCTTGGAGCAGGTCTTCGCAACCTGCGCGGTGAAACTTGCAAATTTTTAGCAGTTCGCAACATCTTAGAGCGGCAGGCACGGATACACATGACCGTTGTAAGTGCTCGGAATCTGGTCAATGTCACAAGAGCGCACGTCCACCCAGGACAATCAAGAATTTGTTGAAGTCAGATCAAGGGAAAACGAACCGGAAACGGAAGGAACGTCCATGTTCCGAACACATTGAAACCCTTCAGTATATTTCGGCCGAGATAAGCGTTATCGGCAAAGCAAACTCTTGTCAAGAGAAAAGGTTGGCATCTTACAGTAGGAAGCCTACATCTTGCAATCTTACGATAGGAATCTTACGATAGGAAGCAAAATGTGCTTTCAACTCCGAGCTCGATGCACTCCGAAAAGAAGGACCTCGAGGATGCGTAAGCTCGGACATCTCGACAGCTTCGAAACTCCTAGCAAGATTGAAAAGATCTGAAGTCGAGACCAAGTCGAGACCGAGGAGTCCTTTGTGGCTCTGCCAAAAAGCTTCTGCACAACTAAGATGCAATTTGGGCGGCTTGGAGTCAACACGCCATCATCGTTACAGTGGCTGACTAGAAGCACTTTCTGAACGCGGGTTAGTATTGACCAGAATTCTTCGGTATGTCTTTGCATACTTTGGAGCAATCGACTGGCCAGACTCGCCAACACATGCACATGGAACAATTTCAAAACCGTACGGAAAGCAATGTTCACGGTGTTCTGACCCTTTACCTTCATGTCACGTGACTTTCGATAGTCATCATCACTCCGAGTCTCCAGTCCGCGGCCGCCCTCCGCCGCTCGGCCCCCTGGAGAAGCACAGCAATGTCGACACCATGCTGACAGCTGTCAGAGTGAGCGGGTTCCACATCGCGCGGGGGAGGGGCCCATTCACACCGCGAAGCCGCTGCTGTACCTCCAAGAACCGGTGGTGCGCCGGGTTAATTACCGGGTCAAGCCTGGTTAACCCGTCTCTCGAGCACTGCTTGCAGACGAAACCCTCGTCGCCGAAACCCCGGTGGGGCGCCCGGTGCATCGCCTGAAAGGCGCGCGCGCGGGCGCGCTCGGGGAAGCGCCGGTAGGGCGCCACGTGGCCCTTGCACGAGTGCGCGCGCGGCTGGCGCGCGGCCCACGTGGCGTCGATCTGGTCCAGCACGTCGTTAGGGATAACCCGCATGGTTTGCGTGCGGGTCTCCTCCGGAAAGGCCCCGTCGTAGCAGCAGGGAGGCGCGGCGGCGCCCGCCAAAACGCCCAACATCTCGTCCAACAGGGCCTCGCATTTTTCACTTCCCAGCTCCAACGGCTGCTTTGGTGCGGTTTTGGGGGGGCTGAGGTGGGGCAATCCGACCCCCCAGGAAGAGAGACACGCCGCCGGAGAAGTGCACCGAGGGGCGCAGGGAAGCCGTCGGGCGGCCTCGGTCGCGATCGCGTCGGCACAAAGCGCCTGCAGCGTGGCCGGGCGGGGTTTGGGGTTTGGGGCGCGCGTCTCGAGCGCGCGGGCGGCCGCGCGGACCTTTTGGCGCTGCCGGGACGTCTCGACGCGTGCTTCGCGGGCCGCTGCAGGTGAAGAGACGAGCTTGACATCGTTACTGCATAAATGAAGCGACATGGCTTCCCAGACTCCAATATTACAGCGACCGATTTGTGAAGAGTTGCACATTTGAGGGTCTAACAGACTGGATCAACCGTTCGCATCAGGTCCTTTTGCTCGATACCGTGACCGGTTAGGCGAAGCTTTGGCGCCGTTTAAGCGGGTTTTGTTAGACAACCTCCATCGACCGGACCCGGGAAGTGAGATAGTGATGGCAAACTGGAAGGCTCGTTCTTTCTCAAAGGAAGGATTGAGCGCTTGAACTAAAGTTATAATTGTCATTGTTGATTGTTTAACATTGTTCAAAAGGGCAAACGAAAAGAAGCGAGACGAAAATGAGAACGAGAGAAGACGAGAAATGAAGCGTACAACGACAGCGACAACGAGAAGAAGAAAGGAAGTCAATTCAAAACAAGAGGCGAACGCCCTATCACGAACGAGGACGACGAACCAAACGAGATAATCCTTGAATACGAAGCAAGAATGAAGATTAAGCGAGACTAAGTTTGATCACGAGAACGAAAAGTAGAACGATGACGAGAACGAGATTGTGAATGAGACGGTAACCCACTGGCTTCTTCGGCGGCTCTGACTTCGGCTCGCTCCTGCGCGGTCGCTGGAGGAGGCGCCGGCGGGGTTTGGAGAGGGTTTGCGGTTGCGGCCGCGTGACACGGAAAGGCGATTGGGTCCGCGCGAGCGGCCAACGCGTTGACGTCAGACAGAGCAAAGACTTCGGTCCTGCAAAGGGGGATAACCACGTTGGACACAGGAGCGTCAAAGAGTGAAACCGGAAGCTCTGAGACTGAGTATTTCGAGGAGCGTCTACTGATCCGCAAGAGCAGGCTTGGAAAAGTCGATCTGAGAGGAAAAGCCGATGGACGGAGTGAAAAGATTACAGTTAGCAACTGACTCGCACCAGGAACGCAAAGACAGACAGGGCAAAGAGCGGAACCGAGGCGACTGGTCCTGCACTGCACCAAGCTCAGACTTTCTGGGCTGCAAGAGCGGGCCGAGAAGTGGGCAGACAAGTGCAACGGGGATGCTTCGTACATGGTGAAGAAAAGAACAAGTGTTTGAGTCCGTGCAGTTTCTGCAGATGAAGAGCTACTTCATGCATGCTAATTGCCAGCGAGAGTCGACGTTTGCAAGAACCTCCACTCTAAGACAGCGTCGCCAGAGCACAAAGGTTCAAGGTCAATCTTGCCACAACGTCGCTAGAGATGCCGTGCGAAATCAAGCAGAAGTCCTTACCTGCCCACTCTAGTTCTGCTCGCCTTCACCGCCCCGTTCGGCTCCACGCTCAGATACCGCTCCCTTCCGGACACTTTCCCAGCGGTCCGAATCGAGAACCCGACGATCCGTTCGTCTGAAACCCTGGACCCCAAACCGTCTTCTTCTCCCCGCCGAGAAAGATGCGCGAGCAGCTCTTTCGCCGGGTTCCTTGCACCTCGTTCCTGCCCCGCGGAACGGAGTGCTTTTGCGGCGACCGGCTCTAGGGAGAATAGCGAGCAGGTCGCCGGAAACTGCACCGCCGGCTCGTTCGACTGCTGCAGCCGTCCGAAATCGTCAACGAATAAATACGTCTCGCCCCGACCAGTTTCTACCGGGGCCAGAACAAGAGTGCAAAGCCCGTCGCCGTGCGATCGGACCTCCCAGCAATCGGGCGGCCGAGACGTCGTGACGTTGACTGGCGTTCGCTCGGAGCCGTCGAATTTCGGAGCGCCCGCGAGAAAGCGCCCGTTCACACCCTGGATAAAGACCCTGGACCCAGACACGAGCTCCAGTGTGAATTGCTCCCAGGTCTGGGGCTGAGGCCGGTCGCACACGACCCGGCCATTCGACTCAACACCAACGTAGCTTCTCACAAATTCCCCGGGGGCCTTTCCCTGCTCCGACTTCACCACCTCCACAAGAAAGCGCCCATTCCCGTTTTCATCCGTGCACGATCCCCGGTCGCTCGGCCCCTCCTCACGGTCCTGCTTCGAGAGCTCGAGGGAGGGATCCCTGGGCAAGGTTTGGTGTAGGATTGCGACACGTGGCCACTTTGGGCACGTCAGATGAACCAGAAAGTGCTCTCTCCCCCGAGCATTCTCCCGGGGAACGATTGATAGGCCGCCGGATGGGTCGGCGCTAAGAATCTCGTCTTCGGACGCAGCAGAGATGGTGTTCCAATCGTTACTAGAGGAGGCATCGATCTGCGAAGGAGAAGAGACGGCTCGTGCTTCAGAGAAGGTTTCCAAGAAGCGTTGGCGAAGGATGCGTAAATCAATCTTCCGTCGAGAGTCCTCGACAGCGTTCAAAAGATTCCGGCTGATAAGGAAACCTTGCTTTTGGAAGGGTTCGCAGGTCCGAATCGAAACCCCGGAAACTGGAGGCCAAGAAAGGCTGTCTCGGGAGTCTGCACTTTCTTGTGGGCAAGGCTTGGCGTGGACGGAACCTGGGCGTGTCGAGCCCTCTTCATTTTCATGATCAGTCAGCGGAATTGACGGAATCTCCCGGTCCGGATCCGGGTCACAAACAGCTACCCCTCAGCAACTTAGTAGGGATTGAAAGCACGCAAGACTGTCAGCGACTGTCCTCAACCAAACAAGTAAGACTCCAAGTCCAGAGCTCGCACTTTTCGAGAATTTTGAACGCCTTTTCTCTTTCCAATCAAAAGAGAGTGAAGTATGAGAACGCACAAGCACTTGATGTCGTGGCTTTGCCGCCATTTCGTTCGTCTAAAGTCAAACGCACTCTGACCTCAGCCCCTTCAGAAGTGCAGAGCGAAAAGTAACTCACCTCCGAATCTGCTGAATCTCTCTGCGGAATCGGCCCGACTTGTAGAAGGAACTCCTCGCAGCAGCAGGGCACCTCGGCGTGCGCCGAAACGGTGGCGTGGGACGTGCAGAGGTAGCGGCCGTTGTGGCCACGCAGGTTGACGCGCACAGGCAGGGGCATCGGCCTGGGAGAGGCAACCAAAGAACTTGTTTAGAGCATTGCCCACTCTGGCTAGAAGAGTATTCAGAGACGAGTCAATCGCTAAGGTGTTATAGAGCACATATGCCTGACGACAGGAAATCTGCAGAAGTGATTCTTGTGCGAACTGCCAAGCATGTCTTACTTGTCTTTGAGGTGATTAGATTTTAGGAAGATAACCTGTAATACCTGTAGTCTGCAGAATGCGCAGAGACAAGGTTTCAGAAGAAAAGCTCAGGTGTTTATTGCAGTGGTATTAGGAGCTCAAGAATCCCCACTGCATCATAAAGCGTTGCTCTGTGAATTGTACAGGCTGAAGATTCAAAGCTGGGGCTGATGAAGAAGACAAGATTCTGAGAAGAGATGCGCTGAGAGTATATTAGTGAGGACCTTGGAAGAGTAAGTATCGAGTTGTATCGGCAGACACTAGCCCAATTGCTGAGCACCAGGATGTTGAATGCAAACAGAAAGCACAATTCCATTCATTCCCTCGAGCTCATGCCTTTACAAGATCCATCCACAATTCGGATTTATAGTAAATCGCCTCTGTGGAAAGATGATCTGATGGCCTGCCGAAGTCTTATTCACACCTGCTAGGGGAAGGCCCTGGTTGAGACGTTGGCAGCATTGTGAACCACTCCCACTTGCGAGGCCGAGTGGGCCCTGTGTAAATACGCCCCTGGGGGTCAGCCGAGAGGAACAAGTTCTCGCTTCCCCCTTGGAAGCAGACCCCTGGAAAAGGAGACAAACCAGTCAGAATTCTTATCAGAATCGACAAGTGTTATGGAAACATACAAGTTTAGGAGAAGCAGAGACTTGTGGATTAAAATTGTCCTGCAGCTCGGTAACCAAAGCTTCTGCAATAGAGGAAGGTTTTACAAAATGAACAGGTGAAGCAGGCGATCCAAGTAAAGCCTGTGGGCCAGCAAAAAGGGTCCTGGTACCTTCCCCTCAATAACAGCTTTTGAAAGAAGGGCAGAGACTGGGGGTCTGTCTGGAATCACAAAAGCATTGGCATGAGCATGAAAGCCGCAAAATCCTATAGTACCCCTCCAAATTCTTCATCACTGTAAGACCTCGGCACTACAGAAGAAGTGAGGGGCCAATGCAGGGATGCGTAAGTCTCTGAGAGCCAACAGAATCGTGCCCTGCAGTTGAGAAACTCAAGCAGGAAGTCCTAGCCGTTGCATTCAGCTTCAACATCAGAAGATTTCCATGGTCGAAGGTCGAGGATTCTGAGAAACCTCCGCAGATGTTGCATTGAGCTGAGCTCAAACCAAGTCATGAAGGCAACCATCGATTTCAACAAGGGATAGACAAAGGTCTTGAAGGCTTCCAGTCAACTTCCAAAGTTTCAGAGTTTGGGACAGCTAACAGACATACACAGTCAGATCTGATGCAAATGAACAGTAGCTTTAATTAGCTGGCCCACATTCAAATCAGGTCAGTCCCTGCCAAATCCTAAACCTTCTGTCTATGCACCAAACCTCAATTGGGTTCCTGAGGTCGTGCTAGGGATGCAGCATGGAGGCTCAGAAATCCAATGTGGTGCAAAAAGGCTATCGTGGTCTTCTCATGATTGCTGCCCAGTTGATTGATCAATACAGACCCCTTAATACTGATTGCTTTCAAGAGCCCAACGGAAATGGGAACGGGACAGTCACTTAGGCCTCGAAGAAACCCTCGATGCACGTCCTGAGTTGCTCATGATAGATGTAAGAGAACAATCAGTAGAGCGGAAAGTCTTACTGTTCCTGTCGGCAAACTGGATTGCGAACGCTGTGTCCAGCCCACTGCGCTGCTTCAAACCGACCCTCCTGCCCACAAAACCCAGAAACAAACCGTGGCCCAAACCCTGTCCCAAACCGTCACAGATCTGCAGATCATACTTCCCGTCTTGCCTTGGTTTCACAGCCAGAAGGCAGCTGCTTTCCTCTTCGAGCTCACAGGCAATCAGTGCTTGCGTCAGATTGAGACTGCTCTGGCACTCCTTGCTGCCGCCCCTATGTGCGTTAATCTGACTACGTCCAGCTGTGTCAAGACCTGAGTCACCGGTGTCAGAGCTGAAGCCATCGCCCAGCTCAGCGATGGAAACCCACTGGTCGCACCAGGACTTTAATCGCACACACAGATCTTCGTGCTGTTGCTCATGATTGGCTTTGTGACGATCCATGACTCGGATGCTTCAAATTTCTGAGGGGTTTGTTGCATTCTGCAGCGGATTATGTTAGAAGCATTGCAAATTGGATGACTCAAGCTCAAATGCCACAAGCTGAGCCTGGTTCAATCAGCTCAGAGGCGATCAGCTTGCCCATCGCTTGAGCAGACTTGTCGTTCAAAACCTTTGCACGGCTTTACGGCGCCCTCTCTCGCTGTGTACTGCACACTCATACTCTCAGAAGGAGAACCAAGCAGAGATGTTGGCAAGGAACTTGGGGAGAAAGCAGCTGTCCAAACAGAGCTCAGATCGATGCGCAGTTGCCCTCCCCCTTCTCTAATATTGATTACAACACTGTCAACAGCTCTCCTTCTCCAGGTAAATTCGCCCTCAGGAACCGTAATGGCGGGTGCACGGCGTGCACGGCGTGCACGAGATCTGTCTGAGCTGATTGTTTTGTTCCATGTGGCTCATGTGAACCACATGTTTCTCTGACAACCAATCCGACGCCCGCTTTTCGCTCGTGTCTGAACCGCCCTACCGTCTTAGGTGAACCGGTATTTGACGTCTGGGCGCTCCTTTACGTTCAAAAAGCGTTTTGGGGGGATGTGTACGTGACTTCGACTACGGTGTCGAGCTGACGTCTCTCAACCACCCCTTAGGATACCGATAACGGTATGGAGCTCCGGTCAAAGCCTGGCAACTTAATTTGCAGTTAAGCCATTACCGGATCTCAGCCCACCTAGTCCTAGTGTGCATCTGCGAACCATGATACCATCTCTAGATACGAACGCAGCGCAATGCAGACGTCCTGCTCAAAATTGAACGTGAAGTTGAACTTGAAGTTGTAGCGCGCTTCAATATTGACATCCAATGAAGGGCCTTCCAATCTGGAACACGTACATATTAGTCGTCTCCAATATCATATTGAAAGTGTTTATAAGATCCCATTTGTCGAACAGGATGATAGCAAATTTGAGCTTCATGCCCTGATGACTGAACCAAACGCTCCGGAATGAAGCAAGTTGGGCCCCCTTATCAGCAGCACCCCGACGTGGGCGCAGGGTCCATTGCCCAACCAGCATGTAATGAGGATCAGAGCAGCTTCAGAGGTGCTCAGTTTGCTTATCTCCCCCACTTCGTTCCGTCAAATCCTTATCCAAATTCGCAAGTGGGCAACGAAGGGACTGCATACCGCCCAGACGGGCTTCACAGTCAGCCATCGCAATGGGGCAAGCGGGCGCTGCCACCTGGCGCCATAGGAGCTCCAGGATTGGCGCCCCGTTACGGCGCTCCTCAGCTGGCAGGGAATGGCTGGGCCAATGATGGGCATGGGTGGAACGGGGCATCGATCTCAGGTGCTGATGTCAGCGGGCATCAGCCTTCCTGGGGGTTTCGTGATCACCAACCTCAGAATGCGGGGCTGTCTGAGCCCAGGTTTGGTTATGGGTTTGTTTCTGGGTCAGTGCGTGACAAGATCAAACTGGAGCCGAAAGCAGAGCCTGAGTTTGTGTCCAGTCGAAATGGGGGGTCAGCAAACTGCTCTTCTGTGAGGGGGGAAGTACCCTCTGATGTAAAGCAAGTGCAAGGGGACTTCAACACTGGGGCCTCGGACCGAAAGACTGGTTCCCAGTTCCAGTCAGATTGGCGGGAGAAGGGGGATTTCCAGAATGAAACGAAATCTCCAAAGTCTGAAACTCTTGGAGCGCAAGACCTGCCAAATAGCAGCTACAACAGAACTTATGCCCCCCACTTCAGGCAGGGGAACAAGTCAACCGGAGGGCTTGGTGTGAATGGGGACACCAAGGGCAATCACGATATGTTCATTACTAGTGCGAACAGGGACAAGAAGCTCGACCCTGCTCGTGTCAGCAATAGGGCGCTCGTTGTTTCTGCCCAAAATCGGGATATTGCTGAAAGAGCTGCCTCTGACGAGGAGATGGATCTAGACTTTTCTGGGGGGGCTTCAGGCAGTGATGATGAGGGGGGTTCCAAAGAGAGCTTCAACATAGCAGTGAAATCATGGAAAGACAAAGCGCTAACAGCGGGAGGGGGAAGCAAAAACCTGGTGGAATCGAGGAGGGATCTCCCCTGCCTCGTTTGCAGAAAGTTTTCCAACACCGTGCAAGTCTACCAGGACTTCCGGGCCTTACTGCAACACGCTGAGACGCACAGAAAGTTGGAGCCATTCCAACACGCTGCTTACAGTGCGGCGCTGAGGCAGATCGAATCAGAAGCGGAAGGGAATGGGAACGAGTTGGTCCCGGCGAAGAAGAAACTGAAGGTGCTGGAACCCCCTGAAAAGGTCTGGCCGCCAGTTGTTGTGGTAGAGAATCTGAGGACGGGGACTAAAGGGGGAAAGTGGGACGGGGTATCCGAACGGGAGATTAAGAAGGCGTTTGGAGACCAGGGGCCAATTCGAAAAGTGACGGAAAAGTGGAGGGGCGATGGGCACACAGGTGCGTTTAAGTTACTTTCTCAGGTTTGATTGTTTGTTTGTTCTTTGCTGTGCGTTTTTTCTTGCAGTTGATCCGATTATTCGTTTGTTCTTTGCTGTCCGTTCTTTTCTACGATCGATCCATCTCCTTGGCAGTCTGAAAAGTCCCTTGTAAACTTCCGTGCAGCTGAAAAGACGTGTTTGGTCACGGCCTGATTTGTAGCTAAAGCAGACGTCCGTTCTTGGATTGACAGACGCTATACTATACCAAAGTTTCACCAGGACCAGATTCTAAATATCGCTCCTGCAGGAGTGGTTCTTCTCCACTTCGAGTAAACGCGTGATGTTTATGACCAAGCTCACGATTGAGAACCATTTTTTCACAAACTGACGAACATTTTCGACTTTCAACTTCACCAAGACCGAGTCCTAACTCTCAATCTCGAGTCCTCCCCAGGCGTACTTCTTCCCACTTCGAGGATGATTGTTACAGGCACCACAGAGCTACAACCGTTCGTCCTCAGATTCACAGGCGCTACCAGTTTCTTAAGTCACCAGACTGACATGACCCTTAGTTCGTATCTTCTTGCAGGCGTGGGTCTCCTCCACCTCGACAGGATCTATTACGCTTACGACCGAGCTTTGTCAAACTGGATATAGTTCTTCGAGTTCTATGTCTGCCGAAACCGCATGTTGACTCGCATCTCCTCTTCAGGCGTGATTTTTCTTCGATTCGATCTGACCTGTTACATTTACACCGTTCATGGCTAAGTAGCCTCTTTCCATTTCCAACTAATGGATGGTCTACCCTTTTAGACCTGGATATCGAGCGCCTAGACACCTATCAATCGATACAGGTTCACCAAGATTCGTCTCTCACCCTCGGTCTCAATCCCTTCCCCAGGCATGGTTCTTCTTCACTTCGAGGAGACCTGTTACGGTTACAACCGAGCTCATAACTGTGTAGCCATGTTTTTGAACTTCGACAAACGCCACACCATTCTGAAAATCCGCCAAGACTAAACCCGGAGTCTGAAGTTATAACGCTACTACAGGCGTGGTTCTTCTTCACTTCGAGGAGACCTGTTACGGTTACGATCGAGCGCAGGAGATGGGCGAATGCTGGCGCGCGAAAGGGCAGGGGCGCGACGACTGGGAGAAGCTTCGACCTCCTCGGAAAAGATACGGCGAGTCGGTCGAATCGGAGCATGCCACGTGGCAACGATACATGCGAAGACTGGTGGAGGAGGACGGGAGCCGGCGGCTGTTCTGTTACCTTGCGACGGTGGCAGATATGGAGCGCTTTGAAGGGTGAGCAGTTGGACCTTCTTTTCATGTTTGATTTTGGAGCTTTTTCTTTCGAGAGATAGTGACTTTCCGATGTGCCAAGAACGGAGACTTCAAAAGCTCAGGTTTTGAGGGGTTTGTTATCGAGGGTCGTGTTCTGTGTTTTAATGATGTAGATAAGGGAAGCCAGAACGTGCCACATGCACTTCCGGCGAAAGAAGGTGATAGTGCCGACTGGATTTCGCTGACCCAAACGTGCTCTACTCGGCATGCCCAACTGGCTGAGAACGAAAGATCAGACTCTAAGTCGCTGAGGGAGATTATACGAAGTTCAAACAGCAAGTGTCTTTGACCACGGCCGACTAGTCGAACGTAAGAGAAACGTAAAAGCAGCACCAGCAATGAGCAGGTTCCGACGTTCTGAGACTTGAATCTGAGGTCTCGAGCAAACTCAAACGATTTCCCACTTCTCTTTGGATCCCTAGGAACCTTTTTGACATTTTGGGCACCTCTAATTCCCCGATGTCTTGATAGTTTCACTATCTTCTGAACGCGAGACGCCGTGCGTTTGTGGAAGGCCTTGGCTTTCACGTGTGCCCACTTTTTAGGATTTTAGGGTTTTAGGGAAACCCTAAAACCTTAAGAACCCTGAACCAAAACAGTCTTCTGTCCGGAATGCGCAGGAAGGAGAAGGGGAAAAGGTGGCAGCCCATCTCCGGCGAGGAACTAGAGGCGCGGCGAAAACGGGAGAAGAGCGCCGTACTGGAGGGCAATTTGGAGCACGCCAAGACGCGGCTGGCGAATCAAGAGCTGAAGCAGCGGAACGCGGAACTGACCAGCGCGATGCAGGAGAAGGAGGTGGAGCTGCAGGCGGTGCGCATGGAGCGCGCACACCTCAACGAGCAGCACGAGCAATGGGTGAGTCCATGCATCATCGAGTTTCAGCATATTAGCGTCCACGTTTGTGTAGTCAGGGGAGTTGGCAACGTTTGTACGTACGCTGCATTCCTTGCCAGTCCGAGAATCCAGTTTCGGATCTGCGTGAACTACCCTCACCGAAAGCAGGAGCGCGCCTCGTCCAAGCAACGGAGACAACCCCTCTTCCCAATCCTCGCGCTGCAATGTTTGACATCCGCTTTTCCAAGATCCAGGATTCTACTACGTCTGGTTGTGCAGGTGCGCGAGCGGCTGGCGCGCAGCGAGCAAGTGCACTTGGAGGAAAAGCGCGCGGCGCAAAAGCGGGCCGACGAAGAGAAAGCGGCGCTTGAGGCACGACTCGAGGAGATGCACCGGGCCAGAAGGGAGGACCACAAAGCGATGGCGGAGCTGAAAAGTGGAGCTGAATCGTGAGACCCTTCACTGTTTGGTTGTTTATCCTTTTTTCAATCATGTTGGGGTCTCGATCTTCGTTGACTTGGAAGTTCTGGGGCAATCTTGAGGCGCACCGATTCAGAAGGGAGATCCGCAAAGCAACAGTGGCATGATTTGAAACACAAAGAGTAAAACAGTGTCAATTCTCAGTTTGTCTGACGAGTCGCATGCATCCTCGATCGAGCATATAAAGAGGGCACGGAGGGGAGAGCAAAGCGACGGAGGTCCGGGTGGGCTTGCAATGTCTACATGCTTGACAAAGTTTGCAGATTAGCAACGTGTTGAGCTTTCTCCTCTTGTCCCTTTAAGTCAAGGGTCTGGTGACGATTCCTCTTTCAAATTTTGTTTTCATTCTGCTAATTGGGAAGCTCAGTATCACTTTTAAGGCGCCAGATGTGCACGTCCCCGGGCCTCGAACCACTTGACGCAGAAAGGAGCAGGTTCCTCGTGACCAAGCAAAGCTACAGGAACCAACCCACGAATCCCGAATCTCAAAACTTCAAAAGTCCCTTTGAGCAGGCGCGAGCGACAGCTGCCATACGAACGTGAGACGGGTCTTACAGCGATGGAACGAAGATGAAAAGGTTTCTCTAAATAGGCACCGTGAAAGAACAAACTTGAAAATTGTAGTTATCGGGCCCTGTTACCTCATCATACTTTCGTGTAGCCTTGAGCACAGCTGTTAGGCGGATTTGAGACGGGACTCAAAGCGATGGAATGGAAAAGAGAAGGTGCCTCTAAGAACTTCCTCTAAGAAGCATGGTTACGATTGAACCTTTTTTTTTTTGAGGTCCTGGAAACGGATTTGGTCTTCCAAAATGAGGACTTCCTCAGCGTATGCTTGCGTACCCGCAAGCGCCAGCTGCGACACGTGTTTGACAAAGCTATAAAAATGGGACAGAGAAAGTTCCTGTGAATAAGCATGGCTAATAACAAAACGCAGTTTTGAAAATTTGCACGCCTAATTTTCAATGTATCCTTACGCAGCCGGGAACGTCAGCTGCGGCACGTGTTTGAGACGGGGCTCAAAGCGATCGACGCGGAGTACAACGACAAGGAGAAGGTGCTCGTGACGCGCACCGAGGAGCATCTGCGGCAGGAGCGCGAGCGGCTGCAGGCGTGAGTGGTGCTGACGTCATCGTTGAAAGCTGTCTGACGTCACTTCGAAAAGCGTGGTAAAACTTCCGAGTGGATGTGCAGTTGCAAGTGGAAACGAGCCAGAAGTCGAAAGGGGAAGTCAGCTGGACCCGCCACGCTGACGTCAGCAAGCCTTCAGGAGTGGGCCTCTTTTGATCTCGGTTCTCGATTCGATCTTGTTTGTTGAGTAGCACGGCGGAAGGAGAAGGTGCAGGTGTGAATGACGTTGACGTGCGACGTCTTTCAGGTTCGTTGCTGATGTCAGCAAGCCTTCTGGGGCCTACTGGGGCCCAACCCCTGCAAGGTCTGCTTCTCGTTCTGCGTCCAGAACAGCGGGAGTTAATGAAGGAGGTTGAGCCCCCTGCTTCTTTCCCTGCATTTCCTCCTTTATTTTCCAATTATTCTCAGCACTTTCTCCTGATGATTCTAGTCACAGCTAATCCCCACTTTTGCTGTCTTCGCAGGGAGAAGGAGGCTGCGACCCGTAACCTGCTCGCAGAACAGCGGGAGAAGATGGAGGAGATTGAGCGCGAGCGCGCGCGCGCACAAGAGATGATGGAGGAGGCCAAGAAGCTGTACGACGCGCAGAAGATGCGGGAGAAGGACGGGCAGGAAGAGGTGATTCCCCACTTTGAGGACTCAAGTTGTTTGCATTTTTGACAAAAGAAGAGAGAAGCGCGGGAAAGTGAGGCGCATTTCATTCGGGAAGGTCGAGAGTGGGAGGGCAGATGGAGCCGAGAATTGCAAGGAGTCGCCGTCGAGGCTTTTAGAGCCCCTGAAGGTTCGCATGCATATCAGCCTTCCGCTTTTATACGCTACTGAAAGGAAGAAGATAGGATAATGAGGGAAGGCAGGAGGAGGGGAATGACAAATTGTTAGGATCTGATTCCGGTACGACCTGTCCTGATCCGGGCTCGCTTTTGCAGGTCGACGAGCGGAATGAGTGCGGCATATGCCTAGAAGACTTCGGTGACGAGCTAAAGCGGGCGGTCATGGCGTGCGGCCACGCAAAGTATTGCAAGGCCTGCTCGGAGGCTTACTTGAAGCTTCAGAAGCCGCCGTACAAGTGCCCAGTGGGGCATAAGCTGCGCAACAAGATGGCGCTGGAACTCTGTCTGTGATAGAGTCGTTTGAAGGTCACGGCGAGGTTCAGCCGCCAGCTCCATCGGTCGCGCGAGGAGTTTTATACTCGTAGATCGAGATGGTGCGTTGTACTGTTGCTGAAGCAGATCGTCCTGCAGCACATTCGGAACAGATCGCAAAGAGTGCGCCCTACTGCCCCAAATCGCCAACGAGTCGATCTCACAATTGTGTTCGTCAAAAAGGTTTTCTGTAGTAAGGGCCCATGCTGTACCGTACAGAGCATGTTGTAAACAAAGTCATGCACTGAGTAGTTTCAAGTCGTAGATGTCAATTGCCTACCGGCACTACATATCGCTCCTGCATCCCAGTTCTCCCCGTTGGTGTTTTGCCTGGGTATATCTTGTCAATTTTATTGAACATGTGTATACCATGTTCGCATATATCATTGCAGTTCAATTTGATGACTGGTCACTGCGCCGATCACTTACTAACGTCTCAGTACGTCTACATATTCTTAATGCAGATGATGTCGGAATGATCGACTCGATCTTGGATCGGCTTGAATGCATGCACTTGAGCTATGTTGCGCATGCACGCGATCCGCAGTACCATCATTGCATGCATGACAAGGATCATTATCTCCGGATCTGTGGGCGGCTGCACTTTTGCAAGAACGGACTCATGTCATTTGGAGATTCAAAGATCGTGTACGTTTCATCCGCTGCAGTGCATCAAAGGTAGACCGGATATATCACAATCGACTGATGAAAATACTTCATGCACCTCAGTGACCGATCATGGCTTCATTTCCAATGAGCCTGGTCTGACTGCCACGAATGAATGAGTGATCAGACGCGACAGTGCTAAGCATGGCGGCAAAGTCACACGTCTTCAATACCGGATAGCTATTCCCTGAAGTCCAAGATAGCCCGCAGCTTTTCCACGTGCGCCGCGCGCGTGCCGAACGCCGGGCTGCCAGCTGGCAGCCAGTCCCTGTCATCCAGCACCGGTCCGCTTCCCGGCCGGAACACCAGCATCTCCCCCGCGAACTCCTCCGTGATGACGTGTAACGACACCCGGATGACATCACCCAGAGCGAGCGCCGCGCTGGGGGCGTACGCCACCCGGCTGAAGCTGGCTCCCGGATTGACCAGGGGGCGCAGAAACCCGGAAATGAACCCCCCATTTCGGGTGAAGAAGAGCCCGGCCTTTTGGACGGTCTCGATCGCGAGGAGGGCGGAGAGGAGCGTGGAGACGACACGTGGATTGGATGACGTCAGTTGGGCGACGCCGAAGGAGTCTTCCTTGCGGGAAGCGGCGGTGAGGGAGGAGGCGGCACGCGCGCCCCAGGCGCAGATCTGTGCATAGCGGAGAGATCCGTTCGGATTAGATTCGTTGACGTTTCACTTGACTGCCCGGCCCCTTTGCGAAACGGGACCCAACAAGCTGGTGCCAAATTCTTTGAGCGACCCGGTAGGAGCCGCTGTTTCCAGGACGGTGCAACTTCCGGTTTCGCCGAACAGTAACTTGCGGGCCAAAACAAAGCCGCCCGGAACAGTTTTCAAGGAAGGAGGAGTACATCATTTTCGCAGCGAAGCTTTTGCAATCATACTTGCACGTCACCTGAGAGGGTTGTCTACAACAGCCTCTTCGCCCGCAGCACTTGTCACGTACGCCGTCGCAGAGCATTCGTGGTCTAATAAAGCCTAGGTGTGTTGGCCTTGGCTCTTACGCTCGACGCTTCAAGGCTTGTCGCCCTCAGCAAAGAACTGGCCGAAAAGCAGAAGCGTGAAAGTCACTGACCTGGAGGTCTCGGAGGATTTCTTCCGGGTCTCCCCCCCTTCTTTTCGTTTCCCTGGCTGCTGCCCCCATCTGCAGCTGAAACTCCCCCGGCCTAGTTCCCGACCCCCCTCGCCCGTTGCCCCCACCCACCGCCAATTTCGCTCCTTCTATTACCCCCTCCACAGGCTCCAGACACAAGTCAATCACTTTCTTATAGCTCGTCCCCGTCTCATCTCGGAAGAACGCAGCGCGGCGCCACTTGTCGACGCTCCGTTCGGCCACGTAGCACAGGTCGAGGAACGCCAGGTGGCGCGCGAGGGGTTTGGGGTTTCGGAGAGCGGTCAGGAGGGCGTCGGCGGGGGCGGTCTCAGTAGAAATGGTGCCCGGTGGGGGAGTAAAGTAGTGACGCTCAGTGAGGATAATCTGACAGAGGGGGAAACAGAAATGAATGCAGGTAGGGGGGGGCTTAGGCATTGAAGGGGGGCCCAATCACCACTTGGTGAGTCTGATCTGAGGGGGGGAGAACGGACAAAAAGAGAAGCGAACGCAGCTGAGGCGGCCTTCGGATCAAACCGGGGCCCGTCTGCTGGGGCCGAAGTGGAGCATTTTCGCTCCCGTGCAAAGTTGCGGACGGAGCAGAGCTAGGTCCCGTTCCATGACCGGATTTGGGAAACATATTAATGGACTCTGCAGAACTTGCTTCGAGATTATGAAGACAGCCTCCGTACAGCTCGCACGACCTCGAAGCTCCGTTCTTGTGCGGCATTCTAGTCCCAAGCGAGGTACTCTGCTGCTGCCCAGTTTCAATCTCGGCTTGGGGCCTATGTGCCTGTGAGGGGTTGTACAAATTGGTGTCAACGTGCCTGCTGCTATGTGCCACTCAGACTCTGTCCACCATCTGCCGTTCCTCGGAAGAGCAACGCTTGTCTGCGATCTTGACGCTTACCTCCGAAAATCGTCTCATCAGGACCAGCCTTGCAGGGACGCGAAACCTCCAGTTTGAGTTGATGCACCCCACCGAAACTCAACTTCTTGCCCGAGCTTAGTCAAATCCGAATTCGAGCAGAGAAGTAGCTAAGGGTTAGTATAACCGAAGAAGCTCCCTCACCCTTGCGACGCTGCGCCCCAGTTCCCAGCAGAACGCCGTCAGCGTCCCGACCATAGCCGAGAGAAGCGCCCGTTCCAGGAAAGAACCAATCCTAGCTGCTGATGACGGGTGGACGCGGTTCAGCAGCTCCCAAAAAATGAGCGCAGCTGTAGTGACGGAGAGGGAGAGGGACGCGGCGGGCCGGAGAGCGAGCTTCAGACGCTGGTACCAGGGACGCTGAGAGAACGAGGGGAGTCAGAGTTTTATACCACACAAGAAAGAGACACGTTTTCCAGTGGGTTCTGCGGTAGTATAATATGCGCGTGTTGTATGTTCTTCTCAACCTGCTGATGTGCTTGCCTGGAGAAAGAATGTGATCACTGAGAAGGATTGTGGCTGCCCGCATGAGAAAGACTATGTTGGGTTCGTGTAAATAATTCCAACCGAGCTGGCCTTTGGGGTCATGGCCGGGGCTAAGACGGAGAACTTTCAGCCAAATATTCGGAAATCGCTGCACAAGTGACAGCAGATTATGGTTCGACTGCCTGTTGGCCTACATCTCTGTAAGGGTCCACATTCGACTTCTTCGTGAATAGTACAGCATAAAGCACCGAACTTCCTTCCATACCATCCCAGTCAAAACAGGACGTTAGCCCATAGAGAAAGTAATGCAGTGATGCAACCCGACTACAATGGGAAACATCCTGCACCAGACCTGACTAACGTATTAGTTGTAGCGTCACAATTCTCCTCAAAGAACAATTGAAACACCAAACCTCCATCTGCTCAAAGCAAGTTTTTCCTCACCTGAATTGGAGGGAAGCGAAGCACATAGTGCTGTGAGAGGAGGACCTGTGCCGCATACAGCAGGCCTAGACCGGCGCCAAACTGTATTGCCCATCGGACATCAGTTTGCGACGCCCCCAGTCTGAGAAGACCGACCCCCAGCACACTTAGTGCGCCGCTCGCCGCCACCAGAAGAAGGAACACAGTCCGCCTAGCTGAGATGGCGAGCTTTCTCCATCCCCCGTCTAGTTGCTTCACCTTTTCTTTTGGCGCCCCCAGGATTACGCTCAGCGAAGATGAGGTCAGCAGCTGTAAAAGCTCCTGGGCTTCAATCCCTGGCGAGTGCTCCGGCTCGGCGACTGTGCGGAACGATGCTAGAAACAGCAGCTGAGCAACTAGAAAGAGGGAGAATCCTGCCCAGAAGGAAGCGGAGAGTGGCGCGAGGAGGGCGGACCAAAGGCCGGACTTCAAGCAGGCGGGCAGGCACCATGTAACTAGCGCGAGAGAGGAGAAAAGGGCATGGAGCGCTCCAATGCGAAGCCAGCGGCGAATCTCCACGTCAGAAAGAGCGCCACTGGGCACCAGCGCTGACATGGCGGCACTCTGTTGCCAAAGACCACTGCCGCTCAATTGCCTATAATTGCAACATTGTGGACAATGGGTGCTGAATTCAGCACAATGGCCACTTAATTACATATCTCCGTATCACCACATGCGCAGGCCTCTTTGTCCTAACTCCTACTCGAACAGTCGGATTCATCCGAAACCCATGCCCAAGAGGGACGCCATTGTGCAATGTAGGCGCTCCCCCCCCTTGCGAAGTGTCTTGGCTGAAACCCCGCTGTGTTGTTGCTGCATGTGGGTTTTGTCGTTGGCAGCTTGCCAAATTCTATGTGGATCCAGCATTACCAACCTGACACTTATACGACATATTCAATATTCATTTAGCCCACTTGAGGCAATTGGCAGTGTCAAAACGGTAAAGATTCCTGCAAAATTTCGATGCCACTGCCACATAATGATAGAGCGGGTGATCATCCGACAATCTGGAACACTGATGCTCTTGATGGGCCTGTCACACTGTCTCTAGCTCATCAAAAGCAGGAGTCAGGACGCCTTGCGATTTCTGGGCGTCTGAGCACTTTCACAATTTGGTAAACTGCCAAGACATTTGTTGATCAATTTGTGCCCTTCGACACAAGAGCGCTCACAATGGACTCGCCCATGGAGGGGGTTGAGGAGTTGGCGTCAGACGATTTCTTCGCAGGGACGCTGCAGCACTTCAAGAATTCGGAGCGCATTGACAACCAGCACTTGTGTGCGGTTATCCTGGCATTGTCTGAGGTCATCAGAGAACAGGGGCTCAAGCCGACGGCGACCGCTTACTTTGCAGCAATCATGGCGTCGTTGGAAAGGAGACAGGTGGGGTTCCAGTTTGTCAAAAAGAAAACTTTCAACCGTTGTTGAACTTGATGGTCGTTCGAATTGGAACGTGGGTTGAGACGTAGGAGTTGGAGGCCCCCTTCAAAATCATCGTTGGATGGGGCGAAGGCATGAAAGGGTGGTGTAGTCGAGCAACAAGCTTAGACTTGGTGGTGCTTTTCCAAGTTGGCCAGGTATCAAGATTAGGGTTTGTGCACACCATTACCAATCTGATGAAGATGCAATGAGGGGTGGTGCAATCAGCGCGCTACATTTTAGTGTGACCAACAATCTTTGTCCGTCCCGGCTTCCCGTCTCGAATGGCGGGGCCCTCTCTAGGCCCTATGTCTTGGAAGCTCGAGAGAAGCCTATTCTGCTCGTTCTCAATCCTAAAAGTTTCTGCCTGTGGCCGAGTGCTGTTGCAGCGGCCCAACCGTACGCATCACTTTCTATTGCCACTTTTGGGCTGACTTGAAGCAAGACCCCAAATAAAAACCTATTAAGTCCGCCTTTTAAAACCCTTCCTACAGGCCCAGGGCAGCCTTGACGTCCTCTTCGCCACCGTGTCCCTTCTCGCTCTAGTTCTGCCCAAGCTCCCCCAGGGCGTCCTGCGGTCCAAGCTGGACGCTTCGCTGGCGGTCGTGTCCGAGATTGTGTCCGAAACCAAGGGCGGAGAGTCGGGGGCGGCGCAGGGCGTCGTAAAGGCGGGGCTTGGTTGCTTGCAAACGCTGCTGCAAGAAGCGGACCATTCCAAGTGGCTGAAGCTGGCGCGTCCGTTTGGGCTGTCGCTGCATTACTGCACCGATGCACGCCCCAAGGTGCGGGAGCTCGGCCTTTGGAATGCTTGACCTGGGTTGTCCTGCAGTAGCATTGCGCATTGCAAGCTGGGTGAATGGTTCCTCCAAAATGGGAGGCCGTTGCTACGAGTTAATGGTTTCTGGTGGACGGATGTTTGTAAAGGGATGGCTGCTTCCTCGAATTGGAGTTGCTTGTGCGGACGTTCCGTAGAGAGGCTTCCTTTGGGAAACTCTTGCTAGGCCCTCATTTGCAGCACCTCCGCTGAGTACCTCGAAAGTGCACAGAGGCAGACGCGAATCACCACTCATTTCAAGCTCTTCCACTATGTGCAACAACCTGGATTATTAAAACCCAACAGCTTTAATTTTGAAAGTACTCTGAACTGAGCGTCCGGCACTCCAGGTCCGAAAGCGCGCCCACCTCGCCGTGTCCGAAGTCCTCTCCAGCCTCGCCGGCACTCCTTCCCTCGCCGCCGCAAGCGATTCCGTCGACGCCTTCTGCGATAGCGTTCTCACCGCGGCCACGAGCGGCGCTCCTTCGGAAAGCGCCACGTCAGCCGCCTCGTCAGCGATGCACCTCCTGGGCGGCGTCCGGAGCTTCCTCCCGAGACTGTCCGGAAAAGCGTCCGGAAAGCTCATGCAGGTGATTCACAGTGCTTTTATTCCCCGTCTAGTTCTCTCGCCCTCTGTACCAGAAGTTAGTGACTAGTATACCTGTTCTACTTCAAGGATACTCCTGGATTGTTGGTCACGGCTTCACGGTGCCACCTCATCGGTCGACTCTTTGCACTGTTCAAGTCTGTTGGAGAAAGGTTTCATTAATTTGTGAGTTTCTGGTAATCACGATTATTGCGAAGACTGATAATACCAAGTTTTGGGTTTGAGAAGCTCAGTGTCTGACCCTGAACATTCGCAACTCACCTTGGTGCAGCGGCTAGTGTCCCTGCTCGCGCTCCAGCAGCCAATCATCTCGCGCCACGTCATCGACGCCCTGGACGCCTACGCCAGCGAGGACGCTGACGCCAGCGCCGACGCCGGCGTTTTGGCGGACGTCCTCGGACGGGTGCTCGAGCTCTCGGACGCCGAGAAGCTCTCGGGAGACGAGTCGGCCGCCGTCGCGAAGTTGATCGAGAAGGGCTACGCAAAACTCTTCCGCGCCGACCCGGCGCTCGGTGCGAAAAGGCTCCCGGGGGCCTTCCACGCGCTTGCGGCGGGGCTGGCGTCGGAGCGTGAGGAGCTTATTTTCACCACCGCAGAGTCGCTCCGTGCGCTGATCAACGGGTGCATCGACGATGCGATGATTCGGCAGGGGTTGGCGGAGGGCAGAACGGGCCCGAGCGAAATTGAGCGGGTGTGCGTGTGTTTGGAGGGAACGCTGGGGTATCAGTATAGGGGGGCGTGGGATATGGCGCTCCTAGTGGTGGCGGAAATGTACCAGAAGCTGGGGCCGGCGAGCTACCAGCTTATGTATAAGACGACGCAGACGCTTGGTAAGTCGGCTTTTGATGAGACTGTTGGTCTGCATATGTGAACGATGTTTGGGATAATGAGAGAAATGAATTTGAGTGCCTAAGGCTACCTTGGCGTTTTGAGGACGGGAAGAAGATGGTGAAGAAAAATTTCTGACGAAATTGGGGTTTTGAGTCTCATTTCAACGGCTTTGGATTTTATAGATGATCTGGCATACAGTTTTTCAAAGACACTTTCCGGACCGTTACGACTTTCTCTGAATCAGCCTCCGTCCAAACAGCTCACCTCAATTGCCGAACTTTCGTGCCGTCAAAAACCCGGAAAAACAAGGTGAACGTGACCTCCTTTAATCGTCTTTTCCGCATTGACAGGCGAGCTCCAGGCTCTCGAAGACGAAAACATGCCATGCCGCCCTCAACTACACGCCGCAATCGGCGCAGCTATTGAGGCGATGGGCCCCGAACAGCTGCTGTCGATCCTGCCCCTCAATTTGGACGGCCCAGATTTGTCCAAGGCGAATCTGTGGCTGCTGCCAATCCTGGAGAAGCACATAGTGGGAGCGCGTTTACACTGGTTCGCCGACCAGGTGTTGCCCCTGGTGGGAACGCTCTCACAGCGGGCGGCGAAAGCGACGGCGGAGGGGCGGCCGATTGCGGCGCGAAACGCGGAGGCATGCGCGACGCAGGTGGGTGGAGAAACGATCTGCAAGGCAACCGTAACGATATGTTCTTAGGACATCACGAATTACGAATTTCTTTCTTACGAAGAAAGAAATTATGCGCATTGGTTTGTTCTGGATTACTGGACTGCTGAATGGAAATGTGAGCAGTAGCAACAACAATTGTCAGAAGTCAAAAGCGAAGTCAACCTCGGGCCTGTCCAACAATCGAAGCATTGCTCTTCCGTGGCTCCGAACTCATTGAGCTCTGATGAGCCAAACAATTCTAACGACCCTGGTTCCCGGTAACTTCATAGGAAAACCCACTTCACATCCTGGGGAACTTGTGTTGAAAGAAGGCGGTCGATCGAGATGTACGACCTCCCTGTGGCCGCAGGCAAATCAGAGCTTGCGAAGGTCGGTGCCGACTTGTGGCAAAACTGACGGCCACCGGTCGTTTCGAGCAGACGCTTTGGAGACAATCTCTCCGGAAAAACCAGTTTAGAACAAAACCCTCCCCTTCTCTCGCTGCAGCTGTGGGGCCTCCTTCCCGCCGTCTGCAACTACCCGGTTGACGCCCCCGACTCCTTCAAGTTCCTCGCAAAGCACCTCGGGACCGCTTTCAACGACCGTCCGGAGCTTCGGGGGGTAATCTCCTCCTCCCTCCAACACCTCATCAAACAGAGCAAACAAGCGCGCGATGCCCCCGCCGGGGGGGCGGATGCGAGCGACTCCGAAACCCCCCTCAGCGCGTCGGTTCGACGGGCGCGCGCGTTTTACACCCCAACAGTTGGCGCCGCGAACCTAGCGGCGATAACGGCGTTCACGAGAAACTTTCTCCCCCTCTTCTTCAATGCCTTCGTCGCGTCCCCCCCAGAAAAGCGCGCGGGAATTTTTGCGGCCGTCGAGGCGTTCGCCTCCGTAGCAGACCCGGCGCAAGTGCGCACTTTCGCGGAAACGATGATGGTCAAGCTCCTCGAAGCCACGCGCGACGCCGAGGCCCAAAAGGGGGGGGCGAAAACGCCCGGCGAAGCGGCCCCCATGAACGTGGACGGCTCCCCCGCCGCAACCCCCACCGCGCGGCGCTGCACGTTCATGGAGCTCGCCGTGGCGCTGACACCTGGCATGGATGACGTCAGCGTCGGGGCGCTCTACCGGGCGGCCCGCCCGGCGGTTATGGACCCGGAGGCGCCCGTCCAGAAGAAGGCGTATAAGCTATTGGCGCGGCTCTGCGAGCTGCGGCCGGCGTTCCTACGCGCGCAGGGGGCGGACCTGTTCGAGCTCCTGATGACGTCACAGGCGGGGTGCGCGAGCGCGGCTCGGCGCGCGAGGCTGGCGTGCCTGCGCCACGTGGTCGTGCTGATGACGACGGAGGGGGCGGCGGAAAAGGACGAAGCCATCTCGGCGCTGGTGAGCGTTGCTCGTTTGGTTGCTTGCTGTCCTTCTCTCCCACTTTGTCTTCCCTTTTCTTTTGTTTCGCCTGGAGTTTGCGGTGAGCGCCGTTGTCAGGCGTGCGTTTGCTTGAGCGAGTGTGGCATCAATGAAAGACGTGCGTGCTTTTTGTTCCCGCGCATAGATTGCTCTGAGCATGGTGGTTGCTTCGCCTTAATAGAGCATGTGAGATACCAAGCATAGGACAAGAATTCACTGCGAATATCAGATGCCAGGCATCCCCTCTATGTTGGCTTCCTTATTGATCCCGCAGCTGAACCTCTTGGTAGATTCCGGGTTCCCAGGTCGTTCTTAGATTTTGTGCCGCTTGTTCCTTTCTCGAAGATACGAATCACTTACAGAACCGTTACCTTTTCCTCTTGCAACAGGTGAGCGAGATCATCATCGCGACCAAGGAGGTAAACGCTAAGACGCGCAACGCCGCGTACGAGCTTCTGGTGACCATCGCGCGTGCCGCCGAGAATCCGGAGCTGGGTGGCTCGCAGGAGGCGCTCGTGCGCTTCTTCGGTGTGATTGTGGGCGGTCTGGCGGGAAGGACGCCGCACATGGTGAGCTCGTGGCACCAAAGTTCCTGTTCTCTTCAAACATAGCCTAGCATTATTTTCAAACATGAGCAGCAGTCATTGAGTCCTCGGAGCTTAAGCTTGACCTTGAGGTTACATCTCTTGATCTCACTTTATAGCTGCTTGGACATGGAGTCTGACAAGGATTTCTTATTGTGAGCTCTGAAGCTCGTAAACCGATTGTTTCAAACCCTAAATGCAACCCCTCGTCTACCTCCGTAATGCAGCGCATCCGTAATCACGCTTGCTCGCCTGTTGTGCGGGGTCTTTACCCCTGCTCAGCGACATCTTCTTTTGCCAAACCTACAAGTAGCATGAACTGGTCAGCCTACGTTCTGCGACCTTCCACTTGAACTCCACCTCTCCGTCCGCTGATTAGCGCATCTTGGGGGCTCTGCTCTACCTTGTCTAAACCACCGAAAAGCATCACTCACCCGCCTGAGTCTTATAATTTCCTACCCTTGTCTCTTACCCCTGAGACCTCCGTCCGCAGGTCAGCCCGTCGGTGGTTGCCCTGGCTGGCCTGCTCTACGACTCCACCTGTTAAGATCCTCGAAGTTAAAGGTCTGTTAGCCTCATTCCTTGACCTCTTAACCTGCCTCTTGACGCTACTTCTCAACCTTGCCCCTATTCATTGCAGATCAGCGCATCGGTGGTGGCCCTGGCCCGCCTGCTGTACGAGTTCTCCACCACTCTGTCGCACACCATCCCCGACCTGCTGCCGTCCGTGCTGCTCCTGCTGCGCACCAAGTCGCGCGAGGTCATCAAGAGCGTGCTCGGCTTTGTCAAGGTGCGTATATCCTCTGTTTCCTGTTCTTTCTGGTCTAACTTTGTCTCTTGTCTCTTCTTCGTGACTTTCTCTTGCTTTTCTAATCTCTTACAAGTGTTGCTTTCCGTTCTGCCTTCTTCCTCTTTCGGGTCTGTGTCTGTAGGTATATCCCTAAACTTCTGCTGTTCCCAAATCTGGTCGTCGTTTCCCGTTATCGCCGGTCCCTCCATTCACAATCCACGCCTTCTAGGGCGGACTCACTGGTTCATGTGCAGTTTAGCATAACTTGTGTGTTGCCCCTTTTCTAGTCCCTGCCATAGACTTTGAAACGAAAACAAGAGCGACTTTATTCTTTAGGGGAGCAAGGCAACGATGAGTAGCAAACGAATGCGCTTGTGACTTTTGCAGGTCGTGATTGCTCGTCTTCCAGCAGACGATCTGGTACCCCATCTGCCTGATTTAGTGGAGGGTCTGCTCATCTGGGCCGAGGACTCCAAGAACCACTTCAAGATGAAGGTGAGCCGCCGTTCCGCCGGAATTTTTCCCCTCACTGTTTGAAGCATGCGGGACACAAACTGGATCGCTGTAGGTGCATCCCACACTCCGTCATTCGCATGGTAGGTGCCAGGTATGGGACGCACCTACAAATACATTCTCGGATTGTCTGCTCTATTCGTACTCGGCCGCTATGCCAGCCGGCCAGCAGATTGGTCCAAAAAGAAGCCGAATCGACCGTCGTTGCTCCCACTACAGTGAAGCTTTCGTAAACTTCTCTCTTGACCTTACTGTAAGTCATGAAGAACATACCTGCTTCGTTGAAGCCAGGCTTTCCGGTTCCTACCGGGTTCTTTGTTTTTGGCTTTCCTCTATGGAAGAAGGATCTGTATGGACGACCTTTCCATACCTTTCGCTTACACCTGGTATCAACCGGGCTGCGGCATTGTGCATGGGCGTCACCATTATACTTGCTGACGTCACCCCTTCGCTCGCTGCAGATCAAGGTCATCTTTGAGCGGCTCGTGCGGCGGTGCGGATACGAGGCAGTTGCGGCGGTAACCCCTCCAGCACATCAAAAATTGATCACCAACATCCGGAAAACGCGGGACCGCCTGGAGCGGAAGAAGCGCGAGAGTGAGGTCGGTTCCGTCAAGAGCGGGGCGGAGTCTGCCAGGGGCGGAGCGGAATCCGTCCGGTCCAAGGCGCTAACCAGAGCGGCGACCGCGAGAAGGTCGGAGTGGAGCCACGGGGATGTGTTCTCGGACGATGACGAGGAAGGGTTTGGAGGTTTAAGCGACGACGGTGCGACGACGGTCGGGGGCGCGCCGGGGGACGGAGTGTCTAGGGGTGGCACGCTGGCAACACGAGCGGCGAGGAAGGCTAGAAAGGTGCGGAGTCGCCTGCCGGAGGAGGACGAATCTGGGCCGTTGGATCTGCTGGACGTGCAGCGGACGCGGAGATTAATGTCGGCGCCCGGAGGGGGGAGGAGAGGCGAAGAAGAGGAGGGGGGGTTCGAGGAAGATCCGGAGGGGAGGCTGATCATTGAAGAGGAGAAGAAGGGACGGAAACGGAGGCGGGACGGGGACGAAATGGAACTGGATGACGACGATTATATCGGCAGTCAGAGCGGGAAGAGTAATGCGCGGAGCAGGAAAGGGGGGGACGCCCGAGGGGGAAAAGCGAAGGGGGAGTCGAAGGTAAACCTGTCGAACAAGGCGCGGAAACTGCAGGACGGGAAGAGGGGCTTTGCGATGGGCGGGGAAGAGTACCGGGCGGGCAAAGGAAAGGGCGGGGGCGACGCGCGGGGGAAGAAGAAGCTGGAGCCGTTTGCGTATTGGCCGTTGGATCCGAAGATGCTGAATCGGAGGGAGGGGAAGCGGGCCGACGCGCGGAAGGGAATGGCGGACGTGCTGAAGACGGGGAGAAAGAAGAGGGGGGTCGGGGTAGATAAGAAGCGGTCGGGGATAAAGAAGGGGCACAAGGCCCACAAAAGAAAGTAGGTGTCTTGGTGTCAGAGTTCAGGGTTCAGGAACGAACACGCGGCACTGAGGTCAAGTTTCAAGGAAGGGGAGTCAGTTGGAGTACAGGCTTGGCATCCGTTAACGCACAATACGTGCAGCTGTGTTCTGGGTACGTGTCGCAAGAATAAACTGGTTGTCTATTGGTGATTAGTACCGATCATCGCCTTGTCGGACTCGCTCTTTCATGCGTCATGTCCGCTCTCATCTGCGGGTCGGGCAGCTAGGCCCGGCCGCCATACGTGACATGATTTATCCTCCAAAGAATGATCATAAACGGTTACGTGAGTTGCATTGCAAGAAGCATTTTGCGTACAACCCTACATAAGATCATGACAGGGTCCTACTAACTAATAGACAATGTAATCCGCTTTCAAGTTTTTTGAGCGCTAATGTGTGCCCATCGAAACAGTTGTATTGTCGTGGGAAGTAGGCCCCATTGCACCGAACATGTCAGCGTTGAAATCGTGTTTCCGCTTGCATGCTTTATTGTGACTCGGATATAGTGACGGTATCATTATGAATTGCAAACTTGCCCGACGCACCTTCTCATGCAGACTTTGCACGACCCAAATCTCCAAATTACTGACTTTTCTGGAACGTCTCATGTGACCGTACGTCCTCGTACGAGCTCACCGGCCCGCTGCCATTGTACATTGATTGTCATCTTTGAGTCAACGAGATGATGCATGGAGAATATGCGATAATGCACACTGAGCACACGGAGGCTATGACCCCGATACTCACATAACATGCGTGGAAATCACGATCGGAGTCTTTTGTCCTTTACCATGTTTTGGATTGAAGTGGTACGTTCAGGGAAGGGCAGCATGAACACACATAAAGCTAGAATTAATGTCGGCAACGAAACAATGATTTTGGATAGTTTGTTCACTGGAGGTCTGAAGATGATGCTCGACTCATTTGCTCGTGAGTTTTCTGATTCCATTAAGATTATGTGTGACTCGTTGTCAGGATTGGGAGCTTAATCTTGCGTACGTAGTGTATCGTAGAGTAATACCCGTAATGGAGAGCTTACCTTCACAAAGCCATATCTGTACCGTTCTTACCCAGACAAGACTTCTCGGCCTCAGGCCCATCCCATAAAGAGCACCGCTGACTAATCGGCTTTTGACTTTGGTAATCAGCTTACAGCTTCCTCTTGACCGACTTCTGGCCGGGTTCTGATTATTTCCTGTTTGATTGAAGTGACAAACGGTCCTCGCGTGTAGATTCTGCTGTTCGTTAGGAAAGAACATGAGAGCTCAAACCCCGCGAGAGCAACAAAAGCCAGCTCCTCGCAAGCTACAGCCATGATCATCTCCACGAGAATCTTTTTGTTCGGACGCTCCGAGGTTGCTTCGTTCGCACTGTCGTCAGACGGCGTGACGTCACGCACTTCAGCATCCCGGTAGACCACAAAGTTTGCTTTGCCAATCGCTCCCTTTCGGGATTCCAGCCATGCTCGATTCAACGCGTTGCTCGCTCTGACTTGACATTCAAGGTTAGGGAACTTGGCACTCTTGGTGAGTAGATCCTGGGTCGCATCTAACCAGCCATGACCCAAGGCAACCGCCTGATTGCTCACTTCCGTTGCGTTTCCAACGGCCATGAGCCTCCCCAACAGCGTATCCACCCTTTCCGCCATTTTAACGACAAGATCGAGCTTATCATCTCTAACGATCCTCGATGTCTGAACCACGCTGTAGAGCTCATCGGGCAGAAACTCCAGCAGAGTATCTAACTCCGCCAGACAGTCTCCTGACTCGTCGCAAGCTGATGCCGGAGACGCCATGTCTGGGTGGACTAAGAGTGGCGTGCCACTCCAATTCAATTTGGAGTAGCGCTCCCTTCTGCCCGTAGCGGCTGACTATTTCAAGCCTCGTTCAAGGAAGCATCGCGAGGCGACTTTCGAAGATTACGTTCGTGAACAAAACAATCTAGGAAGTGACACAGACGACGATTATCCTGCCAAGAAGGTTCTGGAGAAGCTTTCGACAGGGCGCGCAGCCTTTATAATTTGTGCCTTTCCAGTGTTCACCCCGTCTACTGGACATCCGATTGTCTTTTGAGCATTATTCGATTGCCTGCAAGAAGTAACGGCTCAAGACAGGTCAATCGTGAGTGGTCAGCCTACAGTTGACGGCCGAAGTGGCTGCGCGGCCGCGCGCTTCTCCGAAAACTGCCGCGGTGAACCGCGCGCGCGCAGGCGCAGCTGCCAGAAAGGAGAGGCCCTGCTAAAGGTGCCCTTTTGTTCAAGAAACACTCAGAAGCACTAAAGTTGTTCAAATTGCGGCGGCGCTGAGGCGCCTGTTGCGTGCTGCTGTTTCACAATACTGTTCAAAGGCTCCGCACTCACCTCCACACACTTCCGGGGACACCTCTAGGGCAATGCCCCGGAACAAGCAAACGCCGGGCTGCTGAGCAATCCTTTTGCTCTTCGTTAAACTTAATTTTACCTTTAAGATCTTTGCTTCGTCGTTGTTCGATCGGGGCTGTTCTCAGCAAGTTCGCCGTGCTTCCAGGGTTTGACTCAGGCGCGCTCTTCAAGCACGAGGGTTTTAACCTTCCTGCACGCGTGGCCGCGGTTGCGCAACCCGCCGGCCCTAGAGGCCGCTACCCGGCAGTCTGCCCGCCCGGCCCGCCGGAAGCCGAAGCCCGATCTTGGCTGTCTGGGAAAAGGACTCGAGGTGCCCGGGTTACGAGGAGAATCCTGAGGGGAGGGTTGTGCCGGAACGACAGGAAGAAGACGAAAGTGCTGAAAAGACCAAAAGATGTTCTGACAAAGACCGTTGCATTGACGTCAGAGCACATCTGGCAAGCGGAGAATTCACACTCGGAGCAAAGCTTGCCCGAGGGGGAAAAGCGAAGGGGGCGGGGATTAAATGTCTGTCGAAATCCAACCGTTAACCAGTTGAATGAACAGGCAGCAAGGAAGTAGGGGGCGCTTTGCGATGGCCGGGGAAGAGTACCGGGCGGGCAGGGGAAAGGCGGGGGCGACGAAGGAAGAGGCCGTTCGTTTATTGGCCGTTGGATCTGATATGCTGGATTGGAGGGAGGGAAAACGGGCGAATGCGCGGAGGGGAATGACGGACGTGCTTAAGACGGGGGGAAACGAAGAAGGGGGTACTTGTGGTTGATAGGAAGTGGTCGGGGGTTGGGGAAGGGTACTGCAGGGGCGCAAACGCCCACAAAGGAAAGAAGCAGTGCTTGAATGCTTGATGAATTCACTGTCGAAATTCACATGACCTTATAAGATGTAAAGTCAGCTCTACTAGTAAAAGTAATTCTACCTGCAAGCAATGCTTGGCTCCCGACTCGCTAGCTTCTTGCACGGTCGCTGGTCAAGCAAGAATGAAAGACTTCGCTTCAACCCACCCCAGCAACCGAGCCCCGTGTTGGTGGATATCGCAGGTCAAAACGTTGCATCGTGATGCCAGCGCTGAGATCTCGCTCGTTTCACCGTGTGCGTGGAAGTGTAACATGGAACTGCTTGAACAACCCGTTACTTAGGTGGTATATCGAGTTGTGCTTACACTCGTTTTCGCATTGCGGAAAGGCATAAGGGGCATTTGGCAAATACCAGCTGGGGAAAGGGTCAAGTACTTGCAGCCGGTCTCCATGATGGCCGGGTTACTCTAATTAACTTTCAAATGCCAGCGCGCAGCAAGTTTCATGAATTCAAACTTATTGACAGGAACGGCTCAAATCATGGAGGAGCTCAGTTCATGTTTAGTACGTGTAGTATACTTAGCTGGACACAGTCATACGGAAATATATGACAATTGTCTGGCATGTCTGTCGGAAATTCTGGATACTTGCTGGCCCCTTCCCGATCCTGCGTATCTCGTGCAGAGGCAACGAGATGCTTTTCCATTCCTTCAGTGACCAATGCCATTTCATGGGCAGAAGCAATTGCGGTCGCTAGCTAAGTGTTTGCAGGTATGCCGGCCGCGGCTTTTGCACGTACTCTGATTTTCAAGTTAATGCTCTTCACTGCTCATACGTGCTGATGGGCCGATATGCGGACACTGCGACAATTCATGGGCTACAGGCCGCCATGCCCGGCCGCATACTGAAAGTTTCGAATACATAGTACACCATGAGGCCGGCCACATGACGTCGACAAAGCTCGGCCATCCGAAAGCATCACAGGCGTCTGCGCCATTACCAGGCTTTGAAAAGCCAATTTCACATTTGGACCCACCTTTAACACAGTTTCGTATATGTGGCCGCCATTCTTTACAACACATACGTTCATGCTTTTGTTTACGTGCCAGCTAGACAACAGCTGTACTCGGCATCCCCAAACTTGCGCGCAGGTTCGATTTCACAGGCGCATGATGCTTTTTGGACCAACATCAGGACATAATTATAGCGGCCCACATATGCACATGCTCAGAACAACTATCATGCAATTTCGCGCGGTCAGCGTAATTGATTGATGAATCAGAACGGTGTTGGTCGAACAGTGACGGGTCTCCGTTCAAATTTTAGTTGGTTGATGAACTGCAATGTGGGCGTCTGAGATAATTCGCTAAAGTCACGGTATATACACTATTGCATGCAAGCGCAACTTTTCTAGCTTGCCATCGGACAAATCCCGGCCCACCGAAAAGATCGGCCAAAGACCGGACCTATATGTACCTCAATCATCCTGGAGAGGCGCGGGTCATAAGCCCTCTTTGCAGTTGCTCAAGACGATTGTTAGTGCTAACCCCGAGTCGTCGACTTTTGTTGACCGACAGCACTGCCACCGATCATGGAGACCAAGTCCTTTAGACAAACTACTCGCCGGGGAAGCTTCTCTGATCACTTTCACACGCAAAATGCGAGTTACGTTTGACGCACAGGTTTCATTCTGGTCCCCTAATTCGTTTCTAGAGTAGAGACTTTCCACCGGCTCGTTCTTTCCAGAGCGGACATCATCGATCCAAAGATCGAAGGGGAGGGCACACGACTTGTTGGCAGCCGGAATCTCATCTCGAACGTTGAAAGCAAATTGAGTTCCCCACCCAAAAGGTCTAAAGGTCCGCTCGACCTTCTCCAGATCCCAACCGTTCCAGGCGCCATCCAGTATCCTCACGGAGTAGCCCCAAGACACTACGATCGTGAAAAGTCTACTTGCATCTATGCAGACTGCCGTCGTCAAAAAATATAGTGGGTCCGCAAGCATGCCACGTGTCAGCCGCTGAAGGGCCCCAATGTGGGTCAAGTTCGGGAAGACCGGATCCACGCCGAACACGTGGTGCAGAGAGAGGAGGGGCCCAACCGAATAAGCCTGGAGCAAACCCCTTACGTTGCCTAACACATCAAACTGATGCAAGCCTTTCAGGCGGGTCATCTGCAAGAAGGAGTCACAAAATACTCAGAAGAATGCATCTTTTGCTGGAGAAAGGTCTCAAATCCACCAGAAGGACGCCTGCCTCGCCAACCTGAGTTCCGGCATAAGAAAGACGAGCGCTACCTGCATATGGAATGCTATCTGGGCCGCCAGATTGGGGTTAGCGTTGCGAGTATAAGGATAACTCATTTGCTATGTAGACATGCAACCTGACACTCCGGAAAGCACATATAGAACCACGCCAAGAAGTGCAACATTCCCTGAAGTGAACCCCTTATATGACCTGTTCAGTGGGCGTCAATATTTGAGCCTCGACCTATTCGGGTCGATCCTTCCGCAAACCAGCCGCTTGCTTTTAGAAGCAATACGAGCTTTGAGCAGAGGCCGGGCAAATGCTTAGCAGCTTGGCGATCGATATCAACATCTAAGTTGGCCGTCACTTAATTGAACTCGTGTAAAAGCCCCACCTGGACTCCAAGGTCTGCCGCACATCCACCAATACGGGCGTCGCTTCCATAAAGAAAAGCGTAACGTCTGATACAGTCGTCGATTGTTAACGAAAGAGCCCGCGCGAGTGGCCTGCTGACAATGAAGCCAGCCCCCCCAAATGGCATCTCGAATGAATTGTCGTTCATTTGCCTGACCATCTCAGAGCCCGCCCCAAATAGTAGCATCTGAGTATGGTCGTACCTGCAAAAACGGGGGGGGTCGAAACAAGCGTCAGAAAACTTTAAGGGCTGCTTTTTTCCAGAAACGCCTTACTGAAGGGTTTCGAGCCAGATTAGAGTGTCGAATTTCGAAAGATGAGAACCTGTGAAAGCTGTGATTCACTTTCGAGAGGACCCCTTCAAGTCACTTGCTCTATATGATTCCAAACAGTCCATTTTAGAGCCAAGCATGGCTGGTAATACGCGACGGCGTACGTTCAGATCGTCAAGCTTCAAACCGTAGAAAGAAGTACAGATCCGAAAATTACAACGCCTCAGACTGGTCAAATGAGCATGGCCGTACTAAGATAGCTGTGGGGTTATTACAAAGGTTCAGCAAGCTGTAATGTTAAGCAAAGCAGATGCTCTCAACAAGGAATCAAGAAGCTCACTTAGACAGTAGCTCCGCAAGCGCCTCCACGTTGAAGACCGTGTCGTCGTCCCCCATCACGAACCACCAGACCTCAGGCCGATCCAGTCTGTAGGCTTCCGCCACAATCCTTGTGAGCCTGAGAACAGCACGGGGCCCCACATGATAGTACGGAAGAGCGGAAGTATCCTCTGCTATCTTTGCCTCAGGAAGGCCCTCAGACCGCCAGTTGTACCCTTCGATGATGGGGCTATCCAGCCAGACATATCCACGTGTCACATTTGGGATCCACCACGTTCGGACAAGTTCCTTGCGTATCAGGTAACCTTTGGAAGAAGAGCCAAGGTTGAAAAGCATGTGCTGAAGATCTGCAAGCAGACAATATGGGCGACGCTCAGTGACTGCTTCAGAACGGCGAACACAAGTAAATAGGGCAGGAACTCATTGACCTGTGACTAAAATCTGCTGGATCAGAATTGCTGCATGGGCCAGCATGAGGGAGGTTGTACATGATGCTCAAGTTACCCGCCAAAGTCACTTACAGCGGTAAAGTCCAGGGGTTGCTTAAGCTGAACAATAACTTTGAGCTTGAGGAACCCAGACTCTCCACTACAGAGCTACCTGCCAGGACTCACCGGGCCCCTTACTTGTGTTGGAAATCTGCAGTGCTTGATCAAGACTTAATTCTTAGTTTCTTTCAGAACACAAATGTGTTGGCTTTCAAGTCAGGTCCTTACACCGTCTGACTCACCAATTGTCATGCCACTTGCTCCAGCAGGCCAATACCTTCACGCTTTTCTCCCCAATGATACTTTCCGAGCACATTGCAGCAAAAAGCAAGTCTGACAGAAACAAGGAATGTGACGTACATGCTCTTCTCTTCAAGCGCGGTCCTTCAGCTCCTACCAACTTATCATCCCCAGTGGCTGAAAATACCTTTCCCAGACTTGCCCCTAAGGATGTGTTCCAGCGCTCTGGCTCCAAGCCTACAGCCCGTAGGCTGCTGCTTGCAGCGGTGCTTATTAAAAGTCGCGTGCTTTCGTCGTTTTTCCAAACTAAAATTGCACATGCAGCAGCTGCGAGCAAAAGGAGACAACACCCGACGCACCGTGCTGTTTGACCTTTTGAACAGTCCATGCCGCGTGATTGTGTCACATCATAAAAGCTCCTGGCTTGCTTAGCTTGCTGATTGTTGACGCCGCTTACCTCAAGCTACCATTACTAGCTACATATCGCCTGCGCCACTTTTCCACCTCTACTTCCATTGGCTTTAATTACAGGCACAGGATCAATAACTGAGAAAGTGGGGATTGTGGGTGTTCAATTTGCAAGAAAATAAATCAACGTCACAGGAGGCTCCTTGGAACAGGCGCCCCAACGTCGATCTGTTACTAATAAGCACTTCCAAGTTCCAACCTAGGACCTAGGACTAGATACACAGGGCGCCGCTTTTGCATGCAATTCAACATTCCACACTGATCCAAATAGCTGATGAAAGAAAGCTGCTCAGAAATATGAATCCAACATTAGATGCGTCGGAAAATTTAGGGAGTACTGTCATCCAGCCCACGTGGAAATGACGTCACTCGTAGGTGATCGGACGGCCGTCGGCCGGCCTTGTAAAACCCCAGGTACCGTACCGCAGTGGCACTACCCTTTCATACCCGCTACAAAAAGTCGACTACCGGTACCTAGATCCTTTTTGCACCAAGCCAGAAATACCGGTAATGCATTGCGGGTGTCAAAGGGTCGTGCCAGTAGGTACCTACCGGTACCCGATTTTAACTGCGTAAGGTTGTACCCAGGCAAAGCAGAATGACTTCATGAGTAACTAGTTGTGGGAAAGCTACTGCCGGGCGAAGCGACACCGGGCGAAAAGTGCCCAGCATGAAAGTCTAAAATGATGCCTTGTCATGCCCGGCCGACGAGGCTCCGGTTAGGTTCCGCAAGATGCGGTTGGCGAAGACTCAGCGAGCGGGCCTGGTGTCCACCCGCGGCCGCGCTCGCGCGGGCCACCGATCGCCGTCGAGTGACCGTCCACTGATGTTCGGTACGGACGCTCATGAGGGTACGCTCATGCCATTTATATCCTGGCCCGGATTTGCCAAACCCACTATTCAGCTAACCCAAGGTGTGCAATTTTTGCGGCTTCAAGTTTTTCTAAAGGCTTTTGCAAGGCACCAAAAAAATCCACTTCCCCTCTGGATAGAGCATACCTAAGACAGTCCAGAGATCCAGACGAGGCCTTGCATGTGTCAAACGTGTGTCACACAATGCAGGAAGAAGAAGGAGATAGAACTCCGCTCATGAGGGTACGTCCCGTCACTAGTGACCACTTCGAACTTGAACGCGTGCACACCCGCGGGAATCGCGCATAAAACGTGGGAATGTTCAGCGATTGTAAGTACCGTGGCGTCCTATTGTGAATTCCATGCATGCACAACCGATTCAATAACAAGTTCACCCTCAACGGACCACCGTCCAATAAGGGACCCGCCAATTCATGATCCACGCAACTATTGCCGAGTCTGCAGCAAGGAATCATCAAATACGTACAATAACTCATTGATCTCAAACGTTCGAGTGCCAAAGCTCTGGCCCACGCAGGATGGCCGTCTTATATACATTCGATTAGATTTTTAAGTCACATAGATGTCGAATGCACGGATGACCAACTTATCACACCCGTACCCCATGGCGCCATCCAGATGCTCAATGACACATATCGGGGTCACTAGCTCTTTGACAAGAAAGGACGTCCGTTTCTCCAACCGATTGCACGGGATCTATAGCTGTATGACCAGAACTAGTGCCTCCACGACTACACCGAGTTTATGTCGACCACGGAGTCACCTACAGTGCCTGATCGGTACCATGTGCAAATGAGGACAAAGGCCCATGCATGTCCTGGTCGTGTTGAATTCAACGTCGCAATCTTGCACCATGACCTTTCTTCTAAACAATTTATGTTATTGGAAATGAGGAATACAGACAAGTGCTTCAATCCGTGTAATCAAGCATCAATCGCTTGAATCCATTGTTGGAAGGGCCCAAATGTATCTGTCTCAACGTGTATTGACAGCTCCCACTACGAGTAGCGACCCTTGCTAAGTTGCCCAACCCACTTCAGGCTGTTATAGGCAAGCTGCATTGACCACACCCGACCAAAATGTACAACCTCAACCTTCGACAATTGTCTAGTCAAACCATTGAAAACAGCTCTCTAAGCAGTGTCAATTTAGTCTTTGTACAGACCCCTCTAAGAAGAAAAGGCTCTCGTCTGTTTGCAATGGGCGTGACTTATCGAGCGGAAAAGGGGCGTGCGTTTCAATCCTGAAGTCCTGCCAGCCAAACGCCCCTTACACTACCTAAAGCGTTGCAAGCGGATGCGTGCATTCTGTCCATGTCCCGACCAGAAGGCTTGCTTGCCCAGGGTCCGGCTATCAATTGTGCGAGCTCAACACCACAAACTACGAGAAGCACCAGCCCAAAAGCCGGGATGTTTCTGCGCACTTAGTCATCCATTTGACTATCCATCTTGTTCCTTGCACCTTTTAAAAGAGCCTGGACCAGTCACACCTCTAGATTGCATCCGCTTGTTCTCCAATTAGCCTCCAAACATATTCATGCCGCTGTAGCAGCACAACAACAAAGCTTCCTGCCTAACCCGACGACGGAAAAGCACTGAACAGCGTCGCCCACGCCATCTCGTCCCCCGGCAGCAACTCATCATCCCCCTCGTCTTCGCCCGGTAACAGCCACAAGGGCTCCAGCGGGTCCGCCGGCCTCGGCGCTGTGCCCGGTAACCCAGGACCGACCGCGGAAGCGCTCCACGGCATCTCGGATTTGCTGCCCAGAAACGGCGACCGCGCTCCGCCTCCTGCGGCCGCACTTGTGACGAGGCCAGTCCAGCTGCGGCTGACCCTGGTCTTCTTTACCGGCTTGGCGTGTGCGTCGGGGTACATCCAGGCGGCGATGTCGTCGGGGGTAAGGCCGGGGAAATCGTGAGGCGACAAGTCAAGGCCGACGTCCGAGCCGTCGTCGCCCAGTTCGGAGCCCAGGTGCTCCCAACCTGAAAACATTTACGAGTTCAGGACTCGGCAGTCAAACCCGATGTATCGCTCTGAAAACCGGGGGTTTGCATAAGCCGGAATCTGTACCTTGTGAAGTTAAGAAGCAGACCAAAAGAAGACGTCTGAAACACCGATCAAGCACCTTGCGATCCCCCTCGCTCATCACGGTCACCTGAGAAGGGCCTGCGGTGGGCGCTCCGCTTTTTCCCTCACTGCTGGCTTACAGAACTTGCCCGGCTGGGTTTGGTCCGAAACCTATCCCACAGCTTGTTCCGAGATGCGGTCAAGCCATCAGAACAAGGTTTAACTCTCCGATATTTTTAACGCTGACTCGCTCAAACAAAACGCTGGGTGCAACCAGACAATCACTCAGGTTGGTAGTAACGAAGTCACGCTCGTCCCCTCAGGGACACCGGCTTGGTTTCGCAAAACAATGCGTCGAAGTCGACGACGATCGAAGATGAGAGCTGCCTTGCCGAGGCGTCTCCAGGAGGAAAGACAACGCGCTGGCCTGAGTTTCAAAAGCAGGAGATGCAACAATAATGGTACCTGAGATGGACACGTCATCGTCCAAGGGGGATCCCCCGAACCTGTCCGCCTTGCGCCAGCTGTTGCTTGAAGCGGTGGTGGAGGCCGGCGACTCCCCGGGGGAGCGGTTCCGCATGGGCACGTTGGGCTCGTACTGCTGCATCCTGCGAGAAGCACGAGAATGGAAGTCAGCACCGTGCCGTCGACTACTTGGAAAGCTACTCGAGGTCTCTTGGGAGCAAGATAGTAGGAACTTGAATGTTAATGATTGTCAGCGCAAGATTTTCTGACCAATTAAGACAAGGTTGAAACGCCGTGTGCGAAGTCATTTTCTGCGAGAATGCGGCCACCCGTTTCACCCGTCTTCGAGATCAATTGAGCAGTTTGCTCGATCACAAACGGAGCGGTGATCCATCCTTTGAATGGATCTGCGGTAAGATGCATTGTCGGCGATCGATGCTTTAAAACGAAATGCAAAACAAATTTTTCTCTGAGCCTACTTTCATTGCACAGCGACTAGGCTCTTGTTCGAAATACGTCGCACATGCCGACCAGACAGAGTCATCAAGACCAGGCTGCAAGAGTCGCTCACTTGTACTTCTCGCACCGAACTGCTCCAGGCAGCTCCTGCAGCAGCCGTGCCACCGTCGGGTTTGCAAACCCGAAATACTCGGGGCCTGCGGCAATGGGTGGCGCACTTTTAGTAACGCGTGACTCGATTTCGCATGTTAAGGTTTCCAGTCAACAGGCTTCTGTTGCTTGCAACGCAGACTGTGAGCGAATTATATCAGAGGATCCGTTTCAAAGCCATGCAAAGAAGTCGAAGCGCCGAGGTAGATGTCAGAAGAAAAGTGTTCCGTGCGAGGGTGCTGCGTCAGTTAGAACAACCGGAGACCGACGCTATTCGAGCAATTTTCTGATTGATGATCCAAGTACGGGCTCTGCAACGTCGATTTATCCAGTCTGCCTGCAACGAAAGGCTCTGCTCTGCGGTTGGCACAACCTGGAGCAGTCCAGCCATTGGCGAACCTACCAGAAACGTTTGCGAACGTCTTCTTGCCCCCCTCGTCCATGCGGGTCATAGTGACCTGCTTCACCACGGACGTCCAGACAGCGGTAGCGGACACGCCCACGATCGGCTCGTCCGGGTCGTCCTCTGCAGTATAGACCGAATTTCATCAGCAGACTCTCCGCAGCCAAAGCAACACGCGCTTTTGAAGACGCACCTCGAGATCGATGGGGGACGGAGCAGACTGCGGAAGCGATTCACAACAACCTTTGCCGTTCTGACAAACAGCGAAAACAAACTCACAGAACGCAGAAACGCCGAGCTCACTTTATGGCACGGCGTCTGTGGTCGTGGGGAGTGGCCGAGTTTGAGACGTCTTTCAAGGCGCAATATCCTGATCTTGCAAAGACACAAGGCTCTGCCTCCTGGCTGTAGATGCATCTTCTCGGCCTCAGCTTTCCTTGAATGAAATGGTTGAGTTGATGGTAACAGCATACCAGCCGTTAGGCGGAACTCAGGAGCGGCGCCTCCGTCTAGGATCTCGCAACAGTACTGGATGCGCTTGTCCGGCTGCTTCATGCTGGCGTATGAGCGCATGCTCTTGAAACCTACGGGCCTGCGGGAGGGACAAAGACTTGATTCATTTTCGAACTCCTTGTGAGCAGATTGGAATATGAGGGGTCAGTGCGTGCTGTATGTACCACCAAGCAGACGGCTTGTACGCACAAGCTGTCTCTCGAAGGGGGGGAGGATCTGGGACAAATGCAAGAAGGAAATGGACGAAAGCCTTCAAGGTGACGTAAGGATACCGACAGGAATTCCGAAAGTGAGCCTCGATCAGTACTAAAGAGAACCAAGAATCGTCAAGCATTACAATCAAGCGGCTTCATTGCTCTGTCCCGAATGGCGCAGCGACGATGGTACCACAAACGTTCACAATACGTACGAACTCAACACCCTTTCGCATACACGTGGTAAGGAACAAGAGTTGAAGCAATCGAGTCGAGAGGGCCTGCAGAAATCTCCGCTTCGACATTATTGGAACCAAACAGGAGGACCTTTGCTCGAATGTTTCAGCGCCACAACGACCGCAAAAGAAAGTGAACGCAGACTCGAGCATCTCACCACAAATACTTGTCGCTGTGGAAGGTCTGTCTGTCCGCCACGATCCTCCCCAGGCTAAACACCGTGAGACTGGGTCCCACTTTGACGGGCAAGATGGGGCGACCTCCCTGATCCCTAGGCACCTCCTCGCACCGCCTCCGCTTGTTGATGTGAGAGTGGCTCTTGCGTCGGTCGAGTGATCTGGCAGGCGAGGGGGGCGGACAGCAGTGCCGGACTGCATCAGTAAAAAGGAGCTTGTCTTAGCAAGCATTTAAGCGCATGCACGTGCCAGCAGTGACCCTAAGCGGGGGAAGCAGGAACTGGATACTTGGAATACCATAACAGGCGTAAGCAGGGCGGAAAACGAGTACACCAAGCCGTTTGGCCTGCCTTCCCTTGCTGGCGCAGCGCTCTACAGCAACAGCCGCTGCTCGCGTGGACTCCCCACTTCCACTAGGACCACTGATCGCGCAACATACACTCGTCATCTCACTAGATGCTTCGTTAACCCTTATGACTTCAACGTCCCTGTCCGTTGACCAGTAGACTGGTGCTTTCAACCTTCGGATGAAATCTTTGAACAAGTTTGGATGAGATCCTGAATAAGTTTGGTTGACTTAGTCGTGGATGGGTACAGTCGAAAACCAGTCCTGGCAACCGCGACTCACACTGCTCCGGCATCTGGCGGAAGTCGATGGCCTGCGCCAGCTGGCGGTGCGCATCGGAGCTGTTCTTGAAGAGGCGCGACATCTCCCAGAGCTCCTTCCAGAGCGAGCGGTACACCTCCTGTCGTGCCTTCGGCGACTCTGCCAGCCTGCACAGAGAAACCTCCGACACTGTCAGGACAGGCCTATGATATCCCCTTCAGTGAACAAGTTGCCTACGATTGGAGTGAAGGCCTGGTCAGATGCAACCACACTTTGACGCTAGATCCTGGACGCTAGACTTTGACGTGCATACGCCCCACTTCGAGCCTCCACGAAGCACTGGGTTACCAGTAGAGTCTTCGTACAAGCTTCGCTTCTGCGACTTTGAAACCAGGGAGTCTCTGCGTGAGTCCGATCATAACCATTTGCAATCTATAGAAGACACACGCTGCGGGAAAGAAGAAACGTCAAAGTGACCGACTTTCAGCTAGCTCCTCAGCCATCAAGGACGAGATGAGCCAAAAGGCACTCAGAAGGGTACCAATAACTCTCACAACGTACACAATAGAAAAGGAACGGATGATCAGAGCTCCAAACAACACATGCTTCCACCTAGCCTCAAGAAAGTATCCTGCAAAGCTTATGGAGCAAAGGGCCTGACCTTGGCAGCAGCTTGTGGTCGTTTGCCTGCGTGCACTCCCACAGCTTGCGAATGCACTTCTCCGCCCGGCACGCCTTGTCCCTGTCCAGGTCGTCCCCAAGGAACGCCCGGGTAATCGGCCTAAGAAGCGCTGCCAGCTCAGCGCTCTGCTGCAGGGGGGACCCCAGGATTGATTGCGCCTCGGTAGCCATGGACGATGGGTTAGGGATAACCAGGGGTTTGGGGAGGAAAGCCCGAGTAAACTCGGTGGGCTTGGGGGTTTTGAAGCTGTCCATTCGAGGGAGAGCTGGGGAACTTCGGTCAGGGACTGACACACTCAGGTGGTGGTACAGCTGGGAGGGGCTGGGTGAAGGGGAGGGAACGTCACGCACTCGCTTCCGGCTCGTTTCGCTGTCCTGACGGGCCAAGGAACCGGGCACGGGGGTCGGTGCAACGACATTGGCACTGCAGGATGAAACGAAGGGGTTTGGAGGAGTGATTCGACCTGTGGCTGCAAGTGTCAAAGTGCTGCATAGTATATCCTCGAAGTCGGAATGTTGCATCTGATCCTTTTGTAACAAGTCAACACATGTTCCCCTTGCAGAGACTGGCCTTGCACGAATCAAACAAACACTGTTGCATTGTCGTCAGTATCCTTTTGAAGAGAGAATCTGTACAAGCAGAAGATGACACGGAAAATGCCGAAGTCTGCTTGAAAAGAAAAGAAGTTCGTAACCATGTATGGCACTCGACTTACCGAGCTCTTTTCTCCCGGGGCGTGCATTCCGCCACCTCCTCCCCCCAGCCAAGCCAGGCGGCCCCCTGCAGTTGGTGCAACCAAAGCCGCCCCTCCTGCCAGGTGAGCATGTGAGTAGCACAGGGGAGGGGCTTCTTCAGACCCCCAGCTACGCGCCTGACCGGCAGCTTCAGCAGGGGGTTGGATAGCACAGCCAAGCCGCCCCCCACGAGATGGCTGACCAGGTTTCTGGTTGGCATTGCCAAGGGGCGCTCTGGCACGGCAGCGTGAGACACAGCGCAGGGAAGGATGGGGACAAGGCTGCTGGCGTTGCCCCCGGACTTGGATGCAAGGGTGAGCTGGATTAGGCGCGTCTTCTTTTCTTCAACATCACTGTCTGCAGAGGGAAAGGAAACATGATCAGTTAGGCAACAAGGGTTGTCCTCTTTTCGACAATGTCACCGTTTAGATTAGGAGCTTGCTGTTGATTGAGTAGCAGAATTGGCAAGGAGATGTATGTCCACCAATCCAGTAGGAGGAAGCTCAGTTTACTTGGGAAAGGGGCTGGGGCGTTCTGTTCTTGAAGCCCTTTATTTTTGAGAAACTTGACGAGCAGAAAGTTGGAGACTGGCAAAAAGCGAGCAGGAACTGTGACCAAGACTGAAGATACAAGAGCAATGAGCACGATGTGCAGACTGAAAAGGTTTCTCAGACGCTTTTGCCCTGATCTCAGAGTTTCATGTCAAATCTGCATTCATGTGAAACAAGGAAAAGACACTGCACAGAAGTGTTGGTCTATGGCAGCTTACCAGTAGAAGAGCCCGAACCGCTGGGGGTGCGATGCCTTTCCCCCAGCGTAGGTGACAAATCATTGTCACGTCTGACAATAATGCTGATACTGGCACTCGCCTCCCTTTCCTGCATTCAAAAGTCTTACTACTCTTTCGCCCTGGACACCAGGATATATTGTAGTAGAGATACTCCTAGCAACAGCTCTTGTGCCATGGGGAGAAAGCTGAACGAAATGAAGCACAGAATGACAGGAGGACCGCACGATGTGACAGAGGATAGGCAATCTCAGCAGAACATGTCAATAGTACGTCCCTGGAAGCGCAAGCTCGCAACTACTTGATGAGCAGCTCGTCATACCCAGCAGTCAATCCTAGATACTTCAGAATGGGGCACCTCACCTGGTTGAGCGGGCTAATCACAATGGTGCACAGGTCGAGGTGCAGGTGCGCCATACTCCTGAGGCAGGGCGCAACAAGTGCCGCCGTCAAGGTAATCTTCTTAATGCCAATTGGCCCCGCAGCTGAAGCAGCCATCTCCACCTTGCCAAATGCGCTCCCGTCTTGCAACGCTGCCTCATCCTCTGCGCTATTCTCGGGGTCCCCCATCAAGCGTGGGGCCTGCTTGCTTCCCTCGCCAGGGAGAATACTGAGCACATTAACTTCGCAGCTGGCTAAGCTTGAGTGCGGGTCTACCGTTCTGCCCGCTTCAAGCAGCAGCTTGCTGATCAAGTCAGGAGAAAGCGAGCCCTGGTCTGCCTGTATGAGGATAATCTGGCCGCTAACAGGCTCTGCTTCCCCCACAGACGAAGCGCCAGAGCTTGTATAGGCCACGTTGCAAAGGCTCGCCCCCAACTGCGCAGGAGCTGACGCCGTGCGTTGCTCAACCAACTTGCTGCTTGACTCAACCGGCCTCCCATACCGTGACTCCAAGCAGTCTTCTTGCAAACCACACCCTTCTAAGGCCCTGTTCAGCTGGGAACTACCTTGGCTACCCTGAGATGCTCGGCTGTTCCTAGATGTGCTCCTCTCAAGCCCCTTTTTCTCGGTGCCTGCGCTCATCTCTCGCTCGCTGCCCTGCTCAGAGCCACTGGAATGCTGCGGCTCCAGCAGCGCGAGCAATGCTTCTTCTAAGGAGCCTTTGATGTCTGCTGAGGCTGGAACAGTCTGCTGAGGGGAGCTAGCAAGGCCGTCCACAACCTGCAAGAAATAAGTGCCAGTGTTGGACCGTTTGCCTTTCCCAAATTTGCTAAGTTCTGTTGAATGCTTTCCCAGATTCTCAGTCTTCTCAAGCCGAGAGAAAAGGTAACTTATAGCATACAATACGCATCCTGAAATGCAAGCATATACGACCAGGCTGTCATACAAGGGACAGATACTGATGGAGGTTGCAAATTGACATTCTTCTGGTCAGAAAGACCCGCAGCCATTGAGACCTTTGGCTGCTTTGCTGGCCCTTTTGACCGGATGCTGGATGAACATTGATTATCCTGCTGAGTGCTTGCATCAGGTTCTTGTCTTGGGGACTCAGGCTGGCATAAATCCTAGGGAGGAATCTTGACAGTCACGATGAATTGATATACTTACTGCTTGCAATGACTGGTCCCCAGACCTCCAGCTTGTAATCCTCTCTGGCAACTCTCCAGCTCTGAAAACGCAAAGCTGCAGCATGGAAGCATCAGAGGTAAGAATCAGAATAGCTGCCAGTATGTTGCATCAACTTTAACTCTATTACTCATGAAACAAGGAACAGGACAGAGCTCTAAGCCTCTCAATAGCCTTATAGAATTTGCCTAACGCTGAGTGAGAGATCCAGCTTGTTGATCCAGGCAGGACTTAGCCCAAACAAAGAAGATGACTGCCCCTTCCAACTCGAAATTTTGATAGTAAGAAGCTTTCCCTTACATTATGCTTCTCAGATTTCAATGAGAAGAAGATCCGGACATAGTCCAGCATGGCGGCATTGCATTCGGTGAGGATGGTCTTCTGGAGCGCAAATCCAAGGGTACCTGGAAGAATGGAGTTTTAGTCCCATGCCCCTTGAACCCCATTGAGCAATCTTCCAACACCAGCATCATTCAAGAATGTACTTGATCAGCAGAATTACAGCACTGTGAGGCGTACCTGGGTCACTTCTGCAATCAAAGATCTATCAAGGCAAGGCTCAACGAGCCAGGTTCTCTCATTGATACTCACTTGTGGAGCATGATGTTCCCGCTTCCTCACGCATCTTCAGCCCATTATCAAGAATGACCACAGTCCGCTTGGTAAAACTATCCATTGTGAACCAGCAAGCAGCAGCTTGATCCTTTAATATTGCTCTCAAGCACAATGCACGCACTTCAGCTGCAGAAACATGTCAGTGCCTGAGGTCAGATCTTCAGGACTTTGATCCAACCGTCGCGGTCTTTACAAAGCATTCTATACAATCAACTGATCATCATGGAGCAAAACAAAGGATATGTACGAAGGGCCTTTGAAGCAAGCTCACTGTTGCAGGTCAACACGATCAATGGCCACAAATGCTCCTGGGCAGAATCATTGGAAGGTCAACACTAACACTGTCCACATTCGACCTTGAAGTGTGACAATTGAAACTCACTTGCTAAACAGACGTGTGATGAACTTCGTGAGCAGGCTCTGCCCCATTTCCTTCAGTGATAGGGACCTTCTGCACGAACCGACTTTGGTGACCTTTTGCAAAGTTACCCTGCGTCTCAGCTAGATATCAATGAACAAAGAACGAAGACCAGTATGCCAGTCACTACCACGCCCGAAGGAGGCATCTGTGATTGAGAGCTGCTGCCTGTTCGTACTGTAGGCAGGCCCTAGACAAATACAGCATGATTGCTCCCAAATTGAATCATCATATAGGAAATCGTTGGCCCTTCTCTTCAGAATTGATGATACAGAATATGAGGGAGGCACCCCATAGAACTAAAAGATTCACTCAAACAGCCCTGTCCTTTCGAGCAAGCTGAACGCATTGCAAAATTTTGAAACACCAAGCGAGGAAGTGGGAGGGAATTCCGAATCGCTGTGTACATACCTACTCACTAGCTAGCCGGGCCTTCTGCAGAAAGATTCCACATGACCCCATCTCACTTTCCCTGGATTTTGCGTCACTTCTCACCTTTTCCAACTTTTCATCCACACAGAGGGCTCGACCTGAGCGAAGCATCGAGCAGCATCATGATTCAGGTGTGAAAACCCGTGCATCGAATCGTCGACCGCCTTCTCTCGACTTCTCGAACCAAAGTGTTTGGCCCTGAGGTGGCCGACAAGCATATCATACCGTAGTCGAAATGGTCGCCGGGTGACCGCGCCGCTGCCGGAATGAAGGGCGACAAGTCGTGTTTCCGGAGTGTTATGACCAGAGCGAATTTACACAGCAGAAGAATCTGGAATCAGCTAGTCTTCCGCACGGTTCAGAACATCGGATTACGTAGACGGCGGGATGCCAACCTTCGACCTAGTTGGTGACTCAACTATCGAGCGTATGACGAGTAGCTGTAGGAAGAAAGAACCGGCGCTGAAGTACGTAACTACCGTATGTTTGAACACAGCCAGAGCTAAATCCTGAGTGCCGTACTTGTGCGCTGCATAAGCCGTCTTTCATTCCACGGCACTCACGGGGCATTTTACCCGGTTGAAAGCATCGGTTATTGGTTGCGTCACCAATCATGATGGCAGCTACATTCGCGGAGCCAATCGCTCGAAAGCAATGCGTACCGGTAGTAGTACCGTACCGTTGTCCGGTTGGGCAACAATTAAATATTCTTTGACTTGCCCTAAAATTTGAATGTAAAATAAATTCGAAATTCACATTTGCAACTCATTTTGCCCCGTACAAAAACGAAATAAATTAATAAAATGAAGCTGCCCAAATTTCATAGCATACGAAATTAATTATTGGGCAAAAAATTGCCCAACCGGACAATCGGTACGGTATTACGTCCCGCAAGAAACTGGTAACCATGTCACGTGCCAAGGAGTCCCGGGCACCAGAAGGGATGGTTTGAAAGCCGAGTCATGGGGTAACACTGCATGCGCACAGGCACGAGATACCTATACCGGCCGAGGTACTGGTTTTGAGGTACGGTACTTAGTCAAGTCTCCCCGGGTGACAATGTAAGGCAACACGAGCATGATCTCGACCGGTACATCAAAGAACCGACCGCCGCCATCCACTGATCAACTAATAGCTCCGGCACTGGGCAGGCCTGAACTCAGGCCCAGCCTGGCCCTGAGGGTTCCCCTTCTGTTCTATGATCTAGGTACCTGGGTATCCTGGAGATCCGACGTGCAGTTGGGCGGCCTGCATGGTGAAGAAGTCGGGCCGCATCGTACAACTATGCTGAGGCTACACTGGCGGGCTGAAGCCGGAGGGCGCGTCCCAGCTACCTTCAAAGCTTCTCTCGCCCTATTATGTCAGGATGTGAAAACTTGCTTTGACTACATTTTATGTAGCAGCCTGTTCATCCCGCTCTAGAGCCTTGTGCTCCTGCCGCCTGCAAGGTTGTCGACCGCCCTCCCGAGGAAACGATAGTGGCAGGCCGCCAGCTGTTGACAAAGTGCACGAGGCTATCCTGAGGCTTCCACTCCAACTTTCGGCCTCATTATATTGTACCGAAGCCAAGTATGCAAGCACTGGTGAACAAGCTCCCAATGCTTGCTAAGGTGAACATGCGGCGATGAAGACAAGTATAGATTTCGTTGCTCACTCATCGCCCTTGTCCTGCTTGGAGGCGTCTCAAGACACTGTAACCGCTTGCCAGAACGTGGACCCCTTGCCTGCACCCAGAGCATAAGGGGCCAGTGATGTAAAATGCGCCATAAGTAAGGGCCGACACTTGCAGCTTTAACCTCTAGTCAGACTCTATGGCGGCTGGCAGTAGTGTAGATAAGGCAACCAAACCAGCGCAGGAAGCAGGCGTAGCTTGTGGGCCAGAAGCCGTCAAAGTCCTCAACTGTGCCGCTAAAACTCCTTTTGATGAAGAGGCCTGCCAACAGCTGCTCCTCAAACTGCGAAAGTGCATTGAAAGCAAGGTGAGTTGTCTGCACCTGATCCATCTCTGATTCATGTTCACTTAGAAAGTATTGTCGCTAGTCACCATTGACGTCTATGAATGATGACATTGAAAGTATAGACCAAAGTCTTTGAAAGTTTGCGGTGGTGTGATTCGATTGTTGGTGGTGGTACTTTGGCAAGTCCTCAAAGTCTCAGAAGGGAGTTCTAAATGCATTCCTGTTCCTATCTGGAAAGCCATCTGTTGGTGGTGGTGGATTGTGTTGTGTGCCTTCTTGTACTTGAATCTGCTTAAATTACGGCCATCATAAAATTCCGCCAGCTCAGTCAAAAATAGAAAACTTGCAAAATGCATCAGACAGTTTCTTATCTTTTTGATGGTCAGAGTCTGTGAGTTGATAGGATGAGTCTCCGTTAGAAAGAACAGGGAATAGGCTGGAAATATGATGACCTAGGGCATCAATCAATTGATCAGCTAAACACTGAGGTGCCTGCTGCGCTGATGGTTTCCTTGTAGAACGTAGCTATGTGGCTTGGATGTCACAGGGGCCACTCTTACTTGAGGTGGGCCTCCGCGGCCTGATCAGGAGAAACTTTTTCCTTACTTCATTGACAAAGGTTACTTTTGCTACATCCTTTGCCTGAGGGTATGAAGGGTGGGTTACGTACAATGTTATCTGAAGATAGGCTATATGGAATCGGTTCGGCCTTCAATGTTGGTAGGGAGGGTGTGGTGTAGGATCTGATCAACCAGATGCAACGTGCAAGATTCAGGGCGAATCAACCACCATCTTTCCCAATACGGAAATTGCAGTTTTGCCCGTTACTCTTTGAAGAATCGGAGAGGAACGGTCAATTGCATTGCGGTTTTTTTGGGTCAACAGAAGAAACTTACGTGCTCTGTGCTTTGCCTCATGTTGCAGAAAGTTGCTTCATTTACGATATTGGGGGAGGAAGCCCACCCGCAGCCTCCTGAAGGAGCCTGAGCTCTCCCAAGGTATTTGCCATTGACAGATGCAGCTTTCAAAAACATCTCGAGTGTCGAAGAACGCAAAGGGGGTTCCTGGCAAAGACTCCTCAACCAGGATATGACATAATCTCCGTTTATCGATTCAAGAAACTTCGCACGCAATCCTGGCAGGTCGACGAGATCATGTAATTTTGATTGATCAAGGCTCGCAGATCGATGGTCCTCTATATATATCCAATTCATTGAACACACCGTCCTATTACGGCCACAAGTCTGCAACGATTGCCACATGCCAGCTCGCGCGGGCTTTATCGAACAATATAAAGCCAGATCAGAGTTTTGGTATTTTTCGATCTAGTGAACAGCAAGCCCAGTGAACAGTAAGCATTTTGGGATTACTAAAAACCCTAACCTAAGGAAACACCCGCTCCGCACCCGTACCCACCCTAACGTCCCCCTAACTAGCCCTACCCGTCTCCGTTACTGTTCACTGGCTATTACTGTTCCCTACATCGATCGGAATAGAGCTTTGGGGATCTGCGACACGTACTGTTTGATGAGGCCGCCGGCTCGTGCTGATCTGAATATCGTTTAAGGTGCACTCTATCTCTGCATGGGAGGTGTCTGTAGGATCGAAGTTGCATGTACACGTACAGTCATAGTTTTGATCGATTTCATGAGGAGGTCCAATCACAAATTGCATACATGTATGCTTGAACGTGCAAATAGCCCCAGGCTTGAACTTGCTTTGATCAACTATGTACGGGTCCGACATGGATACAAGTGACATGCGTATACTTGGGCAACTAAGGCGAATGATGATGCATGGTCAATTAGGATAACTCAAGGCCCGGGCCTTGTGCATGCATGCCGCAAAACGATGACGGCGCGCTGCAAGCCTGCTTTCCATGATAAAATGTTTTGCAAACATCGATCTGGCATCAATGTTCTCGAGACCTGGCACCGAATTGGCAGCAATCATATTGCGAGTCTTGTTGGATGCGTAAGTTCTTTGGCAGGCGCTGTTGCTGACCGGGCCACTGAGGAATTGCAGATCCAAGCAGCCATTGCTGTCGGCACAATCTATAGAATGTTCTGCGAGACAATTGCACAGGCCATACAAAGTAACCGATCATGACTGCGGATTGCATTGGAACTTTCCCGAAAAGATTGGATCATCATGGTAAAGAACAAAGGCGAGCATTTTCAAGGTTCACCCAAACAAAGGGCTGCAAAAAGTATTAATACAGCCTAGCAATATCGGGACTGCACCAGGCCTCAACTTCCACTAGAGTAGCGCTAGACTCGTCACCAAAGAGAGAAACCTTTCCATCTTCTCTACGAGCATACGAGTTGCCAAGCCTTGATCTTGCTGTGCGTAGATCCCCCAAACCGCCGACCGAGTCCGGCCCAGCAAACCCTCCCATTACAGGCGTCAATGGAGGGCCAACAAGAAGCCCGTCAGAACCAAATTGGGGACCCCCCCGAGCATAGTCGAAGATGGCGGCTCCACTTCCACCTATTTTTGACAACTTGACCGGCATGTGAAAGGCTCGGCTCGTGCTGCTTGTGCCCTCTGGCCAATAGAAGAGGAAGGCCTCGTAAGAGTCGCGGTAGTCATCGGTGCTCCCCCAACCCTCAGAGTTGAAGGCCCCGATGAAGGTTCCTGTGTCTGTCTCAGCTAACACAATGCATGGCCCCTTGAAATCGCAGCATTCGTGGAACACCCCAGCCCCTGCACTAGGGTGTATCCAGTTCGATTACTCTGGGCAAGACAAACTGTATGATACGGAGGCTTCCAGTAGGTCTGCACCATGTCGCCTCATCTATTTTGTTTCTCAACATATCCAGGTAGCCAACGGAAGAATGGCCAAAACAAAGATTTCATGGAGAAAGGAGACTGGGCCACGGCCACATTGGAAGGGCCGTACTCTCGGTTGATAGAACATCTCAGGCGGCACAACTATGTCTCTTTTATGGTCCGTATCACAAAATCTCCGGATGTCCAAAGAAAGTTGGCCCAGAGCTCATGCTCAAACCTCCACAATTGCTTCAGAAGGGGCACTTCACTCATCGCCCCCATCACTGAAAGGACGGGATTCCAGACGGACAGCTGCAAACACTTTCAGAGCTCATATGAAAGACGTTCAAAGCTTACCAAAGCCATCAACGCTCGCTCTGTAACAACACCTCAGATCTCGTCCCGCAAGATGCGTTCCGTCCAACAACCGGTTGGGAAAGGGAGGCTCTCCATTGTGATAGAAGCTGCGTTTTGTTGCCACGGTGTCTAATTCTTGCTCCTTCCTGCCCCCAAACAGCCCACCAAAAAGACAGACTGGCCCGCCCTTTCTCCGCTTCAGATGCTGCTTTAAAGAACACCCATTTCTGCTTGGCCTTAGTGACGCTGGGTCAGAAGGGACCTTCCGCTGGAAAATCGGTGACTGACCCGCTATTGATTGTAAGCTTCTTGAAGCTCTTGGAAAGTGCCTCCAATTCAAGGGCCCACTTAGACTTAGCTTGCTCACTGTCAGCTGCTGGCTCAGGTGGTTTCTGTGACCCGAGTGTTTGAGATCTCTGGTGGCAGCCATCCTTCCTTTTTCTTGTGGGGGCAAGCCTAACCCGTAGACAATTGTTGCTCTCCCGACTCATTGCAGGAATCACAAGAGCTCACTTTCTTGCTCTTGGCATGGCAGCTGTTTAAAACACTCTGCGGCATTGAAAGACGAGTATTCAACGATTGCGACATGGCGCATGAAAGGGGGGTGACTACCTGCAATGCTGTGGTGCCACAAGCCGACAATCAGCTCAAATCAGAAGCCACATTGGAGGTGGTTCGACTTTTCACGGGCGTCATACAATCACCTACAGCTGGTCCTGTGAAGAGAGACTCTCCCTTGAGCTCTGGTTCAGAAGCGAATTGCTTAGTGCCGCAACCAACGTGGACAATGCAGCAACTATGCAGGCTGCTCCCTTTAGATGTTATGACAAGCCTTATGCCCGAAAAGTTGTAACTTCTCAGGTGACTTGCTATTCTAGAGAATTGCTGAAAACTTAAAGCACTGAGCACTGATGATTCAGATGAACTCTGTTCAGGGTGAAGACGGACAGCTCTAGGGTGGGCTCCATTCCGTCCCGTTCCGTTCATTTCCATTTCATTCCGTTCCCTTCGATGTCGTCTCCCTCCCTCTACAGGGGCCTAAGGCGAGTCCGCCCACGGATTCCGCCAGCTTAGCGTACCACGGAATGCGCTCCAGATGCAGGTCCAGGTGCAAGATGGGCCCATGCAAGTCCAATGGTCAGTACTAAAGGCGGGCCAAAGCGAGCTGCAAACTTCAAAGTAGCATTGTAGGCTTTGGCAGGACCGATCTTCCAGGAAAGCGGTCGCGGACTGAATGATGCTATCTAGGTGATAAACGCAAAGCAATTGGCATGACGTATATGTGAACCGTTTTTAAAAGGCACTGATTTTGTCTGGGCACGTCGAGTCCAAGAGTATGTATACTTTCAATGGCCAAGTCTGAGTTTCGCCCCTACAGACTACCTATACGCATCACATGTTTGCGACTATGTAGAAGCACCTAGGCATCAGCAAGCTATCCGGCGCGTTCATGTGATTCCTATATATACATGTTCATCGAGTGCTCTTGAGATGCAAAGATTTTAAAAAAGTGATGTATGTGAGTATGACGGTTGGTTCGTATGTGTCTCCCAGAGCCAAGTTGATGACGGTCTGCCTGACACTGATGACATCGGCATTGAGAACAGTTGACTAACTTGACGTATCCATCCGGGCCAAGTCAACTCAACATGTCGACCTCATGCACGGCGGCCAAAAATCGAATATTAATCGGTGCTTCTATCCATGCTACCAACAATGACGGAATCCCTGCAGATGTCCCTTTCTTTTGTACAAGCGCAGGTTGCACATTCGCCAATTTTTTACCTCGACTCCTTCTATCTCACGCGCTGCATAGCTGAATGAACCAGATAAACTCCTCAATCCCGTCAAACCTGTCAATAACATCAGATATGAATTACCGCCCGAGTACCTTTGCCGCACTCCTTGGTCTATGTCAGCCTTAATGTAACCTAATAAACAAAATTGAACTCCAAAACTTTCTATGCTCGCCTCTGCATTCCTTGAACCGTAGCCATCACGACCGCTGCTAAGACCTCCCCATGCTCGCGGGCGTCCCTTTTTGCGGCGTCTAAAACTGATTTTACAATCTTGTCCCGGAAGGCCGTTTCCTTGTGAAACGTCACGCCCACAAAGGACTGCAGCGTGCTCGACTGGGAGTCCTTTTGCGTCATCACCTTGCGCCCTTGCACCTGCGAGCAAAGAAGAGATTGAGGTCTTCTGTGGAGGCCTTTGTGGGTGGCAAAAATAAGTACTGGCTGATTTTGCAGCTAATAATTAACCTTTCAATCAGAGTCGGGAGGTCGATACGTCTCCCGAAGCGGTGGCATTTGCGACGAGCCATCTTTGCACACGTTCACTGAAGGTAGGTTGATCCGTCCGGATCTGAGGGTTTGTCCTCGTAAGGCCTGCATCGGCGAATGCTTGGTACAAGTGTTCACGGAACACAAGCTAAAAGATGGACCAGGCAGATAGACCTTTTCGCAAAGCCCTGCCTGGGAATTCACAAATTTCAGTGAGACTAAAGCTTGCTTTAAAAGTCCACCTTATGATCCCAAAGAAAAGGACGCCGCGCGGCATCATACGACGGAACAAAAGGTCTGTGGGATGCAACGCCCACGTCCTTCCGATCATGGCCGTAAAACGTCTGTGAGTGTCTCAACTCCTCAACGTGACGATCTAAAACCGCCCGTTTACAGCGCAGGCAATTTCGCAGAACTTTCGTGACGCGTCATGCTCTGACCGGAACGAAAGGACCGAGCTTCCCTGGAAAGTGTCCATCTTATGACCTCAAAGAAGAGGACGCCGCACGGCATCAAAGAGCGCAGTCAGATGCAACGCCCACATTCTGTCCGATCATGCCCGTAAACGATTGTGCGTGTCCCTATTCCTCGAGATTTACGTTCTCAGAAAGCGCCCGTCCTGAGAGCAGGCAATCCGAAAGACCGTCTCAACGTGCCCTGCTCTGACGTCGCAGAGACACAAATGACAGGATCACGGTGGGGGTGCTTGAAAGTTTTTTCTGGCTCTTTTTCGTAAAACAAGACGGTTTGGCGTCGCGCTAAGCCGCTTGTGGGCAGCCAGTGCCCAGAGGAGATGCGTCATTATCGCCAGCGAAAATTTCTAGAACAGAACGACTCAGGAGCTGAAAGTTCTGGTAGGTCACCGAATTATCAGAACAAATCTTTGAATCCTTGCAAAGCGCAGAGCGTTCCGGAAAACACAGGGCGACAGAAGCGCATTATTCGAGCGGAAAAAGGATTCGGCTTCTCATTCTGCAGTCCACGCCTGGTCACAAATGCTCACAAAGGAAAGAAAGACCAGAAACGAGCAACTTTGAATATGCCAATACTTCAATTCCCACGTTTTCTGAGGGAACTTCGTAACTCTTGAGTTGCCAAGCTCTGGACCCCCATCAACATTGGAACTCAACAAGCCGCGGGTTCCCGTGGGCGTAGAGGCAGGGAGTAGACAGGCAGGAATGATACAGGTTGCGCATCCCAACCTTCGGGGGCGTCAAGTACTGAGAACACATTGATTTGAGCTGGTTATCGGGTCATTGCGATCATCATTGCCGAGATACAAGGCCCAAGCATCTTTGAAACAGAAGGACGAAAGCAGCGGCAAGACACTTTCGAAGTGGCAGCAAAAAACCAGCTGATCCTTACGGGAGCAAAGACTTACGTCGGGGGAGAAGTTTCAGCCCAACTCGGACGCATCAGAGAAAAATCTCAGCAAGAAACCATAATGTCCTCGTCAATGCAGATCGAAAGCACCCGACGAACACGAGGACAAACACAAGCGGCAGATCAAGTACAATACATCAGCCCAAAATACGGAGAAAGAAACGAAACCAAAACAGGGTATCTTGCTCCCTTGCAATGCAGTAATTTCTCGGTAGAGGTTTGCAAGCGGCCCCCAAAGCAGGTCACAATACACACCGACTCGAAGCTGAGATTCAAGCATATGAAAGCCAATAACAAAAGCATTGGTACTTGCGTGTCAGGGGCTGGCTCCGGTCTGCCGTCAACCGCTGAGCTTGCACGCTCATTTGGGCCATCATTGCCGTTCGACAGACTTAACGAACGTGCAAGCCGTTCGAACATCTCAAATCCCAACAAGAGCAGGTCTCCAGCGGCCAAGACAGTACCTTGAAAAGGCGCCACGTGTCACGTCCCCAAACGCGCACTATCAACCGTCCAAGTGGAAACTGAAGAGTATACTCACCGTTCACGCTGCGAGGGCAATGACCACGTGGTAAACGGTTAAGCACGTCTCCGTTGGCAAAGATTGTCTGGGTGTATTGATCTCGTTCTAGTTTTCGACGGATTTGACTACACCACACAGACGTGGCTTCAACCAGGTCGTCTCAAGGCTTTCGTGGCACATTCAATGCCCATAGCCGCCACGGCATCATCGCCACAAATAGACTACAGCGGAGGGTTTGGAAGCTGTGGCGCTCGCAGACGGCTAATGCAACATAGAGGGAAGAGTTACGCCAATTCGGGCACAGAAGAAGCGACAGAAGACGCTAATCATTCTCTCGAAGAGGGACCCAATCTACTTTAGAATCCAACAGAAAGAAGAACAGCAGATCCGCCTTTGCAAATCCGGACGTGCAAGGAATGATGCGCAAACTAGAAGACGTCTAGGCCACGGCTCTGATGGCACATTGCAGCGTAGAACATACATTGACAACGTTAAGAGAAGAGTCAGTCGGAAAAGCAAGGAAGTACTTTTGGACCGCTTGTACGCGGACGAAAGGTCGTTTGACGGATGAGGCCGGAGAGAAACCGATGCAAGTACGTCCTACGGCAATCGCAACTCGGAGAGCCAACCTTGTAACAGAAACTCGTTTTCTGTCCAGAGGATTACTCAGCTCCGTCCAACGCAAAGCACGTTTGAGGAAAAAGCAATATTGCCCATCATTTGCACCGTCATTGCCAAGGTCTTTGAGTACAATCTGACGTTTTGACAACCGGCCAAGTCCAAGTTATTTACAGGCTTCTTTGCCTTCGGGTCCTATGACTGCGCACCTTCTTTGCTCAATCGCACCGTCATCATTGCCTTTCACACGCCGGAAAGACACGGGAAACAAGCATGATATGTTGCCCACGTGGGAGCCAACAATAAGAACAATCACCATGTCGTAGCAGAAGCCCAGTCGCAACTTTGATAATGGGAAGAAAAGAAGTTCCTGACAAAGGCGAGGGTTTAAACGCTCTAATTGAATGTCTCCAGGAACTTGTGTAGGATCTGATACACCACGTCAAAAAGGCAAGTAAAGCACGCTGTAATGTACCCTTTTGTTGCACTGTAGTTAGACGACAGGGGTGGATCACTCCTGTCAATGTGGGAATTTCAACGAGTCTGTTGCACGAACTTTTTTGGTGAAGGTTGCAAGCTTGAACTCGTGATTCCGGTTACCGGATGCGATTCAACGATTCGTGCCCAAGACCAATTGCAGAATGGCACCGAAAAGTAAGATACACGCGGCCGATATGGCAGCATAGCCCCCGTCAATTTGTATCTGGGCAGATTCAATGCCTATGCTAGCCGCTTTTCATCCAGAACACTTGTTTTGGAAGCTAGTGCACCGAAACAGGGAAACACACGACAAGGCTCAAATTGTAGAAAACTCACCCGCACATCAATTGACATTGAAACGCACCTGTAAGCCATTGGTGCCTTTGACCAGAGTACAAGATGGCCGTGCTTTTTCCTCATTCAGATGCCATTCACAGCCCCAGCAAAGAATCTGGAATCATCCGAGAGTTGTCGACTAATCTGGGCTCTGTCGATCCGACACCGACTCTCCTGAAGATTAATCTGACCTACGGTGAGAGAAGGTTGGCACTTTGCATTGGGCGGAAATTCCCATAAGCACCAACATTGCCACCAAAAAACGAGTATGGAAGAGGGGCAAGCAATCGGCTTGATCGACAATAACGCGGGTTCATTCCGTCGCAGTAAGACTGCCAAGAGATCCCAACATGAAAGCAAGCCAGCCCGTCCAAGAAAAGCTGCCAATTCGATTAGTAATGTACATCGTGCTCAAGCTCTATGCGAAGAAATTGGTGAGACATCATGTACCAAGTTGCTCGAAACACATTCATTCCAAGGGTGCACGCACGGGACTATTGTCTTGACTTGCTTTACCAACTCAACGTAATTTGTCTATTGCTGGGACATAACAGATGCAAAAAACCATCCAATTCTTCACGCCCCTCTCCAACAATGTGCCAGAATTGGACGGCGTCTGAAAATACCTGTAGGCTTGGTGGGCAGCTCTAAGCTTAGTGCATATACCATAATTGCCGCCTTTGGACCAAGGCACTTATTCATTGATGCACAGAAACCGCTGTTTGACGGTCAACTCAAACCCAAACTTGAATAAGGGACCAAGCACGCTGCAAGTAGGCACAGATTAGCCGAGCAATTTCTGCAGGAGATTCCACAAAGGCCAGGATTGTTCGGGCTCCTCAGAAAGAAGGCATAAACGTTACCGAATCAACAGTTCAGTTCACAACAATACTTCGGCAGTGGTTAACGGGTATGAAACACACAAACTGAAAAGGAAATGCTCTCTTGCTCGACATACCGCAAGCTCAGTCCTGAGGTCGCTGACATTAGAAATGCAAAGCTCACAATGGCATTACACGGGACAAACGCAAATCGTTCACGGAAGATGGGCAACAATGCGAGATGACCCGGCAGAAGCGTGTGCACAAACGTGTGACCCACGGAGAGAATCAGCAATCCCGCAAAAGTCGCTGAGTGCTTCGAAAATACAGCACTTCTTTCAAAGCACGAATTAGAATATCAGCTCACTTGAGTGTTCAACTTCGTATGGCACCTTCCTGAAAGAAAAGTAAGCGATCGAAGCAGAACAATGATAGCAAAAGCAGGGGCGACCAAGGCCGGGAGTTTCACCTGAAAATGGTCGCCAAAAGCCGCCCCGTGCAAGGTCGTGATCTCGTTGAGGCCGATCTGGTGCAGGTCTGGTTCCGCCCACCGCTGCTGTAGCACCACCGCGCGGAGCTCTGCGTTGTTGCGTTGCCGGTGGGGGTATCTATACGAGACCTGGAAATAAGGGGGGGAGAAAGGTCAAGTGACGTCAGCAGATCATGATGCAACGTCACTGCTGCAGCACTACCGCGTGCAGCTCCGCGTTGTTGCAATGCCGTTGGGGGTATCTGTACGAGACCTGTAAATATTGGGGGAGCGTTGTTATGAGTGACGTCAGCAGGCCATAATGCAACGTCAGCCACTGCTGCTGCAGGGCCGCCGCGCGGAGCTCCGCGTTGCCGTGCTGTCGGATGGGATACTTTACGACACCTAGAATTCAGGGGGATGACAACAGGTTACGAGCAGATACTGATGTGACGTCAGCCACACTTGCTCTCTTGTTCTGTGAATCGACCGAACCGGTATTATTGGGAGTACTATTACAACACAAAAGACGAAGGGGATTTTCTAGGGTACAACCACATTGCGAATATGACGACGTCAGCGTAAAGCAAGAAACGTCAGCCTAGCAAGTTCACCTAGAAAGAAGGTTTCAATTAGTTTGTAATAGCAGCGTGTGGCACTGGAACGACGTCTGTAATGTGCAAGTGCGAAGGGGAGAAGACGTTGTCGTAAATCTGACGTCAAGGGTGTCGGGGAACGTGACGTCAGGGCTCGACTGTTATCGACTCCACGGTAGACGCTCCGCACCAAGCGTCCAACGCAACAGCCGAACAGTTTGTCCGGCAAAAGAATGCTTTGTTATCCAACCGAGATGGCCAGCCTTATAGTACCTTGAGATAATATACGCAGAGACCAAACACCCAGACGTCGTGAGCTATCTCTTTTTAGAAAAGCTCCACAGGTTTGGCTTCCAACTGGTGCGAACACACAGGACTGTAGACTCCGACGTCGTCACAAGACTCAACTTGCGGATCAAAAGTCGTATACGCAGTTCGGAAATTGAAAACACGCACCTGCCGCCGCATGGCCCCCCGTTCCTCCGCGTCTTCGACGGGCGTCCATTCCGTGGCGGAATAGTCCTGCCACCCGAGAGCGGAAGCCACCTGCTGGTCGAGCTGGTTGTCATACATAATCTGCAGAAGCGAGAGCACAAAACATCTTGTATCATTTTGAAGTGAACGTCCGCTGACGTCAGAAGACACTTGCGGTCCGCAGGGTTCTCAAAGCGAAGTCGACCGGTCCCATTGCGCACGATATCTGTGCCTTTCCATGCCACAAATCTCGATGAACCTCTGAAAAAATACTCGACCTAACCGTTTCAGAAAGCTACACAAGTCGAGACTCATCCGCCAGATTCGCTTTCTGAACCGCCACAGGAGCTCTTAGTGCACGATCTCTTCTGCAGTCGTTGTCTCCGCATCTTCGACGCCCGGTGTAACCTAAGATGCTTACCTCAAGGAACGCCTCGGGCGTAATGGGCACATCCATTTCTAAAGCTAGCGTCATCTCCGGCTCTTCCATCGCGAGAAACTCCTCTTCGTCCAGCACCGTGCTCGACACCTCGCGCATCTCTTCCCGGTCGCGCTCCACTTTGCCGTGCTGCTTATGCAACAGTCTCATCGTCCGGAACGCGTTCCCCGGATGGACGAAGTTCTCGAAGCGGAACACGTGGCGGCCCGCCTTGTCCAGTGACGTTGCGTGCTTGATCGCCTCGGGGGTTGCGCTGGCTTTCAAATAACTGCAGGGTTAGACATAGGGTTAGGTGCTCTCGTTTGCAATCACACCGAGGATAAATGAAAGAACAAACTCCGGAAGGCTTTCTTTTGGAGACCGGGTTTTTGATCGGCGGCCCGTCTTGTCGAGTGAGAACGCGGGCTCGATCGCCTCGGGGGTCGCGCTGGCCTTCAATAACTGCAGAATCTAGCGTTCATGATCAAGACGCCTTCTTCTGCAACCCACTCAAAGAAAACGGACAAAATACTTCTGGCATTGTGAAGGCGAATTAAATTTGAGGACGTCTGGGACGGCTGGACACGTGCTTGATCGCCTCGGGACTCCCGCTCGCTCTCAGGTGGCGAGCATAGATGCAAGTCTGCTCGCCTTATTTTCAAAAATGGTTGAAGGTGGGCGTAGGCGCAGAGTCAACTTTCAAGGGTGTTCTGCTGCGCAGTGGGTCAAGTTTGACGGCTGCTCTGGTGGTAACTTGAGGAATTGCTGTCAGAAGTGGAACGCAAAAGTTGCTCCGCCGCAGGTAGTACTCGCCTTCCAGAAGCTGCAAAGAAACGGCTCGAAGTGGTGTTTTTTACTCAAGAAAAGGCGGACATGCAGCTGCAGTTGCGTCGCAGATGCTGAGAGATCTTTCATACAAGTAAACGGGGCACGCGAGTTTGTTCGAGGAGGTATCATCCGTCAGATTCATTTGCAGGGCTCGTTGAGAGGAAGAGATTATATGTGTGGACTTTCAAGGGCTAATTTCAAGACATCTGTACGAACGACCGCAGAGCAATGTCACGTGTGACGGGAAGCTGCACACGCGACTCAGTACGGAGAAGACAGCGGATGTGTCGGAGCGGTTACAATGAGGGAATCTGTTATCTGATCTGGAGCTACTTGTGTACCTCTCAGACCAGGGGGACGGTCACATCTCGTCAACCGTGGAAGTGATTTGAGCTCTCCCAATATTGGAAGCTTTCGACGAGCCAGAGATGCTGGTCTGCCAAACTCTGACTGCTCAAGGCCGTATGCCCTCTTTCCGAACTCTTTGCCTCCACAGACAACTCCCACAGGAAAGTCGTTGCAGGATTCCGAAAAGATAGAAAGATAGAGGAAAGATGTACAAAGATCTACGAGAGATCCACAAAGTTCCACGCCGCTCACATCTTGACGTGCGGGAAGAGGATGGTCTGCAGCGCCATGAGCGCTTTTGGCGTCGTCCGCTCCTTGATCTCCTCGATGTCCTCCCACGCCAGCGTGAACGAAATCTTGGTGCCGAAATGGTTCGAGTAGAAGGCGAGCAGATTGGGCGACAAATAGATACGACCCTGGAAGGTAAGAAAGGATAGTTGAAGAGGGTCTAGCTTTGTCCTTGTCCAAAGCGTCATGGCGAAGCGCGGGTTTCGAGGAAGTGTGAGAACAAGGCCAGCGGGTTGGGGCGACAGGAAGTTGCGGCCCTGCGAACCCGCCCTGAGAAAAGGGCGGGTTGGTTTTCACACACGGCAGGAGCAAGCACTTTGAGATTACTAGGTGATGTGATGCTAAAAATACTTGGGTTGCTCTTGTCAACAAGCGTGTTCGAGGAACGAATAGCAGGTTGGGCGACCATTTGTTGCGGCCGCGATAAAATATGAAACAGTACAGAACTTGAGCATCAACGGACCGGCATTAATCAGATGCGAGACTATCTGCTCCGAAACATGCTCGATCGAAGAGGAATCATCAGCAACTTTACCGACAACGAAGGATGCTGCCTTGTTGGCCCTCAGACAGGGTGAGAGAGGTGTTCGGGCATTTTTGCGCAGACGAGCTTTACAAGCCTCCACGATTAGCCAGCCCCAGATGCTTATACTTGCATTTGGAGCCGAGCCTAGAGTGCATTGGCGCGATGTCAGTTCCTAGAAACGAAAGTCCAAACGGCGTGCAATAGCAGCCGAAAGACAATTACAATTTGATACTTTGCAAGGAAGAAAAGAGAGGTTCTGCCCTCACCCCGGCGTTGGGCCCCCGCTTTCGTTTGAGTTGGCACGCGAAGTTGTCAATGAGGATCTCGTGTTCGGGCAGGGAGAAGAGGCGGTGGAAGGGGCCGCTGTATTGTGACTTCTCGGCTTTGATCTGCAGAGAGTGGAGAAAAGGACTCTGACGGCCTTCATATCAACGTCGAACTCTCTGCACAGAATGGGGATGGGGAGGACTAACCGGCCTGATCTGCGCAATGACTTGTCCGCTTCCTCTGCACAATGTTCGAAAGGGAATATCAAACCGCCTTGAAATGCATGGCCGGAATGTCGGGAAACGTGACCGTTCTTATAAAAAGCTTTTGACTCACAAAGCTCCAGGTTTTCGAGCCTCTACACTGACACTGGTTCCAATGGCTGCGAGTGGCGCGCAGTAGAAAGGTACCTTAGATGCGGAGACAAGTGCGCTTCGAAAATCGCGCAAAGGCGGGGCAGACATCGGTGTCAGGAATAGACGAAGGCTCTTGTCCTTGTACATTGTTTTCAGCTCCCAACGCGGCAAACTGGCGCAACCCATTATCCTGGAGCCCAATCCCGCTACTAGACTTGTAGAGAGCCGTAACGTAATCTACTAATCTAGAACGCTATCAGGCTAAAACCAGTAATGTTCTCATGCTTCTCTCCCCTCTCCTGCTCGACGATCCCGCCATTGGCCCCGTCTTTTATGCCGCAGCGTTCTCTGACCACTGAACTCTCAAAACCAAAATCAACGATCGGAATCTTCGTGACGACCTGTAAACACTATAACCACTAAAACCACCCCACCTTCTTTCCCGTCTCCTGCTCTACTCCCCAAGAAGGTGAACGGAGAAACTGCCAGTCGCAGTCGTTCAAAGATTCTAAAAAGACTGGTTGTTCTCACCTTCTTCCCTGTCTCCTGCTCCACGATCTCCGTCAGCTCCCGCGTGCGCGTCCCCGCCTCGCTCGCGTTCTCGTTGTTGAGCACGATCTTCAGGTGCAACCGCGCGCCGGTCCCGCGCACTTTCTCGCCCTCCAAGTAGACCCACAGATCGTTCAGGCCTTCCGTGGTGTACTTCAGGAAGTCGACTTCTGCGATGCCGAGTGTTTGCGCGTCGGAGAATGGGCCCTCGTAGTCTTCGACGGCGATGGCCAGGTAGCGGGGGCACGAGTCCATCGGGTCGAACTGGTGCACCTCTGTGATGAGAAAGCACGCTGGTGTGACTATCAGCCGCGCAACGATTCTGTGCCGTAATTTTGTAGTAGCAGACACTTTTCATCTACTACCATTCCTCCGATTGAAACAAACCTTGCTAAAGGACCTAGGAAGAGATAAGGACGTGTGAAAGGGCCGGGTAGGAGTTTGAGAAAGCTTTCAAATGTTCGCGATCGAGACACCTTGGTTTTGGCCTCTTCGAAGATGCAAATTTTCGTTTGTGGCTGTCCAAATACTCGCACAGGGGTGCTTTTATTTCAAGGATCGCAGAAAGTACGTTCGTCACCGGCTACCCTATCAAACGGAATGAGAAATGCAACTTACATCATGTTCAAAGAGCAACGGGAAGAGAAGGTCGAATTGGAACGGGATCAAGGGGTTGGATCCTGTTTTCGAGGCTTTAAGCATGGGAAGATTACGATGCAAAACCACACTGGAAAGAGATTAAATAAGCGCAGAGATTGTAGCAAGCATCGTCGAACACGCAACGAATCGTTAGTCCCTTTCTCAGGGTGTCTCCTTTGCCAAACTTCTAAGGCACATGCATTGCGGGTATTGACCCTAAAGGTTTGACGCTTCCGTGTCGGCAGCCCAGCAGCACAAAGTGATTCCTACTAAGCGCGTTTTCGACGCCACAGCAAATTCTGGCGTCGATTCCGGTACCAACCCCAGCGGAAACTTGGAACATTGGGCGAAAGCTCACCGTTCCATCGAGTGTCTTGTCCCTGCACTTTGACGCTGCTTGTTCGTGACTGCCCGCCGCAGCCGAGCAGCACAAAGGGATCCCTCTTGAGCCCGTTCTCGTCGACCATGGGCAGGTTTTGTGCCTCCAGGATCGCAACACTCAGCTGCCAACCGTTAACATTTACGTTGGGCGCTTGGTTGTCGCCTATAACTGCGGAATGGGAAAAGCGATTTGGATGAGAGTCGAGACTGTGAGAATGCGATCTGGATCGGTCCCATTCAGTTGAGACGAGCGCGACCGATATGCGTAAAAACGCATCAAAAAATGAAGGTTCAAGGGTTTCTTGAATTGAGAAGAAGAAGAAGTCGAGGGCCTTGCCTTCGTCTTCGTTTGCAAGGACGATGACGTATCTGAAACTTCGAATTCGGGCCGCTGAGCTTCCATTCCTTGGAAATTTCTGTAAGCGGACGTAGGCAATATTCCTTTTCGGCAGAATCGATTGACCATCTGAAGTCAGCTTGCGTTAGCTTGCGTCGAGCATCATGGCCTGGCAAATCCGCATCCAAGTCTTCGACGACACTGCTTAGGCACAAAAGCTGAGGTATACAACAAACACCACAAAGCACCAGAGATCACAGTGGAATGAAAGTTGCTCCAAAGGCAGGGTGCAGATGCTTGTGATTGTAATACGTCTGAAGGTAAAGCCGTACAAACGATTGAACCGAGCGCCGACTGAGAGCCCGACCAGAACCCTCTTGTCACCCGTTATGGGGTCTTAGACCGCCAGACCTGAGGAGGGCTTCAGGAAGTTCGAAAGGAGCAGAAGACAGTATGGAAGCAGCGGACAAATGATGTGGCTGCACATGACAGAGGGACCAAGCGGAAGACGTCAAGCGATGCAGGGGAGGAATCGCCATGTTGTCGCGTTTCTTGCAACGGTGGCATATAGTCGGGCTGGTCGTGGCCCAAAGAACAGTTACCTCATCATGCCTTCCGAAATGGTTAAGAATACCCAACGTGCATCGGTTCTATGGAGGAACCCCAATTGCGAACGACCGGGTTTTGTTGACCAGGTTCTGTTGACCGGATTATTAGACCGGGTATTGGTCAGGGGCGCGAGCAGCGGGGCGAGCATACAGGACTCGATTCTGAAAGCTGCTCATATTGTGTCAACAACAGGAGTGGATGGCCCAAGTCAGAAGTAAATGAACGTTGATCAAATGGCATCAGGATTTCCAGCTCATCAACGCTGGATTCTAAACCCAGACATCTGCCTCATCGTTGCCTGCCATGACGTACACAAAATCTTTCTTACCAACGGTTGTGTGACCATCATTTGAGGACTGTGCGGAGTCTGATATTAGAATTTTCATTGTAGACCTCAATTTCAAACTGTTCCAGAAAGACAATTAAACGACATGGATTCATTGTAGACCTCAATTTCACACTGCTCCAAAAAGACATTTCAACAACATGGAAAAGGCAACGACGGCCCCCCCGGCAAGGTAAGCAGAAAGGCTAGGCAACAATGGTTTGACAAATACTATCTTGTCTGGCGCGCCAAGGAGGACACGTGTCACCATCAGGTCGGACTCCTGGCGCCGTACGAGCAGGTGATGTCACAAACGCGGAGCGTTTTGACAGCTCAACGGGGCAGTTAAACGAGCATTTTCCAAGGCTGCTTCGGCAAACTGGGGTTCGAAATCTCGGAATCGCACAAAGAGATAGAGCTTGATAGGGCAGCGGTATCAGGATGAGAATGGCATTGCTGGATTGCTTTTCCCATTCTTGCCTCGTCATTACCACAGCTTCCGCCAAGCGTGGAACTGGGAAGCGCAAAAGGCAGGACTACTGCGCCACCTTTTGAGCTACTGGAAAAGGTTTATGCACCGGACATTGCGAAGCAAAAGAGAAGCTCTCGGTATTGCAGAGTTTCAAAGGCGTGTCAACAAGGTCCAACCAAGAGGGTCACACCCTCTTTTGCGAGGACTGCCTGAGCAATCACTTCTCGTCTTATCGTCAAGCCTTTGAACCAACTCGGCCTGGCAATCTACGTTGAGATAATGAGGGCCTCTGCGAAGTCAGAGAGGGAGATTGGGCTTCTGCTCCCATCCGCGATTTGTCATTGGCCCGCGACAAGAATCAGATAAGATTTTGACCATCCAGCAACCATTTAGAAACATGTCACCAAGCCGCTCGGATCGAGAGGCCTCCTCCCTACGTTGTTGACACTCGATATTGCCTTACGGAGAGGCACAAAGCACCCAGATCCAGTAAACCTCGTAATGCTACTAAGTGGCTTTTCTGGCCGCAAAAGGACATTGGCTGACACGGGTGGATGTCGCCATAGTTGTTTGCCGCACGTAGCAAAAGAACCCAAGGCGATTCCGCTAAATCAAATGATAAACGCGACAAGTGTGACCTAAAGGTTTATGCTACCTCGGCGTCAGCCAGCAACAGAAAGTGTCGTAAATTGACAATGCGCCCTTCATCATTGCCGTTCGAGAACCTTCAAGAAGACGTCCTACGTTCACTCCATTCGCGGGTACTTATGCCAACCACGAGAAAGTTAATCAGGTCGAAATCTTGCCTGGTTTAAATCGTTTGCGTCCTTACAAACCAGCCAAGATCTAGGCATGAGCAGCGCAACGGATTTTCTTAAAAAGTTAAAGCCTGGTTGCCAAGGCACAAGGAAACAGCGTCGACACAAAGTTGCATAGCCTCGGCCGCAGTAAGCAGGAAAAGCACACACTCAAAGCAGAAGTCTCGTCTGAGGGTGCTCGGACAGATAGTGGAGCATTCTCTAGATGTAAGGGAAATCGACACTGACGGAGTGTGCCTCCTTTATAACCGCAACTAGCTTCAATCACATTGGGCCATGTCGATCAACATTCAGCATCCGTGGTTCTTGTGGAGGTGCCTCTGTCCCCCTTTCGTAGTAAGAAAACAAATGCCAGTGCAGAGGCTCAACGGACAATGCAACGAATCTTGGCAGCGTACCCAAATCCGGTCCATCATCGCTCCAGCACCTTGCCACGACCACTGGACAAGTGTATCTCTTCGACTCTCGAGGACGCTTCAGTACTAACAGCGCGCGGCACCCTTTGGCCACAAGCGAAGCCTTCCTGACCAGTGCAAAGGACAATGGGTCCGATCAATGATGAAAGCTCCTTGCAAGCGCAGGCTAGCCAAGTCGGGGCATCAGAGGCAAGGCTTGAGGCTGAGCGTTCGCATCCAAATCACGTCTACAGTGCCGCATCGGCTTACTTCAGAAGAATGGGAAAGCGCTACTCAAGCTGGAGGGGCCGCCTAGCGCACCGTCAATTGGCGAGGACATCATCGTCCCTCAATAAGACGCAAAAAGAGGGACAGCGAGTGCTTCAAAGATATTTTGAAGTCGATCGTCACTGAAAACACGTCTGCAATTGCTGCTTTTTTGCTGCTGAAATGCCTCTACGCTCTTCGACCGCCGTTCGAAGTGCTGAAGGAAGGTATGGGATTGTTTGATTGGTTTCCGCGTTCTGAAACAGAGGGCACTGCCAGAAGAATGGGAGGCTGAAGGGCAGCGGCATCAACAGCGGAAGCATAGATGGCGTGAGCGTGATGCCCAGTGGCCAGCTTATCATCGCCTTTGCACCCGACCAAACGGACACTCACAGGGATTACTTCGACTGATTTTAAAAATCAAGGATACGTTGCAGGCCGCACAATACTGGGATGCATTCGTTGGAAGAAACGTTCTCTCATTGACAGCGCCAGAAGAAAAAGGCGAAAGACTCTGCGGTGATGATGGACAAAACTTTCGTACCACTTCAGGGATCTTGTGTGGGAGAACACTGTGAGGATGATTGTCGTCATCTCGTCATCCTCTATTGCAACCATCAACTTGGGCAAACAGAGCTGTTGACCTACAAAGACCGCGGTGACGCATAATGGTGGGTCACTACGAATTCGGGCTCCTAGGTAACACGCTCCTTTCAGATGGATTATGTCACATGGAGAGACGACCACCCTACAGATTTAGCAGAAAACTTCCAGCTCAAGTCGTGGAGGGGATTACTGGGCGTCCTCGAACCCAGAAAACTTGCACGGTTCGTCCTTGCCGTTCAAGTCGAAGTTGACCAAAATTGCAATCTACTCATGTCATCAACTATACAAGGCAAGCTTGTCGGAGATTAGCTCGGCTCAAGACCAGCAACACAGAAGTGAGGCAGTCAGACAAGTAAACGAGTAACAGAGTCTGCCCCTGAATGTGGCCTCGAATGCGGGTCTGTCCACTCAGGCCCGCAGTCATGTGCTGAGGTGGAAGGAGCTTTACGAGAAGCCTCGACACAAAAGGCTTGATCGTTCTGGATGGGGCTTTTCATGGTTGCGCAGAGCTCTCCCTAAGCACGGAGCGAATGTTCACCTCACCGCACATATAGCCGGTGTCGAATCAGAGGTTCAACAAAAACTTGGATTGCGCATCACACTGTTTTTGACATATCAAGTCTTTCAAAACAGTGAATTGCGATAATTTCCAAGACTTGAAACGCCTCGAAATGTCAACCAGGTCCGTCGCATGGTCTCGTTTCATTAGATGAAGCAACGCGGAGGAGAACCAACGGGAAGATAAGTACAAGCTGCTGAAAAAGCGAACCTCCGAGCACAGCAACATGATTACAATCTACCAATCCCGCGCGAGGCGTCAGACTGGCAACACCATGGCGTCTCTGAGCTAGTGTGAGCCCACGACATCCGATGCCCGATCACTGCCTTCAAGATATGTCCAACTGCTGCAATCACGTAGGTTTGACGTACAAGAAAGTGCAGCTGTGCTGTCAATCTGAAAATCAGCCAGTCGGCAATCCTCGCAAGTCGCATCTTGTGGTTTAGATACGTCAACCAGAATCCAGAGAGGAATAAGAAAAAGAAGATGTTGCACGGTTGAATAGGGAAAAGGGGTTACGGAACGCGGCTCACCCATGGAGATGCCGTGCCGCAATAGGTCCAGCCCCCTCGAGACCATCATCAGGACCAGGGTCGCGATAACCCCCGCCCACACTACTTCCCAAACCCTAACCGCGGGGTGTAACCCTAGCCAGAAGACCATGCCCCGGCGCTCGTCTCCCCCGTATAAGTGCAGCCCGAAAATGTGGTCTGCGAAGCGGTGGGCCGCCAAGCAAAGAACTAGGATGGAGGCGCCGGACGCGACCTGCGGAGAAGCGGCGGGGGTGAGTCAAAACGGAAAACAGGTGACCGGATAAAGGTATACTTTATCGACTGGGAAGGCAAATTGTGTGAGTTCCATACTTGTACCTGTAAAGAGTTCTGGGCTGTTCACACGGCAATGTAAGAATGAAGAAGACGAGACGCCCGACACCTGCGTAACAGCAATATCAATCTTGCCGCTATTTACGACCACTTCGCTTCCGGCAGTGTGTAAATGTTGACGCTGACCCTCGACTCTCCATTACCTGTGCCAACATCAGTCCAACGTCCCAATGAAAGTCGAAAAGGAAATGCAATCGAGCCGGTTGACCGTCTGGACCTCGTCGAAGTTGCTTTCATCAAGCACTCCGAGGACAGGCGAAGAGCAAGGGAACCATTCGCACCTCAAACACGAGTTTGTTACAGACACTTCGTTGTTTGAGAGCAGATATGAGGAAGGTCTGAAAGAAACTCTGGTAAAAAATGCACACATCTCCTCGACGAAAACCACTTTGACCGTCCGCACCTCGTCGAAGACGCTCTCCAGGAACGCGTCAATGTCTTGTCCGTCGTCCGACAAGTCCGACGGCAGCAGCTCCAGCGCGCCGCCCTTTCGCCGTCCGCCCTTTCCGTCAAGCCGCTTGCTCGTGGAACCCGCCGCCAGCGCGTCCTTGTCGAGATGGGCCGCGTACCCCCCCAGAATCTCGACGAACGTCGCGTACGTCTCCTTGAGCCCCTGGGCCATGCCTTTCTCGATCATGCCCTGGACAGAAGAAAGAAAGAGAGCACAAATGAAGAATGGAAGAAAAGTGGTCCAAGAACACTCCATCGTAGAGTTCCGGCGCGCGTCTACTCAAGTGTCCTCGAGCTCTGTCATTCTCAACCATGCCTGTACGCTGACCGATCAGAGGAAATATTCAACAGCTGACGTGAGCTTTCTGCCGGATAGAAGGGGCTGCGTTTTGAGTGGGTTGCAAGCGAAATGGTCTGTCATGCAAGAACGGATGGGGCATCGAGTCGGCAGATTGCCCATACTTTCCTCCGAGACGACTCTCCTGGGATTTCGATGTAAAAGGAGCTCTACCTATCCGCGTCAGTCCTTTGCCTGGACAAAATAGATTCTCCGATTAAGATAGGGTCTACTACCTCACACGAGCACCTGGGCTCACAGCGTTTGCCGTTTCAGATGGCAATCTCCAGAACAACTCTCTAGTCCTACCCCCGCCCTTCAACCAACATTTGCAAAGGGGGGATGCTTCGTGTAGTACACTTACCTTCATAATCGTACTCTTGAGAAACTTGGGCTCGTACGAGATCTGCAACCGCGTCACGGCATTCCTACCATTCGACGCCAGTGATTTAGTCGACTCCGAGCCCCCCGCAGCCGAAATCTCCGTCGAGACCTCGCCCCCCGCCTCGCTGCCGGCGACTTTTGCTCCCCTCACGCTGTCGTCACCCGCGCCTAAGGACCTGGCCGACATCCCATTTTCGTCTCCGTTCACTGATTCGGGTGACGTCATCCCGAACCGCGAAAGGGACGACGAGCTTTTGGCCCCGTTTGCGTCCGAGGATTTAGGTGTTCGGGGGGAGGTCTGGGCGTGACGTGGCGTTCGGGGAGACTCAGATCCTCGGCTAAAACGTCCGGACGGGGTTGGCGGTGCGTCGATGCTTGCGCCGGAACCCTCCCGGGTTAGGGTTGACCCGGATGGGGGCTCCTGGGTTATGCAGAACTTGACCTCGGTGCAGAACGTGTCGCCCATCGGGACGTCTTTGGCGACCGTGGTCACGTGGATGACGTAACAGGATGACGTGGCAGCCAGATACCTGAACAGTACGTGAAGCAAGCTTGTCAACGTACTCCACACCTATTAAGAATGTTCGGAAAGATCATTTCAAGAGAAGTGTATTTGGCAGGAGCGGCGGCCTACCTGGGCGCTCGAAATCAACCCGAGAATTCCCTTTGGAAACAGTGCTGAATATCAAACGAAGCCGGTGAATGTTTCGATTTCGACTTTGAATCCGTACATATGATGAAGTGTCCAATTCAAGTGTCGGAATATACAAAGATTCGAATTGTATCACAGTGGGTATGTTGGGCGCCAGCTCAGAAGATGGAATAATTATTGGGAAGGCGAAGGGAAATCCTGAGGACCTTTACATAGACTAGTCGTTTGGGAATGCGAAGGGAAAGCCTGAGGACCTTTACAAAGCCCCAGGAAACTTTTCTCCACAGCCCGTTTGCTATTCACGGCTTTTACAGTCCAAACTGTCCCACTGCCAGCAATACTGATGACTGCCACTCGTAAGACGGACTCGACGTCAAAGAAAAAGCTCGGTACTTTGGAAAGACAAGCCGACCAGGGTTGCTTCAAAGACTGCCCTCGATCAGACTTTGATTTGCAGGCAACCCAAGGAGAAATCCCCCGACTCCAAAACGAACTTCCGTGTCTGCACCCGACTCTTCCCAGAAGAGAGACCCAAGGACATTGTAAGCTCGTCCTGGACTCACAAGCATCCTGAAAGCCTCACTTCTGCGTCTACGCACCCTGACAAAACTCGACCATCTTGCTAGACGCCGTCCTGAGATCGAGCAACCCACTTCCTGATCCCAAGAACCGAATTCTAACAACTTTTCTTGGTGACCGCAGATTGGGCGCGGTCATGAAGTTGAGCACTCTCTCAGCTCATCGTTGGAAATTGTGAATTACATCCTGAGGATCTAACGCCAGGATTCGTTTGGAACTACAAAACCCTCAGCTCCTTACTTCTGCGTCTCCACCGCTCGGCAGGACTTGACCAGCTTGCTGGGTGCCGTCATGTAGTCGAGCATCCTCTCGGCGACGACCCCCTCCTCGTCGCTAGGCGCCCAGGGCGGGGTGTGGGGATCCGTGACGCCCTTGCGCGTTCGCATCTCCTCAGACATCTTGGAGCCTGCACTCGACAAAACCTCTTAGTTTCGCTAATTTTGTTACTCGGAGTTTCCAAAACTGCAGCAATCTCTTTTTTTGATGTATATAGTACGGCTTGTCCCAAAGTATATAAAACATCGATCTTCGGATCTGAGGCCTGAACTGTGCTTCCATAGTCGTAACCCCAAGGTTTTCAGAGCCTGCAACGACAGCCTTGAAACGAAATGAGGCGGAATTCTCGCTTTGACAACTTGACTCAAGGCCACAACGGTAAGCTGCTTGAAGACCTTGAAAGTCCTGAGAATCTGTTCTCGAAATTGACCTCAGACAGAAAGGACTGATTGGTGAGCGTTACAAGCATACTTTAGTTAGGGGCACATGTTGCTGGGCCCTTCACAAAGTGTTACCCAACCAGAGCCACAGTATCAGACATGGCCACAGTCTTCATTCATCGCAAAATGGTTATGCCTCCTCTCTGTGCAGGTTAAGTCACCGAAGGCGCCTCTCAAGTTGAACCTTCAAGTCGCCTTTCAAATATCAAATCTACACAGACTCAAAACTGTTGGCTGGCTTGCTCGACTTGATGAACTGAGGCAATAAAGGACCACACACAGGCCTTTAAAGCACTTCCTCGACATTGATTTTCGAAGAGGGACTCAAAAGACCCCGCTCACCAGGCCCAAAGATAATCCGATTCAGCTCCTTCGCCGTAACGCCATAGAGCTCATCCACCAGCATGCCCCCATTCAGCGGAGCCAACACATCTTTACTCAGCACCCCCCCAGATACCCCCTCCATTTCTCCCCCCTCCTCAAAGAGTACCCCGTCCAAATCCTCCGCGATGCTCGCACCCCCCTGCGAAATCTCGGACCGCATGGAGGGCGTCCGAGGGTTTAAGTCATCCGCGCCTAGTTCGGGCAGCCGCCCAGAGATGGAGAGGTTGTCGTCCTCTGGCGCCGTCCCGTTGCTGACGGTGTCGCTGACGTCATCGTGGTCGCGATGGGCCCGCAGCGGCTTGATCAGCTTCTTGGGGTTAAGCACATTGAGGAGCTTCTTTGCATTCGGGGACATGATGCCTCTGTCTTCGCCCTTCTTCCTATTTTGCCCCTATTTCGTACTTCGGTGTTCCGCCTCCTTCCACCTTCCTAAGAGCCTGCTCTCATTGTACCCCAGTACCTTCTCAGGTGCAGAAGGAGACACTCACTTCTACGAGTCGTTTCCGAGCCTCCTGCGTTCTGAAGGAAGCTATCTCTTTGAGTCACCGTGCTTCTCAATGCCTCTTACGAACGGGCGCCCCCATTCACAATGATATCCCCACTCCAAACTTCCTGATTGAGTGAGCTGTCACTCTGTTCTGAAGATCATCCACAGCTTTTTCCAGAGTCCAGCTTGGGGACACCTTGCATGAGACTTGACGGGACAGCTGGCAAATACTCTTTCCTTTGACATCAAAGCCAAAGTCCACACTTTCCGAAAAGTAGACTTGTTGACAGCTTCTCTAGTTTACAGACAGGCGACGTTCGTGCTTCATGCAGACAATGCTGTTGTCCCCACCTTATGCTGAAACTTCCATCAAGCAAGGGAAGACGATGTCTGACTCTGCATCTCAGTGCCACAATTGAACAGATGCCCCCGATGTCCTGCCCTCTTTCTCTGGTTGTTTCGCCTTCAGTGCCCCAATGCCTGAGAGAAACCCCTCCGAGATACCAGAATCTGCAATTTGGGCAAGAACAAGGCCCAAAAGTCTGTACTTCAAGGCAGATGAAGACTCTACAAGGGGGCCTCACCAATTGCAGCTCTCAAGGGCTTCTTGTCACAATGCACCAGAGCAAAAGCGCTCTTCCATCCACAAAGACCACAATTGCTTGATTGAAACTTAAAAGTGGAGCACGCCCGCTCCAGGTGGCAGCTAGGACTAGTGCTATCCAAGTTCCGACTAGCGCTTTGGCCAGCCTGCCAGCATTTTGCTGCACACCTCTTTCTTGCATGCATGGCGGCCAGCTGACATGGACTTGATGACGAAAGCATTCGCTTGGTTACACGGTTAACCCCCTATTAACAGCGTAGCGGACAGGGTTAGTTTAACCGTCTTCTTTAGCGCAATCATGCAGCTGACCTATCCGTCGGCGTAACGCTGTAGCTAGGTACAAATGAGAATCTTGAGCAGAAATTGGGCAAAGTGCTCCTCTTGAACAACTCAAGTGCTGCTCTTCTTGTGCCAACTTGTGCCACAGTTGTGGAACAGCTGAGTAGCACCGGCCTTGAAAAGGGCTGAATGTAGACAGGAGTTGAGCATTCGTGACGAAGCGGCATCCTCTTGGCGCTTCATGGTTGCATTGGAAGAAGAAGTGAGGGGGATCATCCTTCTATTTTCTCTCCTGGAGTTACATAATTCCAGCCGCTTTCCATTCTTCTCTAACTTTTAAGATCTGAACCTGAGACAAGCGGAATTGCGACTAACTGATGAGCGATAAATTGCCAGTAGGATCTTCCTCTCCAGATAGACGGCCTACATCTTACTCGCTGGTCAGCATTCCAGCAAAACATTGACGGAAAAAAGGAAAGGAGAAGATCTTAAAGGACACCCAGACTTATAAACTACATAGGTGGGGGGCGCTTAATGTAGATAGAGTAGAGTCGATCAATAGTGAAACCAACAGCATTGGGGGGAGCTCAATAAGAAGGGCCTGACAATCAGCCCCTTGAAAAATTGTCAAACCATGGCAGTCACTGCAGAGCTAGGCAAGCTGTCCCTGGACGCCCCGGAGACTGCCGCAAATGGCAGCCAATCGGTGCAGAAAGCGAAGAGCAAGGACCGCGTCGTAGCTGAGATGTTTGATGGGAAGGAAGAGGACGTTGTTGCGGGGGGCGCGGGACTGAACTTTGAGGCGCTGGTCCCATTCAAGGGGGGCCTGCTGGTGAATCAGCAGTACGCTGTCACACCCAAGCAACTCAACAAGATCATATTTGAACAAGGTGAGTAATGTGAGGGTTTATTGCGAATGATGCTTGACCTGGAGCAGTATACTGCATTGGTTGAACAGGGCTTAAGTAGTGGCACAGACCTATCATAATGCACCCCTCCTGAGTTAAGGGTTTCAACGTGTACTGCGGGTCTGGAACAACTGACGCTTGACAGAATCGTCCTGTTGTGGTCCATAAAGTTGGTACAGGGCGTCCCGTCCATATGTACGACCATCGGAATAATCAGACAGCAGCAGCAATTACGTGATTGGTGACACAAGTGTGGCGCGGCGCCTCTCGTCGGAGCACACACTCTCACATAAGTAAATAACATCCACTCATAACATCCACTCAGGCATGGTCCCTCTTATCAGACAGAGCAAGAATGAGAATTTGGTCTCCATGTCAGCAAGGGTTGTCGCAATGGAACTTCAGACTGGGGTCTCCGGCTCTGATTTGGCCTTGGCTTGAAGGGACTGTGTGCTTTCCACTTCGCTATGCCAAGGTCCCTAGCAAATGGCGAACGCTCTTCTTTGGTTTCTCTTGGAGTGACAGATTGTTGAAGACGGGGGTTCCATGATAGCCTCCTATCTGGCCGTTTCATGTCTCCCTGGAAAATCGAGTTGCAGGGGGAGAATCTTCCACCTAATATACAGTGACAGTTTTCTGCATTTTTGCAGCGCCCCGTTCAAAGCAGTAGTTGCGCCCCCAAGTGCACCCCTGCAAAATTTATGAGCTCCATGCTTTCCACGCTGCATGACCAGATCTCGATGGCACCATCTCACCAATTGGACATTGTGCAGGCTTCGCAAAGAGAGAAGTGTGCCGCCAAAGGCACAGATGAACAACTGAAAGTCCACCCTTCAGACTGAGACTTCCACATTCTCAAATCAAATCCCTCAGATATTGTTAACAGATCATGTAACTTTCGGAGTTAACATTTCTGAGTGCTGGGGCTCTGCCCTCCAGTGTATCCTGTGCCGCCAAAAGCCCACCAAAACCGGAGAATCTTATCCACGAATCAAAAACCTCATGCGTTTTAGGTTCTGAAAGTGTCGTCCACAATAGTCCGCAATTTGAAGTATTCAGCGCTTTCTAACAGGCTCCGCCCTGCAAGAGGAGATTCGTGCGATAAAGGGCGCCACCCAGAGGGTAGAGTTCCCATGGTTTCCAAGCCCGGAGGAGGGGGTGTGGGCGGAGAGGACTGTCACATACATGACGGCAACAACAAAGGTGCTCAAGTCAGCAAGGGCACTCGAATCTCAGAAGTAAGTCGCTACTTTCGAGTTTCTGGTTTCTTTCTCAGTACCTTCTTCGAGGTTGGATAGGTCCTCACATCTAAACTGCTGGCTGTTTGGCCTTGCATCTTTGTTTGATAAGTAGCCGTATCGGTTCCCTGTTGATCATGTGCCAGGCAGGTACTTTCTTTACTTGTAATTGACGAAACGTTCTCATTGCTGGACGATCTCAGATGAGTATCTGCCCCTTTTGGTCGAATCGAACCCTAATAGACTCGAATCCTGCCAGCAGTTTCAGACTTGCTGCGTGTCCTTGCTACGAAGTCATTGCCACCAGCGCATGGCATATGAAAGACAATAAAGTCAGGTAGAGTATTTCCATATCCAGAAAAGCTTATATATCCGCATGGACATAGCTTCCGATCCCTCGTTCTACGAAGTCCACTCCGCAGAGTGAACGGCATCACGAACAAGATTCGAGTCAGACTAACTGCTTGCGCAGAATTTTCTTTCCCTCTTGCGCTTTTCTTGGACTGTAATTCGTGGAAAAATTGGTGGCTCTTTTTCAAAAGGTCCCATTGAAGATCCTTCAAAACCCGTCTTCAATGGGAAGGTTGCACACCGCTTACTCGAGGATAGTCGAGGACACCCCGTAAATGATAATTCTTGGCTTCGGCAACTTACATGTATTTTTTTGCAGAATTGTGCATCTAGACAGCACGAATCGGAAGCTCTCTTTGAAGGCACTCCACCCTTCGGCCAGTTCCGTGTTTCAGGCACGTCTGACCCTGGGAGTCCCACTTTGAACTTACAGGAAATCCGCTTAATGCTGAAGCTTCTTGTACTGGATCAACAGTCAGTCAAGCGTGCAGCTTTCAGCATGAAGCTGTGGATTCGTGTGCCCAAAGCAATCTGCTTGCCTCCGCAGATACATAGCTGCAGGGGACGGCCTATACGTGGTCGTCATAAGCACAGCGGTGCCGGACCTGCCGATGGGCCAGAAATTCACGACAGAAGTCAAGTTTGCCATTTTCGCGGTGGCCTCGGGGAGCGCCCCGGCCTCGGGTGAGAAGCCGCAGCCAATCACGGCGCTCCAGGTGTCATACCAGACGGCCTTTTCCAAAAGCACCATGATGAAGTCGGTCATCAAGAAGGGGACGGAAGAGAGCTTGTCGGAAACATACGACGAGTTTCAGAAGCTACTAGCGAAGTACGCGACGCTGGTGGGGGATCCCCCTCGATTGTCAGACTCGGGCAAGCGAAAGAAGTGAGGTCGAAAACGTTTTCACCAACGTTTGCGCCTCGTTGGTGAAAAGCATTCAGTCATGCAAGTATCCGAGTCGCTCAATATTCGCTGCTCTTGTCTACTGTCTTCTTGACGGTTTAATTGAACTCCGACCCATCAAATAGATTCTTTGCCACCTTCCATTGCACTCGTAAGAGTTGCCTTTGTACTCGAAGTCGGACTAGTGAACTTCGGTCACCAACGTCAAGAGCTTGAAGCATTGACCATTGCAGTTGAGTCGAATATACTGCCTGTATGTCGCTGTCATTCCATCGCAGACATTCCATCGCAGACTATGGGGCCCGGCGTACAACCGTCGGCTTGCTATAGACGAACAAACAGTTTATCAAAGTTTAGTTCGCGAGTATGCACGGGCGGCAGGCGTCAATTCGCGATTGCACAGTTAATAGCGAACGAAAGTCACGCATTCAAGTGTCTATATGGAGCGGGCGCGGAAGCTGCCTGATTCTCTGAATCTGCACACGGTCATTCAGATTCTCACTAGTGCGTCTTATCTACATATCATCGTGTCGCCATGCCCTACCCGCAAATGATTGAAACATTGCAGGTTGAGAGCGGCATGTGATCAGAGGCGGAAGCCGCGTACACTTGATTAGTGTGTGCATACGATCTGCCTAAGGATGATGTGCAATCAGTGTGCTTTATTGCAATGATGGATTGACACGCTTAACCATGTTTTTTTCCTCAAGACATTTGATATTATATCAAAGGCAGTACCATGCCCTATGCTTACTACGAAGACGTGGTCGAGCACCTGCCTAGCCGGCGGCCAAACCTGATCATTCGGACATTGCTTCCCAATAGGCGGCTGTGCGAAATTCAATGGTGAAGAGCCGGAGAGACAGAGAGCACAAGTTTTTGTCACTCTGCATTTCAATGTGTCACCCGCAAGTGCTGTTGTCACGCAGGACGGCAGGCTCCCAGAAATCTGCATGGGCAGCCCTGAATGCCTTCTAGTCAAGATTCAAGTTCTCGGCGACGGCTTCATGCATCCGACTGGAGGTCAAACCAGGTCCGTTCGTCAAATTGGTCCCGATCCGTACTCGCTTGCTTTGAAGCTATAAGAAATTACTGCTCCTCTTTTGCAAGAATGTCATCGCCGAAACACGAAAAAGCTGGCGCGATCAGCAACTTTCGCCGGAACAAAGTAAACTGAAAGGCTGCAAACTGCTTAGATGGGCTTCTAAGACAACTCTCAAACCTTACATGCGAAAAACAACGCGATCGAGCTGAGTTGCTGTGGCCTGCAACGTACTGTTGGACTCAGAGACGCGTTGATTCTTGAACATCTCGCATCCAGCTTTACTCATCTCTCTCTCTCTGTCTCTCGGGAAATAAAAGCGACCCCTCGAAAGAGAGCCCGCACAGAAGACTCGCACGCGCAAGCACTCCCCTTTCGAATATCGCCGTTGGAACTTTCGCCGCGCGCATTGGCCACGTGCTCGTCATTCCAGAATGGCAGAAAACGCGCGCCACCAGCTGCTGCTCGGGCTTCTTGCCTTGGCGATCATGACGTCACAGAGTCTGGCGGAGGAGGTGCTTGTTCTCTAATGGTTTCTTTAGTGTTCTTCTACATTCACCTTTGAGAAAGTCATTGTAACCTTACTTCAGATAGATGGGTACGTAGACTTTGAGCATTTGGTGTCATCCGCTGACGAGGATCCTATCCGTTCAGCAATGAGATCAATTTTATGTTAATGGGCAGAAAGGGCTTGCTCCATACTCAAGACGGCCTGTGCATGAGGTTGACTTAGTGAACTGGCAATCTGAACGTGATTAATGGCAAGCAGATTTGTATCTAATCACTTGAAATGGATGATGAATCAACAATCACCCAATCAGAAAACTCAGGTGTTTGGAGTTGCTTAAAGAAGCTCTAGAGACAAAGTGGCAAGATCCAAGAGAACGAGTTCGAAGTTGCTCACGAGGAAGAAATCCTTTCAAGATGAGGTTTGGTGTTGTGTGCTCGATTGCAGGCCGGTTCTTCTTTCCCGCTGGCTAACACTGGCAACCCTGGCATGCCGGACGGACTCGACCAGCTTGCTCGCCAAGACTCTGCAGGTAACAGATTCTGCTTAATCTCCTTTGGTTCCCGTCGACCTATTGGCTTGAAGCAGATAGGTAGTAGTGCAAAGACGACATCGAGGTGGCCTCACTGGCAGAGTCAGAGATTCTGACTGTCCCTCTTGCCACGTGGCAGTCATAGGATGGTCACGTGCAGCACACAACCCAACACGTTTAGGGGGAACAGTACTCTGCTATCAGGGTCAAGTGAAGTCGATCGAGGGCTACGAGTTAGAAGTTTTTTGGAAGGATCTTCACTTTCTGTTCGATCGGGAGAATAACCTCGCTTCGTAATCCGAAGCACTTGCTGGATGGTTTCCAAAAGGATCCAAACATTCAGACGCAAGCTACGAATTCTCAAATCAAGGTTCAACTTTTCTTCGATGCCAGAAGGACGGGCCGGGTCAGGTGCATGAGTATCTTAAAATGTCCAGCTGTGTATAGTGGACGGCCTTAGAGGCCCTTTCGTGGTTGACGCTCGAGTCAATTCCGCAGAGCCGCTTCCGTTTTTTGCAGAGGTAGCTTCGATACGGCTTCGTGGGCGATTCTGATTTGCATCAACCTCCAGGAAGCAACAAAAACTTTGAGTATTAACATCCCCATACCCCTGCACATCACAAGCAAACCGGGGCAAAGACATTTCACCTCCGCAGTCATCTTTGATCACGTCACTCTTCACGTCATCTATGACACCATGCCCTACATCTCTTTATGAGAACGTCGCTTCTTCTTCTTCTTTTGCTGCAGCAAACGGCGAATCTTCCCGCAAGCTCCTGTGCCTGCCGGGCGAAGCTTCTCCGGGATCCAACTGCTTTCCAGCCCCAAGGGAAACTCCGCAAACCACGCCTGCACCCGTCGTCCCGCGTCCGCCACCGGCGGCTTCGAACCGTCGTAAGCCGAACAAAGCGTTCTGATTATGCGGCGCGGCAGTGACACGCACATGTGGATGCCCTTCTCTGTTCAGAGGAACTGAAGACAGATAACACAACTTGACGCTTCAAGTCTCGACAGGCGCAGACTGATACATGTGGATGATACTCGACAACAAAACGTGTCGACTGATCGCATTTACTTCGTCGCGATCCTTCCGTGTCCTAATTTTGGCCGTCGTTTTAACCTCCGAGCTTCTGCACCCACATGATGCGTGGCGTCACGTGGGTGATTGAGAGCACACACCAGAAGCGTCTATCATGACGTCATAGACTAAACCTGGAAGCCTGTCAACCGTGCAATCTGCGCTCGCTTAATTAATGTAGTTGATGTAATTAGTTAACGTAATTAATGTAACACTCCGACCTGCAGCCTGTGTGTGCTACCTGATCTACCGTCCCGTGTGCGCCAACGGTGTCACGTATTCCAACGACTGCTTCGCCCGGTGCGCGGGTGCGACCTCTTACACGGACGGCGCCTGCGGTGAGCAAGTCTGATACCGTGTGCTTTGAACGGATATTCTATGTGGGCTTCCTCCTAACCAAGCTCATTCTGCGCAAAATTTTCAGATCTTGGCCGCCTCATCCTAGCCAGATCAGGTCGTTGGCCGTCCGCAGAAATAAGGCCGTCTTATGCACAGAATAGAGCAATTGAACGGCTCAGATTCTGCACATCTGGAGCTCAAAGTGTTGTCGAGCGGCCATGATACAAAAACGTGCATTCCGGTCACGGACTCTGAGCTCGCTCCAAAGATTCGTTGGGCCGGACATTGGATGCAATTTCTTGTCAGTGTCGGATGCGTAGCTTATTCGACGAGCTGAAAAGTTATTCGGTTGCCTGCGACGAGATAAAAGACGTCGTGTCACCGGCGTTCTCTAGCGCATGGACGTGAGGCCTTAGCATTGCGGGTGCGCCCAAGTAGCATTTTCGTACCTGGTCGCCCTCACAAGCACTTAAATCAGGTTAGATGCTTCTGTCGCGAGTTAATGATACGAACTCAAATTCATTTAAAGATGATGTTCGTGTTGTCTGTGCGCTATGCAGCTGCGGGTCCGTCCGGTGGCACCAGGAAGATGCTCACTGACGACTAGGAGCCAGAAGGCGGCCGGTAGGAATGTGGCACTTGTAGTCGGAGACAATGTAAAGCGTGGATCAGAAATCGTGCAATACTGCTCGCCGGCGCGCCGTCTCCAAGAAATCATGGAGGAGTGAAAGTAGCTGAGCATGTACCTTCTAGGCTTCGTTAGAGGCGACTCTTGCGGCGCCAAGCAATGTGCGCGCACAGAGAGTTAGACACACGGCTTGAGCCTAAGCAAACAATCGAACTTAATTCAGCGCCTTGTATATGAATTGGCGGAGTTCTCCTTTATGTATAATCCGACATCAAGATATGGAGTTACGATTCTGCAACATTGAAAAAGGGACGGTTCTTGTCGACTAGTAGGGCCACTTCCCTGCCAGTGCTACATGCTTTCATGAAGATGCTATAGCCTATAGCTGCAAGGCGATGCACATGCGTTGCGTGTACAGAGGGGTTCCGCGGCAGGCCGGCGCGGCACCAGAAGCCATGCCAGCCAACTCGCGAAGTCAAGCGACTGCCCAGGTTGTAGTACCTTAGTGCACTAAGCCCGGCCTTGCATCTGAGTTTCACTAACAACAGCTGCCAGAATCTAGAGATGTAGCGCTTTGTCAACTATAACTATAGCTTTTGATTTAAGCTGGGGATAAAAGGCAGAAAGCAGAACCTAGAAGAGTGTAGTTTCCGCCGATTTGAAGTGTGGCAGAGTCATGTAGTCAAAAGGAGTCGCAACCCCCTCAACTCACCCGACCACTCTGGGCAATTGAACGAAATCGTATGGGACTCGTATATCCGCAACCTAGACAAGGAGCACATTCAACGTGCAACCGGTGACGGACACCGTTCGACTTAAACGTTAGGGAGGAGACTACGGAGTGCATTGAATAAATGACGGGAACATGGTGGCATTTTGTCCACATTCAGGCTTTCCCGAGCACGTGTGTAACTTCTGAACCTAGATCACAAAATCCTGTCATACAAATGCATTCGACCTAGTCTTTGATTGCCCCTCTTCTAATCAATTAAGGTTTCGACATGTGACGCTACTGTACAGCTCGGAATCGAGGTCCACAGAACTTCAGTGCTTGAGAAGAAGACACCGCCCTCAGAATTCCCCTAACCGCAACTTACTTTCTCTGGACACGCGACGACCTTCTCTTGGCTTTGAGAAGAACATGCCGGAGCGTTGGCACGTGCTGCAAGGAAAGACACGGGACGTCAGATAAAGAACATGGTTGGTCAAAAAAGCGGGCTTGTTTGTACCTTGGTTCCCTCTTTCACCATCATCGGACAGCTCTCGTCGGTTTCACGTTCTAGCACTTAGCAACCCGTGTTCGCAATCTAGGTTGAAGGCGGACGAAGTCTTTCTAGTCCTCCACGTCTGGGTATGAGGACCCAGCTCTTCCGCTCAAGTTATAAGACTTGAAGTTCACATTAGCCCCTGCAATAGCTACCCCTGCCAAGAAGCAGAACGAATTGAGGGCAATCTCGAACTCGGGGGATGTGAGAGCCCTTGTTCTGGTGTCCAGCGTGGAATCGACCGTTGCCCGCGCCCGTCATCACATGCAAAGCGTATCCCTTCTGCTCTATGTAAGATTTCACGCGAGAGAATTGACTTTAAGACTTTGTCTAACTAATTCAACTCACTTCAACAACTTGACTTACTCCGAATTGTACTCTAAGTTGGTATGTGACTGAGTCCAGCTGGTCTTACACACTGCTTCAAACACGTCTTTGCCACTAAAGCTGGCACTTTATGATTGTCTCAGACGTGACCTCAAAATTGGGATAGTCAGGGAGCATTGCCTCCCCTCTTTCGGTGACAAAGAATTGCGTACTTGAACTTCATTGCAGTGCGGTAACCCCGGGAAAACATAACACCTCTTGCGGGCCAATCCTGACTCTAGTCTGTATTGCTTCTAAATCGAAACCAGGGTACTCTGAGCCCACTAGCAAGACATTTGACAGATATTCATTATGTGGTTACTGGAATAAAAGCTGAGGCAATGATAAGAGAAGGGTCCTTACAGTGATCCGGGCCCCCTTGTTGTGGGCCAAGCAGAACGAGGCAATTCGCCTGAAGGCCTTCCGCCGCTCCTTGTCGGACTACACATGAGATTCGTTCCAGCATGAGTAGAAGTGAAAAGACCAGAAAAGAAATCAGGTGCACGCTGGTTTGCCCATGCAACAAACTCGAAAGTTTGCGGGCACGCCCCCTCAAGAGCCCAGGTGCAACGTCACAGCACTTTTTGGCCCTTAACCATGCACGGTTATGGGCTGGCTATGGGCTGGTTACAAAGGTGTTAACTGTCCAATAGCCAGACTTGGGCGGTAACCAGCCTTGGAACAGGGTTGAAGGCCGGTTTGTCCATTAACCTTAGACTCGAGTCTGGCAAACAGCCTGGTTAGCGGCCAGAAAGTCCTCTAACCAGCCATTTTAAAGATTTGAACTGTCACAGCTTACCACGTCGTTCGCCGCGTCCGGGTCCTCGTGCTTCATTTCGCTCCACCAGAGCTCGTAGGCGCCGTCCAAATCTTTGGCCGCCCGCAGGAGCACGTCATCAAAGAACTTCTGCAGCACAAATGAAAGCCTGCATCAAGCACCGGCAAGACAGGATCCCAGACGTGTCTTGGCACGCCCCTGAGCTGCAACAGCGCCCCACACTGCGTGAGCGCGAGAGGAGCTGCCCTCGGGACAAGGACCCTGGCTGTGGTCCAGCTGCGCCTGCTCGGGCGCACTTCGGATAGTGTAACGTTCTGCCTCTCTCCCGGTCACTCTGGGGTTCCTTTTTCACCGTTGAGCGTTTTGCAGTTTGCTAAACCTCAGAGGGAGTTTTTTGTCAGAACACTAGCGCCGCCCATTGGCACCACAGGAGCCGAGCTTGTGTGGTTGCCGCATCAAGTGGCGATGCAAGGGTCCAGAGTCGGGTGCATGCCAGCTGGCAAGTCTAAAAATGCCCATCCTCAATTCCTTGCCAACAACGTCATTGACTGGCACTTCCGACAAGGGGCCAGCCTAAGTCCGTAACTTCTTTATGCTTCCTCCCTCTGAAGCAGCAGTCCATTTTGGTTCGGCCCCGTCAGAAACGTGTTCAGGTACTCATTGCACAGGTGATTTTCAAAAGGCTGGCTGCTCAAAGATGCAATCTGCGATTTTACTGTCCCTACAGCAATTCTCCCAAACGTCTTGCGGTACTAGTACAAGGACTGCTCTTTGATCAAACGTGCTAGCGCCCGGTGCTCTTGAATTCAAGTCCTTAGTAGATCAACAGACCGACATCCAGACCATACGAGCAGAACAAACGGCGGTAGGAGAAAACGGAGCGCCCGAAGATTGTTCAAAAAGCTGGTGGATTCTCGCGGACATTTAGGCGCTCTCTCTGTTTCTTGGTTCAGGTTCCATCGCTCTGCGCCTGCGCAATCGAGCCAGCGCCGCGTGCCATCGCAGGTTTGGTCTTTCAGTGTGCTACAAATCTTTGTGCTCTGGTCTTCCAACTATTCCAATGCCTCCGACCGCCGTGCACAGTGCCTCCGATCAGTCCGCCAGAATGGCTCTATTCTGCTAGCCCAATCCCGGGCAGAGCGCCTTCATCTCTTCGTCTATAAAAGCTAGGGGCCACAAGGACAGAAGGAAGCGCCTGCAAAGAAGGAAAGAAGGAAAGCGCGCGGCCTGCATGCGTCATTTTCAAGTCGCGCGCCTCCGCTCGGACGGCGCGGAAGAGTCACGGGGTTTAGGGTTTGAAGCGCGCGGAGACAGAGGCGGCCGCGCCGCGCCGGCAGGCTCCGAGACAACGTTCCCATAACCTCGACCCATGGCCAATGGAGCTGGTCGGCCGACGAATGCATCGCAAGCCTTTGCAAAGACACACGACGTCAATTCAAGCAGGAATTTTGGCCGTTTGTGTCAAAGCTCCCGATCCGAGTCATAAGGTGCGTACTAGTCTTAGATAGCTTTGGCTTGTTTCGACTCGGATGCCTGCCGCCATAAGCGCGCGCAAGACGGCCCATCCTGAGAGCTAGGCGTGTCCTCAGCACTAGGACTAGGGTCGGTAAGTGCATCACAGATCGCCGGCATGTTCGCATTCGCAGGGCTCCCAGTCATGGCATGATGGATTGGCCGGCGCTCGGCCTATCGGAGCATTCACGCGCATGCCATGACAATTCCTACAGTATGTAGGCATCTATAGAAGCCTGCATGAGTGTACAGCGTGTCCCGCCTCTATACACGAAGCTCACTAGTGCATTTGGCCTGGTGTGTGCGGGACGGCGCGTAGGTTTGTGTGGGCTGATAAGGCAGACATCCTGGCCAAAACCGCCAGCAAGCATGCCAAGTGCTAATGCCGAGCTAGCAGCCTGAAACGGCATTAAGAAGTGAAAATGAATCAGATGCTAGAACCACTTATTGCGTGAGCCCCCTACCCACGCATCAAGGTCTGCATGGCTATGCGGCGTATTGAAGAATCTATCAAGCTCACGTCAAGCGACGCACCGAAATGATTTCCGCAGGAAGTGCACCTGCGCATCAAGCAGAGTCTTCCTGAAGGAAGGAGTGTTTTGCAAGGGGCCAGATTCAGGTATGTCCAGAAGCGTTCGGCTGTCAAAGGCGCCTTCTGCTAACTTGGCCTGCTAGCTATCACCCACCGGTTTCATTTTAGATGACCTCTTTATTCGGTCTTTATCAACATGCTCCAACGTGCCCTGCAACAAAAGCTCGAGACAATCAGCAACACGAAGAGACTGACCGATGTACTTGACAAAATTACACAAAACCGTTGCATGAATAGAGCTATGATAGAGATGAGGAGTGCACCGGAACATCGTCTTAAGAACAACAATTGGGGTGCCTCCCCTTATAATGCAAGTCATTCAATCATGCCATCCTGAGAAGGGTCTTTCAATCACCCCGTAAAACGAGAGGGGGCCGTCCGCAAATGTCAAGATGAAAGGTGCCTCACCTGAGAAATGATCTCGTCTATGTACAGGCAGGCTGTTCCGTACTTCGTGAGTAGGGACCCTTCTGAAAGCTTTCCGTTGCAGGCGTCTTTTAGGGTGATAACGACGGCCCGCAGAACTTCGCTCACTGCAAACGAAAGTTCAAGAGGTCAGTCTTTACAAGGAAACGACCTATGAGCAGCTTGGACCAGACCACCAAAGGCGTATACTAACAGTTCAAGGCATAGTCATTTAGCTATGTCCAAGAAGTGGAGCGTAGCCCAAGTATGCGCCCGTAGGACTTTGCAGGGCTCTTGTGGAGCAAGGAACGGTTTCGAGCTTCATAGTGAGACCTGTAAGAGACTGGTACGTGCGCTGAAGTACAGATGCCGACGTTCTTGACTAAGCTTGGTGATGAGCTCGCTGATTCCTGGGCCGGATTCCATTCGAAAGGCAGAGCAGAACGAAGGTAGCATGACCTCAGCAGAAGATTGGGTCTCCCACGCAAAGCAGATGATTCAACTGGTCCAATACGGAAGGGGTACTACCCGAGAAAAGACTCCGAAAGCCTCCCAAACGTGTCAAACGTTTCAAAAGCAAGCGGGTTAGCTCAACATACAAAGCAGAGGTTGCGCTTTCTTGGGGCGCCTGCTTTTGTTGGAAGCGTACTCGTTGTGGACAATCAACACTTCGTTTCGAATTCGAGCAGAACGACCAATATCCCACACTCGAAAGAACTTCTGGCCGTGCTTTTCCAGTTGACCACAAAGACACTCTGGGCCCCCATCCGTTTGATCGGACGAAGAGTCCTCGATCCGTTTTCCAGGTGAGTGAGTTCCCTTCAGAAGACTGTCGAACCAAAACAGCAAGTGAGAAGGAAAATTTTGTTCTTGACTTTCCAACAAGGGAGATCTCCTGAGTAGGTTCAGAGACGATGAGATGATGCGAAAGAAAACTTACATCCCAACTCGTCGTATTCATCTCCGCCCACCATGTAGATGTTCAGGTCACCAAAGGATCCATAAACAACAAAAACAGTCCTGTAGAAGACAAGGTTGTTAGCCATAAGGGGGTTGCGGTGAAGCTGCTGGCCGCCGAATGGTCAAGCATAGACCATTCTATCCCAATGATTGGTGGCCTGGAAATCATAACGACAAAACAAAACGGCCTTATATCTGGAAGCATGGAACTTTCGTCCTTTGAGGCGAAAATAGGAGGTGTTTTCGAAACACAGGCCATGGTTGTCGTAAGCCATGCCATACGCTATTTCCTTACGGAAGCACCCCACTAACATGTGACCTTGATTTTTGTATATGAAGATTCAAGAATATTCGAACCTGAACGTCCTTTCAAAAGCGGATTCTGGTCAAACTGTTCTAAGATCTGTTGTGCCGCATAAAGTGCCCGGTCGGCGACTCAATCCTGACCTGTGCGCCAGCGCAAAAGGAATGACAGTCTCTTCTAAGCTGATTATGAACAGAATTTTGTCTGCAAGCGCATACTGCGCAGACTTAAGTGTCTCAAACCACGCGGTCAGAGAATCCCAACTCGCTGACAGCAGTTTCTGTTACATCATACCAACTCAAGTTGTCTGCACCAGTTATCCAGCTTGTCGTAAACTTCAGTCAGAAGACGCCACTGTAAGTCTTGGAAGCTCTTGCCTACCTATGTGCCGCAACTAGTTCCTCCTCGTCCGTTGTATCTTCCAGGTTCTCAGCTCCAAGTTTCAGCAGGAACGCTCTCCATGTACTGCGCTCCTCACCAGGAATACCATAGAACCTGCGTGTGCAGAAAACCTCAAAATTGCACTCTGGGGTCAAAAGCTCTCAATGTTATCTTTTGAGGTGCCTTAGGTGCTTAGCTTGTTCCAGGACCCCCACAAGCCTCGTTTTACTTGCTGTGTAGATCAAGGTTGTGACCTTCATCTGCAAAAACAAACTGATAGTCCCCTAGACCTGACTTCCAGCAACCGAAGAAAGGGCATCACATCTGAGCAGGGGCATCTTTCAAGTTCCCAAAGCAGCCATGTGGAGTGTGAGAAGCCAGCGCTCCAATCCAAGTGATGATGCACTTCATCGGGGATAGATCGAAGTAATGGGGCACGTCTAAACCAATCATTGACCTGAGACCCACCGCTTGCTCAATTGCTCTACTCCCTCCTCCCAACACCAGTGCACATTAGTTTCTGGGATGTTCCAAAAAAGGCGTGCTAGCTGCGAATTGCAACAATCACAAAGATTGTATTCCACAAATCCCGCTCATTGGAAAGCAAGGAAGTTCATCGAGATCCGAAATGCATTGGAGTGTTTCCTGGCACTCACCTTTCAAGAAGTACGTTCCCTGAGCGGTTCGTGACCAATATTGTATTGATCATTGCGGTGTCGCAGCAGAATCAGAACTGTCAAAGCCAGTAGGTGGCTTAAAAGTTGAGCTGAGAATTGCAGAAATGCTAGATCAAAGCAAGAAGGTTGCACTGAAAATTATATCGCTCCGAGTCCTGGGACTCTGTTGCTCTGCTGCAAGCGCAAATTGGCAAGGGCAATGCAATGCTTGCTCTCATGGACACGTTCTGACAAGCTTCGTCCAAAACCCCCCTGAAATCTGAGAAAGTGCGCTTGCTATTATACTAATAGAGCATCACCTCAGTTCAAGCAAGCCCAGCTTTTCTGGTCAGCTAGCTAGCTCAAATCTCATGGGCAAAGTGAGATGAATGTCGATCTAGATGCGGGGAGAAAGTGGTCAGCAAAACGTCATGCAACGTTGGTCAAAGCATTACCAGCTTTGCTCGTCCATTACCATGCGGTCGGACTGCATGAGGCTCAGGGCTGGAGGGCTGGGCAACTTCAGAATCTCACTTTAATTCTCTGGAATGTTCAGTTGTTCACTTCAACTTCAAGCTCGACAGGCAGCCAGCACTTGTAAGCTGGCAGTGCGCATTGGAATGGGGTCAAGTCAACGCATTGATCCGTGACATCAGAAAGCTCATCATAGTAAAGTCTGTTAGGTGATCTATCTTCATCCAGTGGTACGATGGGAACCCGGCTGGTGCCTTTCCTTTCCTGGGAGGAGTGGGAGAGTGTCGGGCGGGACTTGTTTGCGCAGGGGACTGCAGAGAACCAGCGAGGCTTGAACAGGGTGAGAAAGGACCAGCTTTCACTTGGCAGAATGCTGCATTTCCGGATGCGCCATTGCTGATTGAAATACTTGTCGTTCAGGAGAGAGCAACAAGAGGACCAGCAAGAGCACTCGATGTCCTCTGAATAGGCACACATTCAAACTCTCTTCTTCTTCTGTGACTAAGTCGTTTAAGTGATTGAGGTGATGGCTGAGTGACTAAACAGTCACCTTGATCGGTGGTGGTCGCAAAGAGCTCAAGTGCTTGAAAATGCATCTCGTTGGGATGGCAGAATGCTCGTCAGCTGGCACGGTCTCTTTCTGATCAATGCTATCATCCTTTAAAACAAGGCGCCTCAAAGCCATCAGCTTAAATCAACGTCAACATGAAATTCTCTCACGTGAATGTGACAGTCAGCGCCACCACTGACTTTATTGGATGTGAGCGCTGGATCCTTCTTGGGACCGAACAACCTGAAGCAGCTGGCTCTCTCTTCATCAGACATGTGTTTCCTGCCTTACTTGCACAGAAACCGGCTCAGCTTTATTTCCCATGCCCTCACAATGCTGCTGAAGATTTTAGAAGCTTTCTCCACAAATCATATCTTTGTGGACCGATGTTTGCAAGGATGAAAAGAAGAGTCGAGAATCCATATGAAGTTGTCAGATTGCCCTCCCTGTAGGTGGCGGCGTGGAGGTACCGGGGCCGAGTCCCAGTGGCGGTTGAGAGCACAGCAGAGCTAGTGGAGATCCGGCTGCGAGACTCAAGCCTTGGGTGAGCGAACTTTTTGTCACAGGCTGTAAGAGGAAAGAGGAGCACTCGGTCAGAGCCTAGTCGAATCTGGGGGGCTGCATTCTTCCTGAAAGGGTTTTTTGCCTTCAGTGGACTGGGAATATGCAATGTCAAGTCTGTTGTTTTCTTTCGGAGGGGGAGCGAAGCAGGGGACGCTAGTGTAAGTGTGTGGTGTCAGGATCACCGGCCAATCTTTGTCAACGCTGTAGTGCGTTTGTTATAAGGCATCTTGTATGATGGAGACAAATACAGACTGTGTTAGAGTTGGGAAATGGATACTTGTTCATGATATCGAAAGAAAATGCAGGGTCAGTCACCAGATGCTTTTCTAATAACAGAGGAAGAGTAGGGGGAGAGTGTCTTGTAACAAGACAGTTTTGGAGTCGTCCCTAACGTAGTTCCAGTTCTCCTCGAGAAAAGTGGTCGAAAGAGGGGAAGGGAAGGCGTGACCAAAGAGAAAGAGTTTGACGAAGGAAGGCGCTTAGAGAAACGGATCGGTCAATTGCTTTTTCGACCCCCGAGTCTTTGCAGTCGCCACCTGGCCTCTACTCCCCTTCGCTCATCCAACAAATTTCAAAGTATGCCACGAAGGTGAACGAAGCAGCAGGAAAACGAAGCACTTGAAAGAAGGACGTAATCATCTCATTGACATCCATTTTTCCGGTTAGAGTGCTTCCCAGCAGTGGAAGGGGAGCAGTCCCTCCGCTGCCTCTACGCCATGCCACTCGCCCACTTCATCAACGGCGTC